GGGCAATCGGAAGATGATACGAAGCTACAAAAAGTGTCCTGGTTGTGTGGTTAATATGGTCGACGAGTATTATACTTCACAAACATGTGCCAAGTGCTTTGGCCGTTTTGATCGACGCACGAAACGACATCGGTTGCCATGATTGTCGGCCGCAATTGGGAAAAGCAATGCCATCAATGATCGTGTGCAAGGTCAACAAACGAAAGATGAGGGAAGAGAAGTTGAAAGTCTTTTTGCTCGAGAAAGAAGCGGAAGAGGGCAACGGAAATCCATCGGTTGGCAATGATGTCCCACATCCAGATCAACTAAACCCAGATTTACTCCCAAATATAGCGATCTACCACAAAATATGGCATGTAAATGGGGATAGTAAAATCGTGGAATACGTGAAATTGAATTCAGCCGGTGAGATGGAAGTTGTTGAGCTACGAGTACACAAGACGACATGGCATCGTGACATAGCCGCTGCAAAATGTATCATGATCAAAGGTGCTCATAATATATTAATTGAATTGCATGTGAGGTGCAGTGCTTCATTTACATATCATTCATTGTTTTCTTGTATGATTTTCAAGGACACTGTGACTTTTTTGGGATTACGTTACCCGAAACATTGCAGATGCCATCCAACCAGCATCATGCATCGTCGTTCACGCCATTCACATTGAATGATTGAAAAATTAAAATATAACATTATGTTATTTCCGCTATGCCTGATTGTTGTTGTATAGTAGGCCAGAATTTACCCATTAACTGGCCAGAAATACCCATGTAAGTAAATGATTTGTTTTTCAATTGAAATAAGAGTATTGAATGTATTGATGTTAACGTTATGGAATTTTTCTCCATTCATTCCATGCACAATTGGATCACTATGACGGTTACTTCTACGGTTAAATCTATCCCCGTATTCAACCTTGGATATGTGCCTGGAATCGGATGGATTTGGGTTGATAATTGTTAGATGGGTAAGATGGATTTATGCATAAAACTTGAAATATACACATGAATAATAAATAAAGATATTTTACGAAATAATAATAAAAACAATTGCAGCGTTTTTTTTCTTTCTTTTTCATATTTATTGGGAGGTTACTTTTTTATTAGATTGATGAAAAGTTCATTTTAACATTAATATTGACAGAACTGAGCTGCGCTACAAGATATTTAAAGATGTACGGTATTTGAATGTTTTCTATCGCCGATTTATCCTTGCACAGACGACAAGTAGCTGCAGTCCGATTAATTGCATCATTATCTTGTTTCACGATATCTGCAACTGGTCCCAGCAACGTTCCACATGATTTGCAAATTATGGTCTGAAAATAAAAGTATTTGCATAAAATATTTCGTGCATCGTTGGAATTTTCGAAATAAATCGAATTCAACTCACCGATATTTTGTCAGAACAATGTAAAAGACGATCCTGCAACAAGAATGAGGCTCCGTGTGCGATCAATGCATCTCGTTCCATTTCACCAAAACGTACACCTCCACCCCGTTTTCGGCCTTTCACCGGCTGATGAGTCACATTATCAATGGCACCTGTTGACCGGCATTGCCACTTATCAGAGACCATATGTCGTAGACGCTGATAATGTACTACGCCTAAGAAAATATCGGCCGTCATTTCTCGACCATCAATTCCACTATATACACGTTCAGTGCCGTAATAGTTATATCCACCAGCTTGAAGGAGTCGACCGAAATGATCGATTGCAGTGTTTTTCTCATCGAATCTAAATGGTGTTGCATCATGTACAAAGCCATGTAATGCACCACTTTTGCCTGCCATTGTTTCGATCATCATGGCAATCGTCATACGAGATGGGAAACCGTGTGGATTGAACACAATGTCCGGAATTAGACCACTTTCGGTGAACGGAAGATCTTCAGCCGGCCACTTCTGGGACAGAATACCTTTCTGACCGGCACGCGATGCAAACTTATCTCCAACAGTTGGATTTCTCTATAAAAATAATTATTCAGGTAAAATTCACTTCTATGCAAATAGCAAATAAGTTCTTACTGGAACGCGAAGAGTTAGGCAAACAATTTTTTTCGAGTCTGTATTGAATGTACCGCATAGTTTCACATTATCCACAACACATTTCTCACTTCCAGTGTACTTCTTGGTCTTGTATACGCTTTCGTTTGTATCAAAAAAGCTGAAAAAATAAAACACATACCATATAATAAATGAATACCATCTGCATTATAAATGAAAATTTGCAAAATTACCAGTATAAAACTTCCATTGGTTTGATTCTTCGTCCAGGATACGGAAGACCGTCATTATCAATGAATGTATCTAGTTTTTTGTCATGTGGATTTCGAGCAAAGAAGCTCGTACCATCTAGTTCGATGAACTGAGACTTGTAAATACTGCCGTGTGCAAAACCTCGTTCGTCAGCCGATTTATTGATGATCATAGCATCTTCCATGTCATAGCCAGTGTAAGAAATGACGGCAATCAATGCATTGGTTCCCATTGCAAAATCATCCATTTCGATGTTATCGTGGTGGACCGGTCTAAATAACGGTGTTGCCGGGGTTTGAAGACGGTACAATTTGGTTTCAGATTGTAACTGCCAGGTGTGTGTTGGTGTTCCCATCGTTTGCTTTCCCATTTGACATTGGTACATGTTACGTGGAGATTGGTTGCAATCGGGCATTGGTATCAAATTGGCCAGATTGGACATGAATGCAGTCTTCGATATTTCCATGTGCGTTGTTACGCCTTCGTATGCTTCCTCGGCATCAATGCATACGTTCATGTAAACTTGTTCAAAGGAACCGATATATTCAATTTTATTGGCTTTTAAATTTTTAACGGGACGCATCATTCGAGCAGGTCCAACGAACAAGAATAGACCCGGAAATTGGCCATTCTTTTGGGGGGAAAACAATACCGTGAGTAATTTTTCGAAGTTTACTTCATGTGCTTAACAACTAATGACCAACTAATAAATAAATGTAAAAAAGTAATTAAATCACCTTTATATCTGGAACCAGCACAATTTCCATGAATTTTGGCACCTGTTTTCCCCCTATTTTCAAAAGACGTAACTCAACGCAAACTTGTTGTGCCATGATTTTGTTTATGTGACCAATTACTTTTCCTTCCAACATGACGACAAAATGGTTTTTATAGTTGATTCGTGCTGAATTCAACGGAATCATTCCCAAATTGACTAGAACGCGTGGTACATTGTCGACAATTGCTGTTTTTGGCGAATCAGAAACCACACAATCTATGGTCAAATGATTGAGAAGACCACAAGGGGAACCATCGGGCGTATGTACGGGACAAATAAATCCCCAGGCATCTGGAAGTAATTGACGCGCTTCTGTTGTACGCATCTCTACGAAGAATGATCCACGATGTACTGCTCTGTAATTGAAATAACTCGCTAAAAATCACATCATAATAGAAAAATATCGCAGTGATCTACCTGAAATGTGACATATATCGCATTCTATTGATGTTTTCTGCCATAATCACTAATCCTGAAGCCTGCATCAAACCTAATCCTGATTTAGATACCAAATTTCCAGTGGACAAAAAGTTCGAAACGGTCCTTTCAATAGATCCTGCAATTTTGCATGCTTGCACAAAGTTCGTTGCATTCGGAACAAAGTTCGTTTGTTCGGATTGTTTTAGGATAGCATATCGCAATTGCTCCAACCAATTTTCGACACGATCTTTAATAACCTTCTGATATAAATGTCCGCCAAGAAGAACTTCTTGCATCATTACGCTATCGGAATTTTCAATTTTGTATTTATTCTGTGCACATTGGAATAGCTTTTGCGTCATCAGCACAATGAAATCGAACTTGTCATCGTGATCATCAAGATGGATAAGAATGCACTCGTTGAGCATATAATCTGTGATTTCTTCGTGACTTTTCCACGCAGGTAAATGGTAAAATTTCGAACGAAACACTTCACCCAGATACTTTTTACAGTCTTCATAAGTATGCATTCCAGTTTCGTCATGAACACTGCGCAGCATTTTCTGTATACAGCTGTCGTAGTATTGATCATCTTCATAGCCAGCAATTAGGCGTTGGTATATGTGCTCGTCCGTGCAGTTTTTCAACGATTTCAATAGAAGAACCACCGGAATAAATGAAAATGTTTTGCGATAAGTGAACATGAATTTGGCTGTACCATTTGTTAGGTAATGAAGAACGTTTGTCTGGAAAAAATCACAAAATATTTGGAAAATATTCGAGCTGACTAGTGCCGTCATGTTGTCAAATGCTCACCGTTGCCGTTTGATCAGTCCGTACTGTTCTCACCATAATACCAATATCTCCGAAATGTTGTCCGCGATCTTTCCATGTGTTACGTTGAACGGTAATTGGAAAGTTTTTCCGTGTCATTAACAGCATACGGATCAATTTCTCATGACCCTTCATCACAAAATATCCTCCCCACTCATTTTCGTGTTCACCTCGTTTTATAAGCTGTTCGGGCGTTAATCCATTCAAGTTACACGCTTTGGACCGAAGCATAACAGGAATCTCACCCATGGATTTATCCACTGTAGGTTTGGAAACGCCATTTACAGCCCAACCAACACCCACTGTACAAGCACCCGTGTAGGTGCCTGCCCGTTGTCTACATTCGGTCGGATAAATCTTTTTATTACGTGCTGAAATACATGATGCTGGAACTTGCGGCTGTGCTATAGATATGCTCTCTATGAACAATTTCACACGATCCCCACTGGGAATCTCAAATTCTACCGGGTGAATGTGTTTTGCACAATCAGCCAATCCCTCGTCCAGCATATAATTAAATGAATCTACATGAGGAGCACCTAACGACCCTAAAATCTAACAAAAATAACACCAAATTATGGTTATGTATTCTTCATTCAAAACAATTGAAAACGATATTTTTCTAAAACTCAAATTGGTCGAAAAGTTCAAGAAATTACTTTATTTTGTTGAGACTTCGGATTGATGAACTCTTTTTTGGAATTTGTTAGGACTGGAACTTCTTTCATTTTTGTTTGCAGTTATCACTACTTCTTGCTCAAAAATGTACCAAACACATTTTTTTTAAACTTGAACGCACATGTACAAGTCGATCTGACGTTTCTTGTTTGACACTTCCACTTTTGACATATAACTGTCAAAATTCGATGCATTCGATTTATAACGCTCGCTTTGAATAGCAATAAACCGCTTATTTCAAACCATTCAGTGAGAAATAAACAATACCGTGATGATAAGAATAAATGTTAAAATCGATAGAGGGAGGACCGACCCACTTGTGAACTATTACATTTTATGGCATTTAAAATGCAGGAAATTAGACAAATAATGGTCAAAATTGTATCTGTTGAAAAAATTTCAGTAAAAAAATCATCAAATGTTCGGTTTAAATATTTCCATTTATTTTCGTTTGTTCATTGAGTTAACGGATTTGTTATTATCTAGAAAAAATATAATGTTTATAAAAATGTGATTTGTGTTAACATTATTGTTAATAGACATTTCCCCAAAATGATGCTCATATTTTACAGTTCATCCTTGTTTTTGATGCTATTAGATTTCATAAATTTATATATATCATCGACAGTTCGCTTTCCATTGTAATCGACCTTGAAAGAGCCTTTTTGAAACAGTTTCAACGTTGGAAAACCTTTGATATCAAATTTCTGGGCTACATTTTCATGAACAGTAGCATCAACAGCACCAAGCATACCGATTTTATCTTTTGAAACTCGTTGAGCGACTTCTGAAAATTGTGGTTTTATTTTCGTACAATGACCGCACCCTTGATGATTGCAATAAATAGAAAAAAAAGATGAATAAAAGAAAAAAAATTATGTTGGAATTCCACAAATGAAGTAACAAATCAAATCTTACATGGAGCATAGAACATGACCAAAAAGTTATCGATTTTCTCAACGGTTTCATGAAAATTGCTGTCAGTCAATGTTATTATACTATCTGAGCCAGGATATTTTCCAAATTCTTCAGCTTTAGGTTTCTCAGGTGGAGCATCGGGATCGGATAAGAACTTCGTAAAGTCGTCAGCCTGCGATGTTTGTTATTATTGAAATATATCATGATTTTGAAATACACGGAAGAAATTTCGATACTCACCGTTCTGCCTCCATTATATTCTCGAACAGTTTTCAAGTAACTGAAGTATTTGATTGTGGGAAATCCTTTGACTGAATATGCCGAACAGATCGAATTGTGCTTGGTGCAGTCAACAGCAGCTACTCCAATGCGTGGATCATCCTTGAGCGAATCGGCTGCTTTGTCAAATTCTGGTTTTGCACGTTTGCAATGTCCACACCCTTTGAAATGAAATTGATTAACCCATGAGCGGACAGTTACTTATTTTCGCATGTTTAAATATCACTTACAAGGCGCATAAAACATAACCAGAGCATGTTTCTTCTTTTTCAAATAAACTTTAAAGTTATTCTCATCTAAATGCACCACATTGGTCTCTTCTTCTTCCCATTGCTTCTCCGGTGGAGGAGGTGGTGGTGGTTCGGCGGGGTTTTTCATAAATTCGACTATTTTATCGGCATCTCGAACATTTACATCAAATTTAAATTCTCCGTTTGAAAAATATTTCACGGTGGGATAACCTTTCACATCGAATTTACTGCCGATGCCCTGTTCTTTTGTTGCATCAACGGCTGCTATAATACCCGGCAACTTTTTTTCTTTCATCAATACGGCCGCTTTCTCATACTCGGGTTTCATCCGTTTGCAATGTCCACACCCTTTGAACGAAATAGATTAACAAAATTGGTAGCTTTTTTATTTTACATGAGTTAATATATCTTACACGGAGCGTAGAACATCACCAAAGCCGATTTTTCATCAACGAGCACTGAATCAAAGTTACTGGACAACAAGTGAACGATCTCCGAATTTGGATCTGAAGCCCATTCTGCTTCTTTGGGTTTTGTTGCAGGAGGTGCATTCGGATTTTTCATGAATGAAACTATCCCGTCTTTGTTGTTTTCGCCCTCATAAACCAATTTTTGTGCCCCATTTTCAAAATAGATTGTTGTGGGAAAGCCTGTAATATTGAACATGCGACGCACTTTTGAGTTTTCCGGTCTATTTACATCCATAGCAGCCAATACATAGTCAGGCTTTAGCTCTGTAGCAGCAGCAGAATAATCTGGTTTCAACTTTTTGCAAAAGCCACACCAAGGTGCATAGAACATAATCAGAAGTGGTCGAACCTCTTTTTTCAATATTTTAACTAGCATCTAAAATGACAGCTTTCGATTAGTGTTCCAATCTGAAAAAAAATGTTGAGAATTTTTGAAAAATTCTTACATCCGAGTCGTTTAGATGTAGAACATCGGCCCCAGTCGATTTATCTTCTTCCCAGGGCAAATCACCCGTTGGATCACGCAGAAAATTAGTGAAACTCGAAACAGTTGTTTGACGATCATAGTCTTTGTGGAATTCTCCATCCTTAAAATGTTTCAGCATCACTGAATTGGGAGCGACTTTAATTTTTTTGCACAGCTTTTTTGTTTCGGCACTGTAGAATTATGACAGAAAAAGTAAAACCCCATTAAAATATTTGGATCGTATGAACAGCAACAAAAGTTATAATACCTCAAAGAGCAATCGATATGTACTGCCGTTGCTTCTCCCTTCACTGTTTGAGCTGCTTCATCTAGAGCCTTGACAGCGTTTTGAGCTTCTTTGGTGGGATTAGAGGTGAAAAGGACCAACACATTGTTCTTGGTTCGAAACAGTTTTTTCAATTCTTTATAATCACTAATATTGTCAATCAGAACACTTTTGTGTTTCACTTTTGATTGAGCTAATACCAGGTGAACCTAAAAAGGAGATAATGTCGCTGGTAAATATCCTATATGGTGGTAAATTTTGATTTAAATATCCAATGAATTACCAGAAATAAACCAAATAATATTTTCATTTTCAATCTAAATAAATACTTTAACAACTAGTTAATTTCAAGAAGTGAATCTAATAAGAATTTTTGTTCGAAAACGAAATCATTTGTTCTACGGCTTTGTCGGCTTTTTGAAGATCAGCAAACTAACTACTAACAAGCTTTGACAACAATTCTCTTAAAAAATGTTTAGAAAGCAACAACAATTTGGTGACGTTTTCAAGCCATATCGTTGAGAAGATGTGTTCACTATTTCGGATACGCTTGTCATTTGGACGTCGCAACATAGTTTACACAAAAGTTTATGCTTAACTTTCAAAATAAATGAAAAGTAATTTATAGTTCAACTTCCAAAATTATTGAAAAGTATTTAAATGTGTTTTTCTTTTTCATATTATTCGAGAAATATGTAGGAATTATTTATAAATTGAACTGAATAACAGTATATTCGGGAACGCACCCATGGATTATTGTCTAGCGATAGCAGCGCCAACATGTGTCCGGAATGAAGAATCGTTGCAAATGTCAAAATTTGAAGCCTTTTCATCCATTATCTTCCGGTTATAAGTTCTTTTTGGTAACAACACAGCAAGATGAAGTACGTGAAACAAATTGTAGTATAAGTTTTTTGAATTTATTTCAATCATCATTGCACTATTTTAATAAATTTCCATTGCGTTTGATACATTAAACACCGAAATATTGAATGAATATAAAAGATTTGGTTTCAAAATGAGTTTTCTAACAAAAAATAGTGATTTTTAAAAAGTTGTTTCTGTGACAGCCAATATCCACCGAACTGACACCAATAACATTCACTGTTCGAACTTGGAATAAAATATTAACTGTACCTTGTGTTATTTCATTACAGGATCGGTTTGTGCGCATTCAGTGGTTACAAAATCTACCCAGGCCATGGTAAAACCTTGGTCAAAGTTGATGGAAAGGTGAGTGTTTTCGGTGGATTTTTAAGGTTATGTTCCTTCTCAATCACACAGCCTGTGTATGTGTCATTTGAACATTGGAATAGTGAATGAAATAGTTTCGAAAATATTTTTTTCTAAATTGTGATTTCTGTTCGAAATTTCAGTCCTTCACTTTCCTCAACCAAAAATGCGAGCGTTCATTCTTGATGAAGAGAAACCCGCGTAAAGTAACATGGACAGTACTTTACAGACGCAAACATAAGAAGGGCATCGAAGAAGAAGCTGCCAAAAAACGTACTCGCCGTACACAAAAGTTCCAACGTGCTATTGTCGGTGCATCGTTGACCGAAATTTTGGCTAAGCGTAACATGAAACCAGAAGTTCGTAAGGCTCAACGTGAACAAGCTATCAAGTAAGTGAACAAGCTATCGTGACAAACACCATGTGTTCCACTACTTATTCATGAAACTGAAAATTAATCGCCTGCTTTCCAATTCTCCTTTGTCTAACTTTTTTAGAGCTGCTAAAGAGCAAAAGAAGGCCACACGTGCAGCCAAGAAATCCACCGCACCAGCACCAGCTAAGAAACAACAACAAAAACAAAAAGCAGCAAAGAACGTTCAAAAGGCTGCACCACGAGTCGGAGGCAAACGTTAAAGTTATTTTGCGCTTTATATGATGACTTTGAAGAAATAAACACCGAAATGAAAACACTTCAACGTTAAATGAATGGCTTTTATTTACTTTAACTACAACTCAAACGCATATCTGCCGGAAAGAAACGCTATTTGCTAAATGTTGAATTGCAGCAAATGTTCAGAAAACCAAAGTGTCTTTTGAAAAGTTAATACTGTTTATTTTTTCTATGAATAGTTCTTTGTGCATATATATTGGGATAAACGAACTCAAAGTGCTGCGTAACGAAAAAAGAACTACGGAAATTGAAATATTTCGATGACTATTTTAGCTCACATTTCTGAACGGTTGCTGTAGTTCGTCTTTTTTGAAAATTAAATAGGTTAGTGTCTATATTCTCGTATCGATTTCTACTTCGGAACGAATATGCGGTGGAATCTCATCGTAAATAGTCTTCGGGAGATGGTCGTTGCATCGGTATATGAGATCAGACCAGATAATCATTTCTTGCGAGAAACAAAACACACCTAACCGACCTCCTTTGAGTGTTGAGTCAAAGATGTTGCCTGAGTCTGCGACCATATTTTCACCTTCAAAAATTCTCAATCGTATCAGTCCAATTTTCGGGCGATGTAAAAGCAACCATCTGTAAGCAGTTTTCTCTTTCCATCCAAGATTACGCGGGTCTTTCCATAGTAATTTCACTTGATCTTTGGTATCGCCGGTATGCCACAAACTATTCCTCAACATTTGACCGGGTCCCGTGTGACTGTTTACTAATTTCAATTGAATACCCGGCTCGGCTGATGCACGGAACGGTGTAGCCTGCCAATATGTTTGTATGTTTTTCTTCCACATTACGGAATAAAATTTGCTATTACTCTGATAGCTAAATACAAATCCCACATAATCGTCATCAATCTCTGTGTCAACGAAGAATGTTCCCTCAAAATCAACACCACCAAATGCATCATAGCCGACCGCTAGACCTGGATCAGAATTTTCTGTTTGCACAATTTCGGCACCTTGGTTGTAAATTTGCCAGCGGGGATCAATTTGTGAGTCACCGACAGGATCAAGCGCAACTGTCTGGTATGTGCGAAAGTCCGTAGAGAAAATTTTTGAATTGTTCGGACAATTATCAAGGTTGTTTGGAACCCTGTCCAAATCGAAATCGTCTTCGCAAACGTCTCCGATTCCATTTTCTAGATAAGAGTAATAGAATTGAAGGTTAGTAAACATTGAAGAAAGAATCTATGCGATAACATGCATACGATTTAAATCAATCTGGTCGGGATTGTACGCAATTGGACAGTTGTCATGGACATTTAGGATGCCATCGTTGTCAGCGTCATCATCACAAGCATCTCCTCTATGTTATAAATATTGTTTTTTTTTTTCATTTTGCATCAAAATAAACCATCAACAATTCAAATATTGCAGAAATATACATACCTGCCGTCACCATCAGTATCTAATTGATCGGAGTTTGCTATTTTAGGGCAATTGTCAACCCCATACTGTATACCATCTCTATCTCGGTCTATGTTATTATCGCAAGCATCCCCTACCAAATCGTCATCTATATCCGATTGCGAATTGGGTGATAGAATGCAGTTATCACATTTATCTCCTATAGAAATTTTTACCGTTTAGTAATTTCTTTTCTTAAGTTAAATCAAGTGATAATAAATCGGCAATTCCACGAAATCAGAGAAGAGTTGTAATGTGGGGTCGCCGAACTGGCTGAAAATTGGCTTGGAGTCTTGTTTTCCATAAAAAACGAGAAAACCAAAATCTTAGGACCGTAAGTGACCCACATTTCTGGGTTCACCCAGTTTGCGAAAAATTGAAGAAATCGAAAAAAGGGTTTGCGCCAAAGGGATATTGCAACTTTTCTGACCAGAAAAAACGCCATCTAACGTTGTGCCCGTAAATTATTTTAGATGGTAGAGCTTGAACAAAAGACCGACACTATGCATAAACTTGGAAAGAGCTTGATAAACTTGATGAAATACATATATTTTATGGTCTTTGCTATACCCATATGGTTTACGCAAATTGAAATCTAACTAAGAAGTAGTAACCCACTCCCTCCAACCCCATTGGGGTCCCAAAACATGGGTTCAAAGTATAAAAAGTGAAATATCACAAAAGAGTGGGGTTTTTTTGACACGTTTTTTTTCTGAGTCAAAAGATAGATCATGTCAAGCCGCTCCAGATAGGAAAATAAAATTTCGTGTGTAACCACCATTCAGTTCGTGTACTTGGCCTTGGTAGGTGAATCATATGTCATTTTTCACCGTTTTTATGGGGAAAATGGTCGAAAATGGCCTCTTATGACATTTTGATCTGAGAAAACTGCTGCTTTTTTGTCAAAATACATGAAAATATGACCATTTGAACATCGGTTTAACTATAAATTTGGTCTGAAACCGACATTTCTTCAAAGAACAAACGAATGGTCGAAATCTGCATACAGAATCACATTTGTGGCATAGAAAACCCACCTATGATGGCCTGCAATCAGTTTATTTTCACGTATTTTTGGACCAGAAATCGATCTAGAACTATATCAACCCTGTCTGAAGGGTGTAAAAGGTCGGAAAATGGCCCTGTTCCAGCTTATGTTTTCAACTCGCAATATTAGATGCAGAAAATCACCTTTTTTACTTCAAAAATGCATTTTTCGGATTCTCATCGTTAATGGTTTTTATTCTTTAGCGAAACAAACCAAAATATACCAATTTTTGTTCCATTTTGACCTGTGTTTTAGAAATTAGAAAAGGTGATTTTCTGCATCTAATATTGCGAATTGAAAACATAAGCTGGAACAGGGCCATTTTTCGACCTTTACACCCTTCAGACAGGGTTGAGATAGTTCTAGATCAATTCCTTGTCCAAAATTACGTGGAAATAGACTCATAGCATACCACCATAGGTAATTTTTCTATGCCATAAGTTTGATTTTGTATGCAGATTTCGACCATTCGTTTGTTCTATGAAGAAATGTCGGTTTCAGACAAAATTTATAGGTAAATCGATGTTCAAATGGTCATATTTTCATGTAATTTGACGAAAAAATAGCAGTTTTTCCAGTCAAAACATCGTATCAGGTCATTTTCGACCATTTTTTCCACAAAAAGGCTGAAAAATAAGATATGATCTACTTTCCGAGGCCAAATACACAAAATCGGCTGGAATTTACACGAAATTTTATTTGCTTATCTGAAGCGGCGCGACATAAGCGCAAAAAAAACAAAAAATCGCCGTTTGAGATATTTCACTTTTTATACTTTGAACCCATTTTCCGGGGTCAAAGAGGATAAGTTACTGGGCGGCTTTTGTAGCCTCATCGATTCCCTTTCCAACGGTACCAGTATTTTGGCAATGTGTCAACTACTTCTTAGTTAGTTTTCAATTGCCGCAGCCCCATTTTCTTTCGATTTTTTTTTTTTTCAATTTTTCGAAAAATTCACACTGGATGAACTCAGAAATGTGGGCCACTTACAGGCCTAAGATTTTGGTTTTCTCATTTTCTACCGAAATCAAGACTCCATGCAAATTTTCAGCCAATTCGGAGCGGGTCGATCCAATTCTTGGTCGATTTCGTGTGAATGGTCGTGATAATATATCGCAAATACCTATTCCATCACCATCCTGGTCAGTCTGCAATTCGTTCGAAACATATGGGCAATTGTCATCTGCGTTCAAAATTCCGTCTCCATCTATGTCCTCATCGCACGCATCTCCTCTGTTGCGTGTTTTTTTAAATTTCATTAGTAAAAATAATGCATTCCTAATGTAAAAATATCAAATGTTATGTTTAATGCACCTTCCGTCTTGATCTTTGTCACTTTGATCGGTATTTAAAACTGTTGGACAATTGTCACATGCATCACCTGAAAAATCAGAATGAATATTAATGCATAATCCTGTAGACTGCTCCAAAAATAAAAAGTTGTCCCTCATCTCAATTCCCCGGCCAGTTTCGAAAAATATACCTCGAAAAAATAGGTTTGGCGCAAAGAACGCATATATGTACCATATAAAATCAGAGGACGCAAGCCCCATATCAATTTTTTCATGACAGCGATTTCGGAAGCCATTTAGATCGCAACATTTCGACCGATTCCATTCTTCCATCCAACTTTTGACAAAAACTGATGATGAGGTTTTGTTTGGCTTGTCAATATCTGTAACTTTTACCGAGACGTTAGCCCTTGAATCAGCATTCTGGTCTAGTTACAGTGTAAAATGACTAGAAAAATGGCAATTTTTCTGCATTTTTGAGATTTCTTGCTCTACGAGTCACCCAGGTGGGGGACTTTTGTTCAGTTTTAGACTTGTGCCGTTTAGCCAGAACCTATACAAACATTTAAGTACTTGCCAGATTGCGATTTGGATGAAATTTGGTGCGAATTTATTTACACATAAAAGAGAAATTTCGGACAAAAACTATCAAATCAAGACTATGGGCTTCGATTTGACAGATGAAAGCAAACGATTTCTGAAAAAATTTCATACAAAAATCCATAAAAAACGTAACTTTTGTTCGGGAGGTACTTTGAAAAATCAATTACAAGAGTTCTTGTCTGAGAAGACTCCCATTATTTTTGTCAAAACATAACTTTTTACCAAGACATTAATACTGAAAAGTGTATATTTGAGAAATTTTCTGAACAAAAGTAGATTTTTTTAGAGTTGAAATCGAATATGAGGCAAGAAATAGGTGAAAACATGTCTCGACTTGGTCATGTTGGCACCCAGAATGTTCGTAAAGGACCATACTATAAGTTTGAGGACAGCATAGGTAGAAATCGTTTTTTTCTGATTTTATATGGTACCCATATGCGCCAAACCCATTTCTTCGCGCCAAACCTATTTTTTCGAGGTATATTTTTCCAAACTGGCCGGGGAATTGGGATGACGGACAACTTTTTATTTTTTGAGCAGTCTAATAATCCTAGTTCTTCAAACGAATTCATTGACTGACCATGTTTATCTCCCCCCTCTTGTTCCGAATCGAGTTGATCCGGGTTGAATAATAAATTACAATTCTTCAAAAATTAAAATAAATTAGTATTTACATTGATTTATTTAATTTATTAGTAAACTTAAAATTAAACATATAAAACTTACATCAACTTCATTCAAAATGCCATCGTTGTCAGCATCAGGATCGCCTAATGTTCAACAAAGAAATGAAATAGTAGTACGATTAAATGAAACCAGCTATTGAATACTCACATGAATCCCCGATTCCATCATGATCTGCATCTTCTTGACCTGAATTACAGTTGCACAAAATGCGATATGTCAATATCATCTTAATACCGATATTAATAAAAAGTCCCACGCGTGTTTTTTTTTAAATCTGGTACATGAGTCAAATAAGTGCCAGACGATAGTTTAGGCCGCCCTGAGTTCATAATGGGCCATGGTTTTGGGTAAAGGTGCTTCAGCCGGTAATTAACGACTTTAGGCGTTTTTGCATTTCAGGAGGGGTTGAAATGGGTAAAATTCGTGTAAAATGAGGAAAAATAGTCAATTTTTACCCTTGAGTGACATTTACAACTTTTGAAAACATATGAATGTCAGATTTTAGTTGCTGGCGAGCCCAGATAAACCTCATATTTCGTTTTGATAAGTTGGTGGGGTGGATTCAGTGGAAAAAAAATGTTTTTCAATTTTTTTGTCAGTGGTGTTAGAAAAATGGTTCAATTCTTTACGATGTTTTTGTTTTCGACAACTACCATTTTTTCGTCAAAAAAAATGGCTCCTTGAACACTTGAACACCGGTTTTCCTACAAATTTGTTCTAAAATCGACATTTCTTCATAAAACTATCGATTGATTGAAAGATTGATACAAAATTACATTTATGGTAAAGAAAACCCTTGAACAATAACATAGGTTCTGACATAGTCTGATCTCGTTGATCCTGACCCCCCCTGGCAAAATTTGACCCCCAACGTTTTTTTCGGACCCATTGCCATTTTCGGACCTTTTTTTTGCTCCTCAATTTTGCTGCGAAGGAAACATTAACACTAGATAGAATGGATTTTTTTACTCATCATTGATTATGAAAATGATTTTACACTAGATAGAATCGATTTTCGAAAGTGAGGACCTTTTTTTTGCTCCTCAATTTTGCTGCGAAGGAAACATTAACACTAGTTAGAATGGATTGATTATGAAAATGATTTGACACTAGATAGAATTGATTTTTTTGACCCCCAAAGGAATTTTTGGTTTGACCCCCCCTGAAATTTTTGGTGTCAGAACCTATGTACAATGACCTGCTATGGGTCTATAATATAGACTCTATATCCACTCAATTTTTGATGAAAAATCGTTTCAAAGTTGCATTTGTTAGAGTTTTGTATGGTTTTAGTGTCGAAATATACGATTATTTCAAACCAAATGAGCGAATGACGCGCATGAGTTTCGGTTCCATGGCTAAATCTTCCCATAGAGCCAAAAATTTCTGCTTTTGCTACCTTTGAACTTCTAATATGATCCCTTACGATCATTTTGAGTACCGACATGACCAAGTCTATTCATTCTCTATCTATGTCATTTTTCACGAGTTTTACCCATTTCAACCCATTTTCTGAAACATATTGTAGCTGTGAGAGTATACAATCGCTTCTGCGTGATCGTTTGAACAAACTACTTCTTGAATAGATAGGTAAAAAACCGATAATTACCGGAGTATTGGTTTAAAAAAAAGTTTCATCAAGAAATTCGTCCCTCCTGAAATGCAGAAACGCTCAAAGTCGTTAAACTGAGAAAAGGCTGGAAGGAAATATTCCAACCCTGCGTTGTAAATGTTGTCATTGCAGACGATTTTGTGAATTGTCCAACCATGGTTGGAATTTGACAAGTGCGACAATGCTATCAATATTCCAACCATGGTTGGACAATTCACAAAATCATCTGCAATGACAACATTTACAACGCAGGGTTGGAATATTTCCTTCCAGCCTTTTCTCAGTCTAATTACCGGCCGAAGCACCTTTACCCAAAACCATGGCCCATTATGAACTCAGGGCGGCCCAAACTATCGCCTGGCACTTATTCGGCTCATGTGCCAAATTGAAAAAAACTCGCGTCGGACTGTGTAATATTTTGATAGTGAGATAAAATCTTGATACCAGTATTAGTATTAAAATATTTTGATATCAATGCACAACTGTAACCTGAATTTGGGATGTAGAGGCAATTGTCTGCTTTACAACGCATATTATCACCGGTGCAATTTAAGCTGTGGTCTGGCCATCCATCTAAATCACTGTCGGGTGCGCACATTGTACCATCCCCTCCAAATCCAATTTTACAAACACACTGGAACTGTTCAAACCGATATAATTATAAAAATTAGCATGTTCTTTGTTCATGATCACATCGGAGCTTACACGTAAACCGCCAATATGCTTACAAAAAGCATTTTTATCGCATATAATTCCATCGGGACAAATATTTGGCATAGCATCACAACCAGAACTGATGTTGGCTTTGATAAAACCTAAGAGAAAAAAATTATTATATTTTCATTTCACCCACGAAGTTAGAATGTGTATACCTTCATTACAATGGCATGAATATGATCCCAAAGTGTTCTCACAAAATGAATTATATCCACAATTCGCGAGACCAAGTCTACACTCGTCGATATCTAAAGTATCATAGTAAAATGGTATTTTCGATTATTGAAGAAATCGAAATGAAAACCGATTTTTCTGGAACATTCTGAATATGTATCACTATAGCTGACCTGTGCAAATTTGATTATCGTAATCTTCCGTAATTGACTGTGCATAGTATCCATTGGCGTGCACTCCATCGAAGCCATCAGGGCAAGGTTCACATCGAAAACCAGGAGCTTCATTGACACATTTTGCTAACGGATCGCAGGGATTGTGGTGAATACACTAACGATTTAGGGGAAAGATTTTAATATTTTTTATTTGACTCGAAATTCGAATACGACGTTGCTTAATACCTCATCAATATCTTCGCAAAATGTTCGATTACTATTCATTTTGAAACCCAATGGGCATGACGCGCATCTATAAAATGGTGGGATGGAAATGGTCGTGCATTCAGCATCTGTTTGAAAAAAAAATAAATAAATCGACAATGTGCAGTTGAAAACATGGAGTAATCCTCTCTATGGTCTATATATCCAAGAGTTCAAAACGGTATATTTTTTCAGACAAAAGTCTGTTTATTAGTTTTCAATTCTCCAAGGCTAAACAGCTGAATACACCACAATTTCTTAGATATTATTTACATGTCAACTATTTTGAAACTCCATGTGTAAAGTGTTAGTAAGTTTTCATTTAGTGAGGTAGAGATTTAAAATAAAAACGATTTCGCATACGATTTGTTATATCAAAAATTTATTGTCTTTTCCATTTTCGTATCGAATTAATTAAGTACACAAGTAAAATATAATAAGTTTAGTTGGTCGTAGAAAGAAACCAAACATAAGCAGCTGATAAATTTTTGATATTTTTAAATTATTTAATAACCCGTGTGGAAATAAAGTGACTGACAGTCACTTTTAGTTATTCTTTCATCCAGTCGTCCAATTTCGGACTTTTTGGCTACTATATGACTATAACTGAAGTTGACTACAGTCGAATATTTTGTTTGAGATAATCACTTTTAGTCAGTGATAGTCAGCCAAAAAGTCCGAAATTAGGCGGCTGGCTAGTCAGTCACAAATTTTTCACACGGGAATGGAGTCAATTATGTTTTCCGCAATTGAACCCATCATCGTCATCATCATCAAACATGTTATGGATTTTAGTTTTTTTCGACATGCATTTGTTCGTAATTTCACCACACCAAAAAGATCAACACAATCAAATTGATTTTTAACAAATGTTATTTTGAGAGCATTTACCTCGCACTTAATGTTAACGGATAATTCAGAGAAAAAAGTATTAACGAAAACTTTGAGCAAAATTAGCGACACAATTAAATGCATCTAAGGATTTTTCTAGTCTTTTCTAAAGTAGGAATTATTTCACAAAATTGTACAATTGTTTTTGTTGCAATGGTTTTTATCCATATATGTTTCCTATCCTAATCATATACTGAAAAGTGAACGATTTTTTTTTTCAACAACATATTAAGAAAATTAGCCAACACGTTCCGTTACATACTAATGTGCAAAATCATTCAAATAGAGTAGCTGCCTTAGATTTGCCCATTTAAGTTGCGATCAATTTCAAAATTTATGTATAATTTAAAGGCCAGATTGTATGAAATAATGCTCTAAACATTTGAATCTCTCTAAACATCTTTCAGGAATTTAATAAAGTGTAGCGGATGAGGTCATTTTGCGAGATGAAGAATACTCGGATTTTTGATGGCTGTGATACAAAGACTGCAAAGTTTGTCCTGAAGCAACGAAATCGGAACCTGTTGAATATTTCGAGAGAAGAAAAATTGATACTTGATATGATGGTCGTTTCATTTGAATGTTACTGCAAACATGGAAATGTGAATTATCTTTCGACTGGAACAATATGTACATGACGATTGTGATGATGAAAGATTTAGTACACCTGATTGGTTTTCGGCGATATATATGTGGCTGAGCCCGTTACAAAAATGAATAAGTATAAAATAAATTTTATTAAATGAAAATACAGAATAATTGCATATATAAAATAATAAATTGCTTTGGATGCACAACAGAACGAGAAGAAAAGTGTTATTTGAACGTTATTGCAGTGAAAATGTTAAAGTTAGAAGTCTGAGTGAAGCCTGTGAATTGATTTTGAAGAAGAGCAAACTACTGAGGCACAAATTGTACTACCTGTTGGGCATGGGTCACTCTGACATGCATTTAATAGTACACAGTGGGTACCATCGCCCGAATAACCCGACGGACATGCTCCACATTGTGCACCTTCTACCGTGTCGAAGCAGTCGACATCGCTGTTATAAGAGGAATGTAAGAAATTTTAACATAAACTCGGTATAAATATCTTGAAGAGTTCAACTCACGAGAAGCAAGGACGATCATTACAAGTAACTCCTGGCTTACATGACTTTCCGTCGCCAACGTAACCTTAAACGATTCAAACAAGATTTTCACGTTGGCATTTTTTTCAAAAAATTTCAACAGGAATTTCCCTTTACCTGAGGGACATCGACCGCATCGCACTCCATTTGATGAATCATGGCACTGTACGCCTTCATAGCACGGATTCGAATTGTCGCAATTCTCTTTAGTTATCAATGGTGTTGTTTCCCGGCATCCAGCACAGTTTTCAATCAAACGACGCAAATGATTTATTTCGTTGGTTTGATGTGCAACTTCTTCTCGTAATAGCTTCACAAGTGCTAATAGGTCTTGAATTGCCTTTGACATAATGTCTATTGACGGAAATATGCAACGTAAAAAATTTTCGATGTTATTGAACACCAATACAAATGAAAACCACTGCACTATTATAATTTCCCAATAAAATTCAAACACATACCGTCACAATCGCCATGCAAAATGGGGATATCACCACGTCGCAATTCACGAGGTTTCTCTTCAATTGCATCGTTATATCGATCATTAGCCGATTGATACCAGTTTCGAATGTCACGTTTCTTATTTCGCTCTGAAAATCAATATTTATGCCGATTTATAGTACATGTAACGGAAAAGTTTTCTAAGCCTTACCTCGATCGACTTGCTTGTTTCTATTGTAACGCTTTCCGTTGTGTTTGTGTGCGCCTTTCTGACAGTTGGCACGATTAAATGCAGACTGAATGGTTGTGTCAAAATGCAATGGATATTTACGTTCCCGGAATAATTTCAAAATTGGTTCATCCATTTGTAAATACAGTTTACTTAAACCAATATCGATATCCACTTTTGCGGACTCATTGCAATCAACGTACAACGTAACAGTGTTTTCGTGGAAATGAAATGCCAGGGATCGAATTATCGATGTTTCATTTATGTTAGGGACATTGAAATGCTTCGAATGAATAATCGAGTTTGATGCAACATCTAAAGTTACCCTCATCTGTTTTCGGTCCAAGAAGAATGAGAATTTGTGTTTCAAAGATGGAAAATCAATCATGAACAGGGCCTCAACAGCAATTTGAAACTTTCTTCGAGGTCTATTATCGGTAAAAAGTCAATGAAGTCAATTAACTATCAATTGTCGAATGCTTTTCGTTGATAAAATGACCTACCTAATATGCCGCATTGAAACCACAAAATCATCTTTAATAAATTGTTCTAATTCAGTTGATGAAGCTGAAAAATTGATATTTGTTATTAAGTTAAATTTAATTGTCGACATGACTTTCAATGAATCACTTATGGACATAAGAAAATATTGAATTAAAAAATTACAATATAAAAATTGTTCAAGTATAGTTCAAAGCTATCAACAACGAAGAATTTCGATTTTGCATAATTAGACTCAATATAATCATTACCTGAATCTAGTGATAGGGCATGATTCAGATGTATGACCGACAGAAACAGGATAAATACACTTAAAAGTATTCGCATGTTTGCCAAATATCTCCACATTTCTGAAATGAGAAAGAAAATCATTTGTATGTCATTTGAGATATTCAAATGTTGAGTTTTTTCTTTACAATAAAATTGCTTTCTTTAGACAAATGCTTCAATGTTTGCAGATTTGTCGATGGGAATTTTTCAAATCGGTATTTAAAGCTTCGAACTATCTGAATTTTACCCGAATATGAACATGATAGATATTCTATTTATCCCTTTGTATCTATCACAAATCAGTGAAAGAGTTTTAAGAACATTTTCACACCTAAAAGTACTGTGTTAGTGCATAGTGATAAAGTTCAACGATCTTTATTGAAATGATGAATCAATGAATCAAGATGAATTAATAATATCGATCTTAAAACTTCTTACTAAACGAATATGAATTTGCAGTTACATCGAATGTGAAACGCTTTGAATATATATTCGATCTCATAGTTGAACATGTAAAATGCCCTTTCGATTTTTGAATTCATTAATTTTACGATCGTTCTGCTCTGGTTCTATCTAGCACCGCGACATAACATTTAATTTTCGTCGTATCTTTGATGCTCAATGTAAAAGAGAAAACGAAAAAGTGTATAATACTACAACACTTGTTCGTGACCACTCCCTCGACCCGAAAACATTTTTTATTTTTAAATTTTATTCATAGCTTATTTATGAGAGTAAAAATCTATGTTGTTTTGATTCATGAACTTCAGAAGATTTAAATGAATCGGAACACAGAATTGAGAGGTGCATTTCAGTTTTGAAGAAGAAGAAAAAAACGCACATTTCTTCTTCTCATTTCTTTGCTGTTGCTGTTGCTAGCGTTTCTCTGCTATGTGTCTATAATCATATTATCATTAACATAATGTTAAACATAAATCTTACAGTTAAATGGAATTCAAAATATTTATCTCGACCGGTAGAGTTTTTGTGAGAATGAATGACACTTTTTCGGGTACTCCACACCAACTTTAAGCGTTAATAAATTGTTTTTATCTATAATGTTTGAAATGTTTCGCGTGTTGAAATGCTTTGATTGTAATTTATAAGCGACTCGGCCATACCGATTTATTTTCTTCGCTTCTCCTTCGCTTTGTGGTTTTCTACTTAAGAGACGCTGCTCAAGAAATGATCATTTCTTCATACTGAAATCAAACCTTGTCTTTATTCAATGCTCTTGGATATTGTTTCTTTGATATTTTTAAGGACCCTCCTTGTGGGCCACCATGCTATGGTTTGATGGCAAAACCAAATATTTTTTTGTCCAGTGTGTATGACAGAATTAGATACAGTTCATAAAAACTAACAAATGGATTAGAGAAGCGATCACAAGAGGTATTAATAAAAAAAACGAGCTGTTTTTTTTTCATCTCGCCGCATTTGACAACATTTATCTTTTACTTTCATAGTTTTTATTGGCCACACTCATGTATTGTGTGAGTAAAAAAAATTCCGGCTTCGGCTGTGGAATATAATAAAACTGAAATCATTGGTGCCAATCATTGTCTTATCACATAAAAATCATCTTGGATTTGTTTGTAATTGACAGCTTCACATGACTGCGGCAAACAAAATCAATGTAAAATGCACGAAATAATTTTTATTGGAGGTGGCGTTGCCAAGGTATCGTACGAGACGTATTCTATTGTTTCGTGTTGTTCACTAGAAATACATTGTTTGAAATGTCTAATTTATAGATTTAACACCGTAGACCTGAATGCAACAAAGGATCGTGCTGTTTTGTTCTTTTCACTCAAATATTATGTATGCCGGCGTCAAAGATTCAGGTATATTTGGACGAGAATTTTAATTTGGTCGATCTCAAGTCTAAATATTATAAATCCTGTCACATTTATTTTGGAATCCGACTCAGACCGAGTGGTATTTATTTCCATAGGTATGTCAGCTAAACGCTATAATTGGTAAAACCAGATGGAAATCAGAACAAGGCCGACTTTGAAAATCAATTGAAACTGGATTAAATCGAAGAATGACACTTCCTACACTGGTTCATGCACTGTCACTAAAATAATAATTATAATTAAGATTGTGTAGGCTGCTTTGCAGTTCTCATTTGTTACGCTCAAGAATTGTTTGAGCTGAAATATGTTTGTTGGAACGAAACGTTTTTTGAAACCAAAAAACCAATAACGTGCAAAACAGTTATTTATATTTTCAAGCGAAGAAAGTATTGCTTCGAGGTTTAAATATCAATATTTAATCATTTGGATAATGAGCAAATATTTGGCCAATTAGGAGATTGTGTTCGCTTCCACAACATAACATAATAAAGTTTACATGTTCAAAAAGATGCATAATTATACACACAAGTTACGTTTTTTTTGTGAATATTAACCATGAGTCCCAAATATGTATTGTTTATATTTGGACAACTTCTTTTGTTCATTAACTGAAGCTATATTTGTTTAGATTGATTGATTGATCGATTGAGAAATTTGAATTAAAATATTTTCAATTCTCTTAAGATATTCGTTACATCAATTTTTCACGTATAATGTTCTGGAATTTTTTTGTACCATTTCCATATTTGTCAATCAAATGTTTACGAAGAAAATAAAAGAACAAATTTATTATTATTTTCTATTATATTCTATATGAGCAGTATTGCGATTCGTCTGAAAATCTTTTTATCGTGATATATGCAAATCTTCATTGTTCGAGAAAATGCAAAGTTGGAATTTTTAGTAGCCATTAGAAGATCTTAACTAACATCATATGCGTATATTCGGAGACTGTTAGATAGTGGATAGCGAGGCTTAACTTTTTTTTCTGTTGTCTCTCGTCATTGGCCATTGACTATTGTTTAAGTTTCGTCCGATGCTTATTCAGAAAATGAATAACAGGTACTATTGACGACACTTTGACTCAAAAAACTATTAAATATGTTGTCACTGAATAAATTTCATTTTTAGTGAACGATTTTAGCAATTCGATTATGATTCAGATAGCGTTGTTAAAAGGCAAAAAATACCATATAGATAACATTTGGAGATTGTATGACACACTAACTATATGTAGTAGCTAAGTTGTTGATGACCGTATTTGAAGCGCTTTTATGAATATATCAATTCAAAATAACAGTGGCTACAAGATTTGCACATGTAAAGCATAGCCCGAAAGTTTAAAAATCAATAATTTCCATGTAAATCTATCGAAATTCGTTGACGGTATAAAAAAATATACATATGGGGTGGCGCTACATTTAATTTTCGCCCCATATGGCCAATGTCTATGGATTTAAAACCAAACGAAATACTGATTCATTGAAACAGCGGAGTGAAGTCTTTCTTATGAGTGCCTATACACAAACGTAGATCAGTTCGAATGGAAACAAGATTTTCAATTTGAAATATAAATTAACAGCAGCCGCGACGTATATGCATGCCTCTTTGAATGAGTGTGCGAATGGAACTTAAAAAGGTTGAGCGTTGAAGTTTTACAGATTGCACACAAAGCACAAGTAAAAAAAAATCAGGTTTTTTTCCTACACGAAATAAAACTTATTGTAAACCACCAGAATAGGTCCAAATATTGATTGCATTCAAGTAATTGATGACTTAAAAACTCAAGTCAATGTACAATTGAATTGGATCAATGAATTGAAAATGTTTTACTTCAAAAACTTGACAAATATCCACAGGATGATTGAAACCAAATTCGCACGTAATTTCATTACCAAAAACGACAAATTAACGGAAATTGTTCATTTTAAAGTAGAAATTTTATTTTGATTCCAGAGTACGCATATCCAATGTACCTTTCCTTTGCGTTGTAAGTTTTGTTAATCCAATAATAATGATCTTCTTTAATTCGTATTCACTTTTTCAATATTTTAAGTTTTGTTTATACATCATTTTTCCAAAAAAAGAAGAAGATAAAAACAGTCAATTTTTTGGAATTCCAAGTAAGCACTAAAATTCGTAAACACCGTCAATTTTAATTAACAGGAAGCATATACAAAGATTACAAAATGATTTATAACCGTCTTTGGAATTTCCGAAAAATCAAATAAAAAAAACTGTTTAACAGTTTTATTCCGAAACTCGTGCTCTGATTTGATCTTCCTCCAACGTTTTAACGCTTCGACTCGCGGTTTAACACTGAATTCATACGTCTCTGTTCGGATCTGTTTACATCTTAAACACACAAAACGTGATGTTAATTTACTCTTGTGTGCTATGTTGCTGTTGAAGTTTCAACACCTTATATCATAGTAAACAGTCACACAGACACGTTTGTCTCTTGGTGTAAGCCATACCAATTGGCGTGCATGCATTCAACGCATTGTGTATATGAAAACAATCTAATGAATGGTGTGGAGAGCAGAGAATTAAGAATATTGCGTTCGACCGAGAAAAAAAATTCACTAAGCGCAGTGTATAGGAGATAATTTGCCGATCACATGTATCGTCTAGGTAAAAAAGAAACGGAAAAAATATATCAATGTGAATAAAACATCCTACGCATCGCGACCGATCTTTTTCTTTCTTTTAAATTGTTCGTTTCTTTTATTCGTTCGTTTTTTTTTTCGTATGTATCTGCACACGCTTAGTTGTATTCAAATGAATGTTTTCATATATATGTATATATTGTGGCTTTCTCGTTCCCTCTCTCAAAAATGTTTATTCAATGATCTTAATTGAGATGAATCATGATATTGTTGTGAGGTTTTCGATATCGAAGCGGCTCCTTACTACAGTACTATTTTGTATAAACAATGGAGGCGAAATTATATATTATTGAATCATAAAAAATTATGCGTTTTTATTCAAACACATTCAAATCAAATTGTTAAGACTTTTTTTTAAATATAAGTTGATATTTTCTTTGGAACTAAGCACAAATTTTGGATAAAAACTATATGAAGATAGCCTACGGAGACTGTAAAAGAATACGTTTGACTAAAATATAAACATGACAAAGAACACCACGAAAACGAAAGGAATATTGGCAAACACTTTCTGGCTGTGGTTTCATGCCTTCCCTATACAAAGCAAACAATTGAGCTACAATGATTGTAAATTCTTTGCGCCCACGTGTTTTCAGCATAAACTGTCTGAGGCTGCTTGCGATATTCTGCTTTCTCATTATAGCAATAATAATAATGAAATTGACGCAAAAGCACAGTCCTTTTGGAAAACATGCAGTATTCCGTTCGAAAAGATTTGTGACTATGAAATTTGTAATCAGATTTTTTCTACAAATCTACAGAAATTGTAGATGATTATAAAATTACCAGACTAAAATTATGAATCTGTATAAGATCAGGATTTCGTTATGTTTCATTCCTGCAAAAACATTTTTCAAATAAAGTGAGAATGAGACTGAAGCATAGAGATGAGTAGTGAATAAAATTGAAAAGATAATAAAATGGAAACATGATTCATGTTTCTCTTCAATCACTATCACAGATGTATTGGAATCAATAAAATATAGAACGCGCTAGTAACATGTTTAGTCTTGTCGGCTGCTTTGATACAAATTATGAAATTGAAGATGCAAGTACCCATTTCCACTATTTTAATGGGCATTGAGTTGTATTGAATAAGGCTAAGGCATTTAGTGTAAAAAACTGTTGATTCTATGGAATGGCTATCAATTTAAGCAACCTTTCGTTTTTTCCTCTGAAGTTTCTTTTTTTTCCCTCTTTTTATGACATGCCAACAATTGTTATTTTCTGGCCATAAGTATATTCAGCTTTATTGAATCAATATGTGACATATCACTCCAATTAATCAAACATACCCGTTGTACCGATTCGTTTACTGTCCTTTAGCACCAAATACACATGTGGAAAATACATATATACTGAATGTATGTTGGAGATAAGATGTAAGAGTTCATATTATATTTCGAAACTCAATAAGAATAAATTTCTATCAACATAAATAATAACAAAATTGCGCAACCATTTCTCAAGCGATTTCGAAATAATTGAGATACGTTACAGTATTTGAGCATATGACTTGAATTCTTTATTAGAATAGAATAAACGTAATCCTAAACGAAGGTTGTGCCTTTCTCAAATGATATTGTTGGAAAAAGTAAACAAGAAAGCAGAAAGCATAGAGTCGAAAGCGCAAAAAGTTGAACAATTAGTTTTATTCTCTTGCATATTCGATATTTATTTATGGTTTGCAATATTTATTCGAAATTGCTCCTTTCATCGATGACATGTGACAAATGTCCAGTGTATTGTTCACGATGATTCAATTGAAATGGTCATTTTCTTCAAATGATATTTTCAACGCATTGACCTTACGAGAGCAAATTTTCATTTTCTAAACTGTATTAACTGAATTTCCAATTGGGTTGTTTGTACAAAGATTAAAATGATTTTAGCGCATTTTTTCGGTTCTAAATTACTTACATTAAATTTTCCCTATTTCGTTCAGTTCGCATTTTCCATGTGCTACGATACTCGTGTTCATGTTGAACTCACCAAACTACGCAGAATCAAGCGTTCGACTTGGTGAACATTGTACGGTGGCAGAGCGAGTGTTTTGCTTGTAGATGTTATAGTGATTACGAATATTTTCCAATTCGGAAAAACAGTATAAATTGAAGCTGAACCGAAGAAAATCATTTCTATATGTACGAAGATCTCAACCTTCAATGTTTATTAAATCACGGCGTGTTAAAACTTAAACACTGTCCTGAATTTGTGTGGAAACAAATCACTTAGTCAAACACAGTTTACTTGTTCAAGTTTAAAAAAAAATGTTTTTTTTTATGTTAATAAATTTCCCGCAATGTATCAACAGCATAACACCGGAATTGGAAGGTAGAGATGCCATGATCTCTGTTGTTTTTAATTCTAACTAACAGATCATTTGTATAGTTTTTTTTTACCTTGAAAATAAAAGGAATATTTACATTACCTCATGTTATCGTGCAAGTGATTCAGTCAATCATCGATTATTACCGAAATTGTTCCAATAAAGAAAAATGGTTAATTTTATTTTATTGTAAATAAATCAGAAAAACGTTCCAGCGAAATTTCAACATCGAATAGTATGAAAATGGCTTGTGTGGACATGTTTTCTAATAAGTAAATGAAAAAACATGAAGAAAATGATCACATTTGTATGTTAAAATTCCATTAAAAATACAGAATTTAATCAGAGCTCATTTAATATTTACACTTGAATGATTAATACCTCATTAGTGAAGAAAACCCCAAGTTTATCGCAGTTGGCTTTTAATCGGTCGGGATGCATTTGCCATTACTTTTTTTTGGCGATTCAGACAAACAAGATGATGTGAAATGACATGAAGAAAAAAATTTGGTCTATGATCGATAGTCACTGGTACATTGTGTTTCTTTTTTTATTATCTATTGCTACTTGTTTTCGTTCTTTATAGACATACGTCTAATACAGCGACACATTATGACATGCTGTGTCTGTGCCATTCAGTGTGATTCAATAAGTGTTTACTGAACCTCGTAATATGTTTTGGACTGCCCAATGCCCATGCTCTCACTCTGTACATCAATTGTGTGAACGAAGTGTGATTAATTAACATTTTTATACATACAATTGCGATTCCGGGTTTACACATAGCATGTATAATGTATATAGTATATATTGAATGATTTTTTCAAGAAAAATTAAAAATTAAAGGAGTTTGAAACTAGCTCCGTGACGCCAGCCCCGCCCGGAATTTTTTTTCAAGAAATTATAAATCTGAGCCCGCTATCGTGTTCTACGCAATTTGTGCTAATTATTGCTCGCTCCCCAGAAACTGGTGACGAGCACAAATTCGACAAAAATTGACAATATGAATTTTTCGTAGATTTGAGGGTTTTGCGCCGACAATCAATTCCAAGTGAAACTTTCAACATTTTCATGATCTGAGGGTTGATAATGAAAGGTCTTGACGTCCACTAATTTTTGCCGTCGACTACACAATTCGTGCTCTCACCGAGCATTCGTGCGAGCACAAATTCAACAAAAATCGAAAAAAAATGTATGAAAATCGATATCACAATGCAACAAAGTTCATCAGCACCACCCGGGAATAATGCTGGTAAACCATAATATGCTATGATTAGTGCTCGAATGGTGCTGGCAAATACCACTTCCGGATCGCACAAATCTTGTCTGGTGGCTGAGTACCAATCGTCAAAATTTTTGAAAAAGTAGATTTTTGGTACATTCCTATGGCAAGTAATACATGAAATCGAATTTTTTTCTCGTATTAATGTAGCTCTATGACTCCTGTTCGGAAAAGTGAATCACTGTTTTACAATTGAGTCATGAAGTGAGTCACAATATGAGTCATAATCAAAGTCATTAATTTGTCCAAAGTGAGTCAAACTTGATGTGACTGTCTCTTTATGAGTCATAAGAAATAAATCCATTTTAGAGGCAGTGAGTCAGTCGAGTCAAAGAATCAGAATTGATATGACTCATTGAATGCGTGAGTGTGTCATGATTATGACTTTCTGTTTTACGCACCAATACTGTATGTAGATTTTTCATGACTTTCCAATACACTCACGCATTCAATGAGTGCTGATGAACTTTGTTGCATTGTGATATCGATTTTCATACATTTTTTTTCGATTTTTGTTGAATTTGTGCTCGCACGAATGCTCGGTTTTGTGTAGTCGACGGAAAAAATTAGAGGACGTCAAGACCTTTCATTATCAACCCTCAGATCATGAAAATGTTGAAAATTTCACTTGGAATTGATTGTCGGCGCAAAACCCTCAAATCTACGAAAAATTCATTTTGTCAATTTTTGTCGAATTTGTGCTCGTCACCAGATTCTGGGGAGCGAGCAATAATTAGCACAAATTGCGTAGAACACGATAGCGGGTTCAGATTTATAATTTCTTGAAAAAAATTTCCGGGTGGGGCTGGCGTCACGGAGGTTTTGAAATTGGCGCTATATACCTAGATGACATAAATCGTATTTTTTCGAACAAATGAAAAAAAAATTGATTGTGAAAACCAATCGAATCCATAAACAAAGCTATAGTATCATTTGGAAATTATCACCATTGGATGGGTTGAGTTGAGTTGAGCTACGATTGAATAGTAAAAAAAGTAAAAGCTAATAATATATTTCGTCTACTGATTTAGGTTTTTATGTATCGATGTTATCTTTTCTTCTCCTGGCAAATTCCCTGTATTAAAGTTATGTTTTTTTAAAGTAAACTTATTTTTTTATTATTAGAAACGAGCGCGACAGTGATATGAGCAACAACACATGTAAATCTCAACGCATACAGAAATTTCGCTGATAACCTTTCGCCACAACACATTCTTTTATTTAAACGAAGAAGAAAAAAAACAGCAAAATATGTGTTCGGTATACCGTCGATCTGATCAAAGCTGTGTGATCAGTGAGCTGAATACAGAATTGGTTTAAACATCGAAAGTTTGGCTGCTTAATTGGAATTTTACCAACTACGTAGTGATTTTCAACGCTGCATACATTGTTTTGTCCTTAAAAGTGTATTTTTTTTAAAATAGCAAGTGCAAGTAAAAGAACAGTAAAACAAATGTTTTAGACATAAACCGATTGAAATTTTGCAAACAATCGATGTGGTCAGTGCTAGCAAATATTCCAAAATTTGTATTTAATAATTTCTTCAAAAGGGTATCAAATGCATTCAATGAGGTTACGAGTGTAGAGCGAAACGTGCACACATGTTCTCTATGTAGATTTTGATTTTTCTCATTTTCCACATGAACGCCTTTCATTGTTAGAACACAATCATAGTATTCTGCTATGTTCTATGTTCCTATACTATGTTCATTTGTGATGTATACATTTTATGTGCTTTTGCTCAATATTTAAGAATTATCTCGCCGTAAAAATCAAACATGGATACTGGATAGACATATATGTGGAATGAAAACCTTTATAAATGTGAAATAAATTGGATGTGTTGAAGTGGAGAGTAGCACGAAAATTTCCACTGCGAAACACGTAGTTGTCCAGTATACAGCGCGAACATCGAAACGTTTTCTGTTTCTATTTGCATGTTCAGTCTGAATCACCAATTGGAAGGAAAAGAGATTTGCATTTTTGATAAGAAAAACTACAGTTGACGGTCAATAATATTTCGAAAATTGGTCTAGTATTGCATGTAGAATTTAATAAAAAGGCTAAATAGTGTCAAACATACAATTCTGAATCTAATGCCGTATTGAATGGAGTACATGCCATTCAAACTAAATTAAATTAAATTCCATTAATGTTGTTTGTTTTTCGTGACATTATTAAATTTGAAAATCCACATTGTTTCACCAGAACAAAGTTTCATTTAATGTATAGCATTCAATATGTCCAATCTTAATATATATAATTCAATAGCAATCAGTGTTGGCATGAGATTAAGCATGATTTCATAGATATTTATGAATACAATTACATTAAAATAAGTTTTTAATAATAATATTAAAATCCTTAAAAGCAATATTGCTCAAATTAAAGAAAAATCAAATAATGGAATTGCATATCTGTCCATAGAATTCGAGAGAGGTTACAACGATACAAGTGACTACGATTACGATAACAGCACAGACATGCCGAACACCACCATCGTACAAGACCATAGGCAGTTAACGGAATGGTCTAAGGCTGGCGGTAATTCAACTGAGATGCCACTAGATATGGTATTTAATGATGGCCATCTCTTATCAATAGTTGTTTACAGGCATGTCAAAATCGTAATTGTACAATGGAAATGAAAAACAAATAATAACTCTAAGATTGAATCAAACGCATTCATTTACAGTATTCTAATGGTACTTTCGTCAATTGGGAACATCACAGTCCTGGTACTTTTGATAAAGCGCCGATTAAAGCGGCCATCTCGAATAGACACCATGCTAACACATCTGGCCATAGCGGATTTACTTGTTACATTTATCATGATGCCGCTCGAAATTGGCTGGGCATATACTGTATCATGGAGAGCAGGTGACTTTATGTGTCGGTTAGTCATCAAGCAAAGCGATTTCAAAATAATGAATAATTGTTCACTTGCTTTTTGATCTTTTAGGCTAATGAGTTTTTTGAGAACATTTGGATTGTATTTGTCAAGTTTTGTTCTGGTTTGCATATCAGTTGATAGGTAACGGTACTACTTATTTAGCTGTTTGAAACTGTTCTTATTTGTATAAACGTCTAGCTCAAATTTGTAGATATTTTGCAGTCATAAAGCCAATGAAACTGGCAGGTGTTAATAGACGTGGAAAAGTAATGCTGTGTGCAGCATGGATAACTTCATCGATTTGTAGTATGCCCCAAGCCATCATATTCCATGTAGAAAATCATCCAAATATCACACATTACCAACAATGTGTCACATACAATTTCTTTCGCGACGAGTCCCACGAAAAAATCTACTCGTTCATTGGAATGATGTTAATGTTAGTGTGTGCTATATCTCGTCTCTTGTTCTCGTCTTACACAGCTAAACACAGTTCAATAACACTTATTTTAGGTATGCTTTGCCCCTGCTATGCATCGTCTATTGCTATGCATCGATTTACATTGAGCTATATAAGAAGAGCAGGAAGTGTGTAACAGGTGGGGATGATGGTTATGAAAATGTTTTTCTTTACGTTTTTATATCAAATAAACGAAATAAATTTTGATTGAGCAGATAGGTTTCGTCGTTCAAATGACGATGTCTTGAGCCGAGCAAAGAGGAAGACACTACGAATGACGATAACTATTGTGATAGTTTTCATTGTCTCGTGGACACCATTCTATGTAATGTCAGTTTGGTACTGGTTGGACAAAGACACAGCACTCAAAGTCGATCAAAGAATACAAAAGGGTTTATTCTTATTCGCATGCACGAATTCGTGTATGAATCCTATTGTTTACGGTCTGTACAACATCCCCAGGCGTTCGAAAAATGATTTGGTAAGTAGGTAATGAAACATTTTGAAAAAATAATTGAGAATTGGTTTATGTACTTTCCACAAATGATTCACTTGTTATTTTTTGCAGCGGCACTCAAATGTCCTTCATGCTTCAATGTCAAAACCCAACGAGTCTATAGCCAACGATTTTAGTCGACGAAATAGCGTGCGGAAATCAGTTTGTGTAAAGTGAGTGTGATTAGAAATAATTTTTCAGGCAATTTCCCAAAGCGATCAGTGAATTGGGCAACACTACGCATTAGCACATGTTCTATTTCATGCGAATCAATTCAAAGTAATTTGAATAAAAAAAACCATTCTCAAATTGATTTCCAAATATCGTTTCAGTTGTGGCGAGTCAATTGATCTTTCCAACTTGAGGGTGCATAGAACGTTGTACCACTAGTGTTAAGGAATCAATGTGCTGTAAAAATCGACTTTTCACCGTTCTGTGGTTAATTTTTCACATTCTATTTTATTCGAAATATAAGTAATTCTAGCAACAAATAAAGTGTCACAATTTTGTGTGAATATTATCATCAAAATCATTGAATTTAAATGTTTCACTCAAACATTTTTAAAATATCGAAAAATTATTGTGTCGAAATATCTAAGATTTCGGAACATATTTTTTCAAATGCAGACTTTTGATTGGTCTTATGACACTCTTGCGCTCTTCTCTATGTCTCTTTAAATCATTTTCTCGCTGCTTATTGTATTTCGATTTCTTTCCAATGGTAAACGCCATTTGTGTGCTTCCCAAGCGATTACTATTCACCGGTTGCTCGATGCCGCTAGTGTTCTGCAAACGATCACCCAAACTTTTTCTGAAACCGAAGGAAAACACAGCAAACTTAGTAGGCAAATATGCATCGACACAAGATTAATTTGATAGACTTACTTGTTGGCCTTAGTTGTTATGTTCTTCACCTTAAACTCAATGTTTTTACCATTTCCATTTGTTGAACTTGACTGTCCAAGTGTCGTTGCTGGCTCGTCGTCATTTTCATTTTCAGCACTGTTGTCATCTTCTTCAAGTGATTTGAATTTTTGATCAATTCGAATTTGACGGTATGTTTTCTTTAGATTTTTCTCCCATGTGCGATCATCATCATCGGAGCTCTCCATTTCCTCGTCTTCAGGCTCTTCTGAGAACAGGTCATCATCAGAACTCTTTGCTTTCTCATCCTCATCCATGAACGGCATCGCGCTTTCCACCTTTCGTTTGAGCTCTCTTACTTTACCCTTTTGCAATCGGCTCAGCACTGGCGTTAACATTTTATATTCGTCCGCATTTTTATCTACTTCAAATTCAGGATTGCTGAAGAGTGCCTTGAACCGGTCATCTTTCAACAAATTGGCAGACTTCTTTCGTCCGTTATTTTCATTGTCATCTATGTATTTCAAAGCCAACTCTTGATTAACAGCAGGTAAGTCGGATTTGATCTTGAGGCGAGCGGGTCGAGAGGCCTCAATTTGCTGGCGAATCTTCTCTTTTCTGTATTTTTCAAAGGCGAATGGCTCAATTGCTGAGCGAGCCTTGTTGTAAAGACGAATATCAACGAAGAATCTGCAAGAAAACAACATTTCAACTTTTTTTTTTTAAATAATTCCCAAGGATATCAATACCAATCGAAATGAATTGAAAATAATTACCCGTGCATGTATGCCCGAAGCAAATTCGTTCCTTCCAAATGCTCGAGCCCAAGTTCGATCAGCTCTTGTTTCGTAACAAATTTGTAATCATCATATATGTTCTGAATATTTTCCGACTCAATTTCCTCGGTGAGGTTATCCAAGAATGAGCACCAACGAGGAGCGGGGCCCATCAATGGAATATAATATGTGAGCATTTTGACATCATCTTGAGCGAAAAATACCAGACCCGTATTTGATATCGTTGTGAAATCATTGAAGCTGGTGTCTGATTCGATATATGCAATTTGTTTACCCGACGTCTCGTTCCACACTTTGAATATAGCTGTGTCCATCGAATAAATGGCATTTTGTGATGGATTGAAGGCAATTTGTTTGATTGGAAATTGATTCAAGTGATCCTTTACAATCATGGGCTGATTAGCGCGTATATCAAAAACTAGCACATGACCCGAATGTGTGCCGACACCCAATTGTAAGCTATCCTTGAACTTCATCGCTGATATGGATGGGAATGTTTTAAATTTTGATACATTCATTGCAACATCTAATACACCAACTCTATTCTTATCACGTGGATCCCATGCTTCGACTGTTCCCTCTTGGGTTCCAAAGCAAATCAAGTGATGATCGGGATTCACCTCACAACGATTCACTGAGCTAGTTGACTGTGATTTCAAGGACTGCAAGAACTGCCCACGTTCCAAATTCAGTCGATAAATTTCACTTGATGCGCCGACAACAAATAAATCGCATGACGGAGCATGATATTTCATGTCGTAACCAAATCTTGGTATACGCAATCTATAATGTCGACCGTGCGCAGCATGAAATTCAACGTATCGATCGTTTTGTAGAAATACCATTTTACTGTAGTCATCACTGAGAACCTCTGTGCACACGACTTCCGAATCAAAACATCGTTCAAATTTGACCGATAGATTGTTCACTTCGAAGCACGTCACTCTCGGCTTATACGTTCCAGTCGCAATGATGAACTGATTGTCCGGGGACATTCGAATTGATTGGCAGGCGTCTGGCATATCAAAGTCCTGAATTAGCTCAATTCTCTTTCTCAAATCCACTGATTTGTTGAGTAATTTTCGCCGCCGTTGATCTGTCAGCCACTAAAATTGAAGTAGAATGTAGTTAGTTAAGTAGAATGTAGTTAGTTCGGTTAGCCGAATCTAACCGACAATGAATACTTACTTCTGGGAGTGATTTCCCAGCACTCAAATTATATATTTTCACATCATTCACATCGGTCATAAACATCTTGGCACGTTTTCTTTATTCTTTATTAAATGATGACACAAATTTCTTTTAAATATTATTAGAATAAATTCATCGCTTTTTCTGCACATTCGCGTTGTTTACTATCGTAAGCACATGTGTAGCCCGTCGAAGACTTCTGTCAATTTGAAGTTACATTCATATACAGTTCGAGTTCTCACCACTTGAGGCGCTGAACTCAATTAGTTTCTATTTTGATTATAGGAATTAGACCAGATTTTCTATAACAAAACATTTGAATTCGATTTGAGAATTTGAGAAGTATACTACAGGCTATAGCTTATGTTTTCTTCAGAAATGATAAGAATAAAATTATTGTTCAACGGAAATATGAATGAAAATTTTTTTAATGGTTTTCACAGCAGAAAATAATTTTCGTGCTAACTTTTACAATCGATGTTCAATTACGACTTTATACTGATACGATTTGATAGAGAACGGCACTAATTAAGTAGCCAATAACGCCGGAGAAAACGTACTTTTCCCCCAAAAGTTGTGTAAATCAGAATGTTATTAAAAATCACTGTATTCTCGTCTACGGTTTTGCACTGGTCGTTTATTCGAACTGTAATTTATCTAATATATTTTATAACTCAATGAAATTTTCATTATGTCACATCAATCTTCGTTGTACAATTTGAATAAAAGTTATTTAATATGAAATATCAATTTGTGAGTGCCGCTAACATATTCCCGTACAAAAGTGATTAGCACACGTCAATGATCATATTAGCATCACTTAACAAAATAATGCCTTTCTCTCTCTCTATTTCGCACACATACACAGACGCCGTAACTATTCATGTAGAAAATATTTTATTCACACATTTTAAATCAAACCATTTAATTGTTCTATGTCAATATAATCTGGGACGACTGTTTTTATAATTGCACTGAATGCAAATTGCTTTTTTCTACTGTACGCATCAAAGAACAACAAGAAGCATACAAGTGGACTTGTGAACAATGTCATCGTTTTTATTAATCAGTTTTCGGTATTGATGATCATTTGAGGACGCGCTAGATAATTTTTGCTCATCAACAATTATGCAACTAACAATTTTGTTTATGGTTATCACACAAGCAACAACAAAAAATTAGACCTTACAAGCTTGTCTGACATTGGCCACGGCCAATCGCATATCTACATTTTGAAGAGAAAAAAAATGCGTGAATAGCAATTTATAACAATTTTTGTCTGTATAAAATAATATTAAAAAAAAACTGTGATATTTAGCAAAAAAATTAATTCCTCACGAACTTGCACAAAAACTTATTTAATTGCCTTATTCTCGTGATTTTATTACAATTGTCACTTTACTTTCTTCCCACTAAAAAACAAATTCAATGATATTATCGGTTATTGTGTAAATTGAAGAATTATCCTTAACATGTCTATGTCATATGACAAGCAATTCAATTTTTACAGTCGTTTATGGCTTTGAATGAAGTGGGAAAGATATCAGTTGTTATTCGGTTTTATCACACATTTGAAGATTTTTTTTATACTTGTAAAAATGTTAGTCAAGACCCTGCTTGTGGCTATTGAAAAAAATGGTTGGTTTGATCGGTAGTGATTTCTCAATTTCCTTATGACAGTTGAAGATTAAGTCGGTACATTTGAAAAATCGCAATTTTATTTTGAAAAAAAAAATTCAATTAGAAGGAATATTGACATACGATCATTGCGATAATTCCGCTAACCACTTCCATCAATTTTCACTTGATGTTGCTTTCGATTGTTTACTTTGTCCGACACTTGCATGTGTTGATGTTTATTGACAGTGAATTAAATAGAGATATCCACGAGCCAAACACTACCGTTCGACACATATACATGACTAGCATTTGAAACAAAAAATATTTTAAAACAAAATTTGTTCGGAAGCCAAGCATTCAGGCAGTGACTGCCAAACGACGTTGATGTGCATTGAGCTGCGTGCGCAGTGCGTGTTTAGAATTAAAGCTTTAGTGTTCGACAATAACTTAGCAATTTCAATACTTTTCGAAAAAAAATAGTTTGCGTGCTATAAAACATTGTAAGTTCAATCGAAAACAAAATTATAAGATTAATTCAAAACAAAAGAAAATACAAAAATAAGTGAAAAAGAAGCTAAACAAATGATGAAAAGGAAAAAAAACAAGGGCAACTCGAGCGAGCAATAATTTTATGATTGAACAAATTGAGACTCGAGTTTACATTATGTTCGTTATTGTGATTCGATTCATTTGTACTTGGAACATAAACAAAAATTCATGAGTGAGACAAAGTTAGGAATACAAAATGGTTATCGCTTTTTTTTCTTGCAAGAATTTAATAAAGTGAACGAAATTGAACAATTTCCTCTTGAAATTGCAAAATGAAAAAAAAAGTAATATGTGGAAAACAGTAATTTTGAATCAAAAATGTTCTTCTATTAGTGTCATCATCATTACTAATGTAATGACGTAGAAATAACCTATAAAGTATTTGGAACTGTAGCGCCGATAAAATTTTCAATCACGATTTTTGAGAGTTGCTTTCGTTATAATTGAACAACTTATTATCTCCAAAAGAAGACTGAACTTGAAGTGAAACAGTTTTAATGAGGCGATAGATATTGATAAATCAATAATGAGCGTGCGGGTTGTGCAATGTTTATTATTTTCATTTTTATCGTTTAGCACCATTTCGTTTCATTACCGCATTGAATTCATATAAAAGAAGTCGCATGACACCATTTCTTGTGTACAAGTCATCGGGAACAAGCAATATTTGTCAATTAATTTTGAAATCTTAATCAGAGAATTCAACTTCGACTGAGCGGTGGAGCAATGAAGTTAATACGATGAATTTACAGAAGGCAGATCACAGAACAATCTTACAATATGATATGGTTATTTGAATTTATTTCTGTGAACTATCAATAATGATATTGCCAACATACTAGTATCGTACGACTCCAGTATTCAACCAATTCAAAACCCATTAATCCGGGGAAACGTACAAATTTTAATTGATAATTTCAATATTTTCCGCTTTTGATAAGAGGAAGAGACGTCTAATATGGTAGACAGTATTATGAAATCTGTAAGCAAACAAATCTTTCGCAGGTAAAACGGATTTTAGACAAATGTAAAAGAGCGATTGGAAATGAACAAGAGTTCGAAAAAATGCGATTCTTGAAATGCTTCGATAAGGCATACACCTCTATGTCTATAGTCCAACCATCACTTTCAAAATCCTGCTAACAGCGCAGAACCAAAGGCTCAAAAAATCGCGAGTGTTTTTTTTTATAAATTGTATTACGAAAAAGCACATGATCTTATTTATTACCTCTGTATTTATTCCACTTTGGTTGGTTTTTTTGCAACAATTTTTTTTTAAAATGAAATTCACAATGAGGCACGTGATTTTTGTTGGGTTGATTTATTTCATTATTATTGTCAATTAAGAAGGCGTATAATAAAAACAGGACGCTACTCCGTTCCCTTTATAAATATATCTCGCATGCACACAACCCAAAGCGTGATTTTAATCATCTGACAGCTAATAAGTCTACGCACTTCTAATTGATTGACTCATATTAATTCGAAATAAATTGCCATCAGTATCTTAGTGAAAATTACTTCGATGTGATTGTGGATTTCATGACGTTCTGCGTTCGATTTTGTTATCTTTGAAAACTTTTCGAATTGAAAAAACATTTATCTGTCGCTTCGTAATAAGCAATCTCTCTTAAATCACCAAAGGCTTCATTGATAGAATTTCAATGATAAGAAGAGAAATCAACGATTAAACTACACTGTCGTTGCAAATTGAAATTAGCCAATCTGGCGAATCGAAATCATTTTTTTTTATTTAGTGTTTTTATGGCCGATATTTTAAAGTAAATAAATTGAGCTCTTTTACGTACTCCACATGCAAAAACGGCATGACATAACTGTTTGAAATTGTTCAATTCACCACATGTGATTAAAATCACATCAAAATATTTCCCATTCCAATTACTGTTGTCACCTTTTGAAGTCTTAAACATCTCGCGAATTCATTGTTTTAGCAAGTTCATAATGTTTATTCTCACATCCAATTTATAGTCATTTTATTTATTTCAATATTGTCATTGGCTATTGGTTTCTGTTCATTTCTCTACAAATAGACGTTAATTCACTTAGCAAAGTTTGTTTGATGGCAATTTGTGATTCATTTTCACATTGTTTTTATCAAATTTAATTGCTTGTAAATATTATATTTTCTGTTTTGCATGTACGAAAACTAACAAAAAAAATCAGTACAAAAACCAAACGCCATTTGACACGTACACATCTGTGCATGACTTTAATAACAATAACATGCGGTTGATTCGCATACAAATAACAGCTTGTTCTGCGAAATTTGTTCACATAATTTATTATCATTAAATGAATCGCGCGCGAGCTCACTAATTTGAGAAAAAAAAACGAATGCCATTGTTAATGAAGTGGAATATAAATACCTAGAAGGAACAATTTTTTTATATTCCAAATTGACTTTTTATCTCCATTAGAAATATGTCACAACCCACTATCGACTCAGAAAGCATCGCAATCACATCTCAACCAGTAGCATCACCTCCTCCAACGCCAAAGCGAAAGGTGAGCATCGCTAATGATCCAGTAAGCGAGAGTCGCTACGATAACTTGGCCTTTGAGCCTTGTTCCAAGCGAAAAACTTCTCAGGTAAATACTTCTTGCCCTCCACTCTTCTTACTACACAGCCAGAAAAAACATTCGAATTTAGAGAGTTGGCAAAGTTTTTATCTCCCTAATTATCGCCCAAATAGACAGATCACTCAGAACTGCATCACAATGCAATTCCAACGCGAAAGCGAAGTATTCTCGTTAATGGAGGACAAGGCTCGCACGGCGACGGAGAGTCAATTTACAGTCATAATTCACATGGTAATGCTGCAAACTGGAAATAGTATATTTAAGAAGAAAATGAACAATTTGCTTATTACCCAAACAGATATTAAAACTTTAAGTGAAATCAAGCACAAACCGTCAGATCCTGACTTGAATAGAAAAACACAGATTGAACATTCATGGATATACACATTTTGCATAAAATGTCGCGGCGAAGATGATACACCGTCTTGGGAGCCTCCTTATTGGCAACAAGTATGTCCATTTCCACTGTGCCCCACATTTCGCCAGTTTGCGAGACTGTGGTCAATTATTATAATCGGAATCATTGCATGGATAGCTCTATACGTAATAGGTTAGTATTCTATTATTATAGAAGCCCATCAATATTATTATTGTAATATATGTTTTTCCATATTATTTTTTTAATTCTGGCAGTGGGTGATACTGCAGCCCCCGGAGGTCCACTCTTTGGCCTGGTAGTCTTAGTGGTGGCGTCGAATTTTGGTGGCTTCCTCATGTCACTCACAACTATGCCCAGGTATTTTGATATTATTAATGAATTTATTAATTTTAAATTTTTTTTATTTTTTTAACCATTTCCATTTTAATAATGTTTATTTCAAAGACTGATTGGCATGCTAGCGACTGGAATCCTTTTTCAGGTACGTATTTTTGCTAGTTTTCACAATTTTGCAACGATAGTTTCATTATTCATATTGAAAATTCCGAATTGTAGAATCTTGAATTGGTAAACCTTGGTTCGAGCACAGCTGAAATAGCAGGTGTAACCAGTTACATACGAAAATTTGCACTTGTCATAATTCTGATACGAGCAGGCTTAGAGATGGATCACGACGCATTCAAGAAGGTTTGGGTAACAATAATTAAACTGGGTCTCGTACCATGGACAGTTGAATGTGTGCTGTGTGCAGTGCTATCACATTTCATTTTTCATATGGATTGGATATGGGCGTTCGCTTTGGGCTCCATCATTGCTGCCGTTAGCCCAGCGGTAATAGTTCCCTGTCTTTTCCGACTTCGAACCAAAGGTTACGGTGTTGCAAAGGTAGTAGTGTTTCAATATTGTTTATTTGATATTTTCAACGTGTGATTTAAATCGACATTAATCTTATTAGGGGATACCAACAGTTATTGTTGCCATAAGTGGTATTGATGATGCAGCGTCTGTTGCAATATTTGGCATTTTGGCAAGCATTATTTTCGGAACCGGTGGGTTAGCGTACCAAGTGAGCCAAGCACCGGTTTGCATCATAGGTGGTCTCTTGTTTGGTGTTGTTTGGGGCACTTTGATGAAATTCATTCCAGAAAAAGGTGACCCTTACGTTATCCCAATAAGAACTCTAATGCTTTTTGCCGGTGGAATTTTGGCTGTTTTTGGAAGTGAACACATTGGATATGAGGGAGCAGGACCATTAGGAGTTGTCTTCGCTGCCTTTATTGGGTGAGAAAGAACATTAAACCATTTAAACATTTATTTATTTTCATTTAATTTGTGTAAGCAATCATCTAAGACATTCATTCTCACATATTTATGCATACAGTAACTACTTTTGGTGTAAAGAAGGTTGGGAGGTCGAAGAAAATCCAGTGGGTACGGCATTCGAAATTTTCTGGATGTTCTTTGAGCCCGCTTTATTCGGTGTAACCGGCGCCAGCATAAAAATCAACGAACTTGACAGCCATGTGGTTACAAATGGTGTTGCCATTTTAGTTGTATGTGGAGTGGTTAGGATTTGCGTTACAGCTTTGATCGCATTCGGCGACAATTTAAATTTTAGGGAAAAGGTATGAAATTTGAAAACGCACACATACATACTAGCGACGATTCAATTGTGTTTATTCTGCGTATAGATATTTGTTTCGTTGGCTTGTATGGCAAAGGCAACAGTACAAGCAGCTCTAGGACCCGTTTGTTTGAAACGGTTGAACAATGACAGTACATCCGAAGAGAGACATTATGCAGAACTTATCCTTATGGTCTGTATTTTGAGCATTGTAGTAACAGCACCGATTGGAGCGATATTGATATCGATCACAGGACCGAGGCTATTGACCAAAACTAAACAATTGCCACCAACCGAAGGTATGAACCCACTTTTAAAATCTGTGGCATTTCATATAGCTATCTTTTAAATCTTCGTAATTTCATTTCGTTTAAAATTACCATTTTAGGTTGGCGTCGAAGTCATCGTCCCTCCTTATATGACATCAGCATTATTGACGAAAAAGAAGAACGGGAAGATCCTGAGATGCAGGAAGACGTGGAAACAGTCGGAAATACAAATTCCAATGCTAATAAAACTGTTTATTCCATAACGAAATAAATTTGGCGTATTGAAACTATGCTATTTAACATCATAAAGATGTTATATTAAAATTGCAAAAAGAGAAGAATTGCTGCAAGTCCTCATATATGCAATATATCGAACGTAGATTTGGTCAACAGGAACCTCCAGTTAATTAGACAATAATCTCTGCTGTAGATATAAATAGTAAATGGAATTATGTTTTTTGTTGTTGTTGTTGTTTTCGTAAATACATCAACATTACCATTGGAAATAAACATTTTAATATAAAGAAAATGGAACTTTTCATTCATTTTTACAACCTTTTCCAATTTATTGAATCCACCTGTCCTTTGTGGGCGGACAGAACATTTCAGACAATGTAGGATTTACCCATGACACCAACCAATTCAGACGACAACGTAACTGCAACGGTGATATCCAACGAATTTCTTCTGGTAAACACCACAAATCTTCCAAACGTTCAGTGTCATAAAATGAGAATCATTTCGTTTAATAAAAAACTCTCTTTCAAAATAGTTTGGCTTTTCAACAACTTTGGACTGTTTAGTTTTAAGCAAAAATGAATGTTCTTGTTCATACATATTTGTATTTATCCCTCCTGTGCGCGGATTGTGAAAAATACATGTACAGTAGCAGTCAGTAGTGCGCGTGCGTGCGTTCAACATCAAAAAGAAGCTTTCGGAATTTTCAGTGATAAAGGAATGTACATGTATAATGTACACGAACACACATGAGTCTAGAGTGGCAGTACCTACCACCACCACCACACCACCACTACCACCAACGCACACATCTTCATAATTATTACTCGTAAAATAAGCGATAATATCCACCATGTTAACGAAAGCATCAATACCATCTCCACACACATCTGAAAATTTCTTGGAGCATCGCATTTGCTTCTCAATGGAAATTCATTACAACAGACTATTAGTATGCTCTAGATTGTATTGTGTAGCCAACAGTTGTTGAGTGCTGAGTGTGTATTGGCTTTTTGAATTTGCAAGCAGAAAGTAAATCAAGCTGAATTTGCAAAGTGCGTGACAAATAAAAAAGTGAACATAGCCATTTAGAAAGGACAAAGATTGTATGTTCAGCGTTTTTCTGCGTTTGGCGAACGGATTTTCTTTCCATTCACTGACTCTCTCCCATGAAAATCGTTTACATCTGAATATTTAATATCAATTAGTTTGTGGCGGTATATAAAGCTCGAATGCGCTATGTCCATGTGAAAAAAAAAGATGCACGATTTTCATCCCATAAAAAAAGGACTACAGACATTTTCCAATGTACATTGTGTGTGTATGTGTGTCTGAAAAAGTTAATAAGTGGAAAAGAGTACATATGGAAATCCATAGAGAGAAAGATAAATTAAGTGTTGATGCTGTGTTTGTGCAATGAATGGCGCTTTTTACAAGATCTCAGTAGATTTCAGAGGCTCGAAACTCAAACAAGGAGACCAAGTGATTAACAAATGTTTACATATTTACTTTGCAAGAAAATTGTCATTCCTAGAATAACTTCAAAAGAGTTTAAATATCGTGTAAAATTTGAAATTAATTGAAGTTGGTCTACACCACACAGTTGAATTCCATCAAGGAGTGAGTGTTCAATAGAATTTATATAAAACGTTGGAATTATGTTACAAATGTGTGCACTGAGCATTGTTACACAGCAAGACAGCATTTACAGAAAATTTGTTGGGAAAAGAATGTAAAAATTTGAAAAAGCGTTTTTTGGCAGACGCACGAAATACTTGCTCTAGATTTAATCAGAATTTCAATGTTCAGCATTGCACAACTAATTCACTTGAGTTCAAGTTGTGACGCTGCTTATTCCATCCACATGGATTCAATTTCTCGTAGGAAAGAGAATATTGAAACGCGAGTTTTCTCAAATTCTTGACTAATAATTTTCCATTTATTACACATCTGAACTCGGTGCATGTCGTACATTGAGACTGAGCGAGACCTTTTTATCAGCAATTTCAGAGAGGTACTAGAGGGTGAAACAACTTAATCGGAACGCTTAATTAATTTCTGACTTGTTGAAGCGCTGAAGTGGTGTAACAAATTCCCATCTTGAAATTGGATTTACGCATTTATGCTATTTAGCTGCTTCCCCCGGTTGCTTTTCTGTCTTGCATAAATTTTTATAAATACATGGAATCCATACAGTGTATTTTGTAGAAATTTCAAGGTGCAATAAATCTTTCCTTAGGCTAATCATTCTTCATAAATCATTGATTTTCAATTTGAATATATTTAAGCGCACCAATCGTTCGTAATCCGTAAACCCAAAGAAAAATGTTTGAAAAGTTTCTGCCTTCAGTTTATTGCACTGTTCGGCAACATTTTCATCGTTGCTACCTAAAATAAAATTGCCGGGAGCTCAATGTCCATCCATATGTGTGTGTTTTAAGAGTCCCTTGATACGACTTGAGAACACGGCAGCCTGCAAGCTTGTGCGTTTAAGAAAATGGTGTATTCCTTTGCCCATAATCTCCTCTCTCTTTACCTAACTCCAACACAGTAGCAAATTACCTAAATTCTACAGCAATCTATCAAACTGTTATTCATCTAAAGAATACTCATCTTCATAAAATTGGAAAATAAAAAATCATTTTTCCAAGTCAAACAAAAACTATCTAACACTTTTATGTGATTCAAAACCATAATCACAATCTCACGAAGCACTAAGAAATCAAATGGGTAACAAGAAATTGAATACTACTGTATATGTACTAAGTTAAAACGTTACTCTACACATAACATATACATGTCAGAAGAGTACATATACCTCATGAAGATAACGTGTATATTTTAGGAATGAAAATCCAGATAACCATCGAACCTATTCGTATGCTTTATAGACTATGTTAAATCATTTGAGGGATAATTAAAATTTTTATTATTCATGAGTTTTTCATCTGTAAGTGTGAAGCAATTTTTCGCTTTACATTGTACATCCTTCAGCAGTCATGGAATGATGGCCTTCAGCCAGCTCTTTTCAAATGTTCCAATGCAAATATATGCCTTCCATGCATGCATTTTCAACATATCCATTCATTCCTATGACACATTTGGGACCGGAGAATATTGCATGGCATTTTGTATATTTGCATCTATTCGTGTTCGTTGCGTTTATGGCATAATAGCAAAAAAAACTTATGATAAGTTTGAAATATTTGTTTACTTTTCCGTGCACATATTTATGTGGTCGCTGTTCGAATCGAAAAGTACTTAAACCGATGGAATAAGCCTCATCGAGCTTAGTTGAACTGTGCAAACCTTTGTGACCACACGAATTATCATTTACCTCTATTCAGTCGCAACATAAGGTGGAAGTTTTAAAAACCTGCATTCAGTTATTTTATCTTGAAAAAGTATTCCATTCAAAATATCGTTGTTATTTTTATTTTGAACAAAATATATTGACAACGTGGAACTTAAAGTGATATAGTTCTTTTTTTTAAATCTAAGATATACATTTTAGCTTCGTAGACCTGTGTTAAGATTATTTGTGATGGAAAAAGAATAATTGGGACATACATAGTTCGTAACTCATAAGTCATTGAACGAAAAAAATGATCGTACAGAAAAATGCATATATAGTTAAGATGCAAAGCAAGAAATTTTTAAATATATACTAGATTTTAGGAAAAATCGGTTCAATTAACCGAGTTGATGCGCATAGAAAAATAGTTTTTTTTTGAGTTTATTGCTCTTAAATTTCAAATTTGTTGCAAAATCAATTGAATTGGAATTAAGACATAGCTGAACACAAATCAAAATAAAATGGATGGTACTATAAGAATAACATCTATTTATCTATATATAAACATTTCAGATTCTGGTTATACACAAATCGAAGACTGCATCGGGTTGATTATACTAAAAGCTTTTAGTCATGTAAGTACTTTTCACAAAATATAAAAACATGGTATGGGCGTATCTTGAGTGTGGCTCATTCATTCACAAAATTTGGTTTTGAAAACTTATCAATTCAGCTTAATTCGGTTCTTGTAAATTCCGTGAAAATATACATACAACGTACGGTACAGTGTGGGATTTTCTTTTTTTTCTCCCCAATAAGAAACCATTTTCAAGACATAGACGGATGTGCGTGCTATAAACCTTTTCAGATAGCGTCAACTTGGAGACAGCGGAAGGATAGATATGTTGTTTCAAAAACATCATCCCCCACTGGGGAATTTCCCCATCGTTGATGAATTTTCTGCCCCTGCCCATTTTCACAGAATAGCACAAAACCTATGTTATAAATGTTTGTTGCAAAATATTTGACCTTTTATAGTTTGAAAAGTCTGGGGGTTATCTGGGAAAAGGCTCATAGTTCATAAATGTCCAGTCGGCCCAAAACCATATGAAAAATAAATGATTCGAACAATTCAAAAGACTTAGTTCAAATACAATGTGGCATTTTTTCTACCAACAAAACAAGTTTTTCTACCAAATGGAAATTGTCACTGAGAATATGAAATCAGACAAAAGATATGCTTATATAAATGTACTTCTTATTTATTCTAAACTGGAAAAACAAAACAATAACAGACAATTGGATTGTTTTTGCATTTTGGATCCTGAATAATAACCGTATTTATGTAATTTATGTGTATTTTCAAATAAGCTCACCTAAAATTTATGACTGGATCACGGGCACAGAATCATTTTCCAAGCATCAAAATTCTCTCTTATGCGAACCATTTTCAACAACTACATCGAAGACAATAACGGCAAACAGTAGAAGGAAAGATTGGAAATGAAGCAAATCTTCCGATAAAATGAATGTGAAATACATTCTACTTTATCGGTTTAGATGTTAATCATAAGTTTATATGGCCAACGCATGACGCTTCACATCTCTATGTGTAATGCTCACTTTCATCGCAATACTGACGGCAAAAATTGATAAAAGCCATTGAGAAAATACTTCTAGATATAAACTTTATAAATCCATTATTTTTTTCACATCAATCGAAAAATCAGTTGGTGCCATAAATAATTCAAGACACAAACTAATCTTATTTCTTCATATCTCCAAGCAACTCTGAAAACTAGCTTTCAACAAATTGATGAGACATACGCGTTCTTCCAAGTCAGTTTAGAGAAACGTGAATTTATATTGTCCTTGGAAATCTTTTGAATCTCTTTTGTATTCATGATAAAAACTGTTTATTCTGAAGTACGAATTAGTCTTTTTTCCTTCTTCCCCACATCTATACATTCATGCATGCATGCATTGAAATGTATAATCGTTTCGAATAAAAAGATTTTCGACGTCACTTATTACTAAAATCACAGAAAACCAAATCTTGATAATATAACGGACCATTCGAAGTATGAAATTATGTCCTTTTCAAATAATGCTATGTCATCATTCACTTCTATCTGTTTGACGAGATGTATTTCGAACATTTGCGAGATTCGATGTGCTGAAGAATGAGATGCTATGCCTCAGTACGTTAATGTTACAAATGGCACATATGATTTGATATTGGTCAAATTTATTCCGCAAAATTTGCTGACACACAAAAAATTCAATTAGACGTACACCGAAATGGAGTCATGAAGAAGAATTTCAAGTGTTACTAGCACATAGTTGATGCTCCAAGCGTTTTAATAAATGACGCTATCTCAGCCAAATACAAATACAAATGCAAATGTACCATTAAACATACATATTAAAAGCCTGAAGAAAATAATCTCAAATGGCGTTATTAAAATACCACAATCGGAAAAAAGCAAAAGAGATAATTATATACATGGAATTCTTATGAAAATGCGTTCGACAATTGAGGAAACATTTACGGAAGCCGATTTCGTTCGAACATGTTTTCGCGAATCGCATAGAAAATCATCAATCGCATTGATGAAAATCCACATATTTCTACTGATAACACTGCTTACTTGTGTTTCAATGTGTATGACAAGAGCTTCAGCACATACAATGAAGTACAGTTCGAATGTTGTTAAAACCAAATATGGTGAGCTGCGAGGAATTGTGGTACGTAATAATCCGACTGTTGAAGCCTATCTAGGTAAGCATCTTCTGTGTTTCTGAAACTTACTCACAAATGCCAGAAATACATATATCATTCATTCTAACAGGTGTGCCGTATGCAACACCTCCAGTTGGAAGTTTGAGGTAAGAGAATTACATGTTTTTCCCCGCAGTACGTATACATTTATCAGTTTAATTTTTTTCTTCGTGTTATTCAACTTTGAACATTGCTACTTAGTCCAAATAAATCAACCAAAATTCCCACAATTGCTTTAGTTTTTCCTGTTTATATATGCTGTATGTTTGTGTATGTGTCTGTGTACAAAACCTAGATATAGCCCGCCTGTTACTCCATCGTCTTGGAAAAGCACACGTCTTGCCGATCGTTTTTCACCTGTGTGTCCACAATTACCACCCGTATCACCAACAGGGCGTGAGGCATTGCTCGAATTTCCAAGAGAGCGGCTAGCACAAATTCGGCGATTGTTACCATTGTTATCCAATCAATCCGAAGATTGCCTCTATCTTAATTTATACGTACCACGCACAGGTTAGCACAATAATCAATTTGCAATGAAGTTTGACCTTAATTGTTTTCTCTATCACCTTGATAAAAAAAAACCCTAGTTTATATGTTTGTAATTTGTAATGTCACAATCACTGTTCTAGTTTTGAACACAAAAAAATAGATTTGACCTGAATGAACTCGACAATGTTTCTTGTTTGCAGACAAGTTCAATTCCGTAGTGCATTGCAGTGTGTTATTGAAAAACTGCAAGCACTGTGGGAGTGATATTGTTTTCAAACACATTCTACACATGGATTTAGCTCATACGATGTTCTTATCGAATTGCCCATTTGAATTGATTCTGTGTGACCACACGTTTCTTGTTTAAGATCAATTTCTTCTTTCATCATTATTATATGCATATGCGGAATCAAATAGATGAATTTGAACCGAACCGCAAACTAATGAATAGTTTTATTCATATATAACAATTAAAAAACAACCACTTCGCTCTTTATTCACATTTCGTAACTCATACTATATACAATGGGTACATACATATATAATCCTTTATCATACGATGGCAAGTATTTGAATAAATATATATTTGATTCAAATAACATGCACATTTGTTTACATAGGAAATACCACTCCTCCTTGATTTTAATAAAGCGATGCAGCATACATGTTTTGTTGTTTTTATTTCGTCCGCTGAAAGAATAGATTGAATTACACTAAGAATTACTGTCTTTAACTTATTTGATTTTAATTTGACACATGAATAGATACCAATTCAAAAGGGGCCGAAAGTTTCGAAAGAACCGTAACAAAAATTGTTCGACGCTCTTTATTAGTTCAAATTGAATAAATGAGAAGTAACTCGTCGCAAATAAAAAAAATTTCATTCATGTGTTTCATTGTAGTCGAAGCAGCGTCAAAAAATAACAAGGGGCTGGCAGCTATAGTATATATTCATGGTGAATCGTTTGAATGGAATAGCGGAAATCCATATGACGGCTCAATATTGGCTGCACATGGAAATGTCATCGTGATAACAATTAACTTTAGATTAGGTGTATTAGGTGAGTTCCCCCTCTGCGTGCGAAATCTTTGGAAAACAAATGGTTTGCGTCTTCATTTGAAATTCAATTTAAATATTCATTTCCTTGAAGGTTTCTTAAAGACGGGCTCAAAAGGCAGTGCACAAGGGAATTTTGGTTTGATGGATTTGGTCGCTGCTATTCATTGGCTGCGCGAAAATTTACCATCATTCAATGGGGATCCGACGAAATTAACGTTAATGGGCCACGGAACTGGTGCTAGTTTGGCCAATATGTTGATAACTTCACCCGTTGTAAGTGATTTGATTCAGAGAGCAATTTTGTTGAGTGGTTCGGCCCTGTCTCCATGGGCCATTCAAAAAGATCCCTTGTTTGTAAAACGAAAAGTTGCTGAGCATACGGGCTGTCACGGTGATCTGGTGGAGGAGGATTTAGCACCATGTTTGCGAACTAAACCTCTTTCTAATTTATTGTCCGTTCAACTTGAAACGCCGAGGTAACTATTTCTTCTATTCCATTATCATCGGGCAATGCTGAACAATGGTCTAGTGTTGGCCTTTAAACACTTTCGAACACTTTTTGTTCGTTTGACGTCATTGAGAAAAAAAATTGTTCGTTCATTCGATATTATTAAAATAAATTGTTCGTTCAAGGAATAGTTATCCGTACAGCGATAATTTGTGACTACGAAATCGGTTAACTTTTCAATTCTATGGGCGCTGCCATATTGAAAATTTACGTGCGATATGGTGCACGCACTCAATAGTTCCACTTATTTTAATAAGGAATCTCTATAGGTGGCGATAGGTGGCGCTGCCACATCGTCATTGACATCGAGTCAAATATTTTCAAATATAATAACATTGTTAATATAGGCTTTTATCGCAGTACGTAGTTATCTGCAACAAAGTTATAGCGAACCAACTTCGCCGAAGATTCCAACTCATTATCCCATATCAGTTTCGTGAAAACTGCGAAAAATATACTCGTCTTTGACTATTTATTAGTCAAAAGAAGTCTCCTTTTTCATAACAAAGTCACTGAAACACACTCTACTCCAGTGCCGTCTTAGCACTTCCGGGGGCAAATTTTTTTTTTCCAATAGCACAAAATTCATTATTTTGAATGTTGCGCCAATTTCGATTGAATTCAAACAGATGAATTCAGAGTTATTAAACTATGCCGTTTTTCATTTATGTTTTGATTACTGCTCAATACTGCTGGACATGAAGGCTCTTATTCATACGAATGTATATGTGACTCAACATCCAATTCGAATTGACAAACGAAACCTATCGTTATCTCTATTCTCCCTCTATGTTTAATTACATTCGTCTGAAAGAGTCAACCATACTTGGCAATAAAGAATTTCGCTCAAACGGTTGATCGATAAACTGTTTATATTTTGATATGTAAACAATTATACCACTGACCATTCTATTAAAAAGTGAGCCACACTACTTACATTCAAAAAGTATGACAGAAACAACAAATAAGGCGAAATATATGTATGTATATGTCTTTTTTCGTCTTGCAGTTGAAATTCTTTGATTACTCATTCTTATTTGATATTCAATCGTTTCTGCTCAGTGGTTGAATGTGAAATTTTGAATAATTTGGACTTCGATGAAATAATTGATGATTTTATTTACGCTAAAAATAGGGCCAAAGCCATTTTCACGCGCATCATCTGTTTTGTGGACAGCAAACAAACCACGAAGATTGAAATAAATTTGAGAATTTTTGTATTTTTGTGTGTTTTTTCTAATTTTCTTTGATAAGATTTTCTCTTAATATTCCAAGGGCCTTTTCAGCAGTTCGGGGCCCCTGAAATCGGGGGACCCTGAAGCGGCTGCCTCATTCGCTTCCAGGCTAAGACGGCACTGCTCTACTCTCAATCTTGCCCATAAAATTCAACTTGCTTCTTATATATTTTGAATCGAAAAAACGAGCAAATTTTTTTCTTCTAATAATGTCAAATGAGCTTTCGGAGCCAACACTACAATGATCGAACTGTTTTTTCTTCTAGATTTCTACCGGGCTTTGCTCCATTTATTGATGGCACTGTGATTATTGGCACAAACTCGAATAGTTCATTGACCCTTCCGCCAGGATCGGCTATATCGAGGTGAATAATAAGTGTTTTATTATCATTCATCATGAATTAAATATTCATTCCTATGTGGTAACCCAATTAATAATTTCAGTACGATGGGAATTGAAATGGCCGATTTTTCGAAGCGTGAGATAATATTTGGTGTAACGTCGCTAGAATCGTACTTGGATTTGAGTGCTCAAGATTTGGAATTTGGTTTTAATGAAACCAGAAGGGATCGAATTCTTCGAACATATGTTAGGAATAACTTTAATTACCATCTAAATGAAATTTATGCTGCCTTAAAGGTAAATTGCAAGCTATTCCAAAAATAAGCTGAAGATTTATCGGAATTGTAACTTCAATTGCATTGAACCAACAGAATGAATACACGGACTGGGAAAGACCGCCACGTAATCCTCTTGGCTCAAGAGATGCTGCTTTGGAGCTTCTGAGCGATGGTCATACCGTTGCACCGGTACGTATGATTCGGTTGGAATTACACAAAGCATTTACAGTTGATGCAAATAGTAAAAATAATATAATTTTCCATTCTGTTTTTAAGATTGTTCGAGTTGGCTATTTACATAGTTTACGCGGCGGCAAATCGTACTTTATGCATTTCAATCACATGTCAAATGAACGCGATTTTCCACAGGTAAGAAGCAAGGAAATACATTCAATCTTCTAATGTTTTGTCTTAATATTTTCCATTAATCAACACTTAAAACAGAGAAGCGGAAGTGTACGCGGTGAGGATGTGCCTTTCTCTTTAGGACTTCCAATTTCGCCACTTTTTCCACACAACTATACGATACAAGACATTAAAATAAGTCGAACAATGGTTCGTTACTTGTCCAATTTTGCACATACCGGGTAAGATTGAAATACTGTGAAGAAAGAAAAAGTCATTATGTTTATTTTGCGCTTAAACATGTTATATCATCAACATCAATAGGAATCCAAATGAATCACCTTCATCATTGACGCACATATCCCAAACAAAACATAATCACATAGCCACCCCAATGGAAGGTATACATAAGTTGACAAAGTCCACTGGTGAAGTGAGTTCGAAAAAAAAACGACAATTGGCGTGGTCTCCAATTAGAAGGAGAAAAAAACGAAATCGCAGTTTCAGTTATTATGACAACGACGAAGATAGCGACGAGAGCGAAAGCGACCACGAAGATGAATCCAACGAATATGATGATGCACACTATAGTCACAACAGAGATCGATTAGAAGATACAAATGACCAACCGTACCCATTTTGGGATACGTATGACACACTAAATCAATACTATTTGGAAATTGGTGAGTGTAGTACAGAGTGCCTGAAAAATTTCAAACCTCGAAAGATATATGAATCCATTTTCACTCTAGGTAACAAATTCGATATGAAAAATCACTATCGAGGTCACAAACTATCTTTGTGGCTGAATTTAATTCCCCAATTGCATATGCCTGGTGAATTGAACGAGTTATCAATAAGACATCATCATTTCACTGAATCTGATGCGAAATTTTACGATGGAATCGTTCGTACACAAAGTATCGAAAAACCAATATTAAGCAAACCCGTTGTTTTGAAAAGTGATGCTAATGTGGTCAACACGAAGGTAGTAATCACCACGGTTGCAACGTTTACAGGTTTGCATTGAATTATTCTAACATTCCATCAATATGAATGTATATTTATACCATGAATATTTCTCATAGATTGCCCTTCCAATACAACTGTATTACCAACGCTAGCTGCCACGAGGCCTCATCAAAATACTCCAACTATTGAGAATAAATTGGAAAATCGAAGTTTTCACATGGACGGATTCTTGCGACATCTGACCAGTAGCCAATTTCACAGTTATTCAGCAGCATTGGCAATCACAATCGGTGTCGGATGTTTTCTCTTACTTTTAAATATCTTAATATTCGCCGGAATCTACTATCAACGTGTCAAACGAACGCTTGACACAAAGAAAAAGGAAGAATTTGTGGAGTCTGATATAATATTGCCAAATTTTATTGACCGTTGTATCGAGAAAGGTGTAGGAAAGGGTTCACTGAATATGCCCACATATTCGGCCGATTTGAGCTATGATGAATATAGCCGCTATGTCGAGAAGGCAATGCATTGTGGTCCGCCAACTGAAACTCATAAATGCAAAGCGAGTGGAAAGGATACACACGTGGATTTTATTCGAATTCCAACACATTCATTGCACAATAGTGAAATGCCCGAAAAGAAAGTGCAAATTTCCATAAATGATACGACCATTCATCAACGTCTATCAACATATCCATCACCGCAATTACATTCATCAATTTCGGAGGCCGACAGCAGTAACAGTAGCGAATTTGTTACATATCAACAAAGTACCAACAGAGAATGTCTCGACTCACACAAGATGATGACTGAGCATTGTAATCAGTCAACGCAATCAGAATTCTTGGGTATGCACGACGTCGGTACAACTGTAACAGAGAGTGACGTTGAAGATCGTCACACAGCTAAGCCGAACGATATTCGTACTGAAAAAGTTCTGTCAACACCGTCATCTTTAAGATCGAGTATATCAACATCAAACTATCAGGGTGGTATTTTGAGACAACATCAACTTGGACCAACTACTCCTTCTACATCGAAGAAACGTGTGCAAATACAAGAAATATCTGTTTAAGTACTTCTATGAAACTTCATTTTTTTCGACGTCCTTTTTAATATTAGCGAAACCGGGCCAATTCATGCCACCTATAGATTTATACAACATATACAGCTAAATGTCAGAACCATCAGTTTCATGAATCCATCGATTGATTAATCGTTAATTGATTCTTGTTCGAACTCATATGATTTACAGTAGAAACGTAGTTGGATTGCATTATTTTTGATTTTGTTATAACATTTTTGGTTCATAATGGAATTATGCCGGTGACTTGAAGAGTAATAACAACAGTTATTGCTATTAACCCTCTACACTGCATAACGCGGCCCAATCGGGGGTCTTCGTGAAATTGGACATTGAGTTCTAAAAATAAAACTACAAATATATTGATTGATATTACAAATTTAGTATTGTTGTATTGAGGAAAGGTCTGAGACTGTACGTTAAGTTGTATGAAGGTTTGGCGTTTTGTTGTGTTGGAATTCAGAAAATTTGTGGGAAAGAAAATACCCTATAAATTAAAAAAAAAATCATCACATTTTAAGGTAAACTTACATAAATGCCCATAAAAAATGGTATTATGAATATTTTCGTCCATGTCCCAAAACTATCCAGACTCAAAATGAATACAGTAAGGGGGTTGATCTGAAAGCAGAAATCAGTAATGTTTGGTGTCGTTATAGCGTACGTTGTACTAATTTAGAAGAAAAGGTGATTCGTTTATACTTTTCATAGCAATTAAAATATTGATATTATTTGAGATAATTTCTGATTTTTAAAAGTGAATTTTATCAATGTTCACTTTATTTTACTTAAGCTATTGGATTGCCTATACAAAGAATTATTATGTTATAAACCACATTGACTTATCGTAGTTTTACTATTCTATGAATGATTTGTGTGTTCACTTGGTAACTTTATGAATTATACTTATTTGAATTAGTAGTTGATAGACAACTAATAATAGGAGAATTCTATATCCGGAAATTTCTTCCGAACCAGATCATTTCAGGCCATCTATAAAACATCTTTGATGTATAGAAGTGTATTATTATGATCTTATTACTGTGACATCTTTTGTCTCAGTTGACAAATTACCAATTGTGTCATTATTCATATTTAAATCCAATTTTGTTTAGTTTTCGATGAAGAGTCGATAATTTCGTTTCGCATGAGTTTCATTAAATACTAAACAAAATTGCAATTTAATATTCTATCATAGCACAATTGTTGATTGCGTAGCTGAGACAAAAAGATGTCAAATCAATAAGATACTTCTATAGTTCGATGAATTGTAATAAGTTGAGTTTTGAAAATTTTCCGAATAATTTACATTTACATTCGGAAGTGAAGTCTCAAATCGATTTGAATCCAATACTGTGTATACTTGATATAGCAGTTTATAACTTCCAACCTTGTTTAGATATTTTTGATGCTCTATTTTATTACGAAGTTTAATTTCGAAAGCAAGAATGTTCTTGGGTTTTGTTGGATTTTTCATATAATATATATATATATATTAAGTTCACGAAAACTATTTTTATATATATATATGATATCGATGGAATAAAGGAATAATTTGTCTTCGTAAAAATAGTTCCAGTGTATGAGATGCTGAAAAAAGCAAATCAAATTTCATGTATATATTGGTGTATGAAATATAAACTGTTTATAGATTGTTTTTTTAGATATGTTGCCAAAAACGTATATCTTCCCATTGCTTATTGAAAATGTTGACAGATTTTTGTATTAATGTAAAATTTGAAATTTAATATAAGTATAAGTGTAAATAGTAAATAAATTGTATTAAAAAAACTAAATGCATTTTATTCAGTGAAAAATATTCACTGTGTATCTTTTGAAAGCTAGGTGAATTCGAGTTCAAACATCAGGAAATCACCGAAAGATGGAGCCATGTGCAAGGTTGTTCAGATGATGTTCAAGTTGAAAAAAAAGTCATTGCATCAATACACAATTTCTCTGAATGGTGAAAACAAAAGAAAATATACTGTTCTGTCAGTCCGGACTTACACATCGAAGTGTTTGCAGTGTTTCCAAATCACTTGACAAGCAAAACTGTGAAACAAGAAAGAAAAAGACAAGATAAACTGTGAAAAAATTGTTCATTCCAAAGATATTAGTGAAATAAATTGTAATTTGATTGGAAGTGCTGCAAATAATAGGTCTGACCCAGTTAGAAAAAGCGTGAAAATAAAGGGCGATTTTATTTAGTATGCCATGTATAAACTCGTGCAATAGAAATTTTCAACACCAATCCGTGTCAGTCTACGCTTAAACATTGAAACTTTCCCCACACATTTCAGTTTCATCATCCATGTGCGTATCGATTTTAAAGAATATAAATTGCAGGATAGCACTCGGACGAGGGAAAATTTAATTGTTTCCCAATTGGGATTGGGATTGGGGTAATAATTTCGGAAGTGTAGGGAAAAAATTAATAAATCCTAGGCAACATTTGAAAGCCCCACATTTCCAGTAAATCACAAAAATGCTTCCGACATACACAAGGCTAGGGACATCTACCTCATCGGTACGGCGGGCACTGCGTACACGTGAAAAGTTTTTAATACTTCTTCTGTTTGCCACATTGGCATTTGTTTGCTTTGGCGGACTATTTTATTTACCCGATAATTTTGTAAGTTCGGACAAAGTGCGAGAAGTATATAATAAAATTCAAAACGCAGGGCCGGAAATATTCATACCGGCTCCACCGGTTGCAAGACATCATCACCAGCATGGAGTAGACGGAACGAATTCGATTGACAATCAAAAAAATGGTGATAATCATCTTTTTAATGATCGGAATCGATTACAGGCGAAAATTCAGGGCGAATGGGATGCAGCTGTCGCCGAAGGCGATCATTTAGAAAAACCTCAATCGAAACCACAGCCAAATGAGGCGCCATTGATGAGCCCATTAGCACCTGAAAAGCGAGAGGTTGAGAATCCAGTCGACGGTGGTGGACTTGGAGTCGCTGATGCTCCCGACCTACAAACTAACAGTTTGCCGAGTGGTGAAGATCCGGATCCAGTCATTCGTGAACGGCGTAATAAAATCCGTGAAGTAAGTTCTCTTATCAAATGTTTAGTGAAATTCACCAGAAATCTGAACGTGTACAATATAATATTGCATGGTCTAGAAATCAATTATCAACGCATACGGCTTGATAATGAAATAAATGATACGTGAAAGAAAAACTAACATATACACACAATTTTCAGCTTTGAAGAATGCCATCACAGCTAATGTACATATTGTTCGAAAATACAATTATTTTATTGACTCAGGTTCTAGCCTAATAAATGATAAAAACCCAATACATTTAATCTCATTCGAATCGGACTGATTTCATCCCGGTAAAACTTTTCGCTCCATTGTTAATGTTGTTTATACCGTTAATGGACTACATTTGAGCCGTGAATTTCAATCATTTTTGCAATTCTGCTGATTTCGTTTTCCAATTAATTCATTTACAAGTTCTCCATATACTTTATTTACCAAAACTAGTTGAAATTTAATGAGGTTTTGGTCGCAAAAAAATCAAACCATTTTCATAAACATTTGCAGCATTGAAACTGCTCAGCAGAATTCATTTGTTTATATTCAAATTAAATGTATATTTCATATGCGGTTGATTGATTTTGCTAAACACACTTCAACGTCACAATCTGTCCACGTTGCAGTGTTTTAATCGCTTACAATTTGGTTTTTGTTCTGCGTTCGTCATGTGTTGAAATATATTGATAACAACAGCTTCCACTTAATGAACAATAATTTAAATGACATGAAATATTTATTTTTCCAATCTGATAATTCTATAATTAGATGACTGTGCACGCTTGGGAGAATTATAAGCTCTATGCTTGGGGAAAGAATGAACTACGTCCGCTAAGCAAGCGCGCCCATACTGGAAGTATATTTGGTGCATATGATCTTGGAGCAACAATTGTCGATGGCTTGGACACACTGTACATAATGGGCTTGAAGCAAGAGTACCAAGAAGGACGTGAATGGGTTGCTCAAAAGTTCTTATTCAAAAATATGGTAACGTGAACAAATTCATATAGCAAATATGTTGAAATACAAATGGACATTTTACATTTGATTTCTAAAAACTTATTTATTTTAGAGTGCCGAGTTATCAGTGTTTGAAACAAATATTCGATTTGTTGGCGGCTTGTTAACTCTGTACGCATTTACGGGCGATACTATGTATAAAGAGAAGGCACAAGAAGTTGCCGATAAACTACTACCTGCTTTTCAAACGCCGACAGGCATACCGAATTCATTAATTAACATTAGAACTGGTGTAAGTATTGCATGTTGTCCTTCCAGTTATCAATCGAAATTCCTTCATTATCTTTATTTCTTCAACCGAAAAAACAGTATAGCAAAAATTATGGGTGGGCAAGCGGTGGAAGCAGCATTTTATCCGAATTTGGAACTCTTCACCTTGAGTTTGCTTATTTAAGTGATGTAACCGGAAATCCAGTCTATCGTGAGCGTGTAATGAATATCCGACAATTGTTGAAAGATATTCCAAAACCAAATGGACTGTATCCCAATTATTTGAATCCCAAAACGGGTAAATGGGGACAACAACACATATCATTAGGTGCACTTGGAGACTCGTTCTACGAGTATTTGCTGAAAGCATGGCTTCAGTCGGGCCAAACTGATGGAGATGCCCGACAAATGTACGACGAAGCGATGGAAGCAATTGTCAAAAATATCATCCAAACTTCACCAGGCGGATTAGTTTATGCAAGTGATATGAAATTTGATCGACTAGAGGTACTTACTTGCATGAGTCTTTTCAGTTTGCATTTATCAATTTAAATTATTTCTTTTACATTTTATTATCTTCGAACGAAAAAAAAATTACATCGCGGTGCAATACTTTGCTACTTGGGCCCGAATTCGACCGTGTATATACGCTTGGTAATGAATGTATTTTGGATTGTGCAATAAATTTCTTGGCCTCAGCAAAAAATGGATCACCTGGCCTGTTTTTCCGGTGAGTTTAAAACATTAAACGAAATTGAAATGTCACGAATAATTTGAAATGTTATTTTTGTTTCTAACAACTAAATAGGAGGGTTATTTGCATTGGGTGCATCTACTCAACAAGATCAAAATTTCGAAAAGTACATGGACATTGGTAAAGGCATTACCAACACTTGTCACGAAAGTTACATTAGAACAGCAACGCATCTTGGACCAGAAGCATTCAGGTTTGACCATATATGTAACATTACACTATCTGTATAGGTTGAGTCAACGGTTTTTAAAACAATGCCAATCCTTATCAATTCTGAGTTTCATTCAATGCGTTTCTACGTTTTACTAACAAATATTCTAATTTCAGATTTAATGAAGGTGCTGAAGCAAAAGCTTTACGGGCGCAAGAAAAGTACTACATATTGCGTCCAGAAACATTTGAAAGTTATTTCATATTGTGGCGTCTGACTCATGACCAAAAATATCGGGATTGGGGCTGGGATGCCGTGCAAGCAATCGAACGATATTGTAGGTCACCAGGTGGTTTTAGTGGTATTAAAAACGTTTATCTCGAAGATCCACAAAAAGATGATGTTCAGCAAAGCTTCTTCATTGCCGAAGTGTTGAAGGTATTGCAATGATCGACATTTAATTCTCTAAAATTGAAAATATTGTGTGTATAAATAATATCATTTTCGTTTTCCTTTCAGTATTTGTATTTGCTGTATTCGGACGATTCGCTACTGCCGTTAGATGAATGGGTGTTCAATACAGAGGCCCACCCGCTCCCAATAAAGGGCAATTCAATGTACAGACAAGCATTATCGCAAACTAATAATCCATAGGGTGTTTATGATGTTAATTCCTTACATGAAAAATAATTGACAGTAGTCCCGAATCTACCTATTTACATTTAACTTAGCAAAATCTAGGAATTAGAATATGCAATGCATAATCCTCACGTTCTTCTACTAGCAAAAAACATGTCACATCAAATTTAGACTAATCTAGTTTGTTGATTGCTTATCCTGAAAATGTTATAATTGCTGCAGTGGCTGTGGAAAATTTGAGAGAAATATCACGTTTTAATGATCGACGTTATGTAACTTAAATACTTTTCTTGTAAATATACAAAACATCGTCTCTATGCACATTGCACACAGAGATACAAAGTTGCAAATTACTCTTGATAAATCGAAAGGAACATATATGTGAGTGTATTTGAAAGGGAACGAAATATTCAGAATTATTTATTTGTAGTGCACCGTATTTCGATACCCAATTTTGAATAAGTACGAGCTAGAAAAAAAAGAGAAGAGTAATTTAATCGTAGATCGCGTTCCCCCGAAAGAAATTAAAAATGAAACGTTCTTTAAAATAATAATTCAATTTAAATAAAGTCGAATGATAAAAAATGAATGATGTACTGGATTTGTAGAATAAAGACTTCAACTCGAACTGATAGAATCAAATTCAAACTGTTTTTTTTTAAATACACAACACCAAGGAAACTTGACCATTATTAAAAGGTGAGAAATTCCTTCAAATCATGTGCGCTCTTCTGATCAGTAAAACACCTGTCATAGATGGAAATGAAAGTCGTTCGTTTTATATTGAAATACATAGTATGTATGATTATTATATTCGTTGTTCATATTACATATAATTCAAAACAATAATACAAAGCAAATCACAAAAATCGTTTAATAATACTTGTCCGTTTCTTTTCGAATTGGCAAGGTATGCGAATACAAAAAATATCAAGGAATATTTCTATGAGTGAGACTGTGAGCATGATTTTTCAGCCTACGTTTTTGTTTCAACTTGTGTTCTTTAAACGTTACCGAATATAGTTCAGTTTTGTATATTACCTTTTCCCACGCAAGAATATTTTTTACGTAAGAAAACGGGCTGAATAAAATATACTTTCCCAACAGTGTCACCAATAGATTTATTCTAGCTCACATTATTTAAACAATAGAGAGAGAAAACATAAACACAAATGTGATATGAATAACATGGCTTGGACTTGAACTGTATAAAATTCGATATAAAAACGCAAATCTTCTTTGTTAAAATGAAAAAAATAAATCGTTGCAATCCATTTGAAATATGCATTAGCCTAATGCCATTAGGGTAAAGTGACAAAAGATCTATTTAAAAATACGACAAACAGCATATGGTCACGGCCATCGTCAGTAACGTCACGTTTTTTTGCACATTTTTGCTCATATCTCTTCAAAAAATAAATAAGACTCATAGTTTTTCTATTGCATACGATAGAGCTTCCCAAGACTAATAATTCAATGGCTTAAAGTTTTGTCTATCACTTGTGATTACGGAGTTATAAGTGTTCAAAGTTGTCAGTAACGTTACATAATTTTGGAAGTGATTTTCGAGGTTGCTTTATATTTTCAAAAAAATTAGCGAATCTAGCGATTTATTTTTCGGGCCATAACCAAGATTTTCAAGATAAAGGATCAAAGAAACGATAGAAATGGTGATTACGCTGAAAAACATATTTTTGGTGGATCTACAGACGTTAAAGTGACGTCAGTAACGTTACACAAAACGTCCTTGAACCTTTTTCTATAAGAATATGTTTTTAACCTACTGATTTTGTACATTTTTGATAGAAATTTACGCCCTCGAAAAAGAGTCCACAAAAAGTCGAAAAATGACAAAAAAAAATCGCAAATTTGGCAATTTTGATAAGAAAAAATAATACAAATTCCATGAAATTCTCAGAATATATTGAGTTTATGAAATAATAGTTTGGTGCAAAATTTCATAGCAATCTAATAACTTTAAGACCATTTTTGTCACTTTTAACTTTTTTTCCGTGGTTTCGTCTTACGTGGCCGCGACCATATGTGATGAACATTTATAACTAGTTCTGCTGTTCGTATATCTTTCTGTTATGACATATCTGTATGACGCATATTCCAATGGAGTACTATGACAATTTATTCGTAAACTACAGTTACTTATTGCCTGAGCTGAGCAAATACAATATATGACACAATTTCAATTTCTTGTATATTTTATCAAATGATTAGAATAGATATTGCCACTTCGTTATAATATTTTTTGTGTTTAAAAATTGACATTTAAAATATGTAAAAAAATTTGGTTTATAGAAATAATTGAGCCTATCGCACTTAAAACCTAATGGTTATTTGCATTTGAAATTTTTGGCATGCAATAATCATCAATTTTTGGTTCATCGCCATTACCAATATGGTCAAGGCTTTCTTCTTTGAATAGATCAGAATTGCTGTGATTCATTCCATAATTCATGGAGCTGGTCATCTTTCGTGGTATTGGCGGTGGATTTCTTTTTGATTCATCTTCTTTATCGTTTGCATTCATGTCTGTCTGCCACATTGCAATATTCACGTGCTGTATGTCTTCTCCAATATTCACGTGCTGGCCGCTGGCGCTGCCAATAGCTCGTGTAGCATCACTACAAATGAATGCGTAGTTCAAATCATGAGACGCGGTTGAAATACCCGAATCACGGTATTCAATTTGTTCAGAGCAGTTTACATTCGCTAGATTAAAATGATCATGATCGGCTTCAGCTTGATCTTCTAACGGAATATTGACAACAGAATACTTTTGCAGTGGTGACTTTATCATGCTTGCCGAATGCAGGTCATTTTCTTGATAATCAATGCTGCAATAATTCAGCAGTGGATTCGATATTCGTTTGTCTGGTGTTACGCCTCGTGGAGGCAAAGGAGGTGCTTGAGTGGTGGATTTTGGAGGAATTTCGGGGCTATCATAATTCCCATACCCAGCCGATTTTGGGCGAATCGGAACCGGAGGTGCTGAAGAGCTATCACTCCTAGTCAAAATGCTTTGATCACGGCTGGAGATACATCGTTGAATTGACTGCGGTTTAATCTCGTGATTTCCATTAAGTTTCGATGGTCTGGTATAAATTTCTTCTTTTTCAAAGTTCATCATGTGATAGTTTGAATGATCATCAATTATGTCATCGGTTAAATCATGGCTATTTGTAGCAGATCGTGGTTGGTTGCTAACGCTCATCGAACGTTTTTCAATCGGTAGCGGTGGCAGAGGTGTATTAACTATACTCTCCGAAAAATGACGTTTAATTTTGTCCATGCCATTTATACTGTGTTTCATTTGAGTAAAACGTTCCAGAAGCCGTTTGTGTAATGGTTGTACGCCTTCAGGTGCCAAGTTTCCATGTAATGCTAGAGCCGTTTCCAGAATTTGTACCTGCTTCAGCATCAATTGTTTTAGGCGTTGCACATTTGCCTGTTGTGACTTGCCCTCAGCAGATTGCCGAAACTCTTCCGTGAAAAATGCATCCTGATATTTACTTATCCCGCCTAGAAATAACATTATAAAGATTTAGCATTTTTCAATTGCTCATCAGCCTTAATAAATTCTGCATACCCATCACATTCGCGTCTATCAATCCCTGCAGCCGCATTGAAAACGGATTAATGTTGCGTTTTGGATCGGCACGATATTGCTCGATAAGCTCATGAAGCTCTTTTGCCACATTCTCCATTGTTTCACAAGCAAACTCGACTGGTGTGAGCTCTTGAAAAGACCTGTAAATAAATTATGAAATTACATGTATTGCATTGAACTGAAAAATATTAGATGCGTGAGTATTACCTGTCTACGATCTCGAACCAACGAAGGATGTTTGGTAGCGGCTCTGAAATGTCAAGTAGAGTGCGCTCGATCCACCTGTATAAAATTATATAAAACTATCTGTATAAATACATGCTAACTATACGTTGGTTGCTACCAATCTAGCCCGAATGCCTCGAAAAGTTTTCATTTTTTCTTCTCCAATATTTGGAATTTATTGATTCGTATAGTTACTTACAATCGGCTGAATTCGTTGTCTTTATCTTTATCAGCTTGACCCTTATACACCGGCCTATCGTGTTGAAAACGTTTGACATCATTGACATGATAAAATTTGGCGACCTTTTCAGGTACAGGGAACATCGTATTTTTGAATAATGGGTGATCCGGAATCGGGCGGACATTACTGATTTGAATATATTGACATTTGTCCTCAAAGTAGTATTTCTCTGGTGGTGTGTTCTTCGTTAAAATCTGCGCTTGGGGAAACTCAATCTGTAGCCTTTGAGTGAATGCGCCAATCCTTTCGTATTCCAAACCACGATAAATGAACTGTTTATTCTATGGATAGAAAAAAGTTTTTTTTAATCAGAACAGTTCACACGACTGAGATTCAGTACATATATAGATGTGTGGTGTGTTGGAAATTTACTTACTCGCACAAACAAGGGGAATCCCATTCCATAAAATCCAACCCGAAAATATTCTGGTTCAGGGCGTATCTGAGTTAAGATGTTCTGGAAAAACTTTGCTTGTAAGTTCAATATATTACTCAAAGCCACAAAATCGAATCGCTTCGTCTCATAAAACTCTGCCAATTCCTTGCAGAGTGGGATTCCTTTCTCCCAAGATTTGCCTTTGTCAAAATTCTTCAAAATCTGTTTATAGCAATGAAATGCAATGAATAAAATCAATTATTTGCGGAATGAAAAATATAAATAAATATTGAACCCACTTCTATGTAAAGATTTTCTTTTCGTTCCCATTCTTGTTGACCAACTGTATCATCCGGAGCAAATGTTAGTGTCTCCTTACTCCAGCTTAGCATATCCGCATACAGTTTCAATGTAAAACCTGCTTCAGTATAGTTCTCTGCTTGCAAATGTAAGTCATATAGCTTATAGATGTACCTGATTGAAGGAATAAATGTCAAGCGATTTCCTTCTTCAACTTAAAAATTGTTCCTATAGGAACTAGGTATTTATAAATACCGTAAATACATCTCCTTTCGATCGATCTCACTCTTATAGAAGTTCAATAAATTCACAGTGCAACTCATTCGTTTGTCCCTATTTTCATCTCCTTGCATGACATTTCTATAATCCAGCAATCGTTCCAACAGTTTTGTCACTGATTTTATAAACACTTCACCGGCCCCACACCACGGTGGATTTTCTGTTTCCAATCGCTCCAAAATACTAAAGAACAACGTAGCAAAAAGTCAATTAGATATGAGATATGATGATTGGTTACGATATCAAAATGTAAACCAGTCAGAGGTAGATAAGCATTGAAATATAAATGACGTGCTTTCGGTTTTCTTCAATTCATGGTTTGAAATGTGGATGCATTAATACTATATATTTTGATATTCAATCCAGATTGCCTCAGACATATTACAATTTTGAGATAGTTGGCCAAAATTTTGAAAAGAATTGCGTATTTGCAAAGTGATAAACTTACACTAATGTTAGATGCTCCCTGTCCGTGAAACAACAATGAAATATGTGTATGCATATGAGAAATGTGAAGAATGATCAATGAAAATGATTAGAGGCACCAAACAGTTATCATATTGAATGAACATTAAACATATTTTGACTTACATGGTACTGAATAGTTCTCTGTATTCATCATCACCTTTATTTTCATTGATTAACGAATCCAATTTGTCAATTAGTTCACTCTCAATCAATCGAAATGATCCGCGTGCAGACTAAAGAGTTGTTTATTTCAATCATTTTTATTCTACCCAGAGCGTATATTTGTAATGATTATACAATTGGTGTACTTACTTGTTCACACTCTATCATATCGTAAAATACTGTTAGAGTTGCCTTGCGCAGTGATAGCTCTGGCACTAATGTAATTTCTAAAAATGGACCAACCATAGTCGGGATGAAATGTAGTTTATTTTCATTGAGATGTGTCCACCTAGAATTTAGAAGAAAACAATTCGAATCTTCAGAATATTACTGCATGGAAAAATGTTTGTTGAAGAACATACATGCTCAGTATTTGAAATCCCATCATGACTCGCATATCGCCAAATTCATTTAGAATTTTTCTTTGCTTGGTTTCACTATATTTTTCCAATTGCAGACATGGCTGTGTTGTGAAAACCGTGGCTAAGCTAAAATATGCCCACCAAAGTTGGGAATCGAATGTGTTGTCATCCAGATAACGGTAGACTAACGGTTTTGCAAATTCTTCCAGCGCTTTTCTGATAATATTGTTAGCCACCAATTTCATTACAATCCAATCGGATGGAAACACTTGCCAGTCCAAGTGAACAAGTTCCTTCAGCACAAGCAAACATTTATGTAGAAATCCCTTTAATTCGCCGCTTGCTTCAAGCTCTTCGAACAGATATGTATAATGAGATTCGTCCAATTGTTGCAATAGCCCGAGCAGTACGGCAACCAATGATGATAAAACCGGTGGTGATGCTTCGATAATTATAATAATTGTTTGCATCAAGATATCCAGAATATTTCGGCATAATGAATTCAGATCATGCGCAAGGTAGTTTGATGGTTTTTCAGCATTTTCTTTCGACAATCTGAACAAAAAGTTTAACACTTCCGACAAAATATCGGCACAAAGTTTCAATTCGTTTCGACGCGACAGGTGAATCCGAAGGTGCTTGGTTGTGACGGCCAAAATAATCGAACGAGATACCTCATCTTGGAATAAGCGTCCACTAACCAGATCTTTTATAGCCAGTAGTTTGGCTTGAATCAGACGAGGAGATGCATCACGACCAACGGCATCAAATATGCCACGTGTCAACGTCCCTATGTCTGGTGCTGAAAGTATGCCTTGTAATTGTTCGACGACGACACCAATTGTGCGTAAAAGGGCTTCTTGTGGAGCTATAATGGCTTCGTTGGTTGGCACAGATAGCATGCGACTGAGTGCGTTGAACAGGTTGTATAAATCTTGTCGAAACGAGTCCTCATATTGACCACCAGTCGCTTGTGCCTTAAATAGTTTTCTCGACTGTATTATTAGTTTGATTACGTACTCCAATGAATCAAAGTATTTTGGGATTGGCTCGGAAGATTGTTCTGCCGTTGTCATGCAGTCAGCCAAATGTTGTACGGAAGTGATGAGTCCTGTTTGTTATTAACATACATTAATTTATTATACAGTTGAAATTACATAACATAATATTTACCTTTGTAAACTAATGCAGCCGCAAAATGATTATCTATATACTCGTCCATTACCGGTTTGAAGTGTTCGAATTTTGAGCTTTGAAGTAAACTAAATATGCTAACCAAAACTTGAAATACAGTCCCTGAGTGCTCCGTACTGTTTCCATCCTCATCTGAAAAAATGGCGAACAGTGCGTCCAAAACATCCTGAAGAAATTTCACTAATTCTTCATCGCGTAGTGTCAAAACACGTGACAATGCTTCTTTGATACGTTCCGGATGTGCTTTCCACTGCAGTATGGATAAAATATCAGCATTTTGTGTCAACTTTGTCGAAATGAGATGTGATCGAATGTACATGCACTCCTCTGCAAGATAAAGTGGTATAGAGTGTTAGCAAAATTACAAATGGCATTTGTGGGATTTACTTACTGGATGTTCTGTGGAAAGTAGCTGTTTGATCTAATATGCCCTGATCATCAAAAGCAGAGCATCGCAGAGTTAAATACGGGACTTTGGTTAATTTTGACGGATCTTCACACTTATACACATACAGCTCATGCAGGCCATCAGCTAAGGCTGCGCCACTTGGTTCCATCAAACGTGCAAAACTAAATGCAAAGAGTTTCGGCTCAGACTTTTCTTTGGTTGAGCAGTGTCGAAACTCAAAACGAACGTGAGCGGTTGAGAATTTTTCGATCGGTAAGTTCAATCGAATCGTCTCATTCCATGCAGGTGAGTTGTTATGGTACAAAATCATAGACCTGAATTGATTTTTGGCATTTTCAATCCCGGATGCGCCCCAAAAACAGTCTGGTATAAGTTTACCATTCGAATCAATGATACTCACAAGAACTTCAATATTCTTTGCAGTGCTCTTGCCAGCTCGTTCAAATTCACCGCGGTCTATTGCTAAAAACAAATCATTACGTACATCGCCGGGCATAATTATGTCCGGGAATCCAATTTTTCGTGTAATTACCGCTCCCTGAAACAGAAGTGGTTGTTCCTGTTTTGCTTGAAGCAATTCCCCATGAAGCATTTTGACTGAGACTCCGATTCCATATGAATTTCCACTTCCGCTTCCATTGATTGGTGAGTATTTGCCAGACGTTTTCTTGATGAGCATTTCATGAAGCTGATAAAAATCTTTTTCCTCGCATTGAAACAGCCGAAAACTGTGATCTTTTTCTTCAGCTTCGATCAAATTCTCCGCACTGCCCGAACTAAGGAGAAGTGACAATGGTAAAACTCCAACGCCAAACGGACGCCGAAACATTTGCGTTGAACTTGATTTCTCATTTTTTTTCAATGATTCTTGAAGCATTTTCCCCGCTCGTACCACATTAGTCACCAAATAAAGATCAGAATTTATCTCGGTAGCACCTGTGTTACGGAAAAATTGAAAAGAAACCGCAATAGTCAATGAAAGATCATCCATTGTAAACAACACATTTTGATTGAACTCATAGAAATGCATTTACCTAGGTCAGTGAATACACAACAGTTCGAATGTAGTTTTTCGTTGAAGTGTGCATAGCCGTCCTTGGGAATAGGTACAGAAAATCGCTCAGAAATTTGGCGCATAGCTCCAGGACTTGCATCGTACAGATAAAAGAACACCTCTGCGTCATCTCCAATTGAATAGCCAAAATCTCGCATGCAAAAATAAAGATGATGGGATAACAGCTTTTTTCCACTTTTTCGACGCAATGTTCCGCGACTCTGTATCGAACAAAACGAAATATTGTGAAAAACATTTTTTGCTGTGCAATGTTTTTTTGCAGATATATGAAAACCGTTTCATTTCTAGGACTTACAGAGCTTGCTTTAGCATTTTCAGATGAGCTGACATGAACGTGATGTAACGATGAAATACTAATCTCATATGGATTCACAGCTAATGGTCCGATTCGTGGTACTAGATCGAGGCAAAGTTTCCTGAAATGAATTTTGTGTGATTCAAATTATTTGTACTGGTAGAGTATCAAGGTCAATGAACGGTGGTCTGATTGTGAAGAAGAGAAAAGAACAACAACAACAAGTTTCGCTCAAAGTCATTTTTTTCCAGTATGGCAGAACATATGATTTTAAAAACATTCAATAAATATCAAATGAAAATATCATTCAATATTGATGATCTTTTATGATCAATTCCAATGAAATATCACCGAGGCATAGGTAATATTGTTAAAGATCCATTCTGTCATTGTTGCATTACGAATAATGTGTGTGTATGTGTGCTTGTGTATGAACCATACATAACAACAAAAAATACGTATAAATACGTATACAGTAACATAGGAGATCTGCCGTTTCATTTATTTGGTAACATCATTGTGTACTTCGAGTCGGTTTGTGTACACATACACACAATCGCAGCGGCATATACATGCTCATTCACACACAAATATGGGCATTTCAGATTGCGTGTATTCCTACATTTCATACGTATATACACACAGCACTGAAACATGTCATAGTATTGGTATTTGTCGGTTCTGTTTACGTCGTTTCAAATGAATTAGGGTTTCTCGCTCTGACAATCGTTTATGCCCCCAGTGTTTGCATTCCATTCTCTCGAACACACAACCAGAGCATTGTATTTCAACAGAAGTCTGCGACCAGTTAGTACTGTTTCAACTTTCTACCACGAAGAACGTTGTACGCCGATTAACTGTTGAACTTATTCTTTGGTTGTGCATTCATTTTGGATGCACAGTTCAATATTCAACTTTAAAACATAAATAGCTCTAGTTTATTTCTTTTTCCAAAAAGAAGAGTGTATTTGCTTGACTTAACAGGTACATATTTTTCCCATTTGTTGGATTTACCTATGTGTGTTTAAAAGAAATTGTGCGTCTGGGATGCTGCTATTCACGTTTCAATTTTCATAGGCAAATGTCGCATATAAAAAAATGAGTGATTGTCGGTGCCATTTTCGAAACAATTATTTTAAAAAATATTTTAATTTATGTTTACTTGGTCTGAATTGTTTCTATGTCTGCACATGTCGCAACTGAAATGGCCGAAAATGGTTTTAGTTTTGTGTGCGTGTGTATTGGTTTATACAGAACTTATGTTACTAACAAGACATTCTGTAGAAGGTGATGATGCTAACTCAAATATTCGTTCGATTGTATGAGTTAGTTTTTTTTTCCAACACTGCGTGTGAAAGAAAGTCGACGATCGACTCTTTGTGCTGAGTCAACAACGCATGAGTATTATTTGCTTTAGCCAAATGTCGGCAGAGCTATAAAAATATTTTCAATTTCTTCTCGTTTCAGATGCAACAATCTCTTGAAAATCAGTAAATAGTTTTGGATTACATACAAAATTCGTTCGATCACTCTCAATAATAAGTGAATCATGATTGTGTAACTTGTTGTGTAGTAAATTTTGCAACATGAAATTCGCATTTGAATAAGAAAAAAATTCTTGGAAAATTTCATGATTATCTGTGTTGGAGAGGAAACCAGTTTTGCGTGTTTGATCGTGAATTCTTTGGACATTATTTTCTTTTGGGTATCTTCTTTGGCTGAATCACCTTTCATTCTTGATATCACGTTTTTGCCTTTTCCATTGTATTCAGTGACTGTAGTTTGTTATTTTACCAATGCTTTTTTTTCTTCGTCGTACTTAATGTACAGAAATGCTGTTGGAGCAATATTGTCACGAGTCTTGATTGGCTATTCGTTCAATTGATCTCAATTGGATTTGATAGCATCTATACGCGAATGAAGTTCGCATAGTTAAATATACGAAAGCGTATACATTCTTTAAAATTTGGAATATGTGTTCATGCTACGGATTTTATCGTTATAAAATTGTGATTCAAAAAGATATCCCCGATTTGATAAACGAACGTAAATATTTTGTCTTTTAAGATAAGAGACGCTAATGAAATCTCTGCTTCAAAATAAACAGCACTGGATGTGCTTCAATAAAAAATTGTTGGGAGAAGCCTATCGCTTTCTTATGAATTTTGGTTTATAGTGATCATTGACTTCTTACACAAAGTCGCTGAAAATTCAAGTTTTACAACGACCTAGTTAGCACGGGCGATTTTTCCAATGTGTGAGAGACGAAGCGTGATCGACGATGACGTTGATTGGTCACAGCAAACTGAAATATAAATATTGTGCTAAAAGCGAATTTACACTTATGCATTCTCAGTTTGCTAGCAGTGAATACGTTTGAAAACAATCAACTGAGACTTTGAACAAAAATTGCTAATGGAGGACATGCATTTTATGACTCATTAGCAGTATAGAATAGTGGAACTTTGTTTTATTGCATACAATTCGTTCAAATGTTCAGTAAATGACACCTTTTCGTCAACAATAAAACTATCTCCAAATACTAAAAGCGTAAAATTTAAACACAAACTTCGGAATGAAAATCCAAAACTTTTCCGTTTAATATAAATAAACTGCTATTGAAAAGAGTCGCATCAAATATCCCCATTTCGAAATCAAACTGAATAGCACAACATAACATCAGATTCATTCAATTGTTTTGTACTTTTGTATTTGACGGTAACTACTTTGACGATGTTGTTCAACGCTTATTCACACAGTTTTTTTTTTTCAAACTTCGTTGATAGCACGAAAACGAACCATTGAAAGCGCCATAGTTGTCCAAACATGTTGCAGTGAATCGTCTCACGAATAACAATTAATCTATTCCGAGCCAGAATTAATGTGTAGGCATTCATGTTCTGTACATATTTTTGTACTTAATTTATTAAATGTCTGTTCAATCTATTGGCTGTGCAGAGGTTACAATGAAAAAAAATCTGATTGTGAATTACGAAAAACCGTACATTTACTATGCAGTGGGAAACTAACGATGAACAGTTTGACATGCGGATATTTCTATTCCCATAGATTGATTGCATTACATGCATAGTATACAGAGTTCTTTTTGGAGAATATTCATTACTTTTTCCAAATGAGTGTTTCCTGAATGCTGTTGATTATTATCATGAAGTTCGTTACTTTTTTTTATCAAAAGAAAAACATCATAAACGTCTTAAGCGAATGGAGAACGCACATATATACATTTTTGTACAGTTATATTTCTAGAAGTGTACATCTTTTAAACTATGTCGGTGTTTGGACTTTTATCCGGCGTTGCCGGTTTCGTCAAGGTTCGCTATTTGATTGACAAAGCGATTATCGATAATATGATCTTTCGCTGCCACTATCGCATCACCAGCGCAATATTGTTCGTTTGTTGCATCATTGTCACCGCCAACAATTTAATTGGTACGTAATTTGACAATTTGAAATAAATTCCCAAGAAATGTCAATTTTTGGACATAAATCAATGAAACATTTTCAAATATTCTAGGCGACCCAATTGCCTGTATAAATGACGGTGCGGTACCAAACCATGTCATCAATACATACTGCTGGATTACGTACACTTTCACACTTCCTGGACAACATGGTAATGGATTTGTGTATAAACATATCATACTTTTGTTTAAATTTATAACCAAACAGCTAACATAAATGCTTGCTCATGTCGAATTAGGCAAGCATGTTGGAACCGAAGTGGCACAGAGCGGTTTAGGAAACGACAATCAGGAAAAAGTATTTCATAGCTACTATCAGTGGGTGCCTTTTACACTGTTTTTCCAAGTAAGATATTGCATGTTATCAGCACACTACTTTTCTACTCGTTGAATACGATTTGAATCTAAAACGTCTGTCAACATTTAGGGTTGCCTGTTTTATGTTCCTCATTACATTTGGAAAAATATTGAAGACGGCAAAGTAGGTTTGATCTCACAAGGAATTCGAGGCATGTTCGCTCTACCACCAAAAGAACGTGTAAGCCGTCAAAAACGTTTGGTCAATTATATATTGGAAAGTTTGCGAACACATAACGGTTACTCATTTGGATATTTCTTCTGCGAAATTCTGAACTTGGCCAATGTCATCGCAAACATAATTTTCATCGACGTGAGTAAATCGAATGAGCTTTATTTCATTTTAAATGGAAATGAAATGAATTATCTTTTGCTTTTTTTTTCTCTACAGAAATTTTTGGGTGGCACATTCCTCACTTATGGCACGGACGTCATAAACTTTTCAAATGTGAGTATCAAACATTTGTTTCATTTATGATGTACAAATTTACAAATTTTTAATTCTTTGGTGATGTAATTTTTGAAAATTTGAATCAATAGATGAACCAGGAGAATCGAAGCGATCCGATGCTTGAGGTTTTCCCACGAATTACGAAATGCACATTCCACAAATACGGAGCATCTGGCAGTATTCAGAAACATGATGCGTTGTGTGTTTTGGCTTTGAATATTCTAAATGAGAAAATCTATATTTTCTTATGGTTCTGGTTTATCATTTTGGCGGCTTTGTCTGCGTGCGCCATTCTTTACTCGGCTTTGGTAGTTATGTTGCCAACAACTCGTGAAGCAATCATCAAGAGACGATTCCGTAATGGAACAACGAATGAAGTCGAGGGTTTGATTGCCAACATTCAGGTAATAATATGAGGAACCAATGTTCCATTTATTTTATAAACTCATCCGACCGATTTTCTGTTAACAGGTTGGTGACTTCTTACTGCTACATTTGCTTGGACAAAACATAAGCGTGAATGCATTCTCAGAAATACTACGTGAATTGTGTAATCGTTTGAGTTCCTCAACACCGTCCGCACCGTCACCAATGGAAATGGCACCGTTCTACAGTTCGGCTTTGGAAAATGAGAAGGAGACTATGACATAAAAGTCAGATCGAATTTAAACTGCAATGACAAACAATATTATAACCCTAATTTTTTTTAAAAAACATTTTTTCAAATAAATGAGCAAGAGTAGCTCAGATTTCCATCAGTTTGATCAATCTTCATAGACATTCCGTTTCGAAACAAATGATTATATCACATCACATATGATATATACATGAATAACAGAGACAATAAATTTTCACCAAACACAGCATTTTTTTAAACATTTAAGTGGATGAGTCATCACGTGATAGTGCAAATATGAAGATAATCAAGCTGAAGAGTAAACTAGATTTAAATTTGATGACAAAATTTTTCGATTCTCATTTTTTTCTTCCGGTAGCATTAAAATAAAGAGTTGATCGCAACAAATTTAACAAAGAATTAACTCTCATTGATTAATTGAGTTTGTGCATTGAACAAGTCACTGAACAACTTCTTACCATATCATGGCATATGGCTTAATTCAGTGACATATCACATTCTACGTGGGCGTATCACATTGACTTTCATTTCAATATTCATTTACTCTTAGATATTCTACCATTCATTCTTTCAAAAATCATTTATCCGAATTCTACTTAAAAATAACTATCTTTGACAATGTCCGCAAGTTAATGAATGATAAATCAAAATTATGACTTTAGACCTATTGAATAGAACAACAAATGTAGAATGTTTTTCTTCAACAATAATAAAATTTATATTATAAATCGCTTGTCTTTTATTTACCTGTTACCCCAGTCAATTTTCGAAGTGACCTGAAGACGTAATTCCAATGTTTGATCTTGGGTAAGTGTTGCACTTAATAGTTCACGCCGAAGCTCTAGTAATGAAAGCATCGCCTTCCGAAGAATTGAAAACTTGTACCAATCACGGTTCTGCAGAAACAATAAATAAATATGTATATGCTGAAGTTATGTTTTGTTTTGAACCATTACTCACCACATAAAGTTTTTTCCATATTTCCGACCATTCTCGAAGAACTTGCGTACATTCGGCAACGACTGGGTCGGTTTTTGTTGGATCTTTTAGTCGAACATAAGATTTTGGAAATATGCCAACGGAACGTGGCCTGCGGGAGCTTGTACCGCGATACCATTGCGCACATTCTTCGAGAATTTCCACCGAATCCCCCACGTCTAATTCAATGCCGTGCTGAACATTTCCTTGCCAATTGTGTATTGCTAATGGAAAAAATAGATTTGGTTATTGCTTATTTGGAAATACATATACCACTTGTATAATCATAACTTGAGAATAAAAATAAATGATGTCTTAGTAGAGATATTAATTTTTGGATTTCTTTAGTAAGTCGTTGTTTGCATATACGTACTGCTTAATGTATACATTAAAAGAAAAAGCCAGCATTCATTGGTTAAATATGCGACTTCCTGTTTTCGCATTCTCTGTCATTCACGAATTAAAAAGCATATATACTCATATTTATATTCAACGTCTGCGTTTTTGTACTTTTATTCGTACTTTTTTTCGACACACTATAGTGAAATATTCTTCAGTCTACGTTTTGAATGTATTTATACATTTGAATGGGGAGAGAGAGGATTTTGATAATTTGAAAAAAAAATAATAATAATCTCTCCATAGCAATGATCACGTTCAAATGAAAATGTTTTTTTTATTTTTGTGTTATCAGCGAAATTAAAAATCACAATAACTAATTATTACCTATAGGTTTCTAATGCTACAGCATTGAACATGTTGATGTGTGCATGTATGTTGATAGGCAATACATTACTATCGAGATTTGGTCAGACTACTTAGCATGTGGAATGAGTACGCATATTTTCTGATCTTAATGGGCATACATAATTCACATAGCACATACACGTAGGCAATGTACATAAACAAACACACTATAAACAACAACGTTAGACCAAATAAAAACATTTTCATACATTCATGCGATCGCAACGAGATTTTTTACATCAAATTGTGTGCTTAATTTCAAATTATTCTCAATTTCAAAAATTGCTGATGAGAATGTCATGAATAAATTTCCTCATTTTTTGTGGGGAAAAAAACATTGGCTATCCGAGCGTTTTAAAACAATGATTTCCGCTTTTGTTATATCCGAAAACACTTTGCGATAACAGGCAAACTTCTGGTTTCGCAGCACTTTAATAAAATAACGTATCAGACCATTACACGATTGCTTGATTCTGGTATTATCTTTACTTTAAAGCAACACTTGCGATTGTTAATCACTTCGCATCGAATATAAACTTTGATTGATAAAATTTGGTACACTCCAATTGCACACTACTGTGCCGCACCATTTATGATAAGCCTAAGCTAATGCATGTAAAAAGTCGCTGTGCAAAATCAAACTTACCCACGCCGTATTTGCTATTTACTGGCTGCCACATACTCGATACACCTATAACTTACTCATAAAATAGATATGTTTCGTGGAAAAACTCATTAAAAAACACACAACTCCGATTTTAATTTGACAATTTATTTCTCTTCGTCACAACAGCCAAATGAACGATCAACACTGGACAGAATAAATTTCAATGAATATTTTGAGACCATTAATTTCGACGATTGAAATGACAATATTTTTTTTGGGAGTATGAATTGCTAATTAGGCTCCCTGTTAAATCACCTCACTCGATACACAACGAGCATAAGCACAATAGATGCAGTCACTTTTGCTTTCACATTTGAATAATTTAAAATTTATTTCAATATTTAAAGTCGAAAGTGAAATTTTTGATTTCACAAAAACAAATTGATATCAGTAGCTCAATTTACGGTTTATAAAATTGTGATTTTCTCCCAGCCGTGCAGCCGTTCAGAAGAGTGAATCAACAATATGAGATTGTTTATGTACTATATATATTACGGGTTAGGACGCTGCTGCTGTCGCTTCTGTTCGTCACATACACAGAAATAATCGAAAATAAGAAAACCCGTGAATAAAGGAATTAAATGCGAGTAATACAAACAAAATGACGTTTACTATTCAGCCGCGTTGATGTGTGCAAAAGCAATGATTATTATGAATGAAATGCCGTGCGCTCGGTTTGTTTGTTGTGTGTACGTACTACAAGCGACGAATCGACTCGCATCAACGGTACATTGGTATAGGATGAAGAGACAGACCTTTCGAATCATAGTCCATAGTATTCGCTACTTTGTTCACTTCCCTAACACATAGATTACATTATCATTCTTGTGTGAGCGTGTTGCGTTTGTGTGTGTGAGTATTACTTTGACATTTAAATGGGTGTTTTATGTGCCGCTCGCAATTGTACACACACAAACAGAGAAATAAACTACGTTTGGTATTTACTATTGACAGGGTTGGATTCATTTATTTGCTCTATACACATCGATAACACAGCTCAAATGTCACACGTATAGTGCTCTCTTTCTAATTCCTCTCTTTCTATGTTTATTTATTTGGAATGAAATTTTGTTTATTTCCGAACAATTTGCGTGTGTGTTTTCACTTCGTTTTATTTTGATTTTGCTTTCTTATTAATTACTGGCTCATTGAGAATGATAAATTGGTATTTTCGTCCGAATGTTGTTTCATGTCATATGACATATTGCTGTCTTTGAAACTGAAACTAAAAGTAAAGAACAGAATATCAACACATACAGAAACTATGCTAGGAATTGATTCAACAATACCTGGATGCATCACTATCATTCGCATTGGAGCTGGATGGAGATAAATTGTTTTTCGACATATTGTTCATCATGTTCATGTACTCCTCTTTCAAGTTACTACAATACAGTGCAGATGCATACAAAAATATTGTACAATTGTTGGAAAATAAAACCCATCTACAACTTACATTTTTTGTATCTGTTCGCTCTCTTCAACCAATTTTTCATACTCCAATTGGGTGCTTTTGAATCGGATGATTTCGGACCGATTGCGATTGATAATTTCATTTTTATAATAGTTATGAAGGTTCAAAAGTGAAGTATTCGAAACTGTTTTGTAAGCCTTTTCAAGTGAATCTATATCAATCTTTTTCTGAAAAAAATAAAATGAAAAGAGAGCAATGTGTTACTTAGCCCAGACCCGCAAATGCATTTAATAGCATCATTTATTAACTCACGTTGACATCCTTTCCATCGGCCGCGACCACTTGGTTGGTTTTTTCTAACAAACACCTGTAAAACTCTTCGACAGCATCGTTGAACATTTGCAAACCGCTCTCCGTGCAATCTTAACATTTTCAGAAAATATTTTTCAGTTCTTGTTCCCCTCTTTTCCTAAGAATCAATCATACTTACAATCGAAACCTTTGACACGCAAAAGTCCCGTCAACGCTTTGCCGATAACATCCATCACAACTGGCTTATTTATTTGCGTTATGGATTTTGGTTTGCCCTCTGTGAAATCCGAAGGCTCTGGAGTTGATTCAAATGGTGATATAATTGGTTGATCCAGTTCTTCTAGGCACGCTTTTGTATCAGCCGAGAGGGTGATTGTTGGTAAGACTTGGCGTTGATTAGTCATATACACCTAGACATGAACAATAGTGAATCAATTGTATTTTACCGGTGGCGTATAATTGATTTTTTTCATTTATTTACCATTTCTTCATTGTACATTTCAATCATGGATTTGATACGATTGGTGTGATTCATCAATTCCACAGTTTGCGTTACGAGGTGGTTTTCGATTTGAACGCTGAAATTTGTAGAACCTGTGTTAACTTCTGAAAAACAAACCCATTCTGTTATGTACTCACGTTTTTTCCCGACGCGGCTCATCAATCGCACCAAGCATCTCGATTTTAAAGCGTTTTTCCGGCGGATATATCGAAAAAACATCATGAACTTCGTATTTTGAATCATGTGTTTCTGGGCATTCGCCCCAATGAGATTTCGCGTGGCTTCTTCTCATCGTAAAATCTTTGCTCTTATTCCTGGATATTGTTTGTCACAGCACGAAAGCATTCAAACAAACTGAAACAAACTTGACAGCTGAAGTGTCAACATTCATTTTTTGACAGCTAATAGAAATGCAAGTAAATTGTCTAAAGACGACTGTCTAAATGTCTACCGTTTATTGCGTTGAACGTTACAACATTTTGCTTAGTAAATTTAAATGCAATAAAAAATAAATACATTACAAAATGTTAAGAAAATGAAGATAGAGTAGGGCGTGTGAAATGGAAATAGAAATTAATCTTTGAATTTGCGACGTATGAAGCTGGGGACTGGGATCAAATATAACAACATATTGAATGCGATAAACCCAACAGCGAAACCAATTGATGCTGCCATGTCAGTGTTCTCTTGGGGAACAGCTCGACCAAGTCTTTCGTATAGATAATCCGATGTTAATGGACACACGGTCTTATCACTCGGTATGCAAACCATTTTCCTCGATAGGAATACTGCACTGTGTAATAGGGTGGATGCATATTTTGTATGCGTTCCCTTCGTATTCTCTTGAAGCCATGGAGCCAAACCCTGGAAAGATCTTACGGTTCCGCTTGCTAATGCTATGGAAACACAAAATATATAGCTAACAATGATTGCAACATTAATTCTTGACTTAATAAATAGAAGCAGTGTGATGCAAATCTGTTCAGCTAAAATAAAACTGCTCCAAAGTGCAACCAAGAGATAAGTGAAGGCAATTCCGTTGGGATGCTCTGCGTCCAAAATGATTCTAAAACGAATGATGAACTTGTTATTTTATTTATTATAAGCGAATAAAATGTCGTCAAACTTACGGGTACAAGACGCAAACAGAAAGCGCTGCAGAAATGATTGAGAACGGAAGCGACACCGACTCATAGGCCAGCAGCAATGTTGTTCCCGTGTATAAACCTTCGTCATATTCTTTGCTAAATCTATTGCGCCAAGGAGGAACTATTTCGAAAAAATGGAAAGATTGATTATTGCAAAATACATTACAAAAGACGCCAATCTCTCAATACTCACATAAACTGATTGTAGCCTAGAGGAGAAGATCACAAAGAAAAATATTTATTTTAATGAAAATAATGAATCTATATATATCAATCGTTGCTCACCCAAACACCAGCACCATAGGCTAAGCCTAGAACATTCATAATCATTGCACTTTTGCTGTAGAAGCCTTTTGCATCATCGCCAACGTTACTATAGAATATCCACATCAGACTCATGGCCGCGGGCAGTGCGAATAAACGCAGGAATAGTGATTTTAGGCCAGCATGACTGCAAGAGAACGTAGCGGCAAGTAATTTCCTACAAGTAGATCCAAATACACAGAATAAGAATAAGAATAAAATTGTTACTTTACTCAAGCTTTCAACGCTTACAAGTAAAGCATTCCCCAAACTTTTATTTCACTTGGTTTCCCATATGACAACGGGACTTTTCCGGAGCCCATTGGATTCATCGGAACATCGGGCAATGGTGCTTCGCGTGCAAAACGCTGGACTAATGCTTCTATCTGTTGGCTGGACTCGACGAAACGATCTCGACTTCTGCAAAATGGAAAGAATTCAAATGAATATTGTTGATCAATGGGTTTAGTTAAAAGTCGAACCTTCGATCAACCGTCGATAGACACAAATAGTACATCAACGGATTTTCGAGCTGCGGACATGGGAATCCGATGCTATGGAAGTATTCCAACATGCCACGAGTACTACCTGAGTAAACGACTCCACCCAGGCACAGGAACAAAGCTCTGTCTAAAAACGGAAAAACATCTGACCGGGGTTTTTCCATTGACAGCAATATTCCGCAGCCCGTTTTCTTAGCGTAGTTGGACAAAATGGATACGAGTAAATATGCATCCAGTGGATCCAATCCATATGTAGGCTCATCTAATAGCACCATAACAGATTCACGAACGAATTGGACACCAATCGAAAGGCGCCGTTTTTCGCTCATGTTTAGATATTCAACTCGTTTGTGAGCTACTTGTGATAGGGCCAAATCAGCGAGGATCTGACGAACCTTTGAACTTTTCGAATATCCATTGAACTGTGGATGGGAGAGAAACGAAGTGAAAATGAACTACAGGACTTCTGAGGAAAAATACAAAAAAAAAACAGTGTAACGTACCACTGTTGGAGTGTAGTGAAGAGTCTGCGAAACGGTTAAGCCATGGATGAAATCAACTGAATGTGTCACGTATCCACATTTTTGCTGGAATATCGATCTTGTCAAAGTAGACCCGTTCAGTAAAACCTGTCCTCTTGTCGAATTTTCAGCACGACAAGCAATCACATCAAGTAATGCCTTTTTTCCACTTCCCTTCGAGACAAGAATAAAAAAATGATATAAAAATACTGTCCGATGAAACAACAAAACTATAGCCTACCTTCGAGCCCAATATTGCCATTACTTCGCCGGATTGCAATGTCAGACTTACACCCTTTAGCACAAGAGCGGAATTTTCTTCGACATTTAAACAGCCACCGCCATCAACCTTCACACAAAACACAAACAATTTTAAAGAATTTTTTTAGTCCTAATGTTTGTAGGAATTTTAAAGCAAATACACCTACCTCAGCTGTATGATAGATGTTGTGCGCTTCAAGCACATAATCACTTCCAATCATCTTGTCTTTTTTAGTAAAAACCAATGTGCAATCAAATGATTTGTGATGATTTTTAGTCGTTTCAGATTTTTATTCTTTTTCTAAAAAATGAAGAAATAAAAAGTGTTCTTCAAAAATGCAAAACATTACCACATAACTATTATATATATATATGTATAGCATTAGTTAATTTGAATTGAAATTATATTTAAAAGAAATGCAGCTATTTCATTTGTGTATCACTCGTGGTCATTTTTGATAGTAAGCTTACCTCCCATAAAAATCGAGATACCTATCTTCAACATAACAGTTTGCTCAATTAAGAGTTGGCATTTTAATACTAGCTAACAATCGTATAAACGCACAAGTTCTATGTAGTGAGAAACTTTGTTTGTAGCACCTTCTTTGTCAAGAGTCAAAATACAAACTATGGTTGTGCAGAAGTTACTGAGTATTCGTTGCGTGCTCTTAGTAGTGAGCGATGATCGTGTGACTAGAGCGACTACATGTGTACACAGATGTGTTGTCTCTTTTACAGTGGATGCTTTTGAAATGACGCTACCTGTTGACTTCATAGAATAGCAGCAAAAATTAAACCGCAAGAATGTGGGTATATCCAATTGGAAAACATTCCGACTGAATAAAAAAAAATCTCATTCAAGTTGACGATGTTTTAAGAGGGACAACCTTGTATTCATTTGTGCATAGAACCATATAAAAATTCATATGCACTTAAAGTGATGATTTTTTTTATTTCTCATTTCTATACTTTTTGCTTCTTCTTCTTCTTCGATAGATTCGTGTGTGATGTTTAATTTTTGGTCAAGCCAAATGTCAACACGGATATTCAAATTGAATTTTACAAGAATGATCTAAAACTGAAGAACTGGTTCTTTTTAAATTAAAATTCACATGAATATGAAAACGGTAAATACCACGGGGCATCGCAGTGAATCATACTATGATTATCATAGTGTGCTCAAGGCACACCCAACTCCTTAGTTTGTATTTTTTTTAAACTCCAACATAAAAAAAATTAAAATTGGCATAATTCTTTTTGGTGCAATAAGTGAGAATAAAAAATCATTGCAATAAATATTCGAATTAGAAGAGATCTTAGTGTTGGGCAGGTGAAGTTCGTTTACTTTTACCAAAATCTCGGAAATGTATGCGGCTGAATGCGATGTACTGTTTCGTTTGCTTTACGCTCAGGTGCACATCATGTTGTTTCACCATATACGGTATCTTCTAGCTCAATCGTTCTTCATTGTGTGCAATGGTATGCTCGCTAGGGCTGTCTCGCTTCCACGAGAAATTTTAATGCCGATCTAATATACAATGGCAGTATAGACAAAGAATGAAGCATACGATCGCACCAACATGTACAAGGTTTGTGAATTTAGTAATGCCTAGTCGCTTGTGACGGTAGTTAAACAACGCTTTTCACTAGTATTAACGTTTTATTCGGTTGGAAATTGTTTTTCTTCTTTTCTCATATTTTTTTCGTGAATTCTATTATTTTAAAACGTATTTTTTTTCTTTTTTTTTAATGTTAGTTTCAGTGCTAAACAGATTGCTATTTTTCAAATTTGAAAGTGATAAACACAGATTTTAATGAAAGCGTAGTGTATATGCTCAAAAAATTATTATCTGAATCAGAGAATGGATTTCCAATCTGTTTCTTTTTGATCAATAGCTACAAAAAGTTTTCGAAATTTTTAATGTATTGTATAGAACATTTCCCAAATGAGCTAATCCAACGAAACAAAGTTTTCCTAGCGTTGATCATTGTTTGCAAAGAGTGATTTCCAAAACTTCATTTTGATTTTTTAGAATAGGAACCCAATCAAAATTTAAAGACAGGGAAATATTTGAATAGAAAAAAATGTATTAGACATTCGCTGTGAGGCTAAATTTTCAAATCAAATAAAGCAAGAATCTGAACTAACGTATTCGTTACTAAAATAATATTAATCTCCAATGCTCCATATATGACTTGTTTGCCTAAAATTGACCAACTTAGCGTTGTATGCTATTTTGACCGCTTGAAATAGAGAATCGTACGCTGGGAGAAAGAGGAAACTGAAGAAGTGATTTGTGAAAAACCAATAAAAATATATGAACCGTACTCCGACCATTAAGTGGTAGCATCCGAAAACATCATCGTCGGCAAACGTGTTATATGGCTTTCAGTTCTGTAGTTATTTTTCCTACTGATACCTTTCTCATTACGTTGCCTTCTTCTTGTTCTCTTGCTTTCATTCAAGTCGTTGGTTCGCGTGAACAACCAAACAGTACAATGGATTGAATAAAAAAAAACCTGTTTCGTATATATCTTTCAGCAAATGACTAGCCAGTTATTGTGTTTTTGGTGCTGATTTGATGTTGAAAAAATTTGTACCAGAAAACGAATTTACACATGACCGTTGAATCAAAGTTCTACACCCAGAAATTGCTCAATTTGAAGTTTATAAACTGAACAATTTCGAAAGAAAATTTACGTTAGAAAACCAAGTGAAAAAACAAAGAACAAACTGACTCTAAATATTTGGTGTAACTGTGGTTCCATTGATACGTCAACCAGAATGGTAAAGCTGCACTAACCAAATATTGTTTGTGGATTACTCGTTGAAATGTACTGAATCGTTCCATTGGTAAGTCAATTTTGGGTGTTTCTCCAATTTTTCATAAAGACATCAAGCATTTTCGATATTCAAGTCATATCTCTTATGTAAATAGCTCCACGATAAAATGAGCCCAAATTCCAGTTAAATCTGTGATCATTTCATATTCAGATGCTTATATTCACATTCTCTGTGTGATAACGGATTCTTCATATTTGCATTTCTTTTACTATCTCCAACAAAATATAAAACGGTTCTAGTGTTTAACACAACTCTCTTGGTGATTTTCATTCTCTTTGACGTTGAGAGAGAGAGAAAAAAACAAGACCACAATTATTTTCCATTTCTTTTGCTTTTGAAAGACATGAAACATCCAATTCGTGAATTTCGGCCATTAAAGAAAAAGAATCGATTTAACGCTTTCATCTTTCGTGATAATATTTTCCATCTTTAAATCGGATTTATATTTTAAAACAATCGCGAACATAATTTAAATTTTGTTTTCAGAAACGCATCATTTTTATAAACAAAAAATGTTGTATACATTTGTTATTGTTCTTCGTGTCTTTATTTACTTGAATTTTTTATCGAATCCAAGGTTTGGGAATTTCGCGCCGAGGAAACGTTTTTGGTTCTCCGTATTCCATTGATTTTGAATTTCGAAGACTCACAAAACTAACTGAAACTGTGACTAAAACCATACAAATTTATATTCATAGCGATGACACACTTAACTGGCCCGAACATTTTTTTCCAGCGAATCATGATTATGAGAAAATTAAATTCGGTAAAATCAGACGCTATGTGTCAGCGACACAATATGACACGTGAAAAAATTACAAATTTTCTGAGATGGAATAGTAGCTCTTGCTATGAAACACGCATGCGGGCACATGCAAATTGATAGTTTGCAACATTATTAGTTGTGGGTAGAAAAAACCTTGCTATTTATGTAAATGTGGTAGAATTTCAGTGATGTACTACGCGTTGTTTTTCATTTTCATCATACTTCAGATGACAAATTGCAGTTAATGCAGATATTTCAAACATTTCCCATGTTTTCTTCTATTAAAAATTAACAATACAAGTCATTGTATTGTGGCGTGGAAAAAATTGTGTTATCGTTGTTCACTTTGCACAAACCTGTAAGTCAGAATACTTTGAGCAGCGGAAGCTTTCAGTTTATACGTTAGATATTGGTCAATTCCGCTAAATTTCAACTCACGGTTTTACGCATCTCTGTTTTGTTCTGTGTTTCTTTTGCTCACTCCTTAGAGAATGAGAACAAATCTATTCACAATTCTATTGAATAAATGAACAAAATGAACGAGTATGTGAGATCTCTGGATTAGGTATAATCATACACGTTGTGATCATTCATCAAACGTATTGCAATATTGTTCACCTTTTCTATTGTTTGTTTGCTCTCATTTTGTCGGTTGTGCCGTTCTTTGGGATTGAATGGCACGGGCGCACACAAATCAGCGTTGTATCGATTTTGGTCACAGACATTTCTTTTAAGAAGTCGTACACTGACGAGTACTGTTATTCGTTGCATCCACTGTATCCGCCGGGTGAGGCGACAAAAACATTTGATGCAGACCAAATTCGAACTGGCGACCATTTCACACTAAAGTTTCTTTTTTTCTTGCAATTACTATTAGTATTTGTTTTTCTACGCTTCTAATTGCTCTTTTTTAAATGATAAAATTTGTTTACGTCACACAAAAACGTATCGAATTTTCAACTTTTGAAACGAAGAAGAAAAACATGTAATTGTCATTTCTCTAGTATGATGTGCAAAAAACCTAACACAATAAGAAAATTATGCAAAACACTGCACAAATCAAGTTTGCAAATGTGCTGATGATGATTGTTCGAAATCAACAATGTGTGAAGTAGGTGTATTACTCACATGTTGATGGTAGCAATCGAAATTTCACTTGCGTTTGACTTGCAGAATTATGAAAAAAAACCTCATCGCACCTCATGTGTTGCAATCTTTGTATTCAGTACTTGCAGACTTCGCTGCCTCGTGTTTCCAGCAATTTTCATCGTTAAAGTATTCGTTAAATTCGAGACGAGAGTCAGCCAACCGGAAAACACTGAAAGTAAGCAAAAAAGAAGATATCAATCTTGGTTTGCATACTTACAAATAAATTCATGGGGCCTATTTTGTTGTGGTGTTATTTTACTTTCAATTTGACCAAGAGGCTGGAAATGATCGAAAAAAAAAGAATCTAATTTTCTCAAGCTGTATTGACACAATTCCAAGCGGCCGCATCTCAATGAAATACAAATCAAAATGTTTTTTTATGCTTAAATTCGAATATCCAGTATATTGAGAGCTTATAATTTGTGGGCCAAAATGTATGAATTCAGTTTCAAATTACTGTAAAATAAACATGCATTATAATAAATAGAACAAGAAAGTGAGATAAGTTGAAGAACAAGCAACGAAAATTACAAGAGAAATGATTCCAAAGTGAATTCTTTTTCCGACCTTTTTTCTAGTTGCGATCTTATATTAAATACAAGTGAGTTCCCATGGAAACAATGATCTGAAACTATTTCATGTGAAAAATGTTAATAAAAATCCCCACACAAAGAAGTAGTGTAGTAAACGAGAAGCAAGAGTTAGACAAATATGAAAAACACTTTGAGTAATTTCTTGGTGAAAACAAATGTTCTACTTGAACTGTGGTGATTATGAGACTTTTAGACTTTTTCCTTGACATTTAAGTCATTTTCGGCCATACATAAAAAATCTTGTACCTACAGATATGTAACAGCATAACCAGTCAAAATTAACAAGAAGATTTTACTCCGATCAACTGTAAAACTAACTACTTGATAAATGAATGATCTAACACAAGATGTTGTCACAAATTTCGTAATGCATCACGCGTAAAAGCAAACATTGTAACGGGATTATGATCGAGGAACAGCGTTGCAATTTCTTGATTGTCTATGTAAAATGAAAATGAAAACCAAAACAACCGTTAAGGCTTAAAGCCTAAGCAACTTTCTTATGGTTAAAATACCGCAAATGATATGTCAGTGAACTTTTAAAATTGCAAGGCTAGAAGCTTGGCAGAAGATAGCGAAAGAAATCGAAGATGTAATGAAAAAAACAGGTACATCTGCCAGAATGCAGAATGTTAGATATGAAGCACACATTGCAAGCTCAATTTACCACTTCAGTCAAAACTTGTTTAACATCTCATCAGTGCGCGTGAGTGTCTGTAATTTCCATCGCTGAATCATATTGATTTGAATGAAAAATATTTGTTCTGTGAAATGAATAATGTGAACAAGGCTATTTGGGCACAGTTTAGACAAAATAATAACAGGTACAGAACAATTTTGAGCCAGTTCATTTTAGAAAAATAACACAAAATGAAACAAAACATTGATTGCAATCGTTCGATGCACATCCGCTTGGATGCTTTTATATTTATTTTTGTTGTTGTTGTTTATGCTGTATTTGTGAATGGCAATGGGTTTTTTTTCGAATATGTAATATGAATATTGCAGCCGAATGTTCACATGGAAAAGACGCACCTTTTCCTTAATAAAATGGTTTTACAAGCGTCTACCCACAGAAATATGTTTAAAATAGCAGTTTCATTTGATGCAAGCATTCATTTCAATGAGAGCATGCAAAATCCATGAGTGACAGTTCAGTCAAGCTAATCGAGATATTACACGCACAGGTAGATGAGGTGTGGTTTTATAAAAATAAATGAATTGCTAAAACGAAACTAATGTGATCTTCATGCACAGTGAGCTGTTATTACTTTCATTTATGCGATGTTCCCAAGCAAAATCTCTTCTGCAACCTTGGTGAAGAGGAATTTCGGATCGTGAGCAAGGCGAAATTTAAAATCCAAACGAAAACAATACTACGAATTGTGTTTTAAATTTGGAGCTGATATGGCCATAATAATGGTTAATCGTTTTTCATTGATTAACATCACTTGCATCACAATTAATTTGAATAATAATAAGACGGTTCAAGCGAATTGCTCGCACACAATGCGAATTGTGTGGATTATGATGCAAACGTGAACATTTCGCGAGCACATTGTATACTCACTCAAAATATATTGAAGTGACAGAAAATTTTCAAATATTGCATCTCAGCTAAAATGATAAGTAATGATGGCTACATATGAATGTTCCAGAGTACGCATTTTATCCACATGATCTTTATGTGCTTCTAATACTTTCTGAAAACAATATTCCAATGTAGTCGTTTTGCAAACTAATTTCATTTCAACGGGACAAAAACCTCGTTTCGACTTATTTATCATACATAACAATGATAATTATTCTAGTTTTATAGTTTTATTGCTTGAAATATAGAATGTGCATTGTGCAACTTATTTAGATCGAAATGTGCATTAATCTTCTGTGTATGCCGTTGCAATAATTTATTGAACGGGACTTCAAATTGAATTTATTGTGCATTGAGAGTTTTGTTACAGTTTTGTTACAGTGATAACTCAAAAATGCTAACAAGTAATGGTAAATAATTTTTGCACTAGAAATTGGTTGCATTACTGAAAGTATTTTAATGGAACAGTCGATTTTCTTATTACGAATTGTTGGTTCGTCTATGATGAAAAAGAAACATAGGCATCGTTATTTCAAGCCTATTTTATAGAAAATTCATGGAAGTCTGCAAATTTACTAAAACAACTAATAGAAATCTAAACAAAAGTTTCAAGTTCACCCAACCAAATGAAATAAATTACATTAAATTTAGGGGAAAAAAGTCGACAAAATACTCTTAACTATCTTAATTTTTTTTTCGCATAGAATATGGAAATGAACAACATGGGATACTCATCACATCATCACCAACGTGACCGAAATGAAAGGCGCTATTCTGTACCTCAAGGTCCGAATATTCCAATAGCACCGCAGGCCGCTTCTGAAGATTTGCACGCCTGGTCAATTTATAGGTAAAGTTTGGATAAGCATTTCGAGAGAAAAAAACCCATTAAATCACAACGAATGGCGATAATATTATATATAAAAAGAAATCGCTCAGACTGTATCGGAACAACTTCAAGCTCGATTTTCAAAAGCAGAAAAAAGATATATATGAAACAAAAAACAAAACGATTGAGCCGAGAAAACATAAAGAGAAAATCTAACGAAGCCGACGAAAGATGAATAATGATTTGCAATACAGATGAGAGTCTGCGAAAATTAGTGCATAAAAGAATCATTTTATGAATTGTTTCGAAGCGCCAACCATAATAAAACGAATAGTAAAGAAAATTTCGTTTTTTCATCACCTGTGTAATTAAACCTTTTCCCTATACACGTTTCTTTTACTTTCGCAGCAAAGACTAAAATGCATTCAATTTGCTCGTAGCGTTTTGGAAAATTCACTGAATTTAAAATCAAGAACAAGTTGAACTACAAATGCAACACTTACTTTTCCGCATTAATATTTACAAGGTTAATTCTATCATTTCCCTATGGAATGATTCAAACAGCGACCTACATTTTGAGGCAATTGTTATTGCTTGGTTTTGGATTCGCGTTGAAAGATAATCCAATCGCATTGAAACGACTAATAGGCACCGTGAATAGTATTTTTTTCGGATTTGTACAACTATTTCAGTTGTTTTCTATGCATCAGTTGTTTTCTATGCACTGTGTGTGGTTAGAAATGAAAGAGTATAACATAAAATGCAATGAAAATCTGAAGAAAAATTATTTATTTTTTTTTGTTCGTTAGACAAAATCTGAATTCCGATTTTACGGATTCGGCGCTGGGATCGTCGGATAAATCACCGTTGCCATATGGAAATTTTCAGCTTAGAGACACCACTGTGCAATCAATTTTAAATCACCCACGCTATGGGCCAAAGTAAGGTTTTTCCAACGCATTTATACGAACACATTTTATGGTACAACACTAATTTCTCAATCATCCAAAGGTCGCCGTTAGGTTCGAATATGTATACTTATTTGAAGTTTGGGCTACCTCGTGTCTTTCCTCCGAATATGGGAGCTTCACAAAGGACACATCGTGCTGGTCCAGGGCCCGGATACAAAGCGCACATAAACAACGGTTATCGAGATAGTTCAGGAGGTGGACTCTCATCCGGATACGATAGTAGTGACAACGAAACAACAGCACGTGGCCGTATTCCACCTAATAGCAAAATTCGTAAATTTCGAAGCGAGTCAGATTTTCGTGCACTAGGAATGGAACATTCACGACCCGGATCACACATGCATAACGGGGGCAATCCTTCGATATCGGCCCTGCGGCAAGCACACAGCCGCGCTAGCATAGCTGGGCTTCATTTGCATCAACAAATGAATGGAGGTGGTAGAGGTGGCAAACACTATGGATACCGTTCTCATAGTGAGGCCGATCTACTGGGTGGAACCAGCGGCCATGATACGATTGGAAGAGACTATCAAAGACACATGCGACATTATGCATCCGAAGTTCCAATGTCAAACCTTTCACCATCACGTCGACAATCTGCTGCAATGGCGCTTGTCTACCCCAACATACAAGTTCACTGCTTAGATATTGAGCCAAACTTGAGAGGGGTATCATTTCAAGCGAAAGCTGGTGACTTGTATGCCATCATGGCTACGTCAAGTCGGGAGGGGACGATACTTCTGGAAACTTTAGCTGGAATAAGAGATCGTACGTCTGGCGATATTTTAATTAATGGTCAACGAATTTCACAGCATGGATTAAAAAATCTGTGTAGCTATGTGCCAGCACCAGAAAAATGTTCACTTGATCCACGAATGAGCGTAAAAAGTATTCTTAATTTTTACTCAACACTCCGCGGTCCAAACGAAACGATTAATTCCAAACAACAGGTAATTTCTGTTCTTCAGAAGAATCAGCACCCCATCAATTCTAAACAGAGAAATATCTTTGATTTCAGATAAATATTCTGATTGAAGATTTAGGATTGACTGCTGTTAGGGCTTCGAATATATCACGTTTAACACAATCGGAGAAGCAACGTCTTTGTGTTGCCTGCCAATTGCTTACGGACGCATCAGTTTTGATATTGGATCAGATTACGACAAATATGGATATATTTGATACGTTCTTTCTAGTCGAATATCTACGACAATGGTGCAGTAATGGTAAAATGGTTATCATGACGCTGCAGCCTCCAACATTCGAAATATTGTCGATGTGCTCAGGTGTTCTTCTACTCTCTGGCGGACGGACTATATATTCTGGTAGTCGATCCGACCTACCACGTTACATGGGCAGTGTTGGCTTCCCCTGTCCTCCTTTCAAGAATCCTGCTGACTATTACTGTACTGAAATAGAATTATAATTTCACAAATCTCGATAAAGAATCTTGATTGAATGTTTTACGCTTTCTTTTAGTGGACCTGGTTACACTGGATGACCTGTCAGCTGCTGCAATGCTAGAATCTTCAGCCAGAATTGAAACGTTGGCCAACGCGTGGGATCAGATGAATTCAGAGCCGCCTTTGGCTGCTCCTCCAACTGCTTTGCCATACTTCGTGCGCCGTGCCGGCTTTTGTGGTCAACTGTACGCGCTTATCAAGCGTTTCATCGTTTATAAACAACCTGGATCGATATTATCATGGATTAGTAAACTTATCGTAGCGGCCATTCTATCATTGTTGATCGGCTGTATTTTCTGGGATGTTCCAGCAAGCGATTCACAATTGAAATATAACGATCGACTTGGATATCACCATTGCGTAATGATGGTTTGCGTTTTTCCATTATTATTAATGACCATAAAAGATATTCACACCGATCGAAAATATGCCGAAAAAGATATTGCTTTAAAGTTCTATGGGGGAACCGTTTACATCGTCATACAGGTGATTATTGTTGTTGTAGCCATGAAATCAGTATTATAAACAAAAGCCACTAACGAATTCAATGATGACCTTATCAGGTGCTGCTAAATATTTTGCCATCGTTATGCATATGGACGATATACCTTCTGCCAGCCCATGCCATGTCGGGTCTTTACTCAAATTCAAATGAATATAGCATCGGGGAATATACTGGTATGCTGTCTACCACTTACACACATTCCAAACATAATATTTTTTATTTCATTCTCACTTTTTCACAGGTTACATGTTACTATTCTTGACGGTGTTGCAAATATTAACGCATTTCTGTTCGCACCTATTAAATACTAAAACAGCAGCTTCCATTCTATTAATGCTAATAATGTTGGCCATAGCATCCGTCGGTGGTTATGTTATTCGTAAGTCCTCCCATCCAGCCCATTTTCACGATCAATTTCATATGTTTTTATTCAATTTTTTTTCCAGATATCGGTGAAATACCATGGTATTTATGGTGGAGTGAGACTTTTTCACCGCAACGATGGCTACTACCAGTGATAATAGCAGATGAATTCACAGAAGCAGCGCTTGGAAGTAAACAATTGTGCCGAAACAAACACGTGAGCAATCAAATTAAATTACCTATGAAAAGCACCAAACTTTTGAACAAAAATTCTTTCTGTTTATATAGATTCAGCAACAGGAAATAATTATACAGCAACAGTGTGCGGTGGCAAACGGAACCAAATGGCTTCAAGATCATTGGTTACTTCGCGAAAATCATATTCTTGACTCAAAAGATCCTGAATCATTTTCGATAATTGCATTGTTTGTTACGTGGTTCGTAATATTTGTGCTAACATGCCTTGTGTTCATCATAAATGTGCGGAAGTTGTTTCGAAAGAAGAGTAGCAAGCTGAAATATGCCTAATTCAAGCGCAATTTAAATACGATTAGAACCAATTTTCGCAATAGTTGGATGCAATAAATCAAGTGACATACTCGTATACACGGTCATAATCGAAATTACTAGAAGAATTGAACTGAACTCCATTCATTCTCGTATCAATAATGATTTTCATCTACATGAAAGACGTAGCAGATTATTCATAAGTTTTATTCGTAAAGTAAATATCAATTCACGTGTATTTATCAATCACAGATCGATTTTATTTGATTTTCCAAAACAGTAGGCATAATCTGTATAAGAAAAAAGCATTATATAAGCATTTATATTCAATTTGATGTTAAATGATCAGTCAAAAGGCGTGCACTTATGATGCACGTTCTACATACGAACAATAAACTCCTATTACATGTAAAAGACAAGTGTTTTTTTTAAATTATTTTTGAAGTTTTATTAAAAATCATTTCAAAAAAATTTACATTTGTAATCTTATCCTGTCATTAATTTAACATATCATAATTTAGACTGATGAAATATTTCCAATCAACAATTTTTTTTTTCTGTATAATGCAATGTATTTTGAAAATTGTATTTACAGATATCAACTATGAATTTGCACTGTTCATTGATCCTGAATTTTTATTTTATTCATGCTAGTTTATCCCTTCAATGCGACAAAAAACCAACATTCGTATTTGTAGGTTTCGTGTTTCACACTAGGTTTTCATTTTGCAAAACTAATGCGGAGTCGAAGCCCTTGAAATAAAAGCTTTCAGTTTTTTTTTTTCAAGGTTAACCAAAAAGCTGAGCAATTGAACTACATTGAAAAGATGCTTGATATATCATATATTGCATCACTAAGTTGAACCAATTTTATGTGATCTGTTTGTTATGAACAAGATGTTTTTGAAAATTTTCCAAACAATAATTTTTTTTCAAGTCCAAAGAAGAAATACCCATCAAATGGATTGTTCATAGGTTTTTGTTTGGAAGAACATATTCTATATCAAAACTATGAACCACCCGTTAACACTTGTATCGGTATTTTGATAAAGCATCTAGAAGTATTTGTTCTATCATTTTTGCTCAGAATTTTAGACAACTTGAAAAAAAATGCATGGATTCAAAAATAAAGTCGAATCACTTCGAAATGGCATAAATAGATATTTTTTATGGTGAAATTTCATGATATTGGCAATTCTATGAGAATGTCTTATTTATAATGGAAGAGACACGAATTATATAACAATTTAGATTTCATGTAGACACCATTCACAGCATCTTGGCAATATGATTTTTTTACGAACTGCAACATTTTTCCTTCTCCACACATTCATTGTACGTCTCCACTATCTCAGTCGATCCTATTGATGTTTTCGCGTTTTCCCGAAATCCGATAAATCAAATTCCGAATAATCATGTGGTGTATCATTCGCCGAATCATAGTACGCGTAATCGTAGCTTACATCTTTATCATCTTTGGAAATGGATGGTTTTTCCTTGATGGTTGTGTTTTTATTAGGGGGAGTAGTAGTTGGCGCTTTCGATGGTATGCTATACGATTGTTTTGATTTAGCCAAATTTTTCGAATGCGCCCATAGTTCGTTACCACTCGCAGCTATATTTTGTGAATGTGCCGTATTTAAAAATTCTTCCTCCGCACTGCCGACACTTTTTTGCCCTCCCCGATTTATATTTTGTTGATGATTGCTAACGCTGAAATCATTTTGTGGTTTCGCAAAGTTTTGTTTGAATGTACTTTGAATGACTTGCTGTTGCTTTTTCCGACTTTTAATTTTGTAGCGTGCAAAGTCTTTCTCATACAATTCGGGATGATATTGGCCATCATTCTCGTCAACTGCGGTTACATTTGCATTCGCCGCTTTGAAAGATCGAACTGGAATTTCTTGTTTATTCGAGGAGTTTTCTCTAAAGTTGAACTGCGAGAAATTGGGATTTCGAATGAATATTGGATCAATTTGGTTAGTCCGGGCGGTCGAGGTCGTTGTTGAGCTATCGGTGATGGATTTTGGTTTCGATGGTGTGCTCAAGTTATCGTTGATTTGTTTGGCCACATTGAAGTAAAATAGCGGTTTGAATGTGGTGGGTGCATAGTTCTCTTTCGGAACCAGTGTGGAAAATTTCTTAGTAGATGTTGATACAAAACTATTGCTACTGATACTGGTTTGTTTTGGAATTACTGGCTGTGGTGTCGTATTGATTTGTGAATTAAAATTATACTGATGATTTGAAGCCTGTGAAGGTCTGTCCTGTTGTGTTTGATACTGTTGATTGTAGTTTATTTCAAAGGGTTGCTTATTAATTTTGGGCGTTGTTGTAAACAGAGGATCTTGATATTTTTGTGTGAACAATTGGTTTGGTTGTGAAGCATGTGGAGAGTTTGTATTTGACAACGATTGAACGGATCTGTATTGTTCCGACGTAGGAGAATATTTCGACGGGGTTTGTTTATGTGTAGTCAAATAATCATTGATATCATAATGTAACTGTAAGCGCTTTTGTTCTAGGCTGAGATAAGCCTGAGCATCTGACCGTTGTTTGCTCTGTACATTCGGATTGTTCAGAGATTGATTTTGTTGCGTCAATTTCCGCTGTTCGGAATTAAATTGATTAATCAAGTCTTGTTGGTTAAAATTTGGTCGACTCGGTGATAACGAATTTCGGGACTGTGTTGTGGTTGAAGGTGGTACTGTGGTTATTAAATGCTGGTTTGGTTGATAGAAACTACCGTTCGCTGGCTTTTGAATATTGAACGCGGTATTTTGCGATCCAAATGAATTGGCTTGTGTTGGAGCCAAACGCAAAACCGTGTTGTTGGTGGTTAGATGATTGGCAATTGTACGTTGATTAGCGAATGGACTTGTCGTCTGATAATTATTAATCACGTTATGATTATCAAATACTCGCCCATTACCTTGGCGGTTGAAGTTTGTTGCATTCGAGCTATACAAGTTAGCATTATAAATATTATTGTTTGCAAATGCTCCATTGCTAATGATGGGCTTGTCGTTTGCGTTGGTCCCTTCAAACTTTTTAGCATTTATATGGTTATTATTGAAAGGTGTTGGTACGGACACTACCTGTCTCTGCGGGGCATTGAAAGCACTTGGCTGAGTCGTAACCAGATTATTGAAGCTATTTGCTCGGAAATTACTTTTTTGTGTTGGTGAGATCGGTACTGACGTTGTTGGTTGTATTTTGAAACTATTGAAATTATTATTATTATTATTATTATAATTTGGGTGCTGATATTGTTGCTGTAATGGTCCAAGAGGTGTGGAATTTATTTGATTTGCGACGTGTGATAATGAAGGGTTTGCTCTAACCGTAGAAGAAAATGTGAACTTGAATGGAGACAGAGTGGTGGATTTTGTGGTGAAAGGCGTCAATGTTGTATAATTTTGAACAACTGGTGGTTTGAATGTAGTAGAAGTTGTCGTAGCAGGAGTTCCTCGGTACTGCGCCCGGCCACGTGATCGATGACGGCTCTTCGATGTATTTGCTATTGAGCTTCTCTTATAATCATCGTCATCATCGTTACTGTTACGGTTACTGTAGAAATTGGAGCTGTGCGATCCCTTGAATATTTCATCATTGTCTAAAAGAAGAAAAGGTTAACATATTTAATTTGTCATTTAGCATGTGTCAAAAATGTCAAAAATTTTACGTTTTAACGTACTATTTGAATTGGCCGGGGCTAGTACTAGCGGTGTCGCTTTGATAGCGAAATAGGGTGTTGTAGTTGTAACCGGTGATTTTCGGGTCGCAAAATTGTTGCGAGGTGTAGTCGTCGTCGTTGTTGTTGTGGTTGTCGTTGTCGTTTGCTTCTGCAATTGGTATTGATTAACCGGCTTTACCGAGCTTAATTCAAATTGCCGTTGATTAAATGACGACCCCAAATTGTATAAAGCATTTTGAACAGCATTCGATTGTTTACTTCGACGAATATCATCTGCAAGCAAATATTGTCATTTAACAATGATACGTATATGCATTAATATGTAACGAAATGATGATAATTGAATAATCAGTAAAAAGTGATAAGTCAAAGCCAAATTGGGAAATCTAAAATTTTGCTGAAAACATAAAGTGAACTAATTTCCAAAAGGTTGGGATTTTTATCCGAATGTTTGGACCGAGATAAAAATGGTTGAAAAGCTGAACGATCAATGTTTGAGTTGTGATCAAAAGTATGAAGTATGAAGTATAAAATCCAATCGTTTTACGGAAATAAATTTCCTCATATATTATTTTGCTACTCTTTATTGTATTTTAAATTGTTGGAAACTTACACGTTGCTTCTCTACGGTAGACTACTCTATATAATTAATACTTGTCTGTACGAATGATTCATGAGTGATATTTTAGCATCAAAGTCCTTGTTGGTCAGATGAAAAGATAGTGTTGTTATTTTGACAACATTTCGTTGAGAGAAGGGATAAACGATTGGGCTACCATCTCAAATAACCTATTCGAATGTTCGTATAGATGCAGCAAACACCAAACGCTTAACGAAAAGAATTGATCATTTCGTAACTAAACTTCCGGCAATGTTCGTCTTTTTTAATTGGACTGTCTATTTTGCCACTTGGTTGCAGTTAAATAACACAGTGATCTTGCCTTTTTTGCACGCGTTGGCTTTTCAACAATTTGATGGGTACCATCGAAATAAAAGAAGTTTTTAGCCATGAAAAGACACACTTCATCTTTGTAAATATAAAAAAAAAACGTAGCATCAAAGTGTTTCACATTTTATACAGTAGACGTAGCACACAAAATCGACATCGATTGCAGAAAAGCGATGAATAGTAGGCGATTATAATGGGAGCGTGTATTGGGGCAAAGAGGCGATACTAATGTGCTTTCCATACGATACCACGGTTTCGATCATCAAAATGTCGTATTTGATTTTATGCATATTTCACAGTGTGTTGGTTTCAGTCTGTTTCATCTCTGGAACTAAATGTTAAATAATTTCACGTATAACTTGAAACCCAGAGTTTGTCTTGTGATTGGCAAAATTTTGTAGAGGATGATATACATAATCGATAATACATTTCCCAAGTACATCAGTATAAATAGCAAAACACTTCCACAACTGTTGTATATGTACAAGTAACATATATATACGTGTTTGTATGCCATTGCAGAATTCAGCCAAATTGTTGTCGAAATGCACTCACTCTACGGTGTGTTTCGTTTCAAAACACACGAAAATAAGATGGATCCAACATAACGATATTAACGTGAAGAGAAAATCAAATACCCGAGGTACACGCGTGTACTTCAGAGTCATTCATTGAATGGAGAAAAAAAAGAATGGATCAATCAAATGGCATTGTGAGAAACGGACGGAATTTTTCACGATTCTCTTTTGTTTTAGCATGTCTAACTAGTTTTTAGTTATAAAAGTATTAAACGAAAAAAAGACTCGGTTTCAGATTGGATGAGTGATTGCACACTGAACAACGATGCATCGTTCCAAAGTACTTTGAAAATATTTAAACTTATCCAAATGTAACATACTTGATTCGGCTCGTTGCAAATGGAACGTTGATTCATCTTCTGTAGCTGGTGTTGGGCGTTTTGAGCTCTCAAAGCCAGAGCCAATACGATACAAATCGAAATTGTCACTGCCATAAAATAAGGTGGCTTGTTCGCAGTCTACATCTCCGAAGTCTGCACAGGTTTGTGCCTCCTGATCAAATGCTGTAGAGTTGGGGCACAGAAATTTAAAATCGGTGATCTAAAAAAATAAAAATCCAAAATATATTACCAGCTAATCATAAATATTTCACGTAAACAATATAATATTGACGCATAACTCTGAATAATCAAGATTTTCCAACCATACCAAGCAACCAAATATGGTTTCTGGCTTACGTGCATTCCCTACATAACTTTTACAGTCAATCTTGATTGTAAAAGTCACACGATTCCGTTTTCTGGCGGCTGAATATGTTTATTACTTAAAAAAAAAGCATTTAATCAATATGAGGAATTTGTCGACCGTCTTGTACATCAATAGTTTTGTAGGTATTGTTAAAATCCTGTACATGGCGAGCGCATTTACTATTTGAAAGATTTGAACCTTGTCATATTTTTTCACAAAGTGCTTGAAAAGCATTTTTTTCACCGTAATTCATTGTTTATGCGATTATGGTTTCTTTTATTGGTTCATCGGTGCACACATAAATCTAAAATGGCATATAAAACATATCTCATTTGATGCAAAGGTCACTGAAATCACTTGGGAATATGAAAGTATAGATTCGTAAAAGACGAAGTCGAACATCGACAACAGCAACAACAACAACAACATCAACAGCAACAAAAGTCAACTATTCGATCTCATGACTTTAAAGGAGAAGGAATGATAGAAATAGAGATGAGAAACACCTCACAACATAAGACCCTCCGATTGCGCCATTGGATTCGTGTACATAACTGCGACATCCGACAATGAACAACCATGAACGGCAGTTCATTTACAGTTGTGATTCTTTTTGTTTCATGATTTGAACAGAAAAAAAAAACGAATTTCCTCCGAATATTTGCACTATGGCAAGCGTATCTTTCTACCCATTACAGTCATACAGTCATTAAGATGTGAAATGAAACGAGAAAGTTTCGGCATAAATGTAAATACACATTGAAGCAGAACGTGAAACAAAAACGGTCGAAAGTTGGTAAACTTTAAATTTGGATGGCACTCAGCAAAAGCACGTTTGGCTTCATCTATCAATCTGCTGAGTTAAGTTTAAATGTTCTTTCCTTTTTTTCACGGTTCAGTTCATTCAAGCTTGCTTCTTCCATTCCAAATAAGTATTTGAACTAATACAGTTTTCACTTTCTATCAACACACAAAGGTTAACGCGAAGACTTGCAATTTAAATCTTTTTTGTCGCTATTGTTTCCTCTCCTTCATAGAGAAATATGTATCTTGAATTGATTGAATGTTGTGATTTAGCATTTACATTCACATTTTTACTAAAGCCTTTGCGACTTCATGACAAACTTAATGTCCCATTTCGATTCATAAAGAGTCAACAATAGCCAAGCGGTTAAGCAAGCAATGATGTGCACACGATTCCAATACCAAATACTCTTATAACTCTGACTAGGTGGTGAATGCGACCGATTTTTTCCCATGTAAACGACCTTGAAACTTAAACATACTCCATTATTTCATATTTGAAATTAAAAAGTATTTATTATTACTTTGCACTATGGATTGAGGCACAGGTTTCGGTTTTCTTGCAGTTTAGCCAAATTCGCAGGCAAATGAAAACACGAAGATGAAAGGGAAAAAATGTAATTACTGTGCTCTTAGGCCGTGTATGATTGGCATTTTGTTGTCTTCAAACCGGGCTTATTATTATATTGTGCATTACACGTAGATTTCATAGTCATCGCATCAAAAATCGTAAATAGTTCTTCAGGTACTTAGCATATATTATTGAAATGTAAATGATTCATTTATTCATGTACCAGTGATTTGCATATTGCGAATGAAGATTTTATTAAGCCGTCGATAAAAAAAACTCTATCAAATAATACCGTTACCGCTAACCTTAATTCTGAAAACATGCAATCCCATAAATAAAATCTTTGACTCATTCTACCTGCAAACATGAATCTAATTAAGCGTTTAGCCAAGCGTTGTCGATTTATTGAAACCAGTATTGTCTTTGTGGTCTATAACATTTCATATCTGAAATCTATCATCTTTTAATTACATGCACGTTCATCAGGTATAAGAACTAATTTTGAAGAAATAAAGTGTAAACATGTAGCCTTGTTGACATGGGCATCTTGTTCACGTCTACAACTAATTTCTACACCAAGTGACAATGAAAATGGAATGTGATCGCAGAGATGTTTTTTTTTTCAACTTCGACTACAGAGTGTAAATGAACTCTTTATGCTTTTAAACCCTTAATTAAAAAAACAGGATTGGAACAAATATGAAAAACAAAATATAATGCTAGATAACTTACCCCAACTCCGGCAATTTTCACGCAAATATGAAACATTTGACATTGTGTGTCTGCGTCAGCATAATATCCACCTAGAATTTTGTCGCGACAAGTGAAGTCAGTTTTGGGCATGTTTTGTAGACTATATGTTGGATATTTGTTTCCATTTTTATTGATATTTGAAGTTAATTGCAACGTTTGTTCGATGGAAATTAAGAAAATTCCAACTGCAAATAAGAATTGATAAGATATGATTGTATCAATAAATGTTCAATATTTTCCATTTTTCGATCTTATTTCTAAACATAATAACTAAGAATATTTGAAAGAATGAATGTGAAGCTCAAAGGTGTGATGTTCCCGTCATATTGTTATAAACTACTACTTTCTATCACGTGCTATATTCATACACATTATTATATAACGTGCGATATCATGCGCTGTCTGTAAATAATGGTGTTCATTTATTCCGGTATTCAAAACGCTCCGAAAGAGTTCGGTTTTCTTCCTAATGTTGACCATTATAGCTATCTTCTCTTTGCCCCCTACATAGAGGTCGTCTCTTCATTTCTCTCGTTGTGCCATTTTCACATATAGTCGGTTTTTCTTGGAGATGCTCTTGCAGAACCTAATATGTGTGTACATTGCACAACCTAGTCCAATGTATGATTAAAAGAGCTGAACATGCTGTTTATTAAACAGTTTGTATAATGTTATAATAAAATCGAAATTATACTTGATGCCTATTAAGCTCTGGTAACATTTTACATAATCTACGTCGTCATCATCAAGCAAGAAAAAAAAACTAATTGAACTTAAGCGCTTTGTGCATCTACAACTGACAAGTTTGGATATTTTTCGATTCAAAGAGCTATGAATCTGTGATGATTTAAAATTATGAACATCATTTTCCATAGGCTGTAGTGAGCGGAACGTTACTTCTGCCCACATTTGCATATAAAAATCATGTTCGCTTTCAATGATTTGTATTTTTGAATATTTTCCAATCAGAAACAAGAATTTGACGATAATTTTGCTTTGAAGTTAAGTTTAGCGGATTTGTGACATTATATGTGTATTTTGTTTTGTGACATAACGAAGAATTAAAGAACGCAACAATCCTTTCATAGCATTACAGATACATACATCATGGCAAAGTACAAAGTTTGCTGACATTCAAATTTACTTTTGAATACCTATTCAATTCACTCTTTGTCCTCATGCTCAAGCTGAAGTCAATTGTGTGTTTATGTTGGAGAGGAACAATCTCATTAAAATAAAATTGGTGAAGCAAGTTGAAGCGGTTTTCACAGTCGCAAATGAGCATTTCACCACGGTTTATACATCTCTCTTTGCCCTTTCATGGTACTGTAACTAATTTTCACGCTAAAAATGAAAAGTGATTCACTTAAACGAAAATTAATTTGAAGACCGCTATTTGCAGATCGTCTTCATTTTACAAATTGAATGCTCTTCTCTCACAGCTTCTCTTTCACTTTCGATATTTCGCAGCAGCTGTGTGATTGAATGATTTACAATGAGCAAACGCACAGAATATACGTGCCTTGTTAACTGATTTGAAAGTATTTTAATCGTTGAAGTCTGGTGATCGGTTTCGATTGTGAAATCATAATGATTATGAGCCCTAGTTGAAATTGTAAATAACAAATCTTTCATTGATCGCTTCGTTTTTCCCCCCAAATATAAAAACGCCCACCACATCTGACGAGCAACTAATGTAACATGTTATGATGAATACATAAACCGGTAATTTCTCAAACGATGTTCATTAAATTCATGGATGTACTACGACACTCCTTTTAAATTGGCACGACAAGCTTTTGGCTTTGTTTGTAGGCCTAACAAATCTTTCAACTTTTATTCCAAATAAGAGCACGTTTGTTTAATTTATTTCTAAGATTCAATCACTGATCGTGGAATATCGAAATTAGTGCAAAATACAATGTGGCGTTTTCACGATTTATTTGACCATCTTAGATGTTCAAGGTAGGAAAAGAAGTGTAGTCCAATGAATGACTCAATACGTCATTGTTGCACAAAATCTCGTATGAACGTTGCATTCATATACACATTAACGCATCTTTAAGTTTCATTAGCGTCTCTTTCGGGTTTTTCAAGCAAAAAAAAAAACAATTACAACTGTAGTGAATAGCATGGGAAAAAGCCAAAATGATGTCTATAACCACGAGAACGTCTATCGTATTAGGGCTTCATATGAAAAAGTTGGTGCAAAACACATGGAACATAAGTTGAACGTAAGTAATGATGATGTACCAAATGAACGTGATCAAAAGCAAGTGGAATTTGTAAACATTCTAAAGTTTATGCAATGACTTTTTATGCGATGGCCCGATTCAATTGAAGAGAATGGTGAGGAAAAACGAAGCATATGCACGACGCCTATCGTTGGGATTTTCGCGTTGTCTTTTTTGCCGATTTATTCGCAAATTCTATATTATATACGTAAGAGTCGTCGAAAACCCGTATATCGCACATCGCGCACTACACATCTTGCATCTTACATCGCTTAGCGTTTCCACCCCTTCCACAAAATTTCGATTGTAAACTAAGTCTAACTGGAAGTATAAGAGAATGCCATGAAAAATGAATTTTTTATGCAGTTTGTAGAGTATGAATCGAAAAAAAACGGTTTGTTGACATGAAAAAAAACGCAGTTTTATTCCCAATAAATTCTAAAATCGTATCAAAGGTATAGGATTTTTAATTATTCTCAAGTCGAGCAACTGTAAACTATTTACGAAATCTGTTCGGTGTGATTTATGATAGTTCATTGTGACGACACCTCTCCGCTACTAAAGAAATCGCATCATTCAATTTCTTATCTAATTACTGCAACGAATAAGTAATGAAAGCACGATATATTGTGTCTGTTTTGCCATCGCTTCGCAATTGTTTCTTTAAGAGTGCACAGTGCGTATCTTGCTTGCATTGCATCATAGCATTTGCAGGCGTGTGAGGAATTTGTTGCATGAAATAGTTGCCTTTTGTTTATATCCAAGATAATGGTGATTCTTTTTCACTCTAAAATGATCAAGGCAATTTTAGGACACGAGCAAAATAATTATAGCGATTATGTATTTGGTAACCATTCAATATACACTACGAAGACAATTCCACCATCGGACAGATCGAAATCTGGACATGCTCATCTTCTGCACGATACATTTTATCACGAAACTATTTTATTATTGTATTAACTGTAGTATAATCGTGACTATCGCTTAGTAAATTGAAATGATTGAATTATTAATTATTGTTAATTAAGGTTTTTTGAATCTCCAAAAAAGAATTGAGCATCCGACTAATACAATTTATATTTATGAAAATTGAATGGATTTCTGCAGCTGCCTTTAATTGGACGCTTGATAAATTGCACTTTTTTTTACATAATTTTCCAAGTTCGAAGAAAATAATTAAGGAAACAAAAAAATCTATGGAAATCTAAACTTCACACGTGCATTTTCACAATTTACGGCGTTGTGCGTAGTATTTCGTTCAATTCCTTGTTAAATGCAAACAATGGCAGCTTCCATGTTGCAAATGAGCATTTAGTGATATTAGTAGTTGATATATTATTTAAACAGTGGGAAATATCATATATTTACTGTGGCACATTATGAACAAGCGTTGCTAGTTAAGTCCAATCTGTATTATACTGTGGATACCAACGCTATACAAAAAGAAAACTCTTGATAATTACCCGACATTTCAACAGAAATATCGTGCGTATCCGTTGTTTCTGTGGCGTTTCATTGACAAAACGTGATGTCAAGATTTCGTGTGAGATAAATGATAAATTTGTGGTAGTCAAAATCTTCATCAATTTTTTTTCTTCATTTTTTGTGTGGAAAGGAACCAGCATCTTCTTGACATCATTTTGTGGTGATGTTAAAGCCTATGAGCTCGTAATTATGATATTTGCGTGCAGATTTAATGCATCAGTACGTGCGTTTGGTATTTATTACACGGCATATTCACCGCCCCTCTTGGCTTATGAGTTAATAATACCTTTGTTGCATGTGAATATGCAAAAAGAAATCAGCGAATACTAAACAGGCATAAGCACCTTGGTTTTTCTTCTTGTTTCGTCTTAGTTCATGTATTTCTTCACAATTTTTTAATTTTTTTACCATATTTTTTAACGTTTTTTTTTCAAGTTATTTTGTTTTTTTTTCTGTTGCTTGTACGCAAAGCAATATGCATTTTCGCTTTTCATTCGCATAAAAGCAAATGTTCACTTGTGCCCATGAGATGAGTGTTAATTACACAGACTAAGTCTACCCGATGATTGGCTTGAGTTTTTGTTGTTGTTTTATTTTTTGTAATGAAATTAATAACGTCTTTGCAGATGAAAGATGCAGAACATTGAAACGTTTTAACATTTTTTTACTAAAAAATTAAGAGACATGTTATTAATTCAATCTCTCTATACTTCAACTGAATTCAGAAATTGCTCGATGAGGGATCATAAACGAAATTTACCCTAGCTCTTTTATGGCTCTCGACTTCCTTCACAATCGAGATTTCGGCATCAAACCACATGGACATGAAACCTATTAGCTATTACAATTATAACCAAGTGACTAAACAATTGGATTCAAGTTGCACTCGATACACTCTATATAGTGTATTAGATTTTTACTTCTCTTGCACATTTTCACTGCAAAGTGATTTTCACACTGTGAGAACACAATAGTTTCATTTTTTTTTTTTTTCATAACAATATCTGTCAAAGGTGTGCACACATGGGATTTTTTCCAACTTCATAGCACCGTATAAAATGTAACTTTTCTATTCAATTTGAAAACTATGTTGGAGATTGTGAAAAACGCATGGCTGGAAAAAAGTCAAAGGTTCTACGAAGCATGAGTTTATTACTTCACTGATGTTTTGTCATGTTTTTTTTCTCTTTCAACTTCACCATTGGATGGTTTGGTTTTAATTAAAAGAATTATGAATTAAACTACTAATTTCATGTGCTTGAAATTGAAACAACCTATTGAATGATTAAAAATGCTCATTAAATATTATAATTTGGTTGTTATCTCATTTATCTGAATTCCAATTTGTTCGTTTTCAAAAATACGAATGAAAAAAAAAAACAAGAAAAAATCATTACTAACCGAGCAATAGATAAGAATCCATAAATTTCATTTTTCTCCTTTTGCTGAGTATGCGATGGGCCGTAAAAAATTATCTTCAGAGATGACTGGTGTATAGTAATCCAAAAAATGAATGTATCCAACGAAGAGGAGTGTGCACTAAAATTAAATCCTTAACGAAAGCAAGAATGAAAATTGTTCGGGATGAAATAGCGCACGTTATTTTTTTCCATTTAAACTCCACTCAATAATCTTCACTCACAGTTCATAACTTTTAACTTTGGGTATCGAAGAAAAAAAAATTACCACCGAAACTTCGATTTTTTCCCCTTTTTTTGAAATTATCCTCTCTACTTCAAAAATTTTTCCGCAAAAATGTTTTCTATTAAATTTTTGATGGTTCATCCACAAACAGCTTGGAAATGTGTTTCAAGCTAAAAGCCGTTGTATGTATAATTCGGCTGCACGAGCACACGAAAAACACTGTTGACTTGTCTATATCCAAAGACCAAATGAAAATGAAAGGAAGAGTTACAAAATAGTGAGCCGCTAAGTTGTTGAGTTGCCGAGTTGAATCGAGTGAATGAGTGACTGTGTATTTTTATGGTGCTTGCATCTTTACAGCAGGTAATAAGCGCTTGGCGAATGTCTGCTGCCAGCACGCTGAACCGATCGATTATATTAAAAAAATAATAGCGGCAAATCAATTTGAGAGGCGGCAGCAGCATCATCAGTATGGGAACTCTAATTGCATTTGCAGATTCCATTTATCTCCATAGATCACGTACGTTGTAGAGGAGGAATATAGCAAACCAGCATAATTGTCATAGCGATATAATACAGAATCAGGTTATTATTTTAATTTAAATGCATGCCGTTTGTATTTGGCACTCTGTGATCCACAGCGAAGAGTATTTTATTACAAAATAGTGAGCAGATTGAATCGGTGTTTTGTTTCGGCGTTGGAAGCACCATGTCAAATATGAACGAAGTTAACACGCTTGGGTCAACATTGTATTTAAATTAACCTATTTGTGGTCAAACTCATTAAATGCGTTAATTCCCTTTTTGATTAAACAAAATTCTACTCGAACCATCTTTATCATCAAAATGTGTTTTTTTTCTGTGGGAGATAATGATGCATTGAAATAATAATTAATTGGCTGCACTTCTGAGATGATCATAAGCGCTTTTTAAATGTATGTATCTTTTCATTAAAATTCCGTTTCTCACGGTGGGTTTTGATGAATAAAAAAATTACAATGACAGTATTCAAAACTTTTCAAGAAAGAAGATTGAAAGAAGAAGATTGAAAGAAGAAGAGGAAAAGGAACATGATGAATGATCATGCCATCCTTTGAATATATCTTTCTTTTCGAATTTTCATTTAATAACTGAAAACCTTCCATTGTAAAGAATCGAAATGATACCGTCCATTAGTTTATATATTTTTTCTTCGAGTATCATATTATATCATCGTTGTGATTCAAAAACAACTTTCAATTTTTTTCTTCAAAAATTTGTCTGGTTAGATTAGTGAAGCAAACACACATTGCAAATGTTACGAAAATGCAATGCATACAGTGGCAATTCGGCAGAAGATGGGGCGCAGAACGTGAACCGAATGATATATTTAAAAACATCCAACCAGCGAAGAAAGATCAAAATAATGCCACAAAAATCTACGAGAAGAAGATATAGCGAGAGATTTATTCATTTCCAAGCGATTCGTCTAACCTTATGCAGCTAGAGACTCGTACTCATCTTCATATTATCTTCTTTCAATTGTTATGCAATTCTCTCACGATTTCATAAGATCGAGTAGCTGTTGAATCACCAGTAACAGAAATAATAATGGCAAACATCTATGAACTCAACAAAGAGTAACGTAATGAGAAGGGAAGAGATAGACAGCGCGAAAAGTCTATTTGTTCAAGCATATTTGGTTTCTGAGTTTCTTCATTGGATTTATAGTTCCTTTGAATCCAGTATCTCGCTGCATATATTTGTCGCTGTTTTTTGATGCCAACGTTGGAAATACTTCGAACGTTGTGAAAGTATTTGGATGCAATTCACAATTCACATCTCGGTATATGAAACCATATATACATTGTACGTTCATACAAGTACGAGAAGAACAGCGTGTGTATCACACTACGAAGAAGCAAGTCAGTATGTTGATACATGGAATCGCGCGAATGAACTTAAACATTAAAAATGCAAGTGGTACAAATTTTTCGCAGTCATCCTCATACGTTGCGCGCCTACAGAACACACCAGATGCAAATTTTTTGGCTTGCACACTATCCCACGTAAGTGGGCAACTTGAAGAAAAACATTACAATGCACGCAAAGACACACACAATGTCTTCGGATCACAAATGATATTTAATGGAATGAAATAGATCGTACCGTACCTATCACTAATGCTATTTCTTTTTTGGTAAAAACCAAAAATTACTCACTTACACAAATTAATAACATCATTGCTGCGGGCAATGAAAATTGGGCGGTCCGATCACAATAACCTACAAGTGTGTTCATATTTTGGAAGTTGCGGTTATAAAAGAAAACACATAATTAATAACACTTATATTGTTTTCAACAATAGATTAATGATATTTTCAACGATAAAAATAAACGCTTAGCCGGTGGTAAAAATAGATGAATTTTCAGCTTGCGTGATTTTCGTAAATGAATATTAATAGTAGTCAACGGTCGCATCCAACATACTGGATGTAAGTTAATTTTCCAAAAATTTTGATTTCTTCAAAAAAAAATTACCACCATACTAACACCGCTACAGAAAATAATTTGATTTTCCCATATGAAACGTATTTTTGAGTGTCAGAAATGTGGGCGAATGACCAAGAAAAAGAAAATGATTTATGCTAGTCAAGCTGTTCAGTAATTGTTGAGCAATATGATTCGATTTCTTTTGATGAACCACAACACATTCGAGATAGCATGATGAAAAATTGACACGTATTTTTTACGCGTAAAAGGAAATTTATAAAATACTTTTAAATTTAAATGATGACAAATGTTGTGATTCGTAAAAAAGGTACCAGATATTGTTTTAATACAAAATGACCTTCACCCATCAAATGAGACGAGATGGTTATACATAAATTTATCACTTTATTCATCCGAACTCTCAGATCACCGATCACTTCGGTCAGATTAAAAATGACCTACAAAAATGTACATTTGATACATGCTATATTTCGTTGATGAGCGTCACTTGATGGTCGTTTGAAGTGTTAGTTAAATTACAATTCCGGAACTTACCTCAAGCCATTCTTCAATTCAAAATAAAAAAAGAATATTCAATAAAAGATTAAAAGTTGAATGAAAGGATGTGGTTAAGTCCACGTTATGTTCATTCTATTTATTTAAAGTTGGCTACAATTATAGAATGTCAGCAAACATCGAAGTTTTTATTCTTTTAATGATTCGAAGGAAACACAGCTTTTTTAAAAATTAAACTTCATCACACATTATTCATAGTAATACTTGAAAAGAATCTTGGAATCATTCATTCAGCCTTGACTTTGATTGTTTTGTTCTTTTTAAAGTGTTTATAAATACTGCCAAAAGACAAAACGATAGGCAGCATTACCGGCAAAAATAGTGGAATATAAATGGCATACCTGGGCAAAAGGAAAAAAAGCAGTTAGAATACGTAAATAAAACAGAAGTGGAATGGGAAAAATCTTACTTTTGATCATCAGGGAAATAGAGAAGTGCCAATAAACTGGGATCGAAGAAGGCACGTTCCGAAGATTCGAAAGCTTTTCTAGCATACACAACAGCTTTGTCTAGATCGTTGTTTGACAAATGGGATTTTGCCTTGATAATATTGATGTAAGCGTCATTGATAGCCAGACCAACTTCATCATTGATCACTATATTACGGATTCCATCTAAAAAGATATTTGATTTTTGTTTAACACTTTGATTTTATTTTTCGAAAGAATACACCAGGCAATGATGCTCTGCTACGTTTTTATCAACAAACTTTAATTTGTTAAAGTTATAAAAAATGTGAATGAATAATATTTACCCAGCAACTGGATAAGTGATTGAAGAGTTGAAGTAGCTGAACTTATCAAGTGCACGGCACTGATACGCAAATGGCTGTCAATTTCCCATAATCGTGGTGTGATTGCTTCCCAAGGTATAATATTCGCACTCCGAATTGGAGTCTGTTTGACGAAACGTTATGTAAAAACTTCAGTTATGTCTAATGAATCTGATTTTAATAACGGAATCGTTCAATTATTTTACTTACATCAATATGAATGTCAATGATACGACGAGTCAGAAACAATGCTGTGTGCATAACGTTGTGTGAATTGATGTTAACCTCAACTTTTTCTTGATTCGACATCCACTTGGAGCATTCCTCTGTAGTTGGATTTGATATGATAATTCCACCCCATTTTAACGATAAAAAAGAGTCAATCGAATTATTATTGGCTCTTTGGCCTTTGGAATTGTACAAGTATAACGGGCTGTGATCACACGGTGGAATATAAACGATCAAATGAATTGTTGGATTTTCATGGATAGATATTCCCAATTTTCCTTCGACAGAAGTAATGATGTGCGGCAGATTTTCCTCCGTTACAGCATAGTGGACATCAGATTTGTTCGCAGCGTTCGACATCTAAATTGGTTGTCATTTATATTCTTTCGAATTTGTTGCTTTGCTGATTATTTTATTTAATGAATTTATCCGTACCTGTTTTTTTGCCAATTCAAATGGTACTTGATACTTCCATTGTGATTTTACTTTGAAATTTGAGACTGGTGTGATTTCCTCGACAAATGGCCGAATATATGCTAAACGATGAATGTTGGAGAAATCAATTTGTTTAATGTTCATCTTCAAATGAAAACTTTTTTCCGTTACTCACTGTCAATCGCTGTCCGCACATCCCAATTAACTTTCTGTTGATCTGGTCTTGGATGAAACACAGAGACCAATATGTCATAATTTTCACTTGGTGGTGCACTGGAGTCTACGTTTTTTCTACCATGCAGGCTGTGTGCTGTTTTGACCACTGATTGAAGCTTGGGAACTCTATATATCCATTGTGTTAGCACACGATAAATTTGCGTTGCAGCTAATTATGTCAATAACAAACAATGAATGAGTTTTAAGATTAATCGGGCAAATAGTCCATATTTTAGTTTCCAAACGTGTCTATCGGTTTACCAATTTTAGCATTTGGAAATCTGTTTTCTGTTTTTTAGCCTACTGAATTTAATCACAAAAACAGTCCAAGTTTCACAGAGTACTTACTTGTTTGACTAGATATTAATGCGCTCCGATCCGAAGTGACTAATATATCTTCGGTAAAGTTTGTCCATTCTAAAAACAGGAAGTTGCCTCTTTTGAGAGTATACTGCTTAAGAACAATCGATTCAAGCAAAGCTGGTGTCTTTGCATTTGAAACTAATGCATCTTCGATTCTTACGGCTTCAAACTTTATATTGAGAATATCTATAAAAGATTTATGATTTAGCTAGTTCAATGAGAAGGCAAACATATTTTTCTTTAAACACACCTTCCCTTGACATTAAATCGTTCAATTCATTAATCAGTAAATCGGATCTTTCCCTTGAATGTGTGAATATGTCAACTTTTGAAGATACTTTTATCTCATCGTCGTTGAGTAGATTTATGTTGGAATATGGCAACGGAACTCTTTAAGAAGCATTAATAGAACAATTCTGTGTAATTATTAAACCTATTGAAATAAAATCGTTGTAATTCGAACCTGTAAACCTCTGTGGTTTTATACCACATGGGAAATCCAATCACGATAATGATGAATGCAAACGCCAAAGAAGCCAAAATCCGTTGATTGTCTGAAAACAGAATAAAATAATAAGAAAAAACAAACGCGATGATTTTACTTGATTTTCTTTAGCTTTAATTGTATGAAAAAAAGAACGCTTTCTATTTACATTTACAAAATGTTAAAAGAAAATAATACATGTCTATTATTACTCATTCATATAACTTTATTGAATAAATGCAGAGCGTAGATTCTAACGGACTCGCTTAGTTTTTTCTTTGTGGCATTTCATCAAATTGCTTATGTTCATGGTACAAATATGTATTCCATGGAATACTATCAACAATGTAATCTATGTATATGATTGATATTTGGTTAAGATTTACAGTATTTATTTGAACGTTCCCCCCCCCCTCCGTAGTCTCATCTTATTTATTCCTTGTATGTGGCAAATAGAATGTAAACGTATTCATCGGGCTTGAGACTATTTTTGGAAATGTATTTGACAAATTTAGTTTGACCACTGAGTCTATAAACCAGGTTGAGTGAGTTATTTTTTGGATGAATGGTTAACAATGCATCTTCTTGTTGCAACTCTTCGAAGTTTTCATCATCGCTCGTCACTTCGCTGTTAGTGCTATCAAGGTCGCAGCTATCGCCATCATTGTTCTCATGAACAACTGCTCGAACCTCTATCTTTTGCGCTGTACAGGCTGAATTTATTGCAGCCACATTTTTCATGATTGCACTTTGTGAATCACTACTGATCAATGACAAATCTTCGGTGTTCGTTTCATCTTCAGATGTTTCTATTACCTTAGTATTGTTGCTTGATCCGCTCGCATTTTTGCATTGCTCTGTTGCATGCCTGGCATTTTTTGGCGTTTGTAATGGATTGGAAGTATATTTTATGGTTATTGGGCTCATTAAAGTGTCATCGATTCCACTTATTTCCATGCTACTGGCGGTTGCATCAGTTTCAGCGGTCGTGTTATATTCATTTGGACCTTGCGATGGACTTAGGTATGTGATTTTGCCGACACCATCACGAACATTGAAAAATAGTATTATGTCGAGAGCATCATCAGCGAATGAGGATGAGTCGCCAAGCAGCGTATAACAGCCCTGTGTGAATCGACACAGTTGCACCGAACAAGTGGGATTTCTTGCCTTAATACCATGGAAATCGAGCTCAGTGTATTCGTGCAACAAACCAAACATTGAATCCGATGTAAACAAAGTATACAGATCCTTTAGAGGGCCAGTTGACTGTGGAGTGAAATGCAGACTTTCGTATTTGCGTTGATTGGCCGGACCTTCAAGTACCCAATTTAACTCGGTATTATCTCTGAACTCTGATACGAGCAAATCAAAGAAATCAGATATTAAAAACATTTCTAGCGAAGCTTCGGATTTATCTTCAATGTGTTGTTGGATTCCTTGTTTCACTCGTTTACGTAAATAACATGAATTTATCCATTCGTTTAGATCTAAATCATCGGTGGGTGACTGATATTCCATTTTACTGATATCCAAATCACTGTCACTCTCCTCAATCGAGTCTGATATGATACTATTTTCATGCTCATCGATTGTTGCCGGACCGTGAAACCATCCGTTTATTGAAAGGCGTGGATAAACCAAATTGGTAACTTCACCAACTTGATGAAATGATTCCTTACACACTCGAAAGAATACGAATTGGTTGTTGCGTGGTGAAAACTTCTGTACAATTGGATATTTTGGTTGGCCTGTAAGTGGATCACTTTCAAAGAGCTCTAGAGCGCCTCCCATTTGCTCCGTCCATTCCTTACACCACGGAGATAAATAGTAGACAAAAGCAATTTGCCGATCGGACAACAGGTCATCGTGAACCAATAAAAAGTCGCCATAATTGTACATTGAACAGGATGCCGAGATCCGTGTTAGCGGTAGCCCCGTGATTTCTTTCATCCATGGTAGAAGATCGTTTTGAAGCATGTTATAAAAACTTTTCAACGCTGGCTTTGCGTTCGGTGGTAAATTTGCCAGATCAGTCGTTTGATGAAATTCATACAGATCCATTTGTTTTCGATGCCATTCCATTTGCGCCATTTCATCCACCAGTTGTTCTGTAAACGAACTTTTACCCAACAACTCAGAAATTATACACATTTTAAACGGTCTACTGTACAATTTCACACTGTCATTGTTGAACTTTTGGCAACCACCCATTTTGTCACTTGTACACCATTTCGCATTAAAGTCTTCCACAAAACTTTTGCTGGTAAGGCACGAATTCACGGACATCGATTTATGATTCGCGATTAATTTCGTAATGGAGTTTGAGTTATTTGAACGTACAGGTTTCTCTAATTGTTGTATGCTATCGTTCTCTTCGTTTTGACTGCAACTAGCAGGACTTTTTTCCTTCATCGCTTGTTCATCTTCGGGTGAACGTTTTAATGCATCTGAATGTTCATCGCTGCTTTCGATCATTGTCTCGATCTTTGGTTCACTTTTCACACCGGTCGATTTGTGTTGCACGGCATTTATACGCTTGGGCGACATTTGATGAACGTTTGAGTTTGGAGACGGTCTTTTTTGTGGAATAGATGACGACGGTTTTTCGATACCATCTGCAATTGGCAATAAAACCACGGTTCGTTTAAAATTCGTGTTAAATAGCACAAAATTCAAGTAAACTATTCATAGTTGTGTCTTTGTATTTCCTAATTATATTACTAAACTCACCTAATCACAGGCTATCTCTTTCTCTCTCTCTCTCTCTTCAAATACGGTAACATTGTATGACAACTAATTTGAACTTTTGATTTCGATTTCGATTTTCTTTACATTTGCACACAATATTCCGAAAACAATATGCAAGTTTTAGGTTATGTTATGATTGGTATTGAAGTGAGTGTACATCAAAGTAAACTTTGATAAAAAATATCATTTAAAATTGAGAGATTCGAAAACAAATTTTTTCTATAATTAACAAAAACAATCGATTCGATTTTCCTTTTGAAAATCCGATGAAAAATAATAAGTAGCCGAGTTCTTCATGCGGTTCAAGAACTCAACTTGAGCCAATTCAATGTTTACATATGTATGTAGCTATCATATTATAATACAAATATTATAGCCATGTGAATTTCAAGAAAATACTCGAATTATAAATGTAATAAAGAGAGATAATCATCTACTCAATTGAATAAAACGAATTCTTCTAAAAGCTATTTCTTCATTTGATGAATTAGTTTACCATTCTTTCGTTCCGCCAGCTCATTTATAGCGCTATCGATCTTCTGCTGATCTACCTCTCTGGAATCATCTGCCATAATTTAAATTCCCGCGTTGAGATTGACTATTCTTGAAGTTAAATTTGTATTTCGTCTGTTCAAAATAGAAAAAAAGAATACTTTGCTTGAATGGAGGAATTAATATCGAATATGAGAGAGAATACACAGCTTACTATTCATGCACGAATCATAAGAGGTACGGCTATCTTGTATTACTTCTTGATGGCATGAAGTGTCAAAATTTGATTGGAACAAAACGGATAATGAAACTATATATCATTTTGTTTCATTTGACCGCCGCATTATGAATGTTTAAATTTTTGAATTGAGCGTTTTACAGATTTGTTTTAGTTTAATAAAAAAAAATTACAATAATACTGTTGATTGGGTATAATGATCAAATTGTCGAAATAATGAAGAAAAGACGAAATTTTGAAATAAAATTAGTTTCTCTCGCATTGCTTTTTTCGTATTGAACATGAGTTTAAAAAATTGATTTTTTAGTGGCGCGATTGTGAAAAAAATGGAACCTTAAATACTGAAAATTAAATTTCAGCCTTAGTTCAGGACTAACTAAATGTTTGAAGTAGTGTCATGAATAATTTCAAATGACACAAACGCATCCGTTAGGTATGCATTATCTGCAACGCAACGCATACACATACCATGGGAACTAAAACGATTTTTTCCCACGCTGAAGGTAATTTTCTCATTGAATGTTCATTTTGTTTGTGTGAAACCGTCTAGTCTCCAATGTGAGCTGCTGCTGCTGCTGCTGCTGCATAATATACAAAAGCGCGTCCTCTATATGTGTGATATTTATGTGGCGTTTCATGAAATAGTAAGCTATGCAACGAGCAACGGAGCTGCTTAACACAAGTACATCTCACACTAACACATGAGCATTCACAGTATATTTTGAGAAAAGGTATTGCATTTAAGGGAACCATTGTGTTTGGTTTTAATTATTATTTTAAATCCAATGCAAACGTTAAAAATGAAATTTTTTAAATAGTTGATTTTCAATGCTGTATTTGAGTTTTAAATTTTTCAGAAAAAATATTTTCGAAATTTGAGTTTATATATTGAGGAATGAGTTATAGGAAAAATTATATTCTGAAGATTTTTTTTTGTCAATTTATCAAGTATTTTGATTCATTCATTCATAGCTGCACATGTTGTCACGTACTACGAGTGCAACTCTTACGATTCTGTATGATTGTATGAACGCATGAAAATGAGTGCAAACAAAGTAGAATGAGCCAAGCATACAAACAAAGACCCGACTAAACCCAAATGAAGTAAGCGACATTGAGGTATAGCAAGCAATAATAACGACGGATAAAATGGTGAATCGATGGCCGTCACAACTACATTGCTGTTGCTAGTGTGTATACATGACCAATATACATACGTACATTCCAGTTTAACGAATCTGTTGGTTCAGTTGGAGCGTAAGCATTAGGATGTCCCATTATTTTCATGTTTCAATTCATCTGTACTATGCATACAAAACTACCCATTCTCAGACAATACAGTTAAATTCAAACGTTGTAACATCTTAAATGTGGAAACCGATTGTTGAAGAGCAACTACAATATTTGAAAATGAAGAATTTATTGAAATGCTCTGTCGAAATAAATGTGAATGGTGTCGTGAACACATACACCCTAAAACCAATGGTATACAAAATACAACCACATAAAGCATAAACTACTACTGCGTATGTTACAGCACCATATTTAGGGTTTTTGTTTATGTATGTATCACAGAACTCTTGATCGTTTTACACAGGAAAGGAGAGGAAACAAAACTACAAAAACGTTAACACGACGAGAGAAAAAAACGTACGAGAAAGCAGACCGACAATACCAATTTATGTTTACGTGCATGTCTGAATATGGGTGTATGCGTGTCTGGCTGTGTATTTGTGGGTAGAAAATGTACGAAGTTTAATAATTCCGGTGTCAAATACAATTCCACATAAAGTTTTTTTCGCTCTTAAGTTTCAGTATTCTGTGCATTTTTCCGTTCGTTTAAATTACGTTTAGTTATTGAATATTAAAAGTAATCGAAGCATCTAACTACTCCAAAATGAATAAAATCAAATGGAATGCATCAAATTGTTGATTGTTTGTTGCTTTGGTTCAGTTTTTAGATCTTTTTTTTGCAGTTTTCGCTGTTCTTTCTCTTGATAATTTGGTGTGTGATGTGAGTGGATCCAATGAAAGGAAAGAAAGAGAGAAAATAAGTGACGAAAACAGACACAACACATATAGTAAAGATGTGAAATGGTCGACGATTTTAGTTAGTTTTTTTTTTTCTTTTTCGATTGTACTTGGAATTTTTAACAAATGTTGTCAGCAGGTGGACACTGTGACTGGTAAAAAGACAAGAAGCAATATCAAAGATAAAAAAGCATCAAAAACAAGATAAAGCAACGAAACAAATAATTTAAATTACAAAGATTAAACACGATATACAAATAAATATTAAATTGATCGCTGATATTGTGATCTCTGTGCCATTTTCAATATGAATTTTCGTGTAATATTACAAACAAAACAGTAGTTGCGCCAAACTCTGCTAAAATGTGATTTTTTTCCACAACACCGTGATAATAATTTTCGTAGTCTGGAGAATCAATTTAAAGAAAAAAAATGAGAATGGTTTGGTAAACCGATTGACAATTGAGTTTGTAGTGAAGCAAAATTATGTGAAATGATCTAACGAGCGCATATTGATTATCCTGGGATTTATTCAACCCAATCGATGATATCACACATATCGTTTAGTACTATTATCGTTCGGCCTGGAAAAAGGAACAATTTTGATAAAATTATTAACACATAAAGACCTAAATATTTAATCAAACTTCATGCGTTTGATGAATGCAAGTGTGGCAGATTTTCGGTGGTGCATGCGACAGCAAAGGCACAGCGTAATGAAACCATCGATAACAATCGATTAGAACGGAAATTAAATGCATAACATTAACAAAATGTGCAAAAATGACAGATGAACATGGAATGTTAAGAAACGGTAGCATAGATAGTGTTGGTACAGCTGGCAGGGAATTGAATTTTGATTCAACTGCATCATCGAGCTCAACCGTGACCACCACAACCAATTCAGTGAATACCACTTTACCAAATAATGACGGAAACAATAATGAAAATTCAACAGCAGCACAAAATAATAGTGATCGGCAACCCCAATCGCAATCACATTCACCCATCGATACACAAAATGGCAACAATAATGCGGACAATTTTGTGAGCACAAGTAACGGCAACTATAGCAGTGGCTCTGGAAACGGAAGCAATGCCAATAGTAAACAACCAAATCATAGCGTAAACTACTCGAATAGCAATAACGGGAGCCCATTGAATAACGTGTGTGGAGGGCGATTGCAATTTTTCAAAGGTAAACTAGCATTATTTTAATAATTCTTCAAAATAAATTACTGAATCAGCTTGTGACTTTTTTTCCATTGCGATAATGACGTGACAATACGTCAATGAATACGCTCATCAACGGTGTAAATTGATTCCTCTCTTGTATGATCTTGATAATCCTGATATAGATTATAGAATGCCTATAAATAATAAAATCCTATGCAAAAAATCCTATGTCCTCTTTAAATGCATAATTTCTGTATATTCCTCCTGGTCGGTGTATCTTTAATTAACTCTTTTTCTCTCTCTCTCAAATATTAATTTGAGCATTTAACCGAATATTCAAAATTATGCGTAAATGTGACCAGTTCCACAATATTTGTTACAAAAAAAGTGCAACTACTTTCGTTGCCGATGCCGATGCTATTGTTGCTGTACGTACTTGCCTCAAACGCGAACGCGTGGGCGTGTGCAATGTGCACATAATATCAAAGCATACGTGTGGCATATTATTCAAGTAGTTGAGCTTGGTTAGTAGTTGATCAAGTATTCTAATCCATCTCTTCTCTTCTCTACACTTTTGATTTGAATCGAATAGAACACATCACTTACCGTTCCAGGCTAAATCACGCCATTCATACAACACGACTCGTTCGAATTGTGTTTTTTCTTCTGTTCTTCGTCTTCAACTTCTTTTATGAGTACAGTACGCTTCGTGCTGTCATTGCGTTTGTTTTGGTCTTAAACTGAAGAAGAAATAAGTAAATTTAAATAATTGTGTTTTATAAGAAGAAAAGAAAAACGTAGGGGGAACGAAGAATGAATGCCGGTCTGTGCTAAGCCTAAAACATAAAGACATCGCACTCAGACCAATCTACGTTAGACTAACGTAATTATATGATTATACGAAAACACAACGTAGCACAAGCCAAAGTCAAGATACCATAACGCATTCAATGCAATAACAATAAATAATAAAGAATTTAAAAATCGAAAGATTGCTCGCAAACAACACGTATATGTCTACATATATGTGTATGTGTATGGCTTTTTTCTTTCTTCTTTTCTGTTTTTCCTCTTCATCACCGTCATTAGTTTTGTCGTTTCCTTTTTCCACTCTTTGGCGCAATATGTAGATCCGCGATCTAGCGTGCAGTTAAATTCGAAACTTTAAATCGTCGCCTCTTTGGAAATACTCTACTTGTACTCGTTTATTATTCATTTAAATAATAATGAACAACGCCAATGGACAACATGTTTAAAGTGTCGAAATGAATACAGAGTAAATGCATATGGTAGAAACTTATCATTTCCCAATGGGGTGTTGAATGACGAATAAAAAAAATTGGAATACAAGCAATAGCATCTCCGAATACTGGTTAACTACTAAATCGTAGATCTCTTAAATTAAAATGGCATAGGAGTTCATCCAATCATATTAGAATTGGCATACATGAGATTGAATTATTAAGTGAGAATAATTTTTACTTTGTTTGGTTTTTCACAGATGGAAAATTTATTCTTGAGTTGGCTAGGTCAAAGGAGGGAGACCGAGGATGGATTTCTGTGCCTAGAAAGACGTACTGGCCCCCAGCTGCACTATCACAGAATAACTTGAATAATCATAAAAACGAAAGTTCAACATCGCTTAGCTGTAAGTCGTACGATTGATTTCAAATAGAACCTACAACAATATATGTATCCGAAAAATCTGGGGGTAGTTTAACACAATTTATTTCCCCACTTGTTGCGATTAAGGCAAACGATGTTCAGTTTATCAAAAATTGTATAATGGCAACATATTCAGACTTAAACTATTGAACTATAGTGGAGACTAAAACAAGTTATAGCTAAAAATCATCGTAAATCTATTCATATGCAATCGAACACTTCTTTAAGTCAAAATTCGAAAAAAAAATGAATTAATAGAGTAAGTAAGTAATAATCATCATATGTATATTTTTCCACAGTTTCTGATGACAACAGCTCCATTCAGTCTTCTCCTTGGCAACGTGACCATAGTTGGAAACAGTTATCACCACGCAAAAATATTTCAAAAGATTTGAATCTTTATTATTATCGTCCGGCAGCACTGGCCCTAAGTGAAGCATCAAAATTAGTGTCGAAATATGTTCGCCGTCAACCGCACTCGAGAAGGAATCACAGCACTGTACGGTACGCGAAATGTAGTGTACAGAAACCATCATTGCTTAAAGTAAAGGAGGAGAAGATCGACATAGACATTGACGAAAAGAATAAAATAGATGATTCAAACGAAAGAAATGATAAAGGACAGGATATGGGAGACACTGTGGACAGTTCAAATGGCAAGGCTGAGAATAAATTAAACAGCGATGATGATAAAATGAGCCACAAAGACAGTGATGGAATCAATTCAAAATTCAAAGGATCGATAGCTGCAGAAGATATTAAAATTGAAAATAGTTCAAAGAGTGATGAAGCAACACATTTGAGAAATTGTCGCAAAAGGCAAACGGTACGATCGTCATCCAACTTGAGCGGTGTAATAGAGAAGCTTATTGCTAGGGTATCTGAAAAACCGGTGAATGTTACGTCCACCCAGACTGGACTTGGGATTCAGTTCTCCGCTTCGTCAAGATCTAATGAATTATTTTTTCCACATCAACATGTCTCTCCACGAAAGCGAATCCTAAGAGAATTCGAAAAGGTCTCTCTTGAAGACCGAAATTCATCAACTCAAAAACGATCTCGGTCTAAGAGCAGTGCATCTACCGATTTTGCAATGGTTGGTAGTTCAAAACCGTCTGGTTCAAACTATTCGATTGTGGTGGCACAGCATACTGCGAGCATAGCGTGCAACAATAAAGAGGAAAACAGTCGTATGGCAAATGGAACTCCGCCGAGAAGCTCCAATTCAATGGATGTAACATCGTCGGACAAATCATTCAAAGGCTCACGAATAATGTCGTCTAACGTCAATCAATCGAAGAGTAGTCAATCGCACACATCAACTGAAACTTCATTACAGCCGGTGTCGAAACCAATCAGTAATTACAGTATTATATCGCTTTTGGGGCATAATAATTCCACCAATAATAGTGAAAGAAATGAAATTAACACTGAAGAAAAACCCAACAATGAAAATAGAAGATCTCCCAGATCGCCTATGTCATATAATCATCAAATTTTGTCCAGCAATCGTTCGACATTCGTACCGAAGAAAAAATCTCCTACCAACAGCGGAAGTGCGTTAGTCAACTCGCCGACTAATTATCGTAGCACTCGTTCACCAGACATAAACAGTCCGAGCCCGGGACTTCAGCAGAATTCACACCACAATCGATATCATCCAGCATCGTTATCATCGCCGACATCTAGTTTTCATCCATATTTATCATCATCTCGCGCCTCACCATTAAGTTCTGGTACATTATCACCGACCGATCTATATCGTCATCGGTCGTATCGCACAACTGCGTCACCGAGTACAATGAGCAACAGCAGCGTGAGCGGCTTAACACACCAATATGCATCTCTAAACGGATCACCGACAGCTTTTGCTAATCGATACTCACCATCCACATACAGCGGTAGCACTAAAACATCCCCGACACAGTCATCACAAACGTCTAGCCTATCATCAGCGTACAATGTTAGCAACCTGTTACCCCAAACCTACGATGTAAATGCTTCAAATGTGAGTGAAAATCAACGATACTCACCAAATCCAAAGCACCGATCCAGTGATTGGTCACCTGCCCGGAATTCGGCGGTGTCAGGTCGAAGTAGCCCATCAAACTACGCAAACAGTAATAACAGTTTGTCCACAACAACGATTCCGAAAAAGACTGCATCTATTCGTCAAAAATATGGATCTCTAAGTCCAAATGGTTTCGCATGTGGTACTAATAGTGAGAATGCGTTGTCAACTAAACTTGAATCAAACTCGGTGAAAAAGTCAATGAGCGAATCCATTGTGGATGCAAAACCTTTAGCGAAACGATCAAAATCGCCAACTGAGCCGCCCAAAAAACCGCAAGCACAGGAGATTTACGAGAAAGATTTACAAGCACGATACAATGCCGAAATAGCTGCCATGCATCATCAATCATTGATAGCGTCAGCATTACAACAGCAAGCGGCAAGTAGTCCGTTCTATCATATGTACGCGGGGAATAATTTACATGGCGCCAATATACCTCCATCGATGAGTGCTGCCGCTGCCGCAGCATATATGAACCCATTGTATTATCATCATCCCGCCAGCGAATTATTCCGGAAATCCCATCCATCTGCTGCGATGGATCTCCTGCATAAAAATCTGGTTCCATCTTGGATGGATCCGTACAATGCATCTTCAATGATGCATTATCCCCAAATGCCCGGATCGGCATTGATTTCTGACAAATCACCATTAGCGGCGGCAAAAAATCAAAATGAGGTTCATTCGATGGTAATGTCGCCGTACAGCCTGGGTAGAACGGTTTCTGCTAGAGACCAACATTCCACCGACATTGATATGTGGAACGCAACCGATGGTAAAAAGACAAGACCCACATCGCCCGCCACTTCCGCATTTCGACGACAATCACAGCAATTCAGTGATTGCGAACCAATCTCACTTATAAAAGATGAACCAAGTTCAGGTAAATATGTTAATCGATCAATCCATAAATAGTGAATTGGCGAAAGTGTTGAAACCTACAAATAGTATAGTTATTCTATAATTAACATCATTTTTTGTTTACCTTTTTTTCCTTTCAGACGTTCCATTAAATTTATCGAAGCATTAAATAATTATCATGGAGTAGGAGTAATTATAATTTTTATTTTTATTTCTCTATTCTCACGATTCGTAAGTCAATATTAGGACGAGAATAACTCACATTTTGCTGTTAAGTAACGATAGCGCAAACTAGTTCTACGAAAATTAAACCGATGCATTATCTATTTGATGATTTTTTATTGCGTTTAAGCAACAAATGCGCACACCGACAAAACTCAAAATTTCAGAAGAAAAGAAACGCGCAAGTTTATTCAAATGCATCAAATGTATTTGGAAAGGGCTTGAGATTGAATCATGCTCCACAGTGGTAAAAATTTTTCGAAATAAGTTTTTCAAATCGATTTGATTTGTATATAAAAGCAGACAAATATCCATTGATAAGAAGCGAAACCTGTATGTCTCTTGTTCGAAATAGGTATTTTGTGTTATACGAAAAGTGGTTGATCGAGGAACAGTTTGCACTTAAGAATATATTTCGAGTCGAACAATATTTATAAAATTTAGTTCAATTTTTCTCCTAAAAATTATTGTAAAGACTGGAACAATTTCATTAATTAATAAGCGCAATGGACACATCAATCATATCGAAAATATCTCAATGATTGTTCTTTTTTTTAACGCACATGCATCCATAAGGGACGGTATCAAACAAAATAGCAGTGACATTTTGTAAATAGTTATTGGATTTCTTGGAATAAATATGCTAAAATGTGGGATTTATGCAAACACAATAGATTACTAGAGACAAATACTCATTCTGCAACCCGAAAATGGTGCCTTCTGGAAACAACAAATTTTATGACTACAAACATTGATTTTTCTACATCAAGTAAATAAGCAGCACACAAGCTCACTCACATTTTATAATAAGTAACATCATACCCGAAAAATGCATGTTCATTAAAAGTCGTATTGGGCTTGTTATACTTATGTTGCTCACATTATTCATTTTCGTAATTTGGTAAATAGCCGTGAGCTCCCTAGAAACGATTTTTTTTTCTAGATTTTGGGAATTTACTACTATTTTCCGTAGAAACGTCCTTGAATTAATTGAAAGCAAACGACACTCAGATTGAAAAGTGCATCATAACAATATTTTTATTGAATAAATCTCGTCATTGTTGTGATGTAGTTTTCATCTGGAGAAAGTTATTCGGACGCCATATGTCAATATATGATTGAAACTGTGTCACCGAATAAAAAGCTCTTCGATGATGGTTCAATTTTCTCGATGATGGTTCGATTGGTGTAGGGAATATGAATTGGATAATGTGGGTGCATTTGAGGAGTTAACTTGAAACGTTAAAAGAAGATTGAAAATATTAATCAAATCGACAACAAATATTCGAAGCAACGTGTGCAATTTTCGAAGAAATACCTTTTAAGATTGACTGTCAAATATATTTTAATCTGATGCGTTTTGCTGGCAGATATGAAAAAATTGAAAATTAATTCGCATAAATACGGTCTAATATTGCAACGATTTAATTGGAAAACCTGAACAATCGAGCTTTTGTTCCATGGTTATGTAGAATTACGTCAAATGTATTTCGAAGGAACAAGATTTTTTTTTCAGCAAATGAAAATGAGTGCTGGATATATAATGATTTGAATATATCAACCGCTAATGACGGAGACTTAAACGAAAAAAGAAATTATTACTATCGGTTGACGACTGAAATAGTAGTGTTGAATCTATACATGATGAAAGTATTGGCCAACTTCCCCAAAAATGCCAAAGAAAATATTCCCAAAACTAAACTTCTTTCATTTTGAAATTTTCCTTTTGATTATTTTACAAATCGACTGAGACAAAATTATTTCACTGCGACATTGTAAAATAAGAAGACGAAAATAAGTGCGCAAACTAATGTATAATGTTTAATGAAAGTATATTTAAAACCTAAAATATTCATAAAATCAAAAGCGTTAAAACAAAAAAAAAAAGCAAAACAAAAATCATTAGAAGCGTCGGATAGCGGAATAAAAGACAAAATTTGTGATTACTTCTTTTCTCACATTTCGTATGAAGTGTGACGTAAAGAATATTATCCGTAAGAATGTTGGGGTATTTTTGGTGAAGTTGGCCCATTGAAAGGAAAACTATACAATGAAATGGAAAATATTCTCATATGAAGGATGTAAAAAAACATATGGAACATAGGTATAGAATTAAGAAGAGTGGAAAAACATTTTGAATATACACATATTTTATATATAAACATATTTTCATAGAAATATAAAACAATGTATTATTTTGAGCTGTAGGGTAGTCTGCGGGCTAGAATTGAACAAATTGCGCATATTTTATAAGAAAGTATTTTTATAATGATTTATATACAATCAAATAAATATTTTAATCGAAATAATCATTTGATAGTTTCACTTTTGGCGAAAACTTTTCAAAACATTCGGCAGCAAACAGTGATGACATTCGCTTTAACGAATTCTTATTCATCATATTCTTTCATTCATCATATTCTTTTTATTCAACTTTTCTAATTGAAAAGGAATCGATACCTTAATTTAACTTTCCCAATTGGCGCCGGGCATTGATTGACATGGACTAATTAAATGCAAGAGTTTTTGGAAATTCAATTTTAAGAACACCTGTCGCCAAATTTTGTTCATCGAAACACAAGGTTTATATTCGAATGCCAGAAAATGTAGATTGAATGAAAATTCAAAGAATAAGAATAAAAATGTTGGAACCTTGAAATATGCTAATTATTACACTCATATGTATGTGTGATTGGAATTCAATGTACTTCAAATCGATGGCTCTGACAATTAATAAAACAAAATGTTCTGATTTGTAAAATAATATGCCTTTGAAAAATAAACAAATGATGCAATAAAAAAGGGAAAAAAAACAGCGACTGTTTTGCTCATCATTTCATAGCGGCTTTGTATGTTTCTGGGGACTTGAAATAGTGTGAAGACCGGGAAAACATTCGAAACAACAGTTTGACATTGACAGAAGCATCGGTACACTACCGCTATGGTTCATGCATTCGAATTCGCCGCACATTCCATCAGAACAATAGTTCATTTGATTTTGAGATTTGAAAATAATGTACGCTCTGAATTAAAAAAAACCGTGTGGTCATTAGTTATTAACTGGCTTAATTCATGAAAATGCATGAAACTTGAAATCACATTCTCACAATTGGGTCATATTTCGGTCAATGACCACACCAAAAACACATACTCAACCTCAATACCTTGAATACTTTGAAGAATCTATGATCAAAAACATAAGAACAACTTAAGTACAAAACTACTTAAGTGTCATGGATTGTCAGATGCAAGTGGCGATATGAGATCCAACAGCAATAAGTAATGGCGAAGACACAAGTGCATGTGTGTAGGTAAGGAGCGAGCGTTTCGCCGTCAAAAACTCAACTCAAACGCACACATACATACAAATGTTCCAATCAAACAATACTGCCACTTACCCGATATAAGGAAAACCTTTTTCTGCATGTGGCCAGCAAATATTTAGAAAATGGCGACTAATATATCGCGTCTTGTTTGCTTGTGTTAAATGAAAACATTAACTCAAAGAGAAAAAAACTAACGCGGATCTCTATATTGCTTATAAGTTAAATTTTGTACGCATTGTCAAGTCGGGAAATTTTCAAAAAATCGATCGTTTACTGAGAAAAATAAAAATAATCGGCGATTTGTTCAAAAGTTTATTTTCCGTAAAGCTACAAAATTTTGTGTATGGAAAGCCGCAAAGGGAAAGATACCGATGAACTATAGGTTTTTCATTCATTTATGCCTTCCGTATATGATGAAGTGAATGTGCGCTTAAACATCGAAATATAAAAATATAAGCGATTGTGAAAAAAACTCGGCAGAATTGATGCATGTGCTTAACCCGTTTTTCTTAACGAAATTCGATCGAGGAGACTCATAGTTGAAAGTGGAAAAGAGACTAAAACGTCAAGCGAGCGGCGAACTGAACCAATAAAAATACAACGAAAAAAAACTGTAGCAACAAAATAAAAGCTGACATTTTTTCAATTTTTTTTTCTTTATATAATTAAAAAGGAAGAAATAAATGCATTTGAATTCGATGCAAATGAAATTGAGAAAAAAAACGAATGCGAATCCTGGGAAAGTGTCTAATATTTAAAATTGTGGGTTGTTGAATAGCGTAATTGTTTTTGTTTCATTTTTATATACGCTCCGCTTCGGACATTACTTGATTCATTGAAATAAAGGTTCTGCGAATCGACTTAAGCAAGCTATCAAAATGACGTCGAATATGTACCGCGTTGGAGGTAAGTTATTTACTTGCAAATTCAATGATCTATGTGTAACTTCGATATGATTCACTGCCCTTTAGCTTTTAGAAGTATTGATAAAAAAAATCCCTAGACATTTGTAGAGTGAATGTTGATCTGAGAGTCAATTTCAGTATGATATCAGTTACTACCAAAAACCTAGCTCACAAGGTATTGATGAAAAAGTAATTGAATGAGTAAACTTTTCTTTGAATGTAATTGTTGAAAAAAATAGTGATTCGAAAAATTATTTTAAAAAAAATATATTTATGTACGCATTTTTCGTCGTACAAAACATTCAGATGAGAAAATCAAATGAGATCAGGAGAAATTAAATTTCATATTCCACTTATTTTAATTGACGGGAGAATTAAAGATGCATAACTTTCGTTGTTCCTACGTGATAATTTTTCAATGCATTGAAAACGTACACTATCAATAGACATGTAATGGTTGGATTTCAAATTCTCGTTCCAATAGCGCATAATTTGTATAATATAAGATATGTTTTACTATAAGCATCATTTATGCTTCAATTCGTCAAGCAAATATGTATGTGTATATGTGGCAATATTATATGTTGCGACGACGACAACGACAACAAAAGCGACTACCTCAAAATAGCAGTGGTGAAGTGGGGCAGCAAGTGAGTTCAATGAAACGCATAATGTTATTTTTCGATTTTCGTTTCGCCGTTTCCAAACTGAAATATATGTGTATTTAAACACGTCTCAAGCAACGCAACGAAAGAGATAAAACAAGTAGTAATATGCACCGTGAGAATTGATACAGCTTGAGTTGGAAAATAAACAAAGTGCCTTCAATCGAAAGTGTATCAAAAATGTTTCCAACCCAATCTTATTTCGTAAAAATAGACACTTTTTCTAGTATACTTCTATATCTGGTAAAATACCGCACCAAAATCTGAATATTTCCGTTCATTTTACCTACTTCATCTCTAAAAAAAAGAAGACCTTTTTCCAATTTCAATGTGAAATATTAGTTTATTTATTTATTTATTTTTTCAAAGAATAATCTATCAATATCTGCGCATAAATACAAACGAGATGTGTTCACGAAAATCATCGTATCAGCTTTGCGATATCAGTATTCCTCAATTTCGTTTTATCCATTCATTCCGATTAGTATCTGCAACAATGGTAACACAGGAGATAAACAAGAGAGAAAAAACACCGCAACAATAATCAAGTGAACATCTTTTGAACTTAACTCGTCGATTCGCATTTATAGACGTTTCGTATGTACCTATACAGCTATAGCAATATGTGTCGATGGCAAAGCACTCCGACAAAAGTCGCTGTTTCTCGTGCGTTTTCGGATCTAATTACTCGTAGCATTTGTTTTTGCTTTGATTGTTTTTTCTTGCATATTTTATTACGCATGGATGTTGACTGTACACTGTACAGATGATATGTGCGTAATCATTTCATATAGGAGTTTTTTTACTAGCGGCTAATTTTAACATATATGTTCAGAATCCATACTCTTTTAGTTTTGAAGATATTAGATTGCGCTTGATACGTGTACGTATTTGTATAAATAAGGCGGAAGATATATTTTCCATTGACGGCCAACATGTTGGTACGGATTTGTTTCGGACATTGTTTGATAATCTGTGCATGATTATCATCCATATTTGAACAAGCCAGTCTGTTTGGTGGAACAATGTTCAACTTGAAATTTCATGTATTCGTTGTGAACATGTATTCGTTGTGAACTTTTTTCAACGATTTAATATTACGTTTTGTACTACAAAAAATCCAATGGTTTTCCTTTTTATCAGAAAATATGATAAATGTATTGGGCGCATAAAGTGCACTATATTCTCACCTGTATGGTTAAAATCATAACTTTTACCTGGAAAATAGAGATTGCAGTCTATAAGTTTGTCTATTAGCATATGATCATTACAAACTGCTCCTTTTGCACTATAAAACTCATACAAATTTCGGAAGTGTGTCACATATTTATTTCGTTTTTTTAACGTATTTATTTTATTCAAAAGTGTGATAATTAAAATTGACATTTCCCTCTATTTTCTTAGATTATGTCTACTTCGAGACATCATCAACGGCACCGTTCCAAATTCGTAGGATAGAAGAACTTAATAAAACGCCGTCGGGAAATGTGGAGGCAAAGGTGATGTGCTTTTACCGAAGGAGAGACTTACCAAATCCATTAGTTCAGCTTGCTGACAAACATCAAAGTAAGTAAACAGTCATCCATTTACATACAAGTATGTATATTATAAAATAAAAGATATAGCCCCTGAGGTTGATCAAAGTGAATCGAGTAAAAATTGTACATAATCTACATCGATCACCGATAAATGCTTCCCGAATGATTGCGTCATGGGAATTTAAAATTTAAATATGTGTTCTATAATCTAACGCATTTGAAACCAAATAAACCGAACCAAAAATTCTTTGTGTGGAAATCAATTGATAGTGTGATATAATCGCGACATAGTTCATATATTGAAAGACACAAGTTATGCATGTTGGTAAGAGTCGAAAGACGATTAATTGCGTTTTGAATGGTAGTGTGCTTGAACAAGTGTCACAGTTTAAATACCTGGGATGTGTTTTCTCCGAAGATGGAAAATTCAACAAAGAATTTGAACATCGTAGAGTGAATGGTAATAAGGTAGTTGCACAACTTAGATCGCATGTTTTTAATAAGCGTGAATTGAGTGAAGAGACGAAGTTGATGATTCACCGGTCAATCTTCAGACCAACTGTCTGGAAGTGAGAGCTGGGTCGATTCTAATAACTTAATCCATGATCTTGAGGTGTCTGATATGAAAGTGGTGCGTTTGATTTCTGGAGTGTCACGTAGAGACCAGTTGGAGAATAGAATAAAGAATGAGAGAATTCGCGAGGATTTGAATGTTGATTCGATTGATGAGGCTGCAAGAAAGTCGAGATTGAGGTGGTTTGGTCATGTACAGCGTATGAATGAGTCCCGTTTACCGAGAGGTAGAGGTAGACCTCGAAGACGGTATTTAGATTCTGTCAAGTGTGATTTGAGTGAAAGAGGATACGATTGGAGTAGGGAAACTCAAGACCTGACTCTCGATAGAGTGTTTTGGAGAATGATTATTGTTAGAGGAGAAGTGAGGCCACCGTTACAAAACAGACCAGACGCCGCAAGGCATTTATGGTCTTTAAACACTTGTTATTGTTGTTATAGTTCATATAGAAAAGAATCACATGTTATTGCATACGTTTCAATTGATATTTTCTTTTTCCAGTGGCTTCTACGGAAGATTCACCAATAGCGAACAAGCTAAAAAGGATTTGGTTCAAAACTCCAATTGGTGAAGAACAAGCAACACAAGCCGTTTTAGACCCAGTAGTTGGTAAGTGTGGAACTGAAAATAATTGATAGTAGACTGAATTGTTTGATTTTACAAATGCCGATTTGGCAATTATAAATGGCTCATTATTAATCATGGAAAATTCGGTTTCAATCATTTGTGTCTCCTCTGACAGCTTCTTTAGAAGAAGAGCGCAATAGTCCGAGCGGTGGAAATGGGTCTGGTGGGAATGGTTCAGAAAAGGAACCATTAACGCCGAAGCAACGACATCAAATGAAGCATCGCGAATTGTTTTTATCTCGCCAAGTTGAAACACTTCCAGCAACACATATTCGAGGAAAATGTTCCGTTACATTGCTAAATGAAACTGAATCTATCTTGAGCTACTTAAACAAAGACGTGAGTAGTATGACAGATCGAATTCCAATTGATGGTCCATCTTATATATCATCTTTTGCATTTCCTTAATCAGTTTGAATTTATGAGTTGTTTTGTTTCGTATTTTGAAAAAAAGAAATCATCGAGTGCAAAATTAATAAACTAATTTCAATTGAATCCAGGACTCGTTCTTCTACTGTCTGGTCTTCGATCCAACTCAGAAAACATTGTTAGCGGATAAGGGTGAAATTCGGGTTGGTAGTCGATACCAAACTGATGTCACACCCCTACTTCGCGAAGGGGACAGTGATAATCGAAATTTGGATGAATTAGAATCTTTAGTTTGGACACCTGGCCACTCTTTGAGTGATAGAAAAATAGACCAGTTCTTGGTCGTATCAAGGTCGATCGGCACTTTTGCGCGGGCACTGGATTGCAGCAGCTCTGTCAAACAACCGTCCCTACACATGTCTGCTGCCGCTGCTAGCCGAGATATCACATTGGTATGCGTTCATTCGGTTTTGGGAAAAATGCTCGCTGTATTTTTGTACTAAATCGTCTCTTTGTTCCCAAATAAAGTTTCATGCAATGGACACACTTCACAAGCACAACTATTCGATAGAAGCGTCGATGTGTTCTTTCGTTCCATCGAGTGGACCAGTATTGTGTCGTGATGAGATGGAAGAGTGGAGCGCATCAGAAGCTAATTTATTCGAAGAAGCTCTTGATAAATATGGCAAAGATTTTACTGATATACGACAAGATTTTGTGAGTACATATCAAAAACCAATCTTGTGGTAAACTTATCAGAATTTCTATTTTTTCTACATTTTGCTACACAATTATGCAAAACCTAATACACACATAAAGCAAACGATAAATATTTCCAATATTTTTTGGTTCGGTAGCTTCCGTGGAAAACACTTAAAAACATCGTGGAGTACTATTACATGTGGAAAACAACTGACCGTTACGTACAGCAAAAACGTTTGAAAGCCGTTGAAGCCGAATCGAAATTGAAACAAGTGTACATTCCCAATTACACCAAACCTAACTCAGCGCTTTTGAATAATTCGTCAATTTCGGCGGCGACCAAGGGCGGTTTAAGTATATTGAATGGTAGCTCCAACGGAAATTCTAACAATGATGTTATTGCTTACAACTGTGGTAAACCCTGCGAGTCTTGCTCAACTGTCCAGTCTGCACAGGTATTCAGGGGTTTGGTCTCCCATTGCCATACAAATTTTATTTTCCATATTTCATTGCATTTCGAGACTACTTAATAAATTTGAATTCCATTTGTATTTGTTCATTACAGTGGTATGCATGGGGGCCATCGCATTTGAGCTGCCGATTATGTCAATCTTGCTGGAACTATTGGAAGAAGTATGGTGGCCTTAAAATAGCTTCGCGCTTAACTGATAACGACGTTGATACTAAAAAGAAGACATCGACCACAAATGCTGGCAACAATGCAAACGATGTGGAACCTATCACAGCTGGAGCGAACGCCAACGCGAATGCTAACTCTAACGCAAACGCAAACGTAAATGCAAACGCAAACGATCTATCAAACCGACTGTCGCACAAATGTTCAATTGCTAATTGCGACAAAGAGTTTAAACTTAAGGCACACTTGGCTAGACACTATGCCCAAGCCCACGGTATTGCCATCCGATCTGGATCGCCTCGTCCAATCATGAAAACTCGAACCGCATTCTATTTACATACGACAGGCGTAACAAAACTGTCGCGACGTCTCTGTCGTCATATTATACGTTCAAAGAAAGCAGCCCGCCAACCATCCTATGCTATTAATCTGCAAGCCGTCAAATTGGAATGTATGTGACCCGTGACTATGGCCTAATCAATTTGACTGATGAAATTTTTCTCTAATCCTTACTTCATTTCTCTTCTTTCCAAAGATGCCAATGCAATTGCTGATAAATCATTCAACGATGTCAAAAAATTATTAATTTACATCAAGAAGAATCGTGGAAGCGTCACAAAAATTGCAAATAGATTGGGCAATCCAGAACCATGTGAGACTGACTGGCTCAAACTAACACCTAAAGATAAAATGCCACAGCCGGATAAAGTCGCTTTTCCAAAACCACCGAAAGCGGCTGATGGCAGTTTAATATATGAACGTATAGCGAATAAAGGTGAGGCTGAAAGTAGCAAAAACTCGACGGGCACAACATCTCCTGTATCGCTTAAAAGACGACACCAAGGAGACGATGTGAATGGAGTAGCTGCTGATAACAGTAAGTGTATCTACTATGAAAAAGTCAATCTGTTCAGCATTGTAATTATAATATGCGCAATTTCAGACATGAATAACGCAACTCCACCGGCAAAACGGCCAAACAAAGACCCAATGCCATCCCATCGGCCCACTCCAGAACAATATGCAGCCATGATTTCAGCCGCAACAGCTGCTGGCCAACCATTGCCGAAACATCATGTATGTATATTGTATGAAAATTCGACCGAAGAAATAAATTGGACTAGGGACTAGAAAATTGAAAAAATAATAGTATATTTATATAATTTTAACTTTTTTTTTCAAATTTAGCAGATATCATTAGATATGATCAGATTTATACATAGTTTTGACAGATATTTCCGATTTTTTTGACAGTTCATTTGACAGCCATTTCAGCTTACATCTGAGCACACTGTTGTTGATAGTGTCAAATTCTCATTTCAATTTAGTGATGAATATGTGTGACTACTTTTTACTGATTATTTTTGGAAATTCACAACTGTGAAATTGTACGAACATTCTCCAAACGATTCGTTGCAAGTGATAACTTTCAATATTGTGCGTTGTCATTAGAACCAATCGGTATTTTGTCAGTTTAGCTATCAGAAAATTCACCACAATATCAAAAGTATCGTTCATAGTGGATATGATTGAATAATTCAAGATTTTGTCAAATATTTGAGGCACATAGAGATTGTATTAAGATTGAATGGTAGAAAGAAATTATGCGGATGAAAACTCCCTAGAAATTGGAACGAAAATTAATTATTGAACTTTTTCAGATGAATGGGAAGCCGAAAATAGCTCAAATGACAAGAACGGGTTCCGGACGCAAACAAGTCATAAGCTGGATGGTACATAAATTTAATTATATAAATAATTTTTAAATTTGATTAAATAGCGTTAATATTGTGTTATATAGGATGCTCCAGATGATGTATATTTCCGGGCAACTGAGGGAAGCAAGTGAGTGTATTATCATTTTGTGATTCATTTGTTCTGAACATTGTTGAATACAATTTCAATTTATCTTTTATTTAGACGAGCAAGAAAAATCTTGACAGTCACTGAGCTACGTAGGTCAGCAAGAAAACCATATCGTCAACTAAATTCATCGTTTTACGTGGCTTTCTCCAAAACATTACCCGTAATATCACTGCCGGCCCAACTGCAAATTCAACCAGTACCACAAGCAACCACACCCACCGCATCTTCGACCAAAGCAGCAACAGGTTAATTTCATTGCGAATATACACAAATCATTTCATTTGCAAATCGTTGAAATGTTGAATGTAATTTTAGGTCCTTCACCTGCAGCAAACACCACACCAACAACGTTGAATTCTCCAACGAGTGCTGAGGCACCAGCTTCAGCTACATCGGTAGCATCACCACAATCCCCGCCAGCCACAGCTGTAGCTGCTTCAACAGGTAAATAGTTACAGCACAACCGAGCGAAACAAACAATAACTCTATCTATTCAATGTGTATTGAACGAATCCATTGCCATTTTCTCTGTGTTTATCTCACTCTGATAGCGTCATCATCACCTGATGCAGCACAAAATGAGACCAATGAAGCAAGTACTGCCACCGCATCAACTGAAAATGATGCCAACAGTAATACCAGTGGTGGCGAAACCCAAGTTGTGATATTAGATTGACCTAAAGCATCCCAATCACATCATCCATACAATATGGATGCAATCCTCAATTAAAATAAATCGAAAAAGGAAATTATCAAACTAAAAGATTTCAGCAGATCTATTTAATAATAATGAGTAATATGCATATTCGGTTGGGATTAGAAACAAAATACGCATAATGAAAATTATGTAAACGTATAATTTATATTTCTAAGACATTTATATTTTGTAGCCAGTAAATGACGACGAAAATTGTAACTAAATTGCTAATTCAAAACTGAAAAGAGAAAAAAAAATACGTAAGCCTTTCCATTTCAGACGTAACATTATGAGAAGTAATCTCTGGATCGTATAAACTAGCACCATACATTAACGTTCAAAAGTGAAACCATCTTTTTGACAAAATTTTGTTTCAATCAGATCCAATTACAAACACACACACACACATTTAATTCAGTTCAAACATTTGACAGAGGAATGCAAGTGGTCTCGCAAACCATGAGAGATTCAATGCCACTCCATTCCCGAAAATTTAATAATACGTTTTGATTTCATAAATTGAAACATGTTACGCAATGAAAAAAAAACAACAACTATTTCAGTATATTCAAACCTCTTTCAAATCAACCAAGAAGCGTAAATATTTAAATGTTTCACTTTTATAAATTATCATTCATGTAATCGTTAAGTATATTGGAACAATAGACATAGAATAAATGACGATGATGATGAATATTTTTGTTGGATGAAACTGGTTATGCTTAAGTTTCTTTCCCCCAAAGTAATTTTTTGAATTATTTAATTCGAACTTCACCGAAACACGAATACATTAACCAGTGGTTTTAGTAACACTACACAGTTCAATTCACCTTCATGTCTCCAATGATTTTGTAGAAGATCGAACTGGTTGATATATTTTAAAACAAATCATTTTCCTATAGTTGACTGCAACTATGTCTAAAATTATGTCTGTACAATATGTTGGTAAAGAAATTCATACGAATACATTTTATTGTCAATGTGAGGCTGAATATATTAAAAAGCTTGGAAAATTCGGTTTGCAAACTGATACACACTGGCACACTGTATGTCTGAAAAGTAATTTTCTAGAAAACAAAAACATTTTGCAATTATTTGAAAAGTCCTTCATATGAACTGAACACACAACATAACATTGAAATACATTTAAAATCTCTTTTTATGAACTGAAAATTGCAGTAATAAGATATGCATTGTGAAACACATATTTATAATAATAAAACGGAAAATAGACGGATAATTTAGGGAAAAAATGTACTGGAATGGATTTTAAAATCGATGATGATGTCTGGATAACCTTCTAGTTTGAAGAGATCATGGAGGGAAAAGTAACTATAAAGAATTTTTTTAGATGGATATGATTGGTCTGAACAGTTCACAACCACAAAATTAATGATGTTTAATAAATGACCGTATCATAAATTTAAATCAAGAGAATATATCGGAAAAAGACTTCTGTTTTTTATGTTTGTACAAAGGCAAATAAATTGAGTTTAGTTTCAAATTTGGGCTCAAGTTCTGTCAGCAAGCTTTCCTAACAAATAAAACATATGAGAACTTCTTCAAATAGAAATGGTTTATTTTATTACGAATGAATGATGGAGAGAAACGTAGAAGGTGATTGTAATTCTAATCCTTTATCTCATGACTGTCGCTGAAAAGCAGTAAAACATCAAAAAATTACAGAACAAATCCATTGTATTTCCATGAACTTTTATTAATTTAGACGCACAAGAGAACAACTTAATATTTCGATTAGATTTTTAAAAAAAATTGAAGCTTATTTAACTTGAATACGGTATTTGCATGGCGCATTTTACTCAAACTATGGATGCATTTTGGTGCTACATTCTGTTCTCAAGAGCCATTATGTGTTTGAAGAGACGGCCAACTTTTTCAGATGTTCCATGAATACTTGGAGTGAGACATCATCAGTAAGTACCGGTGCGCCACCATCCTATAATGAAATTTAAAACCAAAATCGTATCAAGAAATATTCGTATCAAGTTATCAAAGTGCAAGTATGAAGCACCCAACCCCTGTAAATCATGTTAGCAGTTTTGCAGTGTTTTATTCGCAGATTTTACGAATAAATTACGAATTTCGAACGAATACAATATTTTATTCAAACATATTAATAATAATCAAGAGAACGGAAAAGCGTATTTACAAAGAGAAATTAATTGATATATTGTATTAGAGTGAATAGATTAATTTGAAGAGGCTGATTCATGGGATGTTAAATTGAAGCAAATTATAAACATTAAAAAAAGCACAAAAACACTAAAAAGAAAAACTCCAACATGGAGGAAATAAAAAAAAAACATAATAAAAATACCGTAGCTGGGGAACCGATCATCGGCTGTAAATGTCCAAAAATAATACATAACAAAAAATTAGAGGAGCAAACAAAAATTCAGCAAAAAAACACGCATCGTAATAAAGTAGCAATTATTTGCTTTGGTTGGTAAATGGACAAAAAAAACGTTCGGTTCTTCAATTACCTGACCATAAGCGTACATATTGTTGTGTGTCTGCGAAGGATTGACTTTTGAAAGCAAAAATCGAGCTTGAGAACCACCTTGCTCAGTGTCAATATACCGAGGCATTGGGAATCGAGTTTGCAAAATTTCTTGAGCATCATCAACCGGCGCCTGTTTAAAGACAGAACATACAAATTTTCATTATACAAATCTTCGATGTTGTTCGACCAAGCGGAAGAGAATTCATTATACTTGAAGTAATTGTTTGAAGTTGGCGTATTCTGGCATATCTTGATATTTTAAGGCTCGCCATTGTGCAATCGTTTCTCCATGGAAAATCAGAATCTGGAAGAATGTGTCCATCAAGAGAATTCTGTCTGGTTGAATTGATGACGTATCGAGAAGAACCGGCTCTGGCGGTCCATTGAATGAATATGAGTACAAAATTGGTTGAATCATAATAAGTGATTGTGTAAGATCCTCACGCATCAACATGTGTCTGTAAAAAGGGCATGGATCAATCATTAGCTTCCATTTGATCGTTGCATACAACGAATCATAATTCAGAACAAATGCACAAAATTTACCTATAAAATGATGTTTCATCGGGAGAATTGTTGAACACTTGTAAGAACTGTGAACGTCGTAGATGGTACATGAATTGTGGATATAAACTAAAGTTCTCCGCCAGACGGAAACTGTTTGGATCGTCTTTGGCGTATTCACCAAACTTCTGACATAAACGAATAAGCATTCGATCAACCCAGCGCAAAACATCTGGACCATCATCGGTCTCGGCTCGATAAACAACCATGCGTGACATCAATACTGCTGCAGATTCTTGATCGAAACCGGCACTTATATGCGGTAAATTCATCGATGCGTCGGCCCAACTGAAAAATATTTTGCAATTTAGTAAAAACCTTTTATTTGAATTGGGAATTTTAAGAGATAACAAACTTATGCTTACTTCCTTGCCAATGTTGTAACCCGAATGCGACGTTGTCCACTAGAATGCTGATATTGTGTAATGAACTGCAAACAACCTCGACCGCCCTGTGGAATAGGTGCCGCATGTTGGTTTACTACCTCGAAGAAAAATGCAAATGTCGTATTCGAACTCAAACCGCATGCTTTCCATTGCACCGTATTCCCCATGCCGATTTCATTATCCGATACAGATGCATTTTTCACATTCAATGACACGCACGAACCGATTCCGCCCTCAATTTTCAATTCTCTGGAACATTTTACTTCAAGTGTTGCATTAAATGCCATTTTAAGATCGTTGTTAGAATCACGTGCAAATACACGCTGGAATGTTTGCTTGAACAATGAAGAGTTGAATGAGTCGCCCATCACCATATGACCACCAGTTGAGTTGCACAACTGCTTCATTTCCAATAGACCAGTTTGGTCTAGGGCACATGAGTAAATATCCAAACAATGACCATTGGTAGCTGTTCTCATCGCCAACGCATCATAATGTTTGGTAGCTTTTTTCAAATATTTTGCATTGTCCTTATGAATGTCGTGATGCGAACGAATTGGATGTTTGAGTTCATCGTCAACAACTTGACCAGGACCTTGACTGCATGGACCACCAACGAAGCTCATTATTCGGGCTCCGGTATTCGGGTATGTGCATTCCAATAATCCAACAGCAATCGAAAGAGCAGCACCCGTTGAACGTAGTGCACGTTTCCCTTGGGGAACTGGCCACGGGTCTCGTTGCAATTCACTCAGTAAATCGGTCAATACCATATCACACTTGTGTACTGGTTGCAAGAATCGATTAGCTGGTGGAACTGCAACACCTTTCGGTTGCTGTGGATTCATTCCTCCTGTGGTAACTCGTCCAATTCCCAACATTTCTTGGACCTGCTTCGCGGTAAAGTCTTTTGTGCCCCGAAAGACGTAGCTTTTCGAACATCCTTCTGTTCCATTCAGCTCATGCACCTGTACCATTTTCCCGAATGTAATCAGACCGATGAGAGCGTTAGGTGGCAACAAGCTCAGTGACATTTGCAATGAGTCCTTCAGCGCAGCCAATTCTTCATCGTCCATGCACGTATCGACAACCAACAAAAAAACTGGTGGCAAACATGGTGCCCGTGCGATGGTGTATTCGATTGTGCTGAAGTTTGGTATCAGTTCGGCTGGCTGATGTTGCTCAGTTATTGCGCTGTACTGTGGTGGGAATGGATTTCTTTGGAAGCAAAAATTGCAAACCCACAACTTTGCGCGGTAATCCACCTGACAAAGCGGATTCAAAATTGCCCGACAATTGCTTCGTGTACACAAAACTGGCTCATACTGTATGGTTGGTAGACGCGTTTGCTCTGTGCGTTCTCTCAACGGTTGATACAGACATCCGAGTGGCACTACCAATCGACTGCTATCAATGCGACTTGATGGCCAAACATTCCAAGTCAAACGAATACCATCACGATCTTCGTTCTGTTGAATGTACTCATCGTACGTGGTCATTTCTTCTGTTTTCCAATTGTTCCACTGATTCTTGCTCTAAATTTGTCATAGAAAAGGAGATTTCATTTTATTTTTATGTAATGATGTTTGTACAATATGTGGAGGTGAAAGTTTTTCCTCTATCTAAACTCCAATTGCAAAAAATTCATTTGCAAATCTATTTTCTATCGAATTTTAACTTTTCTTCAAATTGTTATTACTTTTTTGTATTTACTTTTCAGCCAGAGAACCCACAAATATACTCACTTTTAAACTAAATTTTTTCCTTGGAAAAGTCTCTATTCACAACGCAACAAATAGACACAATTAAGGAGAGTAAACCTTACACGTCAGCCCGTTTGACAGCGCACAATACGTCAACATTTATGCCGATTAAAAGCGAATGTCACTTCGTAGCGCTGTTAACACTTTTTATGACAGTGTTGCCCAGGCAACACTCTTTACATTCATAACACAGGAAGGAATATTGGCAAAAAATATCGTTAGTACAATCATGGTTTTATTTGGTTTTATTGAATTTTACAGGAAAGAGTACGTACAATAAATTACATGACTCATTTCGTTTTTCGTTTTATTTCTTTGTTTTCAAGATGCTGTGTACGCTATTTTAAGATTTAGAATGGTTTGGTTATGATTCCATATTTATTGCGATTTCTTGTCATCGCCCTTCTGTTTTGTGCCGCCTGATGTGACATCATCTTTGAAATGAATGAAAACAAATGAAAAAATGAAGACTCCGACCATCATAGAGAATGCGCTGATGTAGTATGGGAAGGCGCTCGGTATGAAACGTTCATATTGAGTATGCTGTAATGGGCGGACTGACACTTGTGTTGTGCTATACAGATGAGTATATCCAATTCGGTCATAATCCACTTTGAATTGATAGACTCCATAGACATCGGGAATCTTGAACTTTGCTTGATACTTTCCGCCGCCGATATGCTTCAACGTTGTACGAACGAATGGATCAATGCGAACAAATTCCAATTGAATATCGTTTGCTTGGAATGGTTGCCATTTTCCGGCGCTTAGCTCTTCGATCGAAATGGTATAAACCACTGGATCAATGATGGTATATGATTGTGGAGCTTCAGTTTCACCATCTTTATGGTGTTCAATATTGACGACACGCAGACGTCCCACTTCACCAAACACCCATTTACCGATGGCGGTGGCAACTTCTTGATTACCGGATTTTTCGTAGTATTTGCCGCCATACTTTGATACACCAGACGTAAATGCTTTGTCGGAAAAGAAGAACAATGATCCAGAAAATACGACGCGAGCGTTGTTACGAGCTTGCAAAGCAGCAATCAACAATGTGCCACGGCCAACGGCATGTGGATATTCTTTGATCGAATTTTCCGGAATGTAGCTGTAAGCGGTTGAGTCAGCTGTGAGTACTTGTAGAACAAGGCTATTTTCACGATCGGCAAGCAGTCCAGTTCCCTGGTATAACAATGGGGCCACATTTTTGCTGCCAACGATTAATGGCGATGAAATTAAATTTTCTGGTGAGGCTACAATTCGTGTGTGGTCTCCTCCATCGGAAATGTCATAGTTCAAGTGATCAATAACGGCGGCACCATCTTCGTCCACCTCGAAACCGCATTCAGTTGCCAGTTCACGCAATGCTTCACCTGATTTGGAGCTTCCAGCCACAAGTACATTTCCACCGTCATCAATGAATTCGGCTATTTTGTCCACGCTAATCTCTCCACCAAACTCTTCAACTGAGGGAGCAAAAATCACCAGATTTTTATAAAGATATTCGCCAAACTTCGATAATACCAAATTTGAATCATCGGCCAACTTGAATGTCAGTTTGTATCCTCTCTCTGAAAAAAAAAACATCAATACCAAATTGAAAATTCTCACTTAGAATTATGCTTAGTGGAAAGTGATTTATGTCCGAAAAAATGACACGTCAGTCTTTGTCATAAGCAAACAACATATACGCCAATAGAAAATCACCGGCATTTCTTACCTTGTAAACCCTTAAAAAATATCGAATGTGTTTCTCTAATCGCCAAGTTATCTAACAAAACGAGGGTATCACCTGCATTTTGTGCACAGGATAATGCACAAAAATACATGAAAACCAAGAAAATTCCTGATATTTTATTAGCCATTGTAGTTTTCGCTTTGGCGTATTCTGTAGATTTGTGACGACTAAATACACACAAAAAGTTCTGCGAATGACATAAGCAATCAAGTGTGGAGAATCCACTTCATTGGTACAAGAACCGGCAAATAACAGATGTCGCTAGTAGTACCATGACAATACGTAAATCAATTCAAACTTTTTATTGCAAGTAACAAAACTAATAATCATGATTCAAATTCATTTCACAAATTCTCAAATTGTAATACGAATATTTATCTGATATTAAATATTTAATTTGTTTAGTGGTTATTTCGTTTTTCTCCAAACAGATTTGATCATTAAACCCATTCATTCGCGAAACAAATACGAAACCGATTTCAGATTGGAACAGCCATACGAAAACTGTTCGTTAGTTCTTATTGCACAAAACACCGACTCGACTCAATCGAGCACGCATTTCTGGAGCAACTCTCACTGTGTGAAGACGTAAAAACCGCAGCATCCAAACATATTTGTTTGATCCCGTTAGTCGTGATAGTTAGCACATTCACAGCGAAGCAAAAGTTTTTGTCATATTACAATCAAAATCCAAGAAACGAAAAATATCGCGCAAAAATGGCCCGAATGAAGGTAAAGCCAGAAAATAGCGGTGCAGAGGAAGTGCACGATGAAAAAGATCAAAAAGGTGCAGGAGAACAACCACCGAAGGCGAAACGTGGCGGCCAGGCGGCAAAGTCACCAAAAGCCAAAACCGACGGTGTCAAGAAAGCCCCCATGAAGGCAAAAGAAAAAGCTGGTAAGTAAATTTACAATGATTCATCACCTCTTTCTGAATAAAATGTGATATTTTCCATGCTGATTGTCACTTTCATACTTTAATCAATAAAAGCAAATCGTTCGAATCAAATAAACTTCTACTTGGCGACAATAAAACGGTTAACTTATGTTATTTTGTATTTGTTTCTTTTCAGATGGTGCCAAATCGGCGAAGAAGAAGGTGTCGAAGCATCCACCAACATCTACGATGGTCGCTGAAGCGTTCACGGTCTTGAAGAATCGCAAGGGTTTGACTTTGGCTGCCATTCGCAATTACATCGCCAAAACGTATGAATGCGAAGTCACCAAACAAATTCAGAAACTCATCAAGAAGTACATCGCCGACGAATTCGAGGCTGGTCGCATCAAGATGATCAATAACGATGCCGACGAAATCAAATACAACCAACGTTTCGCATTGGTCAAGTGAATCGATGCAATCGTACGTATTGCGATTGTCGTTTTCACCGTTTCATTTTATTTTCGTCTCTAATTTTCTTTTGCTTACAGAACTGCTGTAACCAAGAAAAAAATTCAAAGATATTTAGCGTAACAATTTATTACATTTTGAATTTAACAAAAAAAAAACACCTAATCTGTATATCTGTTGAGTATATACGTCCCGTTAGAAGATTATATATTTATAAACAATGTCGAACAATGTTTAAGGAAAAAACCTTCTCGAATTTATAAATGAACAATGATGAAAAAATCCAAATGCCATAGCAATAGTGTATTTGAACGCAGGCTATATGAATAAAACAGACTTATACTTTGCACTTGTGCATAGAAAAATTTGCGTCGTATTTCTTTGGATACATTGTTTAAAGAGGGGATTAACGGTATTTTTTTTCACAGGAATCGGGATGGGTTGTGTTGTGTTGCGTTGTGTTGGACGATGAAACTGCTTTCAGTGCATAGCAGAAAGACAGAGGTAAGATAATTTCGTTTGAATTGAAAATGCGCCAATGAGCACAACATGTTCTTTGTCTCCACACACTCGGTCGGCTGCTGAACACATTCGTGCATATGTGCAAAACCATTAAGCTATTTTGACAGTAAAAAATATATACGAGCATAGGCACTTACACATATCCGTCCACATATTGACATGAACCGTATTAATATATAATTTACCCACACATATACACGATGTGACTTTCGAATGTATGAGCATCAGCACCGTAGATGTGTGAGTGGAAACAAAACCGAACCAAAGAGATGAAATAAAGAAGCCGAAAATATGTAAAAGGAAGAAATATTTCTGCTACGTATCTGACATTTGTGTTTTTTTCTTTCGATTCGTACTAGAAATGATTTGAAAAGACTAAATATTTATTCCCATTTTGAAAAACTCGAGAAAAAAAAATCCCATTAAATATACTTGTGCTAGAAGAGAAATGATTTGTATAACATAAAAATCTAAGTTTTCTTGCTGTGCTAAAAATACACATAATACAGCATCATTCTGAAAAAAATGAGCTACTGATTTGTCTGTCAATTTCCAATCTGTTTGATTGGTGAAACCTTTCTATTGGATCATATTCTCCATCAAATATCAAGTGAAAAACGTAAAATAAATTGAATCAGTGGAAAAACATCATTGAAATCAAATGGTTGATTTAGTTTCTTAGGGTGATGTTTCAATCATAGCATGAATATAGATGAGCAAACGCTTATTTGTGACATCTTTGGCTCTGCGCTGCATTGTGCAAAATTGTTAACAATATAAGAAGAGAAAAGTGTATTCATGAAGGCGGCATTCGCAAGTCGTATCTTCATTTGAAAAAAAAATATGTAAAGGATCTTGTGCAACCGATAGATTTTTCCTCAGCATTGAACATCACTGTAACACAACAAATTGAAGGTAGCTACATATAAAAATCTGCGTTACATTTAGAATTGAAGTAGCCGTGCATTTCTTCTGTTTTGCGGTAATGAAATATTTCACCGCTCGCTATTGAAACTATTCGTTTTATCATTTTATGTGTGTCTTTATTTCTTCAAATTTGATCACTCTTTTTGACAAACTCAAATCAGAATTCAATGGCCTATGCAAATAAATGTGTTAAAATCTCAACCCAATAAATGTTTTTCCTGGTTTACAGTCTTTGTGTTGCATGTTGTAGGCACATTATGCATTTTTTTCATCATCTGCACCCATTTTTATGAGCAAACTTCATATGCACACTTCATTTTTCTCATTTTTGTACATTACAATCGAACAGAATTTCGTGCGTTCGGAATTTTTTCATGTTTTCTTCTTGTATACATATCGGTGGAAATCACCTGACTTTATGACAAACATTCGAGAAATCAATCTTTCATAAATTCCATACTACACACATTCAGAGACAGAAATCAATATTGGGGCAGTGCATATTTGTTGAAAAAGGGTAACTGTTAATTGAAGAAGGTAAACAATCGAGAAGAAAGCATCCAGTTACTCAAAATATACAGCGGTGGATTTAACGCAAGGGTAGTGATAAAAACTCAATATGGAAAGTCCCGGCGCTGCTGGAAGGCGTCGTGGAACTCCTCGCAGCAATGTGGAAGATCAGGCTCTAGATCAAATTGCTAAAGAGGTAAGTTTATATTCATGTTATAAATGAACCTGTACAGATGGTACATAACGGTATTGACGCTTTCCAAACGATTCTATCGACAATCCAGCACCCAATGCTGTCATAACAAGCAAGACAGCATCAACGCCTGCACCATCAAACATCATTTTTGTCATTGCACTCATCAAACTATACATATATCATACCATTTCATTAAAAATACACACACACACACACACACACACACTGTCATAACAATGAAAAGTATTCATAATTTTAATTGCTCTTGGTATTGGCACAAATATATCAGAATCAACTTCATTTTTCTATTTCATATTACAATAATAGCTTTTTCGCATGTGTGTGTTTCCAGTGTTACAATGCCCATGTATAGCCATAATTGTACGTATTTTCTAATGTATCAAATTATTGCTTTTCTTTCGTAATGCCAACTTTGTTGTTTTGGCAATTATTACTATTTTCATTAGATTTGATTTCAACGTTATTGAATGTATTGGAAAGAGACAATGCATTCATTTAATTTCGCTTTGGTTGAACACTAGTGTGTCCATGTGTGAGCACACTTTGCACACATGTATTGTTTGTCAATACATCAGTCGCTTACTGGCTGTGCTGCCGTCATCGTCGATGTAATTTGTGGAACAGTGACAAATGTGTCATACATTTGTGAAAATGATTTAATATAAAACATGTTTCTTCGTCAATATTAAGTTAAATTTGTGAATATTTGGAAAAAGACTAGTCTAGGGCATAATCATTCAACTACATTCAAAACGTTTATAGAAAAAAGTACAGCTGTGTATCGAGCTAAGTAATTAAACAACGTTTGGATGACCTAACACTTAAAATTTCGACAGAGTAATCGCTTTACCAAACATAGTTATGTAGTGGATTCAGATAGGTGAACTGAATAAAATTTATTAAAAAAAATTCTCTGTTGGGCGAACAAACATCAAACTAAATTGATTGCATAAAGTGTTGTTGTCTGCGTGGTTCTATCATTTGAAGTTTTGGAAATAATTTTTCCTCATTGTTAAATAGACATTTTACACGAATATTAGCTATTTAGAACTAAAGGGACGAACCAAATTCAATATTTCGTTATTTTTTGCGCTGTGATCCACATTCAAATAGAAAAACACGATGGATTTATCATCATCACAAATTGACAATCAAAACAATAACAACAATAACAGTAAATCTGACTGTACGCATGATGCGAATCTGACACAAAACCCTGATTCAGACGAACAAAATAACAATGCGACAGAATTGTTTGACATCGATTCAAGCGATCTGGAGTATGATTGTTCAGGCAGTGACCAAGATGAAAGCGATAAGAAATCGAAATCCGTAGAAGAAATTGAACGCAGAACTCTTGGTCATGAGGAAATGTCCATTTCAACGATTCCAAACGAACGCCATTCCAATGAGAAACTCACTGATATTCAACTCGAACAAACAAACAGTAAACAGAATTCATCAAAGCAGGCAAATAACTGTTTAGTACAAGAAGAGCAAGAAGAAGAAGAAGAAGAAAAAGATAATGTTGCTACGATTGACGATAATGCCGTAGAGGAAGAGCCTATCTTCGATTTTTTAGGCAAAGCCAACGAAATCGTATGTTATACATATATCTGTAGCAAATCTTACAAACGCTGTTCATGTAATACAATCACTCCCACTCATAGCTAATACGTATCATCAGTTGTATAAAGACCGTTTGATTTTTGAAAAAAAAATCACCATTGATTCTCGAAAGCTATCAATGTAAACATAACGTTTTTGATTCATAATTTGTGAACGAACGTGTGAGAACGGTTTTCAATCATAATAATTAATAATAGAATAATAATGGTGGTTGGATTAAATTCATACACAACTCAATAAAATTGTTGAAAGATGGTAGGAATGTATAAAAAAATGATGTTTTTTGGACGGCTTTAGCTTTAACAAAACCATATGTCTATAGGAATTGTTTGCTAGTTTTAACTCCACGTGATTTGAAATAGGAAATTTCATTTTTTACACTTTTTTTTTCATCTCAAGGCCGAAGCACGTTTGGCACAACGAAGACTTGCTCGAGCAGAGGCACGTGACATTCGTATGCGTGAACTTGAACGCCAGCAAAAAGAGCAAGAACAAAATGCAGATCGAGCATTTGATATGCAAACGGCTGGTTTAGATCCAACGACGCGATCTTCGCGCTTTGCAATGTCATCAGGTGCATTGGGTGCATTACGTAGCGGTGCAATGTCATCACGTCGCAGTAGTGAAGACTCCTTAGAAGAAGAAGGTCGTAGCCTTCGAGACATAAAACAAGAAATAAAGGTATAAAAACTCTATCCATTGACATTTATCATGAATTGAATTTGAACAAAAACACGACATGTGTAAACGATGAAAATGCAAACACAACAGAGTATTTGCAATAAAGTCGATAACGATCTGATGTTGTTTGGGCATATAATAATATCGTTTTCTTTCCTCTTTTTTATGTGTGCAGGACATGGAAGAACGGTATAGGAAAGCTATGATAGCCAATGCACAGTTGGATAATGAGCGTGCATCAAATACATATCAAATTCAGTTGTTAAAAGACAAAGTGGAGGAAATGGAAGAGATCCATGCCCAACTTCACCGCGAACATAAAGAGAAATGTCGACAATTCGATACATTAAAGCGAACAAATGAAAAACTAATGGAAGACTTGAGATTAGTTCAAGGTCAATTGAATGAGCGTGACACACTTATAGCTAACGAAGGGATGACAATAGTTTCCATTGAGAACGAGGATGGCTCAGACGCAAGGCGAGCTCTAGTCAGTGCGGAAAATGCACAATTATTAGACACTCATCAAGGCTCTTTAGGTATGTGTGATGATTAAAATGATGGCTAACAAAATCCGTATTTTGCAATGTTTTATTTTATCTGCAATTGTCGTATAGATGTGCGATTGAAAAAATTCACCGAAGAGAAACAAGCATTGAGAACTGAGATCGAGCAGCTACATCAACAACTGATCGCTGCCAAAACACAGAGGCGGTCCGGATCCCAAAACGGACCCGTCGACGATGAAGACTACGAGGATGCTCAGAGTAATATTTTTTGCTTGATAACAAAATCCCCTCCAAATAGTAATAATACTCTCTTTTCAATGTTCACGAAACAGGAGAGGCAAACAAGTTAATATCAGATTATAAGTATAAATTGACGAAATCTGAACAGGAAATAGCTAGTTTACAAGCAAGCCTGGCACGTTCAGAGACTCAAGTAATCCGCTACAAGAGTACGGCAGACGCTGCCGAAAAAGTTGAGGCCGAACTCAAAATTGAACGACGGAAACTTCAGCGAGAGGTAAGAGATGGAGGAAAAAAAATTTGAACTGTATTATAGTTCAGATTGGGTCTGGTATATACGACCTTGTGATTTAGAGTGTTAAGATTTCTATTTGGTTAAAGGAGAGTTTATTTGTTTCAGCCAATTCTTACGCAAATCTGGGACGAATGTCACCTTCAATGACGAAATCTGAAATTTGTTTTTTTCTTAATTTGTTATTCAAACAGTGAGTTTCCCTCCCGAAGTTTGAAGCAGTTTTATCATTTGTGTGTGAAAATGAAAATCCATTATATGCTGTTATTTCCGCGTGGGGCTAATTCCTTAATCGACAATATGGCCAATATGACATTCATGTTGATCGATTTAGTCCACTAATTCTCACCTATGTTCGTTTCTAATGGCTGAATTTTTATTATTTAATATTCATTCTCTAAGCTGCTATAGACTGTACTTAAATCACCCTATTGTTGACTGTTGTATTAATTTCATTTGTAGTATTTTTTTACTCCAACCACCCACTTGAATAATATATTCATCAATCTGTATATTCTTACGATATCGTTATTTTACTTTACAGAATCGAGAAATGATGGAAAAACTGGAAGAGCTAGAAACATCTCACAATCATTTGCTGAAACGCTTGGATAAACTGAAGAATGCAAAAAGTACTCTCCTCAAAGAATTATGATCAACAAACAAATGGAAAAAGTCTGATTAAGCGAACAATCTAACAAAAGCAATTAGCTATGTTTTTAGAGTAAAAATCTGTTTTCCAACTCCAAATGGAATTGGTGAAAAGAATGTAAAAAAATCCAACAACGGATAATCTGCAAATGTATTTTGGAAGTTTCGTCAATCTTTCATAGAATAGCCCGTTTAAATAAGTTGCCAATTTAAAAGCTGCTTGTTGCTTCACAACATTTTTACATCTCATTCAAACTGGAATATTGATTTAGGAATTTTGCATGAGTTTTAGAAGAAAAAGAAAGAAACAGCCATTAACATATATATTTAGTTAATTTTCAATCAATAAAGCAAGAAAGTACGCGTAGTTGAAATTGTTCGCAATTGCACACATGTTTATGGCATAATAACAGTTGAATTAACAACATGTGACAGTTTATCAATACTCATACTGGATGAGTGGCGGTCATAACGCCCGGATGGACAGCATACTCTAATGTAATAGAAAACACAGAAGCATGCCATCCGTCCGGGGCGTTATGACGGTTACCCGACTGGATAATCCTTTCTGGAGAAAGGGACACTTGGATTGGTGCAAATTTCAGTTTTTCGATGCAGTCCAGGAATTTCATTTGCAATATCGCTGACTAACATTTCCGTGGAAAATGAAATGTTTCGCCACTATTTCTCAGTAGTTTTTAGTGTGTATTTTTTGATTTAATTTATATGTAAAATAAATAACATTTTTGTTCGAAATTCATCAAAACGACTTCTTTTTTTTGTCACAATAATTCAATATTCGATTTTGAAACGGCCAATTTCAAACAATTCTGATGATTTAGTAAACGTCATATTGATGACAGTTTGAACATGGCGCATTCATATATTGCCGCTTTGTTGTGACAACTGTCAAAAAGTATCGTTTGCGCTATCACATCGTTTACATTGTCACCGTCTTCAACAGAGAAAAATAGAAATTATTATAAATATTGACGAGAAACGTATCGAATACACCGAAATGCAAAACGACATGGATAGAGTTGTTGAATTGGAAGAAGGCATTCGTTTCAAGTAAGTAATGGGATTTTGCTAATCATTCCGTACTGAGAATGTGATTCACATATATTTTGTTTTGCTACGGACAGCGATTTGTTGTCGGGAGGTGCAAGCTTCAACATCAATCACAAAAGTATGGCCGAGACCATTGACCAAGACATTTTTGATGAGGTGGGTAGCGGTGATGAAAATGAGGACGAAGAGGACTTGGACATTAAGCTGTCACCGTGGAAGAAAAGCTTTGCTGAGCTAAAATTGTCGATGGTGCAAGTCCCAAATGAAATGGGTAGCGTCTACAAACGGATCATTACTAAGGGCATCGACGAGGTGATGAATTCACCAAACTGTCGAATTCGATGGACATTCAGCATGTTCTTCGAAGGCGAACCAATGGCATTCGACTCCAGCTCCAACCCAGTCACCGTTCAGAAAATCGATTTGATTCTTGGCCTTCAAATTGCAGCCGAATCGATGCAAAAGAAGGAAGAGGCTCAGTTTGTTATCGACTACAAGTTGATGTTTGGTGAAATTGGATGTCCGCCGCGTATCAAACCAAAGGCTGACGTCTTATTGGTGGCCAAAATGATTGATTTCATCGACACCGGTGACGAGAATGCCTGTGATAGTTTATCTCAAGAAGATCGTCGCAAGTTTGCCGTGCTCAAGGATAAGGTTTTTGTTCATTCTTCGATCATTTTTATATATTAAAGATAACAGCCTGTTATTCTTCAAAGGTAATCGAGATGATGAAGAAGTTGCAAGATCATTTCCGAAACAAAAGATACCGATATGCCATAAATGTCGGACAAACAGCCATACGCAATCTGGAAATGTGTCAAGTGGCAAACGAAGATGAGCAAACGGAGCAGCAAAAATTCCTGAATGGTAAATCGATTAATGAATTAATAATAATAGTTATAATTATTTATTTTAAAAATATTACTAATTTATTCAATTTAAAAAAGATCTTTACATTCAGTTGACTACGTGCTTGGTAAAAACAGAAGATTGGAAGAAATGTTGTACGATGGTGAACGAGCTGCGTCGTCGCACGAACATCAGCCGAAATGTGCCAGTGATGTTGAACGAAGCCATTGCACTGAGCCATATCGAAGACGATTATAAGCGTTCTATAAATTTGCTGCGAAATGCCCAGAAACTTGAGCCCCACAACGAACTGGTCAATAGTACATTGGATGAGGTGTTGGCCAAAGAGGAAAAATATCGGAAGCAGTCACAAGATATGTGGCGAAAGGCGCTAGAAGTGAAGTCCAAAGCTGATGCTCAGAAAGAATGAACACTTATTATGCCTTAGGCGTCACAAAAACATTTTTATATTTTTTCATTAAATTATTATTACTATTCATTATAAATTGTGAATAAAAACCAGCCGTTAAATGGTGCTCCACACATTCAAGCCGCAAAAAGGGTGCGTTCACTGTGTTTTCATTCATCTCTTTCCATTGGGTCAGTTCAAAAATGTGAAGTTTAACTGACATAATATTGTTTGTTTTCATAAATTGACAGACACTGGTTTTTCAAGCCAACATTTGGAATACCTTTAATGTTGCAAAAGTTAGAAAAATTAAATATTTTTAACGGGCAGGAAATAGAGTTTGGATTTCGATTTCCGTAGGAATGGCTTTTCCAAAACGGCGTGATATATTTCTGGCAACTTGCTTATTGGAGTCGATTGAAGATGAGAATTATCGGTGAGTTAACCTGCTCGAACAAATGAATTCTTGAATGCATATTGCATATGCATAAACAATACGATGAACTTTTGCAGAAATACTCGACAATTATTGGTTGAACATCATGCAAATCCCAACCTATTGATACCTGAAAGTAACATAGCTGCCATACACTATGCCGCTGGAATGGAAAACAGTGAATTTGCCGAAGCTGCAATGAAACTCATTCTGAAATGCAATGGTAGTAGTTTCAAACTTTGAATTTAAATGGTTAAACTGATTTTTCGTTAATTATTATTGTACCGAAGGAAATCCAAATGTTCAAACTATAGAAGGTGAAACTCCACTGCACGTAGCAGTAATTTGGAACCGTGCGTTAATTGTGGAAATGCTATTGGTAAATGGAAATAATTTTTTTTGCATCTATTTTGAATGTGTGCCAATGCAAATACTTTTCTACTAGGACCATGGTGCGGACCTTTCTATCACTGATAATGAAAACAACACGCCGATCAATCATGCAATCACTGAGAAGCATTACAATTTGATTCCAATCTTTCAAAATCACATATTTGAGAAGAAGTTACGGAAGAAGGTCGAAGCAAAGCATTTGAATAATCAGTCTGAACGAACACCAACCAAACCCATAGATACAGTCATTAAATCACTGCAGCAACTGGACATAAGAAAGAGTGCGGATGACGACGGAGTCCTAACGCCAAATCGTACAAATTTCAATTTCAAAGAAGCTAGTCCTTTCCTAGTAAACATTAATTGTCGACGACCAAAGTATAGAGTATGTGAAACAATCAAGTCTGAATCCAAAGACAAATCAACTGATGGACGACCAATCAATGTTGACGAAGACATAATTGAGATCAGCGATAGTGACGATAATGCTGATGTTGATACCAGAAACCACAAACTGGTGAAGAATCTTTTTGAATTGACTGAAGAAAATATTGAAAAGCACCTATCGATGGTAGTGAAAAAGAAGCGAAAGGGTTCATTGATTTGTTTGTGGCGAAATAAAGTGAACGAATCACGTATGAGAAAGTCCATACTGCCAATAAATGAAATTGAGTTTGAAGCATTCTTATCCGAATATACTGAAGATGTGGAATCACCATCAGTCGAAAGTGCTGAAACGATTGTGCCAGCCAAGCCAAAAGTTGACAAAGACAGTGCGACAGAAGATAGTTTTTTTACGGCAGCTGATCAAAATGGAGAAAACCATGAATACTTGCAGGTAGTAGAATCAGTGAATCATCAGGCAAACAGCAATCCTAAAGATCAGACTGAAATCATTTTCCAAACTCAAGAAGTGTACCAACATGTTGATGTTCAAAACAACATTGTGTTCTATGAAAACAAATTGCTGGCAAATCAAGTGAAAATGGCAAACATGGAAACAACAGGTCAACAGGAAGTTATCAATTTGAATACATCATCTGAAAGTGGAACATGCACAGACTTAGTTATTCCATCTGATTACGATACCGACGATTTACGAAAGGAATTGAAAAGTTTTGGTGACCAGCCGGGCCCAATAACGAAAAATACGAAACGTCTTTATTTGAAGCGGCTCGTTCGATACAAACGTCATCCTCGGAATGCGGCACAGAACCAAAGAGTGAAGCGCAGTAAGTAGATGCAATATCAGTATGCTACGTAATGTTAATATTATTTTAACCATGTCGATTGCTGGTCAGATTTTTCAGTCGAACTTCAGAGAACGATGAGAAAAGACATAGATTTATTGGATTTTATAAACGAATATGCGACGCTTGAACGTCAAATGGTCAACAGTTTTCTGTCGTGTCCTTCAAAAAACAAAAATATGCGGGAAGGGAACTTGAAAAAGAGCTTCATCTACCTACTCATCGATCCGCGTATTGCCGAAAATTTACTTGCTGAATCTCAGGTATATTGAAGTTCTATATTTGCACTATAATCGGCCCCCATGATATCAACACTGACTCAAAATCATGTTCAATTCACATTTTAGCTTATTACTCCATCGGAGCTGTGGAGCCGTTTCTTGAATTCAATTTTCTACGTTGGAAAAGGAAAAAGTAGTCGGCCCTACGCTCACTTGTATGACGCCATCAAAATGTATAACGGTAAGCAAGGAAAAACAAAATTATTATCAATTATTTTATTTCTAAATGATATGATTTACAGAGGAAAATTTACATGTCGAAAAGATGTCCGAAAGCCTTAAACTTGACCGAATCATCGAAATATGGAAAGCGGATAAGGGTGTAATCTGTTTGCCAGTATTCCATAACATTACCCCAGTAGAGGCATATACACGTGAAGCAGCGATAATTGATTGTTTAGGCGTGGAAAATCTCACAAACATTAAGAGAGGCGATTATTATGGATTGGCAAAATCGTGGACTATGCGGGATCGAAAAAGACTCGGCGTATTGCTGCTACACAAGGCCATGCAGGTTTTTATGGTAGAGGGAGAAAGTCAATTACGGCCGAATGACATCAAATAAAACTCACAACGAAATCTATTTACAATTAGCCTGTGATAACACTAGAATCAAAAGTACGAAAACAAAACGTTCTTGCCCAATACCAATACCATTGCAATTACTTTCGTTATAATAAATATTCGTCAACGGAAACCCTATTTGTTTTATTTATCAATCCTAATCGTTTTTAATTAAAAGCAACAGCATTAATGCGGTAAACACATGCATATCTGTAGACTCGGAATAATCTTTGAAATTATAATGTATGTTGAGTTAAACGGTTTGTTTTGATTCAAGTTTTTATCAACATTGCGACTGATTACACCAACGAATCGTAGTGCGATGTTTATTCCGTCGTCGGATTGCATAATTCATAACAGTTTAAATTGGGAGTTCACAAACAAAGCACTGGCGGGCACAACTGGAACATAGTAAAGAAAAATATGCTCAAAAGCATTTTAATATGTATTTTGGGCGCTACAATGTAAGTTTTGTAGATGATAGCCTGAAAAAATATTTGTTAATAATGGCCCAAAAAATATTTTAGAGCGACGAAAGCTCCTGAAGTGGTGGTGGATTCCCGGCAAAATGCATCAGATAGATTCTTTCCGGGCGATTTTCTGTTTGGGGCGTCGACAGCAGCTTATCAAATTGAAGGTGCTTGGAATTTGGATGGCAAAGGACCCAATATCTGGGATGAGTTTACACATTCACATCCTGAAAAAATAGTTGATCATGAAAATGCTGATGTTACTACCAACTCGTACGAATTTTATCTGGACGATGTGGAAGCAGTAAAAAATCTTAGTGTAAGAAAGATATTACATTGTCAACCGAACTGTTGTAACTATCATTAGTTCAACTCCTTATTTTGAAATTGTTCATTTTTAGATGAACTTTTATCGAATTTCGATTGCATGGTCACGTATTCTACCGACTGGAGATATAGCCAATATAAATGAAAAAGGAATTGAATACTACAACAAGCTGATCGACGCAATTATTAACCACAAATTGGAGCCAATGGTAACGATGTATCATTATGACTTACCTCAAGATCTTCAAAAACTCGGTGGCCTCACCAATTCAATCGTTATAAGCTATTTCGAGGCATACGCCAATTTGTTATACGATCGCTTTGGTGATCGTGTCAAATATTGGATAACTTTCAATGAGCCAGGCGACTTTTGCACTGCCGGATATGGGGCTGATCAACATGCTCCGGCCGTTAATGCACACGGTGTTGGCGAATATTTGTGCGGTCATAATGTTTTGAAGGCACACGCCGTCGCATACCGTTTGTATAGGAGTTCTTACTATGAACAATACAAAGGTCAGGTTGGAATCACGCTTAGCTCTAGATTTTTTTACTCCGATTCAAACGATACGCATACAGTGGATCGGGCTATGCAATTTTCCCTTGGTTGGTTTGCCAACCCAATCTTTTCTCCCGCCGGCAATTATCCCGCCATCATGATAACGAGTATAGCCAGTAATTCTATTCGCGAGGGCCGTTCTTGGTCACGATTACCATCGTTTACCGACAAGTGGATTGAAACAATACGCGGATCTGCCGACTTTCTTGGACTCAACTATTATACCAGCCGCTATGTTGAAGTCAATCCGGAGCCAAAGGGTACAAATCCATCATATGAACGCGATATAAATTTAAAATTTGTAATAAAGCCTGAATGGAAGCCAAGTGCATCAAATTGGCTATATTCCGTGCCAAAAGGTATCGGCGATATTCTGAGGTATGATCACATTTTAAACGTAGTATGATCACATACACGAAACTTATTTATTGGAGGACTATTAGGTGGATTAAGGAAGAATATAATAATCCAGAAGTGTTTATCACTGAAAATGGCTGGTCTGATCACGGTGAACTCGACGATGACGATCGCATAGCATACTTGCACGATCATCTGGAACAAATTCTGGACGTAGTCTTGAGTGACGAATCGAATCTGAAAGGATACACAGGTTTGCAGTATGATTTGGAAGAAAATTGAGACGAATAATTCTACTGTTTTTCTTATCGTTCTACAGTTTGGTCCATAATCGACAATTTTGAATGGACCCAAGGATACACGTCAGTTTTATATACATATATATTTTTATAATTACCAAGACATTACTTAAAATATTTTTTGTATGATTTTTAGTGAAAAATTTGGATTATATTCGGTAAATATGTCATCGCCAAGGCGAGAGCGAACCGCTAAGAAATCAGCAAACTTCATGGCAACGGTGGCATCAACTCACCGAATACCGGAAATAAATTGATTTTGGAAATGATTATTTTAAACATTTACGTTAAAGTATAAAATGTTCCTTTTCAATTGATTGTGAATACAGAAAAATGCGCAAAAATATGTTGTTCATTTTTAGCCAGTTGATGTCCGCCTTCTTTTCAGAGTATCAAGAGGATTCCTTTGCATTAACTCAGAATCGAACATTGAGATCCCCACCTAAACAGGTGGGTAATGCGAAAAAACATTTTGATCAATGGTCATTTAACTGTCTTTTTATACAATAATGATCGTTTTTATTACTTAGTTAAAAAAAAAGTCGATTTCATTGAAATGATTACATTTTTCTGAAATTTGATTGGGAAAATTGTAATAACGGTTATCTTAACTTAACGTATCTTAATATTTTTGCTGAGGAAGTAATGGACCACCACAAATTCTGATAATTTCATATGACAACGCCTTAAAAATGTTGAATGAAACGATGATCTAAATTATTGCATATTGGTCATAGAGTAGATCTCGAACTCTATAATATTCATCCGAAATGCATCCTTCCATACATAGTTTTCCTGTGTCGATCTAAAAAAGTGAATGTACAGATGTTAAATTTATCCACGGTGAAATTTTTAATAATTGAAAATTTACTCTTCGAATGGCAATGGTGCTGTTGGCACACCACAAGGCTCCATTAGAAAATTCGGATTGTATGTTATTTCTAAGGAGAACTTGTTTGAAATCAGAGATCTTTAACTCATTAACGAATGTTGACTTGTGTGGTTGGGCAACTTCATCCGGAATTGGTTCCAATGCCAACAATTTCGTATTATCAGCTGTAAACAACAAAATCGATTAAATTTTATCAGAAAGAAATCCATAACAAATCCAACGCGAGCTTACATGGAGGCAGCACTGAAACTTCACCATTTGTGGAAATATCTTCTTCATCTTCTTCGTTGTCAATCTCCATGGCGGGTGCATTTGTGTTGGAGCCATTTGTCACTAGATCATTTTCTTTCGCACCCAGAGATGGGAGGATTTTCTTGCTACGCGCTCGAATTTTCGCGTCAATCCATGCCACTTCGGCATCTTTCACCTTTTGGAATTGAAGTTTCGCTATCAGAGCTTCCGTGAGTTTGACCTGCAAACATAGACAATGTCAGCGAATTGAATTTCCGAATGCAATTCAAACGAACCTAATCTGAATTTAAAAACCATATTCAAAAACGCACCTGATATATATGGCTTTCTGTCGTAGCATCAATAACGTCGCCCTTGTTTGGGGTGAACACACGAGCACCGATACTCTGCGAACAATGTTTAGCAATTAGGTTAACATTTTCTGGTGTTCCTCTGACGACAATCACTCGGCGTGGACGCAATTGAGATAAGATTTTTAATAGCGACTCCCCATCGGATCGGCCCTCGAAGTCAATAAATTGAACCTGAGCGTTTATATCAATTATCTTGCGACTGCTCACACACTTTGTTGGCTTTTCTATTAGTGATAAACCTATCAAACAAAGAGAGAGAGAAATACAATCGATATTCTTCAAAAGCACCATGAATTGATTTACCATTGTTAGACGATTTGTTTTGTTCGTTGGTGTTTTCGATTTTGATTTGACCATTTTCCTTCTTTTCTTTGTTGTCATCGTGTGCTGATGGCGCATCAAATCCCACGTCAGCTAGCTTATAGTCTTCCAGTTGAATAATTTCCCCGTAGTCGTCGTGTCTCACCTTTTCCTCGTGGAACGGAAACATTGCATATTGCTTTTTACTGGATTTGAAGAATCCAGTTGTGGCTCGGCCTTGCGGACGTACTACTATGTCATGCTTTCCAGTTATTACACTCATTTCGATATCGTCGTCAGAATCAGAACTTGGCTCTTCAATATCGCGCTTGATTAGTTTTATAGCGGAATTTTTTTCGCCTTGGGTTCGCATGTATTCGTCCAGCTCGGCACCTTCGATATCAACGCGCCGACGTACATCAATCTCGATTTTACGACCATTTCCGCCATTCTCTAATAAGTCTCGAGCTAGTGTACCTGGCGATGACCTGTTGCAATGAAGAAACATCATATTGGATATATAAATGCGTTTAAAATGTAATTGATTTCCTACTAACCGTGATGTAATTATGATGCTATTGTTTGGATTCGAAGCCCACTGAGTGAACAGTTCTCGCGAAAATCCACTCTCCATATCAGTCGTACTGCAAAGAACCACTTTTGGTGACGGTATTTTTTGCAATTCGGCAAGTGTGTGACATAGTTTCAAATGCCGGAATTGAAAGGGATTGTTGCGCGCACCTTCGAAACTCTTCATCAACTTATCGCTCATCCATTCGATTTGAGATTTAGCGAATTCAACAACGTTGTAGCAAACGTTGTTTGCGAGTGCCAAAGAGTATGCCAGTAGGCCACTTTCTTTATTTTTCCAGAGCTGTTCCAACATATGAGCCAGTTCCAGCACACGACCGGCGGTATCTACCGTCACCATTACGTTGCCATTATTTCTAAGTGTTTGCAGAATATTTGTCATCAATTTTTCATCACGTGCACGACGTCTGGCTTGATTGTAGCTGGCATTGTATGCATCTGTGATCAGTAGCGAAGGCCGTTGCATCTTCTCCAACTCACATCCATTCAGATGACGCTCTTTTTTGTGATTGAAATTTGTTGCGTAGACAATATCCTCTTCACCGATTTTAACAATTTTCCAAATGGTTCCACCGATCATGTGTCCCGCAGCAAGCGGTGTTATTGTAATGCCGTAACCTTTCCCTTTCAATGAAACACTTTGGTTGTATTTCAATTGAATGATTTTATCGAAAGCCGTATCAATATCGTCCAAGGAAAACAGCTCGAAATCGTACATGTTGTAATGTGACATGAACAAATCGTACATAAACATTTGGCCCATCTTAAAGACTGGAATCGTTGTGTAAATGGGACAATTTAAACCCAATTTGCCAACCAAATATGGCAAAGCGCCCAAGTGAAGTGGGTCTGGGTACGAAATCAAAATCGCATCAATTGTATGCACATGCCTGAAATTGACAGATTAAAATAATGGCAATGAATTGAGTAAAGTGTTATTCCAAATATTCCTCACCGTTTGATTTCTTTTATGAAATTGGCATCAAACTTTTCATCCCAGCCACAGTCCAAAAGAATTTTCACTTCATCAATTTGTAGTAAATAGCAAGGTGGCGACTCATCCATCGCACCGGACAGAGCTTGCAATTTGATAATTGAAGTCATTTTGGTGAATTTTAACTTTGAAACTTGTTTCTCGGCTTTCACTCTTTTTCACGGAATAATATTTTAAAAAAAAACTTTTCTCATCCAAGCGAACCGAAACAATAAACACTCCAAAACACAATGCCTTCTTCATGAATATAAACTAAATGTCAATGAGCCCGGTGACTTTGACATCTGTTTCGCATGTATGCAACACATACGTATACGTATTTCTTTGAAATGTCAAATATTGGCGCCACAGAATAGGCGCGAAACAACATTCAAAACGTCACAACTAGTTAACAAAAGCAAAGCAAAGCAAACCAAACCAAACCAAACAAGCGACATCAGCAATAATCGATTGTTTATAGAGTGACACAGTTTCATTTTAATCTAAAAACATTATTTTAAATTTTAAAATTGTAATTCAACTCATCGCATTGAAATCAATATGGATGAGTGTTTTGCTGAAAGTTTAGTTTATAGTGATTCGGAAAATAGTGACGGAGAAGAAGGTGGCGTTGAATTAACACATGTTCCTGAATTAAAATCATCACCTGAAAAAATTAATGAAGGTCCAACGAATCAGAATGATGGAAATTCCAGAGAGTCCGGAGAGTCCGATGAAGATGATATGAATAGGTCCGTTAAGAAAACAAAGAAAACTTCCAGATTCTTAAGCTCAGACGATGAAAATGAAAACAGTGACAATGCGAGCAAAAACACAGAGGATGTACAAGAACCCACCAAAATTAATTTTAATGTGCGTCCATCGATTTGTGATTCGGATACGAAGAGTTCGAGTGATGGAAATCAAAGCAATACCGAAATGCAAACAAAAAAGACGACTAAAAAGCTTAAAAAAAAGAAACAAAAAATTCAAAAGCAGAAACAAATGTCTAATGGGAGCGAAAGTGATGCTGGAGATTCAGAAGATGACAACAAAAATAGCAAGAAATCCACTCGCAAACGAAGTACTGCTAACCGATCGGGAGGGAGTGGCGATTCTTCGGGATCAGATTCATCTAGTGCTGATAGCAACGACCAGATGCATAGTATTGAAAACGTTAAACCAAGAGAAAAGACGGTGCAACGGGTAATTTTGACACATGATATGCAATGTGTTTCGAACTTTCAATTTGAACTCACTATTGTTTTCAATTTTCTTCCGCTTTGCAACCTCCTTACTCTATATTATTCTTTTGAAACTTGGAATATGCTGCAAAACAAATAGATGTCAGCAAAAATGGCCGAGCAACAAATGAAGGAAATTCAAAGTGAATCGCAGCGAATGGCAAGGGAGCTTCATGTGAAGTATGTGTATCAAGAAAATAAACAGGTCTATACACAATTTCTTGTTCTAACCATAATATTTCCACACAGCATTCCTTATCACAAACCGAAGTCGCATTCTTTGAAAGAATTTCTAAGCCGTCGAAGTATCGTTCAACAGCAAGAAAAATTAGCTACTAAACCATTTGTCAAAGCGGCCGTAGCGATCAAAATGTCGGGGAATGACCTCATTCAATATATGTACGTAGAGAGGTTTTGCTTAACTTATGAATTCTGTTGTATGTATACGCATAAACACATACCAAGTTTTTGTTGGATGTAGGCATGAATGTAAGGAGCGTGAACAAGAAGCTGAAGAATTTTTCCAAGAACAAGAGACCGATGAATGTTGGAATTCGAAAGCAAGTGACAGCGATGAGAGCGAAGAAGAAGATGCAGGCGGTGCTGAAATGATGGTTGCTGAAAAACCTGAAGAACTGCCAGATGAAATCAAGTCGAATGAATGCGAAGAGGTTCAGATAAATTCAAACACATCGGCAACTAAAACAAACGAAGAATTGGATAAATCCGTAGAAAGCAATAATCATGGAATAAGTGAAAATGGGAATGACGGCCCGACCGATGATCAAACAAACGCCATTGAATCTGAAGTTGCGATTGAATTACACACGAGTCACGCTGAACTTGACTATGAGTTGAATGATACAGTCGCACCAAATAAGAAGGTTAAACCCACATTTCCAACGGACTTTGTTCCGAAATTGAACGGCGAAAAAGGATTTGTGATTGATTTGGAAACAAATGATGTGAAACCAATGCCAAAAACAGGAGTTGATGAACTATTGGCGCGTTTCATTGAAAACGCCGTTGTCAAACCGCAAAAAGTGGAGACGCAAGATATAAGGTTCGATACTGTGACGAACTTACCCGCGCAAACTGTTCCTCTAATAAAAACCATTTATTGTCCGTTTCAGTATATTCCGAACCGATAATGGGTCTATTGAAAAGCACACGGTACACGTGAATGTCGATAACATGAAAACAACACGTGAGCGGAGACCTGGTGAAAGTCACTTTAAACTGCGAGCTGAGCTGGGCAGAAAAATTAAAGAAAATCGCGAAAAGTTAATAGCTCAACGTTTGCAAGAAGAAAAGGAGCAAGAGTTGAGTTGTAAACAAATGGAGAGCGAAGACGGAGAAGAACTTGATGATTTATCGGATAGCGAAATGGACTGTACTGAACCTACCGAACAAATTAAGGAATTAGATGAGGAAGAAATGGAACAAGCTATCGATGAAAATAATGAGGAAAATATTGAATCAGAGAGTGACTCAGAAAACAATGACGATGGCGAATCTGAAATTGCAGATATAGAACTTGACGCTAATGCTGTTCAAAAACCTCGCAAACGGATATTGACTGCAATGGACGATGATTCTGACACCGAAAATCCAACCATTTGTAATATTTTTTTGAATCTTTTATCTCCTTTTAAAAAAAAGGACCTTTTTTGACTTGATTCAAGTTTATCTTTCAGCTGGACCTATTGAAGATTATGACGCTTCACATGCGATCGAAAATCAGTCAAAAGAAGGTATGAACATATCGGAGCTTGAATCAGAAATTCTGCAGCTAAGCAGCGTAACCGATTCCGAATCGAAGAAAGAAACATCGAAATTATTTGAAGAGTGCGATGGAGACTATGAAGATATCGGAGAGTCTCAGTTGATGGCACTATGCTCTGGATCATTTGCTACACAACATTTAAATAAGGTAACGTAGTACCAACTCTAATATGTATCAAAGTACGTATTTTAACGCAATATTTTCCGTTGTCATTACTGCAGCAATCGGTTCAAGGTATAGAACAAACTCAAGAGAATGAACCAACTAAAACAAATGGAACACAATTGGTTGAATCTGAAGAAATTGTCCGAGCAAAACCTGTATTGTCATCATCGGATGAGGAGGAGGAATCTAATGAAAATGCTTGCACACAGAAGAAATCGAAAAAGAAAAGAAAGCAACATACATTGGTATATTCAGGTAGAGTATTAGTTGTGCATTTAGTGATTTTGTGCGTAGTTTAACAATAGAATATTTATGTATTCTCACTCTTACACATAGATGATGAGGGGGGGAAAGAAGATACGTCACAGCAAGACACGAAAGACGAGGATGAAAGTGAGTGTCTTAGCAACAATGAAGATGACCAGGAGAGTGTAGAGGATGAAGAACAAGACCTTGGTGAACGTTATATCGAATATGATTCCGACGAAAATGAAGTAATCACACGCTATCTCACTGCAATCATCATAGAATATTCAAACGAAAACTCAATGAATAATTAAACTTTTCAGATTGAGGTTGAAATGAAAAAGAACGATGTTCGTAGAAAGGCATCTGATTTCTTTGAAAACGAGGCTGAACTATCTGAATCGGAATGGGGATCAGATGATGAAGACGAAAAAGATCTAAACCGATATGAAGCCGAACTGGGTGACGCGGATAAATTTGACAAGGTCAAATTGAGAGGCGAGCTAGAAAGGATCCGATTGTAAGTCAGAAATTCAAACTTCGGTGTTAAATTTCTAAATTTTCCGGAATTTCACTATTTTTAAGGCGCGAACAAATCGATCAAGATTCGCGAGAATTACGGATTTTGACCGAACGTTTCATTGAAGAAGAAGACGGTGGGCAGGAGCGGGAACGTAAATTCCGATGGAAGCATTTGAATAATACAGATCTCAACGATGACCAAATTCAAAATATTAACCAAGAAGAAATTGGCATTGACAATAGTGATGATGAAAATGAAGAAAACTGGCGTCGCATGCGATATGAACGGGAGCAGTTATTGAAGAAACAAATGAGTGGAGATAAAGATGTGGTAGGACTATATAGTCTGTTTAGATTGCGAACGTAGCTCAACATTTTTATTTTTTTCTCAGACCATCGAACAAACGACTACAAGCGGTGGAATTGCTGAGCAAACTACAAACAAAAATGCAACGATACTGAATTCCAGCAGACGTATATCGATTATAAAACCAGTTGGTGCTGCCACATCGAAGACAATCTCACCGTTTTTGATTACCAAGGGTGGTGTGAACATGATGCATTACAACCGCAAGTCATTTTTGAACCGTGACAGTCCAATTTTAGAGAAGTTGGCTTCTTTGTCTAAGGCTGGAACCGACAACGATTCAATTCTCAACACAGCCAAAGGGAAGGGAAACTATGTTTTCGTCGCAACTGCAAAGAAAGATGTAAGCCATATGTAGTATTCATGAATGTATATGTCGTGAAATACCCAAATACGTTAATTCGAATGATTGCCTTTTTTTCCAGAGTGTCAAACGTAAATCAGATAGTGAGATGGGTGGTAGCTTAGGAGCTGAACCAATAATGAACCCAAGCAAGAAATCAAAACTTAATCCAAAAGAGATAAGGCCACAAACAAAAGCATTCTTTGAATCGTTAAATTAAGTTTATTTCCTTAAGAATTTAATTGTTAAAAATACGGTTAAAAAAATTAAATAAATTCTTAACTTATAGTAACCTTCATAATTTGACTTTCAGTTCAAAAAATTGCAGTTTAATCGAGATTTCTATGCAAAGTAGACCACTTTGGTTTGATTTCAGAGCTCATATTTCAGCTATCAAAAATGATGCTGTTCTCCTTCAAATAGACTTGATGAGTCACAGCTAGATTTTCAGTTATCCTGGGAATCGTGTTGAAATCGGAACGAGCCTTTGCTTCAGATGTGCAACCCCATTGGCATACAGTGTTTCACCAATGTCGAAACCATTTTCATCAAAAAGACGAACGTACAAGTCTTCGGCGCACGAACTGAAAGGTTTCAATTAAATTTTAGTAGATGTATATGTATATGGATATGGATATATTCAAGCTATACTCACATAATTTCTGCCGAAACGCTACTTCCGTTAAGTATTAAACTTCGCAGCATTGTTGTGGCCTCTTCATCATTCTGTTTGCGCAATTGTATGTTTTCCAAAAAGCATCGGTATGCTTGAGCTGTAAACGATACGCGAAATTGCAATCAATTAGGTCGTCCGTATGTCAATGACAGACTGTTCCGTTTCCGACAAAAATGAAATTTCTTTGTGTGCAACTAGCCTATTTGTTGCGAAATAGTCCAAAAAGAAAAACCAAGATGAAAACTGCACTAACTCATGGGATTGGGAGTGAGCTCAACGCGTGTGCAGCTCAAAACAAGGGAAAATTGCGATTTTTGACATTTTACTTACAATTTACTCGCTAAGACCAAACCTTTTATCATACTTTTTGGTTTGTGGCGGTGAGAATGAACAAACACAACACAAATAAATAATACCCAATCGATTTCATATTGAAATATCCTCAATTTTATTGTAAAAAGACAGTTTTTTAAAGAAAAATTATGAATGTTCAGCTTTTTTTGCGTTTCTGATCAATTATTTTGTTTTAAGATACTTAAAATTTATAGAATTAATCATGAAATGTTGAATAACATCAGATTTGTCTAAATTTAAAAAAGTTCATGCGATTTCGAATATAGTTTGTTGAATACACAACTCGTTTAGGTAATCTCATTTCTAAGAAATATTGTCGATGCATTGTTTACATGAGACCGTATTGAAATTCCAATGGAATGTTATTCTGACGGCTGCTTGGCGATGTTTGTGCTCATAAAGTATAAACAAATACTTTGCCTTCGCACTATGTGTGCGCGAATTGACGAATTGCTGATGTTTGCAAAATTGGCCCTTTTCGATTATGTCAATTTGACATTTGGGCAAATGAGAGCTGTAGCAATCGAAATTCTGTTTGATCTCAGTCTAATTGGATCGCTTGAGTAGTGCATTGGTTCATTCAGTACATTTGATAAAACAATAGAAAGTCACATCAAGAGACCAATTCGAATTCAAGGGAAATGAATACAATGGCATTCGAGACGTTTGCATATTCTTAGTACGCTTATATGTGAAAACCTGGTTTCAAGCTCCATCAGCAACGAAGGCTCCTCGAATTGACCTCGAATTCATCAAAGGTGGTATTGACTATGCTAGTATTGACAAAACAATTTCTGATTTAATTGTGTCCAAAATGAGCGGCCATCTTTGCTACTTGTCCAACGAAACAGTTGGAATGGCGTTCTTTGATGAAGAAATACCAATAGATGAAAAGAGACGAATGCTGTACGCATTGAGCAAGGAGCAGAAATCTCAAAAATTGTTGAAAGCAACAGAAGCAGATATAAAATCAACATTTAACAGCAAGCAAATTAATGATTTCGTTTCATTCAATACAAGAGAGGTTTTCAAACGTTTTGACGCACCAACTGACTTTCTTTCGCTTGATCCTGAGGAATGGAATGACGATGCAAGCTACAAAAAAGCAAAAGAAATATTCGAGCACGTTCACGTTGTAAACGATTCAGCTGAAAGGGCTGTTAAATTGTTCAGTCACTATAATTCGATTCTAAGCAAAGATGACAATGATAAACAGTTCATAATAAATGTTGTTCAAGAGTATGACACAATGTATCCATCCATCAACAAGGCTGATTTGGGTTAGGTAATGGTGAAAAACATGTTTTCATACGTATTTATAAAAAAAACTAATTAAAAATCCCTGTTGAGACAAAATAATTGATCAGAAACGCAAAAAAAGCTGAACATTCATAATTTTTCTTTAAAAAACTGTCTTTTTACAATAAAATTGAGGATATTTCAATATGAAATCGATTGGGTATTATTTATTTGTGTTGTGTTTGTTCATTCTCACCGCCACAAACCAAAAAGTATGATAAAAGGTTTGGTCTTAGCGAGTAAATTGTAAGTAAAATGTCAAAAATCGCAATTTTCCCTTGTTTTGAGCTGCACACGCGTTGAGCTCACTCCCAATCCCATGAGTTAGTGCAGTTTTCATCTTGGTTTTTCTTTTTGGACTATTTCGCAACAAATAGGCTAGTTGCACACAAAGAAATTTCATTTTTGTCGGAAACGGAACAGTCTAGTCATCCAATACAATTTGTGTTAATGATACTGCTTCTTCTTCATACTATCGTACAGAGCTGAAATCGTCACTGTAGTCATGCGAACACAGCTCTAGCTGTAGTTATATGTGTGTGTAAAGAAGATGAAGCAGTATCGATACTCAGTTTGCATACGGACGAATTAGGTTTCAATAAAACTTCGAAAAAAAAAACATGAAAATAATCTCACCAGGTGTTGTATCCCAGAGTGGATGCCATTGAAAAACATCTTTGCAATGTACCATTGTTACAGACCCATAGTCGACGAAGAATATTGCCAATTGGGTATTGTCTTCAAACAACTCGATCACTTTTCCGCGGTAAAACGCACCCTTGACTTTGACCAGCACAAGATCGTGTAGATCTGAAAATATTTAATCAAAGTGAAAATTGTCAAGTGTTGAAAGGAATGTATGAATTTTATGATTAGGTATTCAACACACCTGGCAAACCAACAAACGGTCGATATTGTTCGACCATATTTTCCGCATTTATTTTTTGCTTAAATCTATCGAGGGAATCGGACATCGTTCGCGCAGCTATTTCCGGTATATGAACGTATAATTCTGCTGCACTTACAATACAAGTCACACAAACCTTGACCGTGGCTCCGACCATTGGTAGTGATTGATCCAACAATTTGTGCTTGGCGCCCTTGCGATCACGTGTACCATCTAAAGTCGTTAGATTTATCTTTTTCAATTCGGAATTTATAAGGCGAATGAAGCAAACTGGCTTACCTTTCAATGGTGCCACATGCTCAAGAGTACATGAATTTCCTTTGAAACAGCGACCAGTTCTGTAGTCATAATGCTGGCAAATGCGATCATCGTCTCGAGGAATATAATGAAGAACTGCTTTAAGCGCATTTGTTGTCACTATTGCGGGCTCTTCGTACAACATGTCCACCTGCTCTTGAGTTAATTGTAAACCTCTTCCTTTCGTCTCAACCGCTTCGACTGGTTTTGTTTTGTGCAGAGTGACAACCAAATACCCTCTATTAAAACAGAAAAAATATCATTCCATTTCATTCTCAATTTTTTGATCCAATAAAGGAAACTCACTCGTCAATGTGATGAACGGTGAACCAGATTTGTTCATATAAAATTTCGGTAAGGTCATTAATCTGATTATCAAGCTCGTCAAGAACCTAAATGGTATGTATATATATATATACTCAGTAAAGGTTAGTTATTTGTTTAAGGAATGTTCATTCGTGCAAAAGCAACCTCAATTATTTTGCATGGAATGCCTCGGGCCGACATCTTTTGAGCTCTCTGTGAGAGAGAGAACATCTTCAAACCAGTTGCAGAGGACATTTGCATGATTTCACCGCTATCGATGAAGAACAGTGATGATTGAATGTCCTTCAACGGATTGTAAAAACGGAAATTTTAATTGTGGACAAATGTATGTAGAACGCAGGTGTTGAAAATTATACTTACATTGCAAACAACACGGTGCAGGCCGTCGTTTCCAAAGTCTACCAGAAACACTTCACCAGGTGGGATATTTTCCAAACGCGTCAGTTTTTCATCGTACAAATTCAATTCGAAGCTTCTATTAATTTGTTGGGGAGGAAAATGTGTCAATGTTTGAAAAAACTTTCAATAATATGCACAGTACTGGTGCAGATACACTTACCGGTCAGTGTCGACTATGTACACATTAGCATCGTCGAGTGATTTGTCATGTTCGAAAAAAGAGAGCATACACTTTCCAATTTGATTTGAAGCATAAACGCCCAAATTTACAGCGGGATATGAGAACGTGGCTGCCAAATTCATATTGGATGTGGAACGAATTGATCCAGGCTATTTTCCAACCTACAGAATTAACTTTTGAAACCAAATCTACCGACTGAATGCGTATCTGTCAAGATGTATCTGTATCTGTCACTTCACATGTCAATGGAAATTTCATAACCTCACTTTTGAGTGAGATACAGTATCAAATTCATACCGCAAATAAGTGAAAATTAGTTGTTTAAATCATGAATTATCTCGCTAAAGTTTTGGATTCCAGCGCTAAAACTCTGTTGAATGGAGAATCATTCATTTTAAGTGAGTTCTAAATTATTTGGCTAAATAAATTTCAGTTTGTTTCAATAAACAAATTTTATTCACTGCAGATCAGATTCGTGGGAAAAAGGTGAAGGCAAAGGGAAGTACAAGAAATGCGCCTCGGCACACACGTCCAAAACATCGCGGTTGGAAAGTTCACGACGGCGACTATGTGTCCGCCAACAAAATCTTGGTCATGCAAATGAACCTACGATTTCATCCAGGATTGAATGTATGTAAAATGCCCAAATTGAAAAGATTAACCGACGTCTTATTTGTAACGTTTCCGATTAATTTTAGGTTGGAATGGGCAAAAACGGTACACTATTCGCATTGCAAGAAGGCCGTGTTGTGGTAACATCTGATCAATTCAACCCGAACTGGGATCATACTTGGGTGCAGAGAATATATGCTGGCAGAGAGGATGAAGCTATTTTTAAAAAGTATTTCAATGTTATACCATTCAAGCAGCACAACCGTTTTAAATTGATCGATGAAATCTAATAAATCTATTGTTATTTTCCAAACACAAACATAGAATAAATCGAATATTATTGTAGTGTATGCGGTTTGTATTGCATTTATTTGAAACATCTGTTGACAATGATTCAAGTTTATGGCAATGAAAGCCATTCAATGATCCGTTGATGGCCGTTGCATGTAATCGAGCTTGTCTCAACAATTTGAATGGTCTGACGGATTTGTTTCTTCAACTTATCAAACTGCAGCATTAACAGTGCTTCATTCCGCATCTGTCGATATGCCAAATCCATTTTCGTCAAAATTAGGAGAAACTTTGTGTGTTGTAAGCGTGGGTCAGCCAGCAGTGAGTACAAAAGTACCCCTTGAAAGAATAATATCAAAAATGTGAATAATGTGAATGATAAAATATTGAAATGTGCCCTATGCCGTATATTTATTACTCACCCGCAGCGGAGATTTGACACAAATTCGATGTGTCAATCACATATAAAATCTTTGAAACACTATTCAAGTAATTGCTCCACATCGGGGCCATTGATCCACCAATTTCCATGACAGTAATCGTCGGATTTTTCATTGAACGACGAAAGCCAGCGTTCCCAACTGGTTTCGGTTTCCCAATATTTGAAGAAGTTGCTGTCGATGCGTTGACTTGCTTCTGAGTGGCTGTCTCCGACAATTTGACTGTGAATATATTCGTGCCAATTGTTGGAACTGAATGAGACACATTTGTTATGCATCCAGACGACTGAAGACTTGATAACAACTGCGTCTTGCCCGATTGTTTTGGTCCAAGGCACAAACAGGAGGGAGAATTTGCCGTAGAATGTTGTTCCATTTTTGCTAAGAACTTTCAAACTATTATTCCGTAGTCAAGGTGATACTGACGTATTCATTACGTAAATTTTTCGAGAACAATTGGTTTCCGATTTTTTTTTGCCTGGAATCAACTTCAAGATGGAGTAAAAACCAATTTACGCATTAATATTTAGAATAAATTACTATTCATTTCCTTTTCCCTTTATTATATCATTCGTTAACAACAGCACGCACATTTAACATCAATTGGAATTCTGGTAAGCTGCATTGTCAATTAGTCAAAATACAGAGTGACTCAATTCAAAAATCGGATCGACATTTTCTGTTCGACATCACATCGTTCCAATGCTTTGCAGAAATCATCGAAAGAGATTTTTCCGGTTCCACATTGATCTGCTTCCATTATTGTTCGTTCAGCGATGCTCATTAGCTGGTCTTGACTGATATTTGCCCCAACCATCATATGCAATATGTTCAAAAGTTCATCACGAGAAATGGACTCATCATCATCGAGATCATACATTTTGAAAGCAACTATAAACGAATGGAATGGTTAGTTTTCTGTACAACACTCTTCGATTGTCTGATACTAACATTTCAATTTTTCCTCACGGCTGTTCAGTTTGTTGACAGAATTCGTTTTGATGGGCCGGAAATGAGCCAAAACCTGCATGAACTGCCTGAAGTTGACGCGATCATCGGTGCTGTCAGCAAAAAATGCATGAACGATGCGATCACACAAAGGATTTATGGCTAGTTCTGGGATTCTCAGAAAATCTTCACGCGATAACGTTCCACAATCAGTTCGATCCAATGATGTAAAGCGAGAATATAATCGCTCAATCTGATTTGGTGTGACTGAGAACCAAATAAAAAAACATTTAGATAAATATTATATCTAGACATGCATGTAAATGTAATGGAAATACAAGGCCGTTTGGCGAAAAAACATGACCAATGGCCAAAGTTCAAAACAAACAAACAACAAACAATCAATATCATCCTTACATCCCGTTTCATCCTGGATTTGAGCAATTTCCTCTTGACGTAAAAGTAACGACGACTTATTTCCCATGATAAATGAGTTCTTGAAGCAAAAAGTGCGAAAGTTCACTGATTTTACAAGCGCTCGAAGTGAACAATTTTCTATTACTTATTGCGTGTTTTATAAGTACTGGAACATTGACTGTCTCTCAATAACAATAAAACTGAACGTCATTGACAGCTTGCCATTTGACGTAACTTGTTTATTGCCCAACTAGCATTGTTACTCACTTCTTCCGAAATTATACCTATTTTTCACAATTTTATCCCTTTATTGAGATATTTTTTGCACTTTTCTTGAACTATATTTATATTCTTTTTCTTGTTCAAATTCTAAGTTTTATGCGTTGTTAAATCTTTTTCGCGAAACGATAACACACTGATTAATTGTTTTGGTAGATGTGTCCAACCCTGCTGAATATTAGCACGTTTGACCTTAGATTGTCATGCATTGCACTGAAAACAAACGAATACAAATTAAATCTTCCAACATCACAGTGTAGAAAATAACATTTGATTATTGACTAAAAATTGGTGGATTCTAAAATATTTGTGATTTGCATTATATACTATTTTGATACACCGTATCATGGATTCTAGCGACAGTGACAGTGCTTTAATCAAAAAGGAAATCATTTACAGGGGATCCGAATATATACCATTGGTTGATGGCACAAAAGTATTATTATCCATGATATTTTCAATATACATCTGTTTTAAAAATATTCTCGTATAAATCAGGTGAGATTTCATTATCAAACAAAGACATGCTACGAAAATGAGGAGCAAAAAGTGATTGATGACAGCAAGAAGGGTGGAAAGCCAATGGAATTAATTATCGGGAAGAAATTCAAATTCGAAGTATGGGAAGCGATTGTGAAGAAAATGTCTTTAAACGAAGTGGCAAAGTTTCACGTAAACAAATCGGTGAGAAATACAATAAACAACATCCGACAACGGCTTTTATGATAGTTTACATACTGGCTTTTCTCCTAGCTCGTGGCCCAATATCCATTTATATCGAAAACACTGCGCGATATTGATAAACCCAAAGAGGAAAGAAAGCACTGCTGCGGCATGACAATTCAAAATGAAGGTATTGGCTACAAAGATTTGGACGATCTGTTTACAAAACCATGTGATCTCGAGTTTATTATTGGTGAGGAAACAAAGGGGGTTCATGTGAACCTGAAACATAAGATACATTTTAACATTGTTTTTTTTTTTTCAGAATTAATTTCGGTTGAGCTACCAAACGAGTATGAGAAAGAAAATTGGCAGTTATCCGAGAATGAAAAATTTAATACAATAAAAGAATGTCGTGAGATCGGAAATGAACTCTATCGAAATGGGAAAATTGACGAAGCCGAAGAAAAGTATAGATCTGCGTTAGCTATCATTGAACCACTATTGCTGAAGTACGTTTTCAATACGCATGATAAACATGAAAAGACAAGTTGTGTCGTTGAGAATAAAAATGGGATTAGCCGAAACCGCGTGTTTTTAACGAATCATTTTTGTGTTTCTGGTACAAGATATGGGGCAAGTATCTCAAGCAAAGATAAAGATCTTGAAATGTTCTAAAACATTGCAGCAGACATATGTCTTCTATCTCTTACCAGGAACACAAAAATGATTCACATGCAAATGAGCGGTTTCGGCTAATCCCATTTTTATTCTCAACGACACAGTTAATCGTTGTAATTTTGCAGAGAGAAGCCACACGACACGGAATGGCTGGAATTAATTAAAATCAAGATTCCACTGCTGCTCAATTACGTGCAGTGTAAATTGATAAAGAAGGATTATTACGCGGTGATTGAACATTGCAGCGAAGTATTGAAGCATGAGCCAAGTAAGAGTAAACATTCATTAGAAAAATATGTCGTTTGACACTGTTAACCATATTTTCAACTTTTAGACAATGTCAAAGCATTGTATCGAAGAGCAAAAGGGCATGTCGGGGCATGGAATACTGATGCCGCCAAAAATGACTTCCAGAAGTGTCTGCAACTCGATAGCAGTCTAACAAAAAGCATTAATCGAGACCTGGAACAACTGAATCAAGATATCAAATTGAACGAAGTCGAAGCAAAGCTACGATATAAAAATCTGTTCTCTTGAGTAAAATGATTGCAAACTAGTTAATTTTCGGTAATAATGGAATATATGTAATGTCGTCCTGTAAATTTCGTAACCACCAAGACCAAAGTGTACCATTTTCAGTCAAATTGAAATAAATGCTTGATTTGTTGTTTCCCAGTGAAAGAGCTGTCTTTATTTCATCCATTTGGTATATTTTATTTCCACATATGGGTGTAGTGTTGATGGCGGTGAGAAAACGTATGTGAGAATGAAACGTTTACAAACAAATCGACAGACATACTATATGGACAAAAAAGAGAGAAATTTGAACCGCTCTCCCTACACTTTCTCGCGCTATCTCTATTCGTCTCACTCTTTCATTCGGTATATTTGAACGCTGTATACCGAATCGTAAGTATAAAGCAACTGAATGAACACAGAAATAGCATTGATATTTAGCGCACACACACACGCAGCTCAGCTGTACTGCCATTGCAATACCATCGCACAAATGCATGTTGAGATTTTAAGAAAAGAGAGAAATAAAAGAGAAAAGAGTCGATAAAGAGCATGCTTAACAAATTTGTTGACAGTTGTATTTTAGTTCAGTGCCAGATTTCAAATGGTTAACAAGAAAACAGACTAAGATAGCCATCGTACACAAAATCAAAGCTATAGAACAAAAAAAGAACAATTGAACAAAAGAATACAATTTCATTTTCTTTGACATTTACTCGGTGTTTTTTTCGTTTGAAAGGATAAAATAACTCGTTGAATAAAAACAAGGACTTCTATTTTAACAAACATTACCGATAAAAAAATTCTTTCGTGAAAAGTGTGAAGAAAAGTGCTTTTTTTATTCTCTCTGAAAATTCTTTTCTCACAGAAATATACAGGTAAACTCAAGAACAATCAATACGAAAACAATTGCATACGAATGCAATGCCAAATGAAAAGCAAAACAGAAATAACAAAATTGTGAACGAATTGAAATTGAAACACTGTGCATATATATTATAAGTTTTTGTATATTGTGATACAATTATTTTACTTAAGTTATTACAATTTTGTTTATAATAATAATAATAATGCTGTTAAGTTTGGTTTTCTACGATTCATTTTCTCAACGTCTTCAGCCATTTCATTTATTTCGACCGAATACATTTCAACACGTTTTTAGACACTGCTCCGAATATTTCTAGTTTTTTTTTTTAATTTTATATTAGGTGGGACTGAAGTTCGTTTATTTATGGACAAACGCTTTTGTTTGTGCAGTATAAATCTACACAATTTCATAGCATATGCACAAGTTGCTAGTGATCGGGTATGAAATGGTGTGAATATACCGGTTTACGAATGAATTGCGTAGTACGCTTCATACAAAAACACCACATTCATTACAAAAACACAATATTATATTTTTTACTTCTAAAAACGAATCAAACCAGGCATTTATGTGTCACAAAAATCGTTTGAATCATCGTTTGAGCATTTGTGTGTTTGCTTTTATATGTCCATGTCCACACATCATTTAAATTTTAGAAACAAACGGAGTAAACAAAAACGTGTGAATCGTATAAATTTTAACAAATTGAGATATTTGAAGTTGGACTAACTAATTCGTTAGTTTTTTTTTAGTTTTTTTGTCAGACATTTCGGGCAGTTAATAAATGAAAGGTTGAAATTTGGTCTTGAAGAAAAATTGTTTAAATGGATTCATTGTGTATGAGTGTAGTTGAACAAATGCTCTCTAATAATAGAAAATGTACGAATTCTAAGAAGAACTTTCCTATTCAAATCTAGTCATATGGAATATGAGAAAAGTAATAATCGTGTAAATCATTACGAGTTGACTAAACATGAGCGTTACGTTTAATGTGAATTAACCAACGATAGAAGCATCCGGCATCGTGCAGCCACACGAGTAAATTCAATATGACTGAGGTACGTCCAAAATGATTTTCCTTCTATTTTCATTTTATCTATCACCAAGGAGCAAATGAAACATGCATGTCGAAGACGTTCATCACATAAATGTGCTTTTCTTTACGGTTTTTGTTATACGAAAATAGATTTCTAAATAAGCTGAAAAGAAATACCGATAAGTTCTCAACAAGAGCCACAGGAAATTCATGTCGCTGAAACATGGTGCATATGGTTTATTGAAACGTACATATAGACTCACTCAATTCCATTCTACCCGCCTCCCATTTGCAACGATAACAAATGTGATAAAACCAAATCGTGAATATAATTTACATTATTATCATTGCAACGAAATATATTGGCATCAGAGGTTTATTGCGCAGATTTTCGCGTTTGTTCAATTTTATTTCACACCGCGAATTATTCTTGCTTTTTTAGCTGTCTTCACAAGTGTTGAAAAAATGTCTGTATGTGTCAATGTCACATCAATTTTTTTTTTGTAATAACAGAAAACTTTATCGATTACTTGTAATATTATTTACAAAATTTCTGTTTGTTTTATTGTTTGGCCTCTGCTCACTCCTGTATACAATGTATTTCTCAGAACTGTGGTTGTTGTTTTATTCATCCTTATGCTATAAATGACTGGTTTATGTTTATCATTAGAAAAAGATGAAAAAAACTATGTTTGTTAAAGAAAAATTTGGCGGATCATAACGAATCCAGTTTAAGATTACATCGTATCATTCTAGAAGTTATATTTCTGACGTGTTTCCTAGGCTCAATTTTATAAATAGTACATGAATTCCATGCCAATGAAATGAGGATTATTTTTTTCAGTGATGTAAACAGAATAAAATTGTTTATCAAAGCGTGACAAAAGTTCCAATAAATACACAAATGAAATGAAATAAAATTTCATTCAACTCATTCACAAGAAAACGTTGGTTTTCGTCGATAAATTTTATTTGAAATCGCTTTAATGTTGCCTTCAAAAACTTCCATCTAATAAGAATCCAATAATCGGAATAAGTTCATTTGAAATAGTTGAATAGATTTTGAAATAAGAAGAAAAAGCTTGTCAGAAGACTAAAATCAAAAGATATAATGAGATAGACACACTGCAAAATTGATTTATGTCCAGTAATTTTTGCTAAATACGTAATTGTTAAAGTTTGAACAAAAACGATTGATTCGGCTCTAAATAGAAGCAATCGTTGTTATTAGGCATGTATTATAACAAACAGAAAAACGTCTCCCAACTTTGGTTTATTATCGCGTTCCACTGAACGTTAAGATTACGCAAATCGCAAAAGCCTATGACACACGATGATGTAAAGGCGAATAAGTTTTTGTTTGTTCTTTTTTTAATGCTGTACAACATTTATACTTTACGACACACAATAAATATTTGTGTCCAGATCATTTTTTTCGCGAGTTCATAACCGAAGTAATTGTAGTCGCGTTTCACAAGTCACATGAAATAAACTGTTGAATGTGTCGATTAACACTTTGGCATCGAACCAGATTTCATCGATTTTTTTTTTAAATGTATTTAACACACGAATCAAATATACACATTGATTGTTCATACCAGATGCATTAAAAAAACTAAAAATAGTAAATTGCCGCTTATAAATTATAACTCACATACCAAATGTACAGGATCAAAGTAAAATGTTGTTCGTTATTGAGAAAAAGGAATTTATAAATTCACGTTATCGTTCCCGCAAATAATGTACGATAAAATGATTCTTCTAGAAAAAATTTGTTAGTATAAATACTTTTGAGAATGAATGTAGTCATGAAACTGTCTTATTTAAATTATTATATATATAGCTGGGACAAATCAAGCACTTAACAAGACGAAATTCGATATTTAGCTCACGTACAAATAATGTATGTTTTTCAAAATACTGAAAATGTTCTTTCAATATGTAAATAGTGGAAAATTTTCTGCTAGTGCGTGAATACTACAAATAAATAAGCGGACAAGACTCATATTGTGTTTGATCTTGACAAAACTTCAGACTTTGAGCTATGTTTTGCAATACTTTGAGTATTTTGAGTGATCGCGCTTTGAACAAAAATGATGGTACATATTGGTTTTTAGTAAAAACCATACAACAATGTGCCGCAGTGACGCATAAAATAAGGAAAAAACACATCTAATGATCTAATTTGAAAACTTCTACGCATCGATTATTGAGATAATCTGCCACGAAAATGATGTCATCATCATCATCGATTACCATGTCCAATGTTTTTCTTTCATCCATAAGAGTTCAATACCTGTGTTCGCGTCTCTTGCGCGTCGATGACAAATTTCGGATGTAATGCTGTTAAAATTTAATGTTATAACTGAACACGCCTTGCAAAAATGCTGCAGCAAGAGCCGCTTTTCAACACCAAAAACAAATCTTAATGGATTAAATAAGGAAAGTTGACGGCGTGTCGAAATTGACGCAGTAGTCAATTTATATTGACGTCAATCCGTGAAACTACACCATACAGCAGCTAAACAAACTCATAAGTTTCGAATCAGTAATTGAAGCGCACACATTTCAATTTATTTATCGGTTCAGTTTTAAATAGACGTTATCGTTCACGTGTTTAATCCAATTGCACCAGGCAAACATATCGCTTACTCGCAAATTGTTTCGTACAACAGGCAATATTCAACCAAAATGGAATCCATTCAAAATCATATATGTATTGCATACCGCACAAACCATATTTAAATCATTTGAATGAAAATATTTCATATCGACACAGGCACAAACGTAGACATACATTAAAATCTTTTTACAAATGTATCGAAGAAAAAGATAGACGAATTGGTTGCACTACCCGTAGAACTTCATGATGTGTATTATAATTCGTAACGAAGCAAGCGGCTAGACAAAGGAAAATAAACACATTATTTTTACGTGAAAGGCATTCGTTTGCATTTTAAAAACACAATTGAGTATTCTTCATGTGTGTTGAAAAATCTGCCACAAATTTCTTGAATGAAACGAAACACACATAACATTTCATTTCGATTTCCTATATTGAATAGATAATGTGGAAAAAAATTTCCAACGATAGTCAATATTCCCAAAGCAGCACTTTTTTTATTTTGATGATAACTCGTTATTACCTTCAAACCGCATTTTATTCTATAGAAGAAAATCTTTCGAATCTTTTCGAAGTTTTAATTATAATTCTGTAATAAGATTTTTTTTTCTTGTGATTGCAGCAATTGCATAACGGTAAGCAACAATAGACACGTGACAATTGGATAAGAATCTCTGAAACAATTCATGTGAACATCCAAACGAAAACAAAACACGATCTGGCATTAGACGGTATCTAGTAGTGTGGTGTGGGCGCAATCGGACGACAGATCATTGCCAGTGACACGCACATCTCAAAATGGATCATGCTGTGAAAACATCTAAAACAAAGCCATGGGACAAGTTAAGATTCGAAAACGAAGAGCTCGAAACTCTTTATCAACGTTACACGTTGAAAATGCAGCGATTTTCTGTTATTGGCGTTGTGTCATTATTTGTTATTTTTTGCATGACAATGATGACATTGAGCTATGTGTACAGTAGCCTATTAACATTGCACGTACGTACAGAAGACTTTTTTTTGAAAATTCTCTCAAGGAAGTATTTGAGTATCTCACAACAAAATGATATAGGAAAAGGCAAAATACGAAAACTTTGATTGTTTTTTCATAAAATTGGTAAGGCCAAATTGATAAATTTAGAATGTGCCCAATTCGATTTTGTACAATACACGGACATTTTTTGGTTCAAAAATATAAGTCGATCTTTTGTGCTGAGGTTTTCAAATCTACTTCTGTATCACATACTTTTTATCTGGGTATTGAAATTGTAAAATAAATTCAATTTTTATTCTAGAATATCTTCATTTCATTGATGTGTCTTCTGTTTCTAATAATATTGGCATTGCTACAATTCCGAGTCATTCAAGACTCGTATCTTTTATCATTGTGCTATGGCATCCTATTGGCCGCTACAATTTTATGTGTTATGTCAATGCCAGCGTTGAACAAAATTATTCCAATCGACACAAAAGAGGTAAACAAATAGCTCAATCGCACAAATCTAGATCAGTGCTTATTCAATATATATTCCCTATTGTATGCATTCTATCATCGATCTTTTTTATACAGGATTTAACTGAAGGTGTTTGGCAAGTAACGTTTGTCGTGTTTGTTACTTATGTTCTAATGCCCCTGCAAATCTGGGAGGCCATAGTATTTGGTTTTTTGTTGCCCATAATTCATATCAGTTTATCGACATTTCAAATGCTTACCGAACCCCATTACTACTATGACTACAGTCCTCTGTGGGCCAATTCCATCACATTTATAGGCGTTAATGTGTGTGGAATAATAGTTAATGTGATGATGGAACGTGCACAGCGGCGCGCATTTTTAGACACGCGAAACTTTGTTGCCGCTCGTCTCGAAATGGAGGATGAAAATGAAAAATTAGAACGACTTTTGTTGAGCGTACTACCAAGACACATTGCAATCGAAATGAAAAACGATATATTGTCACCGGTTAAAACGCAATTCCATAAAATCTATATTCAAAAACATGATAACGTCAGTATATTGTTTGCGGATATTGTTGGTTTTACGGTGCTTGCTTCACAATGTAGCGCCCAAGAGCTGGTGCGGTTGCTGAATGAACTGTTTGGTCGCTTTGATCAACTGTCAAACGTGAGTGAAAAGCTTAGGGTCTATTTGAATTGTTGCGACAAACAAATTCCCCCAGAATATTTTACAATAACAACTCCATATGAAAAAAATTTCATGTTGCACTTTAAAACTGAAATAGTCTGAGGGAATTTGTTTGTCGCAACGGTTCATTTGTAATAGCACAACACCACATGGATATTTTAATCGTTTCAATCATTACAGGACCACCACTGCTTGAGAATCAAAATTCTTGGCGATTGTTATTACTGTGTGGCAGGTCTACCAGAGCCAAGAGCAGACCATGCAAAGTGCGCCGTTGAAATGGGATTGGATATGATTGACGCAATTGCGTAAGTATCTGACAACCCCTCATTGATAGCATTCGATTTCAGAAGAAAACAATCATTCCAATGAAGAAATTCAACAAAAATTACTTTATTCCAGTGAATTTGTTGATTCAACGGATGTAAAGCTATCGATGCGCGTTGGGATTCATTCTGGTCGGGTTCTGTGTGGCGTATTGGGTCTTCGAAAATGGCAGTTCGAAGTCTGGTCAAATGACGTTACGCTGGCCAATCATACTGAATCTGGCGGAGAACCAGGACGAGTTCATGTAACAAGGTTAGCCAAAAAAAAATTATGTTATGTATGTATTATTATGATGTTTACCATTGTTATCAAATCTTCAGGGCCACGTTGGACTGTCTTGGTGGTGAATATGAAGTTGAGGCCGGCTTTGGTTCCACGCGTGACTCTTATTTGAGAGAACATGGCGTCGATACATTCTTCATTATCCCACCTAATCACAGACGAAAGGTAAGTGTCGAAAATCTAGCTAAAAAACGATAATAACCCGTTATTATTAATTATATTCCAATTAATCGTAGCCGCTGCTCATGAATACATTGGGGGTTAGATCAGCTATCGGATCAGCAAATCGTCGCAAACTATCCTTTAGAAATGTTTCAAATGTAGTGATGCAATTATTACACACCATAAAATACTCTGTTCCGGTTCCTTTTTCCCATTTGGCTACACCGAATTCGAATTACATGAGTCCCAGCCAGAATTCATCAGTTGTCGGACTCAATGACGCCAACCGAAAAGTATGTGTCTTTTGGTATAATTCACTTTAAATTGGGAAATCAGCATGAATATAACTTGATTTTGTTATTACAGAGTGCGGTCGATAGATTCAAGCGGCCGTTCAAGAAGCGCCACTCAAGCTTACATCATCAGCCGACAAATCGAGTGAACAAATTTCTATCACAAGCTATTGAAGCTCGAAGCGTTGATCATGATAAAGCTGTTCACGTTAATCGCTTCACTTTGCAATTCCGTGATCGAGATGTCGAACGAAATTACCACAAAGATATTGATCTGGCTTTTTCTGGAGAGCTTGTGTGCAGCTTGTTGTTGTTAATGCTCAGCACTGCACTGCAAGTGGCTGTTTTTCCGCGAACGTTCATTTTGTTGTTATTATTTCTGACTGCATTCATTTGGATTTCGTCCATCCTGATGTTGATGCTGGCAGCACGATTGAAATGGATTCTATGGGATCTATCGCATTGCTTCACGCTTCGGCTGGCCATCATTGTGTTCACAATCGTCCTCCTGTACTCGGTTAGTCAAGTGAATATGTTTACTTGTCTCACGAATCTTTCTTGCAAAAATGATACAACCATCATCCTCAACAACGGAGCCACGTTCCCATTGACGGGCTACAGTCACCGCAGATGTTCACTTCCTCAATACATATCGCTAGCAGCTGCATTTGCTTTTCTCTGTGTATCGGTGTTCTTGAGGTATGCTATATCATGATGATAATGTTAAAGAGTCCAAAAAATAATTATAGACTACCATTTTTGATGTTTATAGACTACCATTTTTGATAAAAACCGCCTTGGTGTTTCTGATGGGAGTGGTGTACAGCCTGTACATTCAGTTATCACATATTGAGATTTTCAAATGTTATGACGATCGAGTGAATTCATCAATTCCACAGCATACAATAACTCTTTTACGCATTGTCCTGTTCATGATAGCAGTTTTAACTCATGGCCGACAGGTGGAATGGACGGCTCGTCTCGATTTTCTCTGGCAATTGCAGGCTTCGCATGAAAAACGAGAAATGGCTGTCTTACAAGAATCAAATCGTCGAATCCTATTCAATTTACTGTAATTATTAAACGTTTAAATGATTTATATACATTATTATTAGTTTAATTCCATTCAATTTATTTCAGACCGGCCCATGTTGCCGCACATTTCCTCGACTATCAATTTCGTGGTGCTAACCATGGTGGACCTGGTGCGGGTAATACAATCGGACAAGACTTGTATTACCAGAGTTACTCAAAAGTCGGAGTTATGTTTTGCAGCATACCGAATTTTCATGAATTTTATACAGAGTTAGATGGAAATCAACTGGGCGTTGAATGCTTACGGCTGTTGAATGAAATTATTGCCGATTTCGATAATCTTCTGGCACAGGAACGTTTTGTGGCAATCGACAAAATAAAAACAGTTGGCAGTACTTATATGGCAGCAGTAGGCCTGATTCCAGATTACAAAATGAACAATGATGTTCATTTGACCCGAAGACACATGACAACACTATTTGAATTTGCACGAGCTATGCGCACTTCCATACAGAACATCAATGAGAACTCATACAACAATTTCATTACACGAATCGGCATAAACATTGGACCGGTTGTAGCTGGCGTGATTGGTGCAAGAAAACCGCAATACGATATTTGGGGCAATACGGTTAATGTAAGTTATACACCAAAATTGTGGATGTACTTGGAATATGAACTGTACCCATTAATCACGATTTTCGTATTATCTGTAGGTGGCCAGTAGAATGGATTCGACATGCATACCCGGTGAAATACAATGCACACAAGAAGTCGTCGACAGTTTGCAGGGATCTCATTTCGATTTTCGGTGTGTGATCAATTCTACAAAACTTTGTTTTCAATTAAATTACACATTTGATAACCATTTTTTTATAATTACAGATGCAGAGGACACATTAAGGTGAAAGGTAAAGGAGAAATGATTACATTCCTGTTGGTTGATCCACCGAACTCAAGTCAGTTCAATGCTTGCCGAGAATATCAAGGTCAGAAACGAAATCTATTTTTATGTATATATGTATATTCAATAATTTGCCAGCGATCAGTTCGATTGTAAAATACTTGTTTTCGCCAACAATTTTCATAGATTCGTCGTTGACTCCATATAATTCAGCTATGAATTCTTCGAATATGTGCCCTTCAACATCGAAGCACATGTCAAATGTCAGACTCTCACAACACGGAAAACCACAGTCGAGTGGATATCGACCAAATGTTGTGATGGCTGAGAACCAGAAGAAGAGCTACAACTACATGGCCAGCCCCAACTATTTGCAATATGAAAACACCTATCAGAAGTATAAAAATATTTGCCATAACAAAGACGTGACCAATTTCCGGGAGAGCAATTTGAACCATGACCAACGAATGGTCGAATATCGCAACCATGAAGATGCAGGGTACGCTCCAAACGATCGTTATGGAGATGTTGAAGTTAAAACGGAAAATAATATGCAATCATCTGACGATGAAGGTGGCTTTAGGCAAAACATTCACTACCAAAAGAATCAATTCAATCTTCTCAATGGTGTAAACGTATGCAATGGTACTAATGGGGAAATGGGGTACAATCTAAAAGAAATGGAGCCCCTTTTACACGGAGGCAACATTCGTGATCCAATGCAAATAACAAACAACCGGCAAAAATACGAACCACCACATTATGCAAACCCCCATGCAATGTCAATGCAAAGTTCGCAGAAACCTTCGGAAAATCAAGTAACGAACCATTGCCATAACAACAGATTCAATCATCATCACCACCACCATCATCAGCAAAAGCAGCAACAATTTCAACATGGAAATTCACCATACCGAAAGGTACCTCCCATACCTTCGATGCAACCTTACACAAAACCACTACCAAAGCTCCCGACAAATATAGGTAAAACTATTTTCGATTATAAAATCTTTCAATTACATAATTGCTCTTGATTTCTGTTTCATCAAAGATGAAGGGCCTGAATCGTCAACTGAAGATATAAGTAGACCATATTCACCAAGTTTGAGCTCATCAAACGAAGATATTCTGAAACCAACGGCCAGAATCGGTGATCGTGGAGACTGTGATTTAGCGGAAAATCGAATGAACGTACAAAATGATTGGCTTTTGAGATCGGCTATACATGCGGAATCCAACTATCCACAATATCCTCAACAATTCGGTGCTGGTTCAAAGCTTAACTCCATCGATTTGGCATATCTAAAAGACCTTGATCTAAGTTCCACGACCGAAAGCCCATCTACACTAGCAGCGACTAACAGAGAAGTCGAGTCCAGCACAAGTTTCGAATATCAAGAGAACAATTTAATACGATCACCGTTTCAACGGGAAATACAACGTCTTCTCGATTCATCGGCGTCAAAAGTTACAATCACCGGAAACCGATCATCAATCGATGCACAAAACTACAATGCAACAAAACTAAATGCACAACATATAAACAATGACGTCAATGGTACACTTTCGAACATTGAACTTGAAGCGGCCCAGATGCTGTTGGGTGGAGGAAATTCTGCTATCGTCAATGGGAAGCATCCGGTTGGACTTGAAGCCATCAAAGAGATAGCAAAGAATACAGCCAACTCAGATTCCAGTCAAATGTAAATATATTTTTTTCGCCAAATTTTTCACAAATTGTCCCTTTATTTAATAATTTTTGTTTATTTGAATCAGGCAAATTTCCGACACGGAATCCCATACGGGTATACTCAAGGATGTCATTGAAAGCCGCATAATGAACGATCGCAAGAACACATTTCCAATAAACGGTGGGCATCGAATGTTCGAGACTCGGAATTTCAGCGTTGACGAGAACGACGATGATGGTGACATTGAAGGAATGGATAGATCCCATATTGTCAATTCAAAAACAATTAATGATATCCTAAAGTATGGTGCACACCAGTCAGCCGATTCGAATCCCATCGAAACACAGTCTGAATGGAGCGATGAAGATGAAAGGGACGATGATGAAGCTAAAGGTAACTAAAATATCCTATATAATTCCTCATTCAACCCAAGTATTACTGATCATGATCATCCAAACAAATCATATATTTTTAAGGTGGTGCTGAAAGTACAGGCTACATCACTGACGAGGCCGGCCTAGAGAATCTCTCTCTATTGAATGAAACAGGGTTAACCGATGCTGAAGCAGCATTATCTGACGTGAATTCATGTAACGCACATGACGTAGATGATACGTCAATATCAAGCCGAGCTAGTTCTCGTTTGCTTAGTCTAGACTCGTTGAGCGGTTTTTACGATAACGATAACGACCAAGAACGCATAACAAACAAAACACATGAAAAGGCAATTATGAATGTTTCGAGTAAAATAACGAATAAATTTGGTTCGCAAGCACTTTAGTAAACAAAATGGAAGAAAAGGCTCTTCATTTCAGAATTATACTAGCAATTAAGGTTTAAAATAGCTCGAAACAACAGGATACTTAAATTAGTATGTGCGCAAAATTATTGTTATTATATATTATTTTTTGCAAGTGTATGATGATGCTTACTTAATATAAAATGTGATTTAGCATATGTTTGCTTTGTAAAACAAAGTTAATTTCATATACGCGCAAAGAATTGGCAAATTTCCTCATTTTAGTCGCAAAACATAGAATTTTGCAATTTAGAAAAGAAAAAAAATGGATTAAGCTGTACGATTCCGTTTATTTTCAATGATCAATGTCTTAAAATTGTTTGTTGATTATTATTATTTGTTGATTTCGCACGAATCGATAGTATTATGAATTTTGGTAGGGATGAGACCCTACAAACTGATCTCAATGATACCTACAACGGAGGAAAGATTATTATTATCGATCTATAACTACTCATTTTATATTCTCAACCAACTTCCATTCTGACTTCTTGCTTCATTTCGAAATTTCAATATGTGATAAGTAAACTATGTTTAATTTTATGTGAAAAATTGAGAGATTATGTATTAATGCGCACTTTTGCATTCAGCAAATAGCACATCGCTTCGAATAAATGAACAACAAAAAGTTACTCCATTAAACATTCTGGAAGTGTACTGTGTTTGAAATACTTTAGATCGCTGAGATTTATGTCATCTATTTCAACTTTTGGATTTTATTGAATTCTGGTCATTGATTTGTTCAAAGAAATACAACGGTTTGTTCAAATCCTAGCTCCTTAGCTGCACTAAGAAAGATATATTCTAACGAGAACGGCGGCTATCATCATTTAACCAATAGAATGTCGATAGCTTGCCAGTAAGAAGTGTAATTGATATGATCTCCAGGAATGATGATAATGAAATAAAACAGTTGTATCCGCAATAATAATTTTGAGATGTTTTATTTTTATGTTGAAATAAATTTTAACATCTCTGTAGGAATCTTAAATGAAAATATCTTCCATTTTTTACGTATCAACCATGAAACGGCTTTCATTCTCTTCGAATTTGGACGGATCAAGTTGTACTGCCATTTGAATTTCACGTTCGCCATGCTCTTTAAGCCCCAATGCTATCAAGGATTTACCTCGCAACCAGAAGGAGTGGATGCGGCTCAATAAATTTTCTTGAACTGCCGGTTTGTACTTTTCGAGGGCATCGGAACAGTCTTCAGCCTACGATATGATAGTGAAGAAGATACAAAATCATGTGGACTACTATGTTTGAATATTTAGCAACAAAAACTACTGACGCAACGTTTATAATTGTGAAGAGCATACTGCGCCCTTGCTCGACCGAAAAATAATTCGGGCAAATTATTCGACATTCTCAATCCAAAAGTGAATGCAGATACGGCCGCTAAATAGTTTTTCTTTTCCAAAAAGTCATGTCCCTTTTTGAGCACCCAAAATACGTCTCGTTCATCTGAATTTAGATCCTCATCGCTGAATCCTATGCGATTCACCATAATTTCATGTTGCTTTGCACACCATTCTCGTTCAGCGTGTAAACGAGACTCCCGAATTGGCGTCACAAACTCTCTAGAGCTGAGGTTCACATTGATTTTACCACATGAACGAATCGGGGGTAAATCATGTCTTACAGATTGTTTGGAAATTTGACGCAGATCGGGCACAGATGTGCGTTCAATCGGCTCATCAGAATCTTCACTCTGCCGTTTAAAGAAAATCACAATAATAATTTAAAGGAATACATAGATTATTGCAATGCACCGAAGAAAATAAAAAAATGTATCGTGTTTCTCATCAAACCTTCGAAAGTTGGATGGTGTTCAAAGCTGATTCTGTTTCATCAATTCGTTGTCGAATCCGACTTTCTCGTTCAATCTCCCGTTCGATCACATTCCTTTTCAAGTTTGACGTTTCCTTGTGCTTGAGTGTATGCCGTTCCTGTACACGTTTTTCGTATTCACCCAAGATCTCTCTTTTTCTTTCGTTCGGTATGGTTGCATCATTACTACTCAGATTGGTGGCTGATTTTGCAGTTTTCCCAAGGCTAGACCACCACTCTTCAGCCTCTTTTTTCAAACGAAATTTTATGTTTGACTCCAAGATCTTACAGGAGCTTTGCTCAACGCAAATCGGATGTTCGAAGAACAGTTCATAAAAATATGGGTGAACACTTATTTTCAGAAATTTATCATCTAAAACCACATCATCAATTGATATCTTCTTTCCGGTAATTGAAATTTTCAAAAGTATTTCTGCTTGAGTTTGAGACCAGTCAATTTTTTTCACGAAAATCGACATTTTTACGAATTGTTTTAAAGCCGTGACGCGTAAATAAACACCGCCTGTTTCCTTAGCAACTCACAATAAATTCAATGTGTGACTTTAAACACATGACGCAAGTATGATACATTCTGTTTGCTGTTTCCGTAAACGAAAATAGTTTTGATTGATATACGGGCTGTGTTCATCCGCGAAGGTCAAAGAAAATGTGAAAAATTATTTTTCAAGCGAATGGATGGATTCAAATGAATTTGAAGCAATCACATAGTTTACTATGATCGTGATCCAATCAAGGTCAAGTTGATACACAATTAAAATCACGTTCGTTATTATGAGATAACATCTGAGATATCAGGCATAATGAGATTTTGCAAGAAGATTTATTTTACCTTCTATTTATGTGTTTTGAGTTCAATGTTCTATCCAATTGAAAAATGCCCTATTATCAACAAAATGTAGCAATTAAAATAGATATACTGATATCACAACGCTAGTACTCTTCACTAGCTGCTCGAAAATGTGAGTTAAGGAAGTGAATGGAAACAATAATGTGTGATATAAAATAGGCACATACTCAAAGTGGCGCAATGATGGTGCTATTAAAAAAAAATGATAAAAATATTTAAACATTTAAACGGAAAGTAAACGATTCCGGAATACTAATTTCTATTCGTTGGTGGCACAAAAGCCGAATAAATTACATTAATACGTTCAGTTTCAAGATTGACTGAGCACGTTACAGACATTTACGAAAATATCACTCGTCAACCGAAATCGTTCAGTTTTACTTTCTCGATCTTTTTGTTCGAACAACGATTTTTGACATTTTCAGCAATGGATCAATATTTTGTGTATATTCTGTTAATTTGCCTGTGGAATTTATCAAGTGCATATTATATTAAACGACATTTACCAACACCTCCCGTAGCAAAATATAGATTCAACACATTATTTGTGCAGCAAGATGAATTGGATCAAATTGGTATGTATAGTTGATTTTTAAGTTTTCAGAGAAAAAAAAAACTATCAGAAATGTTGTTAATACCAGATACAGATATAGAGGCGTGGACACCTGAAGATGGTACGAATGTGTGGGAGCATTCTGGCCTATTCGAAGGGGATATAATGCTTTATACAAAGCAACCCATCAAGAATGGCATTATTGATGAAGCTTATCGATGGCCAGATGCCACCATTCCTTATTACATTGACGACGCTTTCAGTGAGTGATTTTTTTTCCGAAGATTTCCAATGTGCCAGTGCTTCAAAAATAACAATACTTTTTACCGTTCATCCATCTAGCCGACGAAGAAGTAGTCTCTATTTTAAATGCGATGCAAGAATATCATGACAAAACCTGTGTTCGCTTTCGCCCGTTTGTAAAAACCGACGAATATTGGATAGATATAAAGCAAGATTGGTCTGGGTGTTGGTCAAGTGTTGGAATGAAGAGGCAGGGCCAAATTGTGAATTTGGGTTCCGAAAAGTGTCGTCAACATGGGTATATAAACAGATTTATTCAATTGAATTGGCGATGTAGCTTTATTGATTTCTATTTCTTGACAGGGTTATAATTCACGAGCTAATGCATGCAGCTGGTTTTCATCATCAGCAGAGCGCATCCGACAGAGACGACTACATAATCATTCATTGGGATAACATAAAAAGCGGTCGAGAACACAATTTCAACAAATATGATGATGCAGTTGTGTCTAACTTTGACGTAACATATGACTACAATAGTGTAATGCACTATAGTGCGAAAGCCTTTTCAAAAAATGGGAATATAACCATTGAACCAATTGTAAGTATTCCCACGAAAGCAAATATTCCCACGAAATTAAATTCCATGTCTTATTCGATTTCTTTGTTTGATTTTAGTATGAATATACGGTTTTGGGGCAAAGAATAGGATTGAGTGAAGGCGATATTCAGAAGATCAACACTATGTACAATTCCAGTTGCAATAATAATGCGCTCAGTACTATAGAATTGCATTTACAAATGCAGCAGCAGCAACAACAAGAAGTGACCCCTACTCCAGTTGGGCAACATTTTTTAGAAACGGTCATCAAATGGTTCGAAAGCATTTTTGGCCTTAGTTTATGGAGCAAAAGGCACATTTAATTATTTTCATGTGTATCAAAAATATTTATTTATTTCTAATGTGTTAATGTATTTGAAATGAAATTAATATAACATCACTCATGACATGGCTTGGATATTGAATATTATATGAAATTCATATGCTATAAAACGATAGAAGGCTGAGTTCATCGATTGTATCTTTTGCTGCCTGAAAAATTGAAAATATCAATAGATTTGAATTCATGCTAAATTTACATATATCGTAAACCATCCTAATTGTAACATAGTCTCAAAATAAACCACTTTTCTAAGAAAATACAAATAAGTTATTTATTCATATCGGAAGATTTTTTCGCGTTCTTCTCAAATATGATATAAAAAACAACAGTTACCCTTCAAAGTTTTATAGAAAATTAGTCTATTTGTTCAATTGTTACAATTTAGATGGTTTACGATAATTGATCAATTCAGTCTACATACTTCCTTCACTTGTGCGTTACTCTCATCCAAAAGACCTTCCAATGTTTGTTTAAATTCCTTGGTCCACGATTTTTGTAGAGAATAACAGCTGAACCGAGCAATGATTTTCAGTAAATTGCACAGACGAGATCTGGAAAATGCAAATGTGGAAGAACGATTGGAATCGACTTTGAAAAGTTAATTGCTTTACCTTAGCAAATGGTGTCCATTTTGCAACAAACTTATTATATCAACACTCTCGTGAAATATAACAGTTTCGACGAGCTCCGCATTTTCAGGTGTCTCTCGCAGTACAAAGCATAGAATCGAAACAATGGCACAAACTATTTGCATTCCCTGTGCATCGTACACTACTGCAGATAGAAGAGGACATATTTGGTTGTGATTCAATTTTAAATATCTACACAATTTGTTTTATACCGTCCGATAGCAAATGTCGAAGTAGGTCATTGGCGATGATGTACACGGAGTCGCAAAATTGGGCCAAGAAATTTTCATTCAAGTGTATGAGATAACACACCAATTCATATATACTTTTCAATGTTTTTAACTGTTCTGCCGATAAGTCGCTCATTCTCCTGAAATCAGATTGATGTAATTGTTTATTTTGATATTTGGAACACTTCTTATAAACGTATACGTACTTGAAAACAACTTGCTCTTGCGTTGTGCCCAAAGCAGCAAAATTCGATGAAGACAACGTTGATGAAAAACTTGGATTGCTACTCTTCACCATGCACACAATTTTTGATGCAAAAATCAAATTCGGCAGTAGTTTTGTTTGCAGATAAACGGTTTTTATTTCAGCTATATCGTCACTGGATATGGGCAACACAAATGGAATACTGAGTAATTGCACAACGCTTGAAATTACCGTGCAACTTGCATTAAAATTCCTCAAGATTGCCACAATTATTCCAACCTAGAATAAATGCAATTATTTCCGTTGAAATATAGAGTATTTGAATTTTTCAAAAAGAAATTATCGAATTGATATGGAATCGTACCAGATTTTGATGTTTTAATGAATCGGTTTCTCCGTTCAAGACCTCTTGCATTGACATGTGTATGAAAGCCAACCACTCTTCATTGACTATCGGTTCATTTTCAATTGGCGGACCTTGATCATCCTCGTAGGTATCTTGCTTAGCATCTGGAGTTTCCGGCAAACTCTTCTCTGCAACCGAAACACTATGGAATAACAGAGAACCAAAAGTACTATAGTGAAAACTCGTTTTGCTTTTCATATTTAGAATACAAACTCTTGTGATTTCTCCTTTGAGCTGTCTTTATCATTTTCGTCGCACTTTTTTTCATTCATGTCATTTCCCAGGCGAATGGAAAAATTGTCCAAGTTTTGACTTAGCTTACGCCTCTCCAATTCTGTATTTGTCTTTGATACCATACTCGATGGGACTGCCTCTGAAACGTTAACGCCGTCTGCCAGCTTGGATGCAAGGGTAGGCCGTGGTTTACCTTTATCTGCATACCATTTATTCTCGTCCTCGAGCTGCATCTTTTCCATGTTCTCCATCAGTGTACCAATGTTGAGGTTTTCGTTGACGTTCGCATCTCGATCACCCACAATCTCATCAATTGCTGCTGCAAAATTGTCTGTGTATCGTTGAATAATTAAATTTTGATTCTCTTCTCGATCGGTAGGTTCATTTTCAGTTGGCGGTTTTATCCCCTTTTTTATTAGAGGTCCTTCGACGTCTGTTTCGAGATCTGTTTGAATGATAGCGTTCACACTATCGTCTGACGAAATCGATTCGTTGTCACCAATAACATTGGATTGTTTCCTCTTTTGATTTGGGTTTAGGTGTGCGCCGGCATCTGTAATTTTTTTATTATTCTTTGCCTCACATTTACTCATTGCCTCAGCTATCATCTTCTTGCCACGGTTAAATATAATTTCGTCTCTTTGTTTTTCTTTTCGAATTAGTTGGGATGTCGTCAAATCCTCGGTCAATGGACGTTCTGCTCTGTTGTTGTCCAAAATAATTAAGTTATCTTTTATATATGGGTGCTCGACTATCTGGGGCCAGGTAAGACGCATTCTTGGCTCTTTCTTCAGAAGGCCTTCTACAAACGATTTGGATTCTACTGATATTGGCGACGGCCAAATAATGTCCGGATTGCGCAGCCATTTTAATAATTGTGAAAATGATTGTGTCTTTATTGGTGGTCTCCCGAAATGTGCCTCGTATAGAATACAGCCTACAGACCAGAGGTCTGCTCGTTCATCATATAATGCTTCATCCATTACTTCTGGTGCCATATACAATGGAGTTCTGAAATATTCATACAGAAATCTTAACACTTCTTGGAAGAGAAAAATAATGCAAGGTCATTAAACATACCCTTTAACCGAAGTCAGAAGATATGTTTCAGAAGTCATCTTCCGAGCCAATCCAAAATCGCATAATTTTGCCTCCATTTCGTCTATGTTATCATAGTTGTTCAGTAGAATATTTTGCGGTTTCAAATCACGATGCGAAACCCGATGCGAGTGCAAATAGTACAACGCGGACAACAAATTCCAGCAAAGTTTTTGGACATGTTTTTCCGATAGTTTGTTGCATGACATGAACTGATGCAGATCAATACTGGCCAATTCCGTAACAACAACAATATACTCAATGGTTTCGAATGAGCTCAACATTTGTATAATGTTCGGGTGACTTAAAGAACTATGTATTTTGCATTCTTTAAGAAAATTCTTTTGCTCTTTCTTCTCACGAGATGATGCATTCGGTTTCTAAAACGAAAATGTTACAGATAAATTCGATTTAAGCCCATTGTAATGAATATAAAACTCACTTTTTTTATCAGTTTCACCGCAATGCTTCGGTTGGTTGCTTTTTCTCTGGCCTTGTAGACCTGTCCATATGAACCAGAGCCTATCAATTGAATTAGCTCATAATTTTTCAGTTCCATTTTTCGTGTACAAAATTCTAAAAAAAAGGAATAAACGATATTCTATTCTAGCGATACACTTTAATTTTTAAAAACAAATGCCGACCACTATGACGCTACTATAAACAACATAAATACCATTTGACAGATGAGAAACAAAGCAAAGAGAGATGAAAAGAAAAAAACACTTGCATGTGTGAAGCAGCAGTGACAGGTTTCAGAAGGGGAATATATTTGACAGTGCAAAAACATCTTTGGATACATTGCAACATATGCGGCTGAGAAGGGGAAATTGCGATTAAGACTGGTTCTCATCGTTGATTTGTTTCTAACGGCTTTCTAATCACAATTCAAACAGCACAAGATATAAAACTTGAAGCGAATTTCATTTATTCTACGAAAAATATTACATTTCTTCTGTTAGATTTTTTTAAAAATAAATTATGTACATTGTCCTTCGTTCAAAATACAATATTTAGGAGCAATTGGTTCAGGTTGGATGCCCAAGCGTTGGAGTCTGGTGTTATGGCGAAACAGTCTTTCGGTTGACTGTTGTGAGGGAGTATCGGGATTAGCCCACAGACGCTCTGCAACAGCGGCAGCACGAGGCCAAATTCTCGAATCTATATAAAAAGTATGAACTTGTTATGATGATTCAATAAATAGAAACGAATTCGAGAGTGAGATTTGAACAAACCTAAATTATTCTCATCAATTAACTCAGTCCATACACAAGCTTCTCCACCCAAAACACCCGGGTGCTGCGGCAATCGATTATCGTATGCTGTTTTCCATGTATAATACCTGGTTTGCCCCCAAAATCCATGATCAAAGTACCTAATTAAATATAATATCATGATTAATAATGAAATCTGATGATATAATAATTCATGTGATAACATGATCGTACCAGGCATTCTTAGTAGACATTATCTTCGTGAAAAAGTTAAGAAAGTATTAATCCAACCTATGAAAATGTATAGTTTATCTATTTACAGTTCGACCTTACCAGTTCATATCCGAGATCTAACAATTTAGTTGGTTGCTCATCAGAAGATTCTACCCATGTTTGAACAATGTATCTAAATAAAATCAATTTTAGTCATTAGTACCATATAGTGCATACAAGTATGTGAGCATACAAATTCTCAATCATTGAATTGCCAACCTGTCTTTCTGTAAGTATTTCTCAATGTGACCCGCATCGGTTAAATGACTTGAAAAAATTATCACTTTGCTTGGTACCACGGGTGGATCACGACGACTATTCTCGTCTTGGCCCCTTTCTTCGTCCCAAATGCGCAGAGAAGCTTGCTACAGATTGAATATGTTTTATAAGATCTTAGAAGAAATTTCCAAAAAAAAAATAGCTCTGACGAACAAATAAATCAACTTTAAAGAAGATAAACAGAGAACAGACTAACATGAAATTCAGCCCACAACTGTAGAAAATCTTTACTATCTCTTCCTAACCCATGCTGTTGCATATAATCGACAATTTCTTGCGTTGAATTCCAACAGCCAAAGTGCACCTAAAAATCAATTAATCAAATGAAGCCGTCAGCAATATATGCAAATTCGAATACCTAGGTTCACTTACTTCATCCCCTCCCATGTGCATTGTTTCACTATGGGGCAGTAACGATTGCACATGACGATAAACATCACGGACCACACCGAAAAGGAAACTATTAACTGGATTCAACTGTCCGCACGGCGGCTGAATACAGAAGCTCCTCCACGGTTGTTTATTGACGCACACGGCTAAATCTCCCAATCCAAATTTGTGACCCCAATTCCAGCCATTTCCCGCATGCGATGGAGCATCAATTTCGATAATGACACGAATACCTCGCAGTTTTGCATATGCTATGATATCACTCACAACATTTGGAGGATACGTCAGATTCGGTCCATATGCCCCAAAAATTGTAAACTGAGGAATAGATGGAATCTCCAATGGAAAGCTATGCGAATCGGTAATGTGCCAGTGCCACACATTAAATTTCGAAGCCGCCATACCGTCTAGTGTACGTTTTATGTCCTTTACTGGAATATAATTGCGCGATGTGTCTAATAACAGTCCTCTATGTCGATAAAATGGACGATCTTCAATGCGTGCTGATTTGACCAGCAACAAACCGACGTCACATATGTCCGCCGTCATCAACTGTCCAAGCGTTTCTAAGCCGTGTCGCACACCAAATATGGTGGAACCACTGATTCGAACAGTTACTTGATCACCTATTAGAGCATTGTTTATTTGCCCATCCAAAATGAGTTGCAGCAGTGAATGAAAATATTAAAATGTAAAATATCAAATGTGCATAACATACCAGACGTAATCACATCAAGACGATAACTTTCATCAGTGCTCCAATTGATTTCAGTCTCATTTGAGTGTACCAATAATCGCACCAAAACATGTTTTTCTGATCTTGCCTCATTGCAATCATCACCGCATTCGTTGAAGACTTTTGTAATAAATATATTGCTTATTGCTTGTAAATAATTCACTGTGCCAACTGACGCCTCGGAAATATTAAATCTGAAAATTATGATCAATTCAACGGCCGTATTTATTTACAAATAGAAAATCTGAATTTAAAGAAATGTTTTATATACAGATTACAGATTTTTGTGGTTACTGTATATAAAACATTTCTTTAAATACAGATTTTCCATCTGTATATAATTAAATCATAGGATTTTAAAAATTACTTCAAATCACGTGGATTGAACGAAAACAGTGTTTGTCCGATCAATGTATGTCCAGTCGGTCGCGGCCACAAAGCTCCGTAGCGTCCGCAAACAAGCCGGCACACACTTTGTGAATTATATGTGTGCAGGTTTTGTGGATCTTTATGTATTCGCACGCATTTATCGTCACGATTGCATATCCATTTAGCTGAGCAGCTAAAATCAAAGAACATAACAAATCTGGTAAGCCTTCATTTCGTTTTGCGTTCTAATCGTTTTATTTACTCATTATCCGCAGCAGTCTTTCCCAACAAACCCACGCATAATGCCAGAATGATAATTTGCGGATGCATATCATCTAAATAAAGCAATTGCTATGGAATGAAGATAACGGTTTATAAATTATTCACACCTTCAATAACAGACAATTACGACTCTCAATTTCAATTATCAGTTCAATGAAAACAAAATATGGGGTTATCGTGACCTACATTTACCTATTTTCGAAAGAAAGACCACATTTTCAAAAACACTTTGATATTTAGTAAACGTCTGGAACCAAAGTTTGAGTTAGTAGTTGTAACTACTAATTTATAAATTGACTGTACAACGCTGTCGTTTGACTATCATAAGATCGATTTGGAACTGAAACATTAAGCATTTCAAGAGTGCACAAACAATTTAATCTTATCACTCTATTATTATTGATAATTGTTTTTATAGTCAAAAGCAGAAGTTTAGCGTTGTTTCTCAGAAAGTGTCTCATTTCTTCGTAAAATATATTCAGATTCAAGCACTTAATCGTACTACCATTACTTCCGCTATTTTCTAACTTATATCTTTTTTTTTCAACGTTTTCTGCATTATCATGAATCTTAAATTCTATAGAGTATTGTTATGAACAATTATATGTGTGTCATTTGCGAAGTCATTTTGTTTCATATCTTTATGTGATGATAAACACACTCAAGCCTGAAAATTGAAACCATTAAATATCACTTGGTGCATCAAAAGTCCACACACAACTCAATTTCATACATAAATTTATTTTACATAATAATTTATATACGAATTATAAAATGTGAAGGATTTTGGTGATCTTTTTTTTCTGGCCTTTGACCAACGTATGCAATATGCATTGATAAAAAATTTTATATTGCTCGAAACGTTGTAAACTGTGCACTTAAAAAAACACATATTTTTCATTCGAAGAATTTCAAAATTTCATAGACCAAAAACCATGCATAACTTTAATTCAAAATGTTTGATGTATTGTAAAATCACTTTATAATACTTTGCAACATTGGAAATTAATTGTCGTTTTGATAACATTTCAATCTTATAATAAATTGTTTTTGTCTCTTGAGATAAAGAATAAGTAGAAAAAAATGTGAAAAAGATATTTTGGTGTTTTTTTTCTTCTTTACAATAACTCACCGTGTTTAATGTTTGCGTAAATCGCTTTCTTTAAATAGAAACGACCTATTATGTTTGATTGGAACTGTTCATTCGGCAAAACTATAAATATGCGTGTGCAAGTTATGAAGCCAATTTTAATAATGTGAATTGTAACTTCGCCTTTGTTTTGATTAAAACAATTAGTTCGACTAAATGTATTTTTGATGAAATATAATATTCAAATACAACTATGCTCACGGTTAAATTGGTTAACAAACTACAAGAGGAAATACAAATAAACTGTGTATATGTGTAAAAAAATAGGAACGTTTGCTAAAGAAAGCGGAATTGGCACAAAACAGCATGAATATTAGCTTAACATTTAAACCATGCGATGTGTTCACCACAACGAATCGGCCAAGACTAATGAATAAAACGCTGCACCAACGAAAAAAGCGCTGATTTGTTTTTAAATCAAAACTTATTCAGTGGGAATACAGTGAAGCAATTTGTTATTTATGTTTCGTTCGCACCAGATCGGCGAACATAGTGAAAGAAAGAGAAATGTGACAAAACGAGAGTAAGAGTAACACGATAAATGCAATGCTTTGAAAAGATAGAGAAGGGAGCGAAGAGTGTGCGTGTATGTGTGAGAGAGAACTATATGTGAAATAAATTAAGTAACAATTTAACTGTCTATTTGTCATTGCTCGCGTTGTATTGAGGACCGGCTTTTTGATATCAAAGCAAACGTGTCGTATGTAAAGTAACTGATAAAAAAAGCACATACGATTCCGGCGTATGTCAACATTTGAGTCAGTGACATAGCCCGCAGCAATCAGTGGCGACCAATTCAATTACTGACCAATTTTGGCTCCATGAAAAGATAACATATCCTTCTCGCTTAAGCTGAATTGATATTTATTGATGCGGTTATTATTTGTTTTGAGACAAATGAAAGAAAAATGCAAAAGTTTCATTCAAAGCTCTTTATTTAAATGTTGTAATTGATTAATCGAAATTTTGGAGATAGTCTACAATAAATAATTAGAGATTAAAACAAGATTTTCACGATACAATCTTCTTATTTTCTTTTTCAATATTAAAAGGAGATTCAATTGATTGGATTATATGTATTATGTTCATGATTTACTTGGTTAAGTTTTGTGTTCATATATGAGAATATGTATCAATGAATGTTGTCAAATAAAAATCCTGATAAATGCGTGTTTCATTAGGTTTTAAGTGTACTGGTTTTCGATATTGATTAAAAATTGCAAGCAAATGACTGAAACTGACTTCAAGATAACTTAAGAAAACCACATTTCTAAAAGTTGATGGAACATTTTTCACTTTTTCTATTCTGACTACTGTTTATGTCGTTGTTGTTATTGGAGAAGTCGATGCAGCCGTTGGTAGTTAAATCAATCTCTTCCGATGAACCAGATGAGTCGTCACCATTGTTGCAATCGTTTTTGGCATTTTTTAAATGGTCGCCTCTTTTCGTGTTTGAATGAGTGTCGGTGACCATTTTCCTACCGACATCTGTCAATGTATTGCAATTTCGTTCATCACGATCAGAATAATTTTTATTGAACATCGACGTAGTGTCAATGACTTGTGCGCCATAATATTTTCGCTTGTGTAAGACATTTTGGAAGGCTGGATGCATCAAAGTAAAACCTTCGTTTTTATTTTGACCTTGGGCGTAATCTTCAGATGCATCTTTTAACATTTTCATGTCATCCATTTTCGATTTTGATGAGTTCGATAAACTTTGTGCTGTTAACAGAGGGATCGGAGATGATGGCGATGCGTCAGTTTTGGGAGATTGTCGTTGATGTTCACTCGGCATCATTGAAGATGAATTTGTCAAGCCAAGGCAACGTAGCCGCCAGGCATCTTGTAGCAGACTTAATCTTGCTTGCTTACGCCACTTGGCTAAACGATATTTAGAAAGCAAAAATGGTTTATTTTCTTACTATTAGTTAATATAAAATCCATCAATATAACACATACCACGACGGTTCTGGAACCACACCTGTGAATGAAACAAGAAAATTAATCCGATCAGAATCACTTGCACATGAAAAGAAAAAATAGCCTAAATCCACGACGATTTTGTAACCATACCTAAACAATCGGCCGGTATGGTATGTTAGCAGAAATAAAAACAGTAAAATATAGTATGTATGAGAACAATTTCATATTTATTTATTACTTCATTTTTTAATTAATGCAAAAAGTGTGAAAAACATGATTGCCACTACTCTAAACTCTGTTACTTCACGCCTATGTGGTTGAACGATTAGTGATTAACATTTTATACACAACTTTTTATCGCAATTTATTTATGGGTATTTTCACTTTCGAACGAGTTCAATTTCATTTGGACTTTCTGCATTATCTGATCGCGTTAATTATACGGTACTAATCCGAAACGATTTGTAGTAATGGAATAATTGGCGCTTGTTCAATATTTAATTTTATTCCCCCCAAACGCATTTGAAAATCAACTATGCACTTTTCGTTTACGGATTGGTGTTTAACTAAATCACAATAATCGCACTAAATAAAACAGTTTGATATCGTTTTGACTTGAATCAAGAGTCACATAAATTTTGCAAATTTTTTCGATACTTTTCGAATGAAATACAACAAATTTAATCATCTAAACATTCACATCAAACTCACCTGTACTCTAGCTTCACTCAGTGAAATTCGAAGCGCAACTTCCTCCCTCAAGAACACGTCTGAATGAAAAACAAAATTTGGAATAGAAAAATTATTTTCTTCGAAATCTTATTCTTCTCGATATAAAAAAATTAAAACTGACACAACATCGATAAAAATTGTAATGAAATTGAGAATAAAAAATAGAAAATTAATTTTGTACTAATTTCATACACAACTCGTCTCACCTGGATAGTGAGTCTTCTGGAATAAAGTTTCTAGTTCTTGTAGCTGCGTTGGGGTAAAGGTGGTTCGATTGCGGCGTTGACGTCTCCTACCAAACATGTATTCAGTCAATAAATCACCCGGCAACGGTGACAAAAACGGTCCTGACATATCTCAAATTTTCGGAATTATTGCAAAGCCAATTCGATCAATCGGTCTCGAGAAAACACTTGTGTTTATGTAGAACTCTTGCAGTGTACTGACACCACAAATAATTGTGGTGTCCACAATCAACAGATTTTGCTTTGTGGCCTTGAACAGCAGGAAAACGGATCTACTATCCTTTTGTATTTTTTCCTCTCTCTTCACCGATTAAGAACGTCCCAGAATCACACCGATATCACAACTAACTTCAATTCAGTTTTATTTCAACATCAACGTAGTATATATTTTGTTGTTTCAAAATGTAAATGTGAATTATGAATGTATGTCCTTTTCATTCTACCGACGAACAGTTTGTGCGAATCCAAGGGAGAAATGCACTGAGTGCGGTGTGTTTGCCTCTTCTTTATTTTCAATTTTCCATTTGGATAAAATGAAAAATCGGTGAATGAATGAAAAGAGAAAGAAGAACAAACAATGAACGCAGCACAACACAGATATCATTAACATTAAATACCAATACGAGCACAGTATTTGAAAAAAACGAATTCAGAGTCTCTCTCGCGCATTCACAAAAAAGTTTTGTTGTTGAATCAGAGAATCCCCACTCAAAAACTGAACTCCTTGTTGTATTTATGTTATTTGTATATTAACACAAATTATAACTCCATTCTTACAGCGAAAACATGAGCAAGATACAAGCAGGCAGGCAGGCAGGCAAGTGAAATAGGGATGATAAGTGTGAAAATTCCGTGCATGCACAGCACGTGAAAATGGGAGGAAAATATTTACCATTTTATGAATAAACTGGATTCATTTTTATGTTTCGCTGTGTGCACGAATGGAGAAGATGTACATTATTATGATGTGCCAGAGAGTAATGACGTTAATTGGCGAAAATCTATTGTTGTACAATGTACGGCCTATTTGAGTGGAATCTGATCCCTTCGTCGATCCATGCAGAGAGTTTGCATTGCAGACGGTATGCATTTATACCTGTAGGTGCGGGGCATGCGAACGCCAATCGTATTAAATTTATGCATAGAAATTAATAAATGTGTGCGTTTGTTTTTTCCATATTCCGATTATGAATTACGTTTTTTTACGAGACTGCGCACTAATTGAAAGGGCGGTACGTTTATCTCAGTAGAGAGTGTCATTGCCATCACATTATTGATGTATATCGGATTATTTTGTTTGTTCATTATTTTGCTTTGTCTGTGCATTATTAAACTATTAGCATAGCATAGCATAGCCATAGTATAACCATAGATAGAATGATCTTCACACCTGATTGGATGCCTCGCACACTGAATCAACAAAAAAAACTCGGAACACATATGGAAAATTCAATCTGGGCGAGTAAAATGGGTATTAAATAGTATTTTATCTGATTTGTGGTAGAATATAAAGTGACGAATGTGCATTTTATGTAGAATCCATGTAGATGTACTATTTTCTTCATTTTATCCATTTTGAATCATTATATACAATTATTTGGTTACGGTATCAAATTCGACACATCGAATGCCTCCATTCTGTCTGTATGCTTAAATCAACTGTCACTTTATACCTCTCGAGTCGTATTAAATTGAGTCATATCGCTCTTTCTGTATTGATTATTATTATGATTTACAAAGTCCAAAAAGTTCCGATATTTTCATATTCGTGGCACATCTGCAGACAGTGCTGCGTCTAATGAATTGTTGTCATACGTTGTATGTTTTTTTTTCAAATTTGAACGTACTGTGCCGTATCGTACCTTTCCGATCCCAATGATTGTATTCCAAATGGAGTAAACAATATAAGTCGTGGATGTCAGTTGTTTATATAATCAAAAAATCATAATAATATGGATGCTGCCTAGGGGCTAACCACGGATTTTTTATTGACAAAATCTGTTTTTATCGCCCAATTTTAATATAGAGTACAAACGTTTAATGTGCTGACGTCATTACCGATTCAAAAATGCTGGAAATGGGTTTTGGTGGATCCTCAGGATCGTTTAGTACTGCTCCCGGTTCTGGAAGTGGATCCTCAGGATGGGCCAGGGCATTGTCTGACCCAGTCTGGTCCATCCTGAAGATCCACCAAAACCCACTTCCAGAATCGAGAGCAGTTCTGAACGATCCTGAGGATGCACCAAAACCCGCTTCTAGAACAGTATGCATTCGTTAAAGCGAAAAAATTACTGCAAAAATCGTTCAAAATCGACCAAAATGTGATCATATCGGAATTTATTTGTTTAAATGATAAAAAATGTTAAAGTCGGTCATTATTGGTTATTTTTAAAACCGTGGTTAGCCCCTAGGATGCTGTTATGTACAACTGTACAATGTACATTCTAATGGAGTATAAGTATTCAGTTGTGTTGTCGCGTTGTATCATTGTTCTCGGCGTCGTTGGTTGAATCCATTGTTGTAAAGTAAAATTAATCAAAAAATGGAATGGAATGGAGGTGGAGCTTGGTTGTACCACAGCAACAGCAGCAGCAGGAAAAATTAATTTCATCCTTTTGTTTAGGTTATATTTCCCTCTTTTTCTTCCATCACCACTATGGCCTTTTTCCACTGTACAGCCCATAAATAGATTTCAGTAAATTCATCAAAATAAACACAAATATACCGAATAAATGCACACAAAACAATGCACAAATAACAATAGCGAACCAAAGAAGAAAAAGAAGACGAGGAAAATATGATGTTGTTTTGCATTTTTTGCATTTCGCAAAGCTCCTGTTCATATTTTTTTGCACTTTTTAATTTCGGAATATTATGTTTGAATTATATTCCATTTTGCTTTGTCTATTATTTTGTTTTTTTTTCCTTCTTTCTCTGTTCATACATTTCATATCATTCACATAAGCATAAATACACTAATTTGTAAAATGTTCAGACATGAATGAATGTTGGATGAAGAATTCCATAATGGAAATGTAATCTCGTTTCCTTTTATTTTCACTATGCTTCTGCTTTTCATTGTTCTAGTAGAACAGTAATTAATGAAATGGATTCAACATGTATATGTAATGCTATCTACAGGCATGCATCATCCAGTGAAATATAAGCTCGCCAAAAATTATGATAGTTCGTAGAGAAAGAAGAAAAATCCAATTAGTTGAGTAAAAATGTTTTATTTTTTTGTTTTTATTTTATTAAACACCGCCAAGCTCTGGTTGAATCTATTATTGATAAGTAGAGATTTGGTTTAGAGGTTTGGCCGGAAAATAGTACAAGAACTGTTACAATAATTTACAATAAATTTCAGTTCTCGCCACGTTAAAAACCTGGCTCTTTTCATGATTAATTTAAAGCCTAAGTAAACGATATATCAGTCTTTAGAATCATCTCATTTGTTTCAGTGATGAATCCAAAACAGAACATTTTTAAAAACCAGGACAACCGATGCAATGCCGTACACAGTACATTCACAATGTCATTTTAAACAAGACAGAGTTATGAATAGAAAATTTGATTCAATGAATAAAAACCGTACACACCAGTAAAATAATTTGATGAATTAAATTGCGGAGAGAAACGACATGCTGCCGCATTCATTGTTGCTTTTTGCACCATGTTCCATATGCACTGCATTGTGAATGGAACCGTTCCTGTATTCGGGGGTTGGAAAGTCCACCGCATGTGTTCAATCTTGATTCAAACTGTCTACAGTTGATAAAAAGCATGTGAACAATACAAATGGAATAAAAGACTGAAAACCATTTGCCATGCACATTGAGCAGTGGGCGCCCGCGTTCAATGAACAAAAGTAAAAAAATGTTTTCATCTGCACTAATATTGTTAGCATTTAACGGGATTAAATTAATTTCAATTTAAATGGTCGATACACCAATAAATGTACGAAGTTGTATTGCCATTTTTTAGCTATTGAGTCTAATGTACTATACATCACTATCATCATGTACGAACAATTGAACACGTTCAACCCAATTTTGTTTCATTGGCCGAATAAGCAATCAAACATTTTAGTTAGTGTATAATCAATACTTGATGTATGTGCACAAGTTGCATTTGCTCAAATGATAAATTCCCAAAATTAACAAATTGTAGAAAAAACTCATTATATAAACCTTATCAACCCAATTCAGCCCATTCGATTGCATGATTATACACATTTCGACACATATTTATAGGGGGAATGAGTAAATTCACATAAAATTCCATGCAAACGCTGTATTCAAACAAGATGCCATACCTACCACTGGGAGCTTGATATTCCTGCATAATGTTTTCTCTGTTCAGAAATATTTCAAAGAATCTCTAAATAAATTTACAACACATTGGTATGATAGCTGTGCCCGATGTTCATGCTGACCACATCCCATTTTGGGTACATTGAGATAGTTCAAAAGTTCATATATAACTTTATCATTGATCAAAAATTTATTAACCAAAATTAATTTGTACTTTATTGTTCCGATTTAAATCATTACTTTGTGTGTGCCATTCAAACAAAAGTGCAAAGGTTATCTACGGCAAAAATAATTAAACTCGTTAGTCATTCGTGGCTTTATTGAAAATCATTGCAAGACAAGTCCACAAGTAATCATTACGAGCAGACACGCGCGAGGGGGGGGGTTTCGTTTTTTAGCCTCGTACGCGAAATTTTTTTCACGGCGGTGAAAAAATAAGAAAGATCAAAATACATTAAGAAATGAATTCAAAATTCAAATTTGTTCATGTATTGTGTTGATATTGGAGGGAGTTAACTGTTTCATACATCAAAAATCATTATGCTTGCAACTCGAAAATAAAAAAACACCAAACAAATATCACCTGTAAAAATTTCACCGGAGAAATTTTTTCATTACACGAGGAACTGTGTACTTAGCTTAAGAGGTTATTGCTAACAGTATTATCTATTCCAATTAGCAATGCGGAGGCAGAAAGGGGGTTTTCTGTCCTCAAATATATGCACGACACACACAGAAAAAGATTAACACTTAGCAATCTAGACGCAATGATGCGAATGAAATTGAATGGCCCTGATGAATTGAATCATTTTCCTGCGGTCGATGGTGGGCATCTCGGCACCGATAATCAAATGGGAGCGAAAGATTTCATTTTTCACAATGTCGCCGAAGACGACGACATTCGAATGAAAAAAATGTCTTATGAAAAGTTCCCTTTTTTAAATAGTTTTCGAATTATTTTTTATCGTTCAACAACACATAATACGTATATCAATGCAATATCGAAACGATTTTATTACTTAAAAATAAAATTCTTTTGTATTCAAATATTAATATAACAGCTAGGTAACGCCCAGTAGGGTATATCGCGGTTCAATACTGTACGTTTAACATGATTTCGTACAGTAAATCCATCGCCCAGAGTCGACCACAGCCATACAAAGGGTTTGCAACATTTAGTACTTTTTAGTACATTTTTAAAACTCTTTTAGTACTTTTAGAACATGGTATGTAAAGGTCTTGGGGAGTACTAAAAAGTTGCTTCAGACACTATTGCTCTATTTTGAGTAGTTGAGAAATTATAGGAGTTCAAAATTTTCGCAAAAAAATTACAAAAAATCGAAAAAATTGAAAAATTTTGATGTAAAACCTCTTTTTATGCCCTAATATATTCCATTCGAATGAAATTTTCCAAATTTTTTTTAAAAAAATCCAAAAAAAAACAATTTCAAAAAACTCAATTTTTTCCAAAAAAACTCAAAAAAATCAAAAATATCGATGAAATTATTGCGGTTTTTGATGCAAATCGTCATTATTTGTCCTAATTCATTTCATCCGACTAAAATTTCCCCAAAAAATGCGAAAAAAAACGAAAAAAAAAATTTCTAGCCGGCTATAAATTTTATAGCCGGCTAGAAAATGAAAATTGTCATTACAGCGACAAATGCCTCAAACTATGTGTGGATTTGGGTCCAGTGGCTTGCAATAGCCGAGAATTAAATAACCTGATATAACAAACCCACTACATACGGCGAAAGACGGATTTGAATTTTTCTAGCAGGCTATAAATTTTATAGCCGAGCATTTGGACTCAGCCTTATCAAAATATATTCAATCAATACAAAACCAAACAAACCAAAAACACATTTGATGCATTGAATAAATTAGCTGCACATATAATATATACTGTGCACTCCACCACCACAAGCACTAGCCGTGAACGCTTCTCTACAAAAATGTGCACAATATATACCAGATTTGCTGAGGCTGATCCGTGCGGAATTCGACAGAATTAATGCGATTTAGCATTTCCGAATAGAATGAGTACTAGAGGACTTTAATTCTAACTCGAACAATATTTCAAAGTACTACATGTTGTTATGTGCATTTAAATATTAGCCTATTAAAAACGATCCGACCTGGCCCAATGTGTTCTGGAAGTAAAGTCCTCCCTATGGGAATGCTAAATCGCATTATTTTTGCCGAATTTGCCGAATTTGCCAAATTTGATACCTTTACGCACATTTGCACATAGTTATGAGTGAGTTTGAGTGGAGAACATATTGAGCTGACTTTGTTTTCGAAAAGAGATAATATGAAATTGAAAGGCCAACGAATTCAAAGAAAAAAATGTTCATGTAAATGGAGTTCAAAGTTGTAAAGCTTGATAAGACCATCAACTTTTGTTAACACACTGATTTTGTTGTCTCTTTCCTTAAAATGTCTCTACAAACTACAAATGAAACCAACTCTCTTTTTTACTGAATATTCATAAAGGTATACTTTACTATCCACTCTCAATCGTACCTATAGATATTTGCACATAGAGTGTTATTGCATTCACTGTTGGAGTATATTAGATAAATCTGACTTATTCAATCATCATCGATTGATTACATAAATGGTTTTCAAACATGACTTCAATTCAACCAACATTAATTAGGCTAATTATGCATATTGATTTGGCAAATGGAATTGGCTATAATCCTATTGGCTATAGGAATTGATATTGATCACCATGAGTTTTATTTCGTTTTTTTCCTCCATTTTTTTTTATTTAACACGTAATTAAATCAGAAATTTTAAATCAAAAAATATGTTGCACTTATCTTTTCCAAATACCATGAAAATACAGTTCATCTGTCCGTTTTAATCATTTCAAATTTCCCACTCTTTTTGTGACTTTTCTAGCAGTTGCTAACATGACATGAGTACATAATTTACTGAGAATGTATTTGTATTGTATGCGGGTAATTGAATCAGTTGACATAAGCGTTAAATCATTTGTTTGGTGGACACTCAATTGAATAACACTTGTTTGTGTCACTGCGTTTTGAAGTATAGTGATAAAAAATTGAAGCAATAAAATGTTCAAAGTTCTTCTTTGTTTCCTCGCACTTTCGAGTATTGATTACGGTTACGGTTTAGCTGAGTTTGGAGCAAATGAATCACTTCCAGTTGTAATGTGGCACGGAATGGGTAAAGAAAAAGGCCGTTAAATAATCATATTTTCGTGTTTTTAAAAATGAATTGCAATTGCAGGAGATACATGTTGTTTTTCGTTCAGCTTGGGGTCATTTCGTACATTCTTAATTGATATTCTCGGATCGAATACGTATGTCAAGTCTATTAGAATCGGTAACAATGTTGTTGAAGACTACGAAAGCGGATACTTTGTGCATCCAAACAAACAGATTGACGACGCTTGCCATCAAATTGCATCAGATCCAAAGCTAAAAAACGGTTACAACGCAATCGGATTCTCCCAAGGATCGCAATTCCTGTACTAAATTTTTTGTTGTTTAATCATTACGTTTCCAAATCAATTGATAAAATATAATCTTCTTTTTTCTTTAGGCGAGCTGTTGCACAAAGATGCCCCGAGCCCCGTATCAATAACCTAATATCGCTAGGTGGACAACATCAAGGCAAGACAATATATTTTTGATATATTTTCCACTGAAAATTGAACTGTTTTCTTTTGTGTACGTCAGGTGTTTTTGGTCTTCCGAACTGCCCTTCCTTGAGTTCGAAAACATGTATGTATTAAGAAGTATTCTTAATGTGTGTATCTATAAGTGTAGTTTAATGTACACATTCTGAGCATAGACAAAAATACTTTACATTTTTCATTTACATAGGTGACAAATTCCGAAAGATGTTAAACTATGCGGCATATACAAGGTGAGGAGAGAAAAAGCACCAGCTCAGAGAAGCTTTAAGGTGTCAAACGGACGGACAATGGACGGACATTTGGTGTCTGCCCGTCCTTTTGAAAATATAGGACGGACCAAAATATTCGTTCGTCTGTTTGAAAATTTAGAACGGACAAAGAAATTTTGTTCGTCCAAAAAAGCCCGCAAATCTAACTTTTGGAACATCCAATAAGCTATAGACGAGGAATTCATTTCTGTTATTGTTTTATTCAAAATATTATAAAGGAGTCAAACGAACATATACTTTTGTCCGTCCTTCCGTAAGAAATGTCCGTCCGTCCGTCCGTCCTAAATTTTCAAAAGGACGGACGGACGGACGGACAAACGTGTGTTCGTTTGACACCCTTAGAGAAGCTCAAATTGAAAATGTGTTTTACTTTTGCATTCACATTAAATGTGTTTTAATTTTACATTCATAAAAAATGAAAATGTATTTGATTATTTTTCAGCTGGTTGCAGAGCTATCTAGTGCAAGCGACTTATTGGCATAATCCATTGAAAGAGGAAATCTATCGGAAGTCTAGCACGTTTTTAGCCGATATTAATAATGAGCTCACAATCAATCAGACTTATGTTGAAAATTTGAAGAAGCTAAACAAGTAAGTAAACCCAACTGTAATAAGACCTACCGCTAAACATTGCGTCGCATTGGTTCTATAGGTTTGTTCTGGTGAAATTTTCGAATGATACAATTGTTCAACCAATTGACACAGAATGGTTCCAGTTTTATACACCCAATCAGGATAAAGTAATTCAACCGTTTGCCGAAAGTAATGCTGTTGTGAGTATGTGCAATAGGTATACTTTAACTTAGCCTGAGAATCTTTATTGAAATTATTTCTAGAAAAATTTGGGACTTAACGACTTAGTTGCATCGAACAAAATTGTATTTTTGGAAACGGTCGGAAATCACTTGAAGTTCACCACCAAATGGTTCAAAGCAAATATACTACCATATCTCAACGGTGATATTTAAGACATCGTCGAGGCGAAACAAATGAAGCCAAATATGTTGTAAATTCTCTTATATATCGATATTGAACTGTGCCATTTGAAGCTTCACTAAACTGTTCACAACATTGCATTTTAAAAAGAAGATTTTTTTACCTAAAAAAGGCAATCAAGTAAGAATGCTGTCAATTATATTGGAGTTCCATTTTGTGCATTTATTTTCTGTAGAAAAATTATAATAAATAAAACTGCACTCGATAATTCATTTTTCTCGGTTTAAACTCATAAAATATTGACACAATCAATTTTTTCGGACAATAAATGAGTCATTTTTTTTTAGTAAAAAGATTTTATTGGTTGTTTTTATTTAATTTCCAAAACGAAACGAATCTCTTTTAAGTTAATTAAGTGAGAGTGTTTGTGTTCTCTTTATTCGATATTTTTGTGATTTGAATTTACAAGATTTTCATGAGGATTTCCAAACATACAACATTCACACGAATACATTCATACAAATCATTACAATTTTGTCAAACAGATGTATGATGGTGTGACCACAAAGTGTAGTTATGTAAAAAAAAAAGCGGTTTTTCTTCCAATGTTCTATGGCAGGTAATGAAATAAGAGTAAGTTATCGAGTTTATGTGTGAATATACATATATAGCAATTTGTGTATCGAAAAAAGAAACATAATGCACTCATTCAAACTCTCAGTCTCTTTCTTGTAAACACACGCCACAACAATTGAATTGGCTAAATTCTAGATGAGGTAAATCAAACTGGTGATTTGATGAATTATTTGCGCTGTCTTGGACTTGATGGGTTTGACTTTGGGCTTTGTTTAGCTGAAACCTTGCCGTTTGGTGAGTTTGGCGATTTCTTTGATTTCGGTGATTGTTCTGTGTGAAAAAGAAAAGAGATTAGCACACATTTTGATATATATTTTCTATCGAAAGGACAAAAAATATGAAGTACTTACGAATGATTTTCAATGTTTCTTGTGGCAACCATTCATAGTCGACATCGCTTGAGTTTGATGTACCAGTTTCGATGGCTTTACGGGCAACATGGGCACGCTTACGTCTACCGACTGAACCAGCAAGGAATTGTTGTCCCAACACAAGGAGTAAGACAACGATGGCGGCCAAGAACACGTACAAGAAGAAAGTTTCGCCATCAAGACCTTCATCGACTTCGGTGATTTGAACGGTTTCATTGAATACGGATTCGGAGAAACGAGCACCGTTTGAATCGCGATAGTTGAGGGCAATGTTCAATCCGAATGGACGTCCGGCAAACGATTCAGATGGCAAAAATGAGTAAGATACGGTAGCTTCGTGGTTTGATTTCACTTCACGATTGTATGAAATGGCCGAAAAGTTTTGAATAAAGTAGTTGAAGTCCATTGGATAGCGGAACGATGCTTCAACACTTTCTACGACGAATTCATCGAGACCCTTGTTCAAGAATCCGACGAGGAATTCAACAGGTTGTCCGCCTGGCAAATCGAATTGATTGCCTGGAACATGCAATGGCTTCGTGAACAGTAGATAAGTATCAGCATCCGGCGATGTTGTTGATCCAGAGTTATCTTCTTCATATTCGGTTGTTGTTGCACCTTCATCGGATTCAACATCAATTATATCATCTTCGGCTTCAGCTGCTTCCGTTGCATACGCAAACAATTTGTTGTCTGAAAGATTAAAACACAGGATTGTAATAAACTGATGAATCCAAATGATAGTACGAGTTTACACAACACCACGAAGATTTCACTGATTTCATCAGGTGAGATAGACAAATTGTATCGGGAAATATAAAAATCGCTTTTCCGAATGATATATAATCATTTTTTAAATGTTTTTCCAATTGACGGATCAAAAATTAACTAATGGCTATAGTCCAAATATTGCACTAATTGCAATACGCAAATTCACTTCTGCCACGTCGAATAGGAAAGTTAAAAGTCTGAAACACTAATGGACCAGTGCTTGCTCTTAATCTATTTTATACTTACCATTATCAAATAAAGAAATCAACGATGGAAGCACTAGCAGGGAAATTATCCAAAAGTATTTCATTTTTGTGGAAATTATTTGTTTAAATAGAAAATATTTCAATTTATTTTCTTTGGGAGGAGAATACGCTCTCTTCAAGTTGTTTGAATGGAATCTTAATGTTCACTACCGGGCTCGACTTACACACGGCGACTTTACAGTACAAAGTGAATGGTAATGAAAACGTCGTGGAATATAGCATAGAAAGTCAGCGCCAACATCGTTTACGTGGAGTTTGTCATCATGATGACTTGTAGAGAATTTCATGTCATTATCTGTCATGTGTCAAAATTTCTCCAAAAACCTTTCAACGTCACCGGTGCACCAAGTTTCGATATACTAAACCATTCTTTACCATGAGCATGATGGATTTGTGTCAATAAAGAAGAAAAATCTCAGACCTGAAATTTAAGTTTCATAATTTTTCGTTTTTCTACTCTTTTACTGCAAGATTCATTAGAAAAACTTACTTGAGTCGTGAATAGTAAACTACTGTTTGCCTACGCATATAAACATTTCAATCTCAACAAAATAAGACTCAAAATGGTATTCAAATGTCAAGAGGATAGCTTTCTGAGAGAGGTAAACATTCCATTCGATGTGAAATATTTGAAAAATTGAAACCCAATTAAAGCAATTTGGTTTTCAGTTTGAATCAAAAGTTCTCATCTGCGAGTCAACTACGTTGAATCAAAAGAATGCCGAGGGAAAAAACACAGTAATCAATGGCTACAATGTTGTTTTGGAGGATACTATATTGTTTCCAGAAGGTGGCGGACAGCCATGTGATTTCGGAAAAATGAATGATTTGCCCGTGTTGGATGTTCAACGGAAAGGTGCAGAAGCACATCATTTCGTACTTGAGTCCACTTCATCTCCACCATTCAAAGTGGGTGCTAGAGTTAAGTGTACTGTTGATTGGGAAAGAAGACAAGACCATATGCAACAGCATTCAGGTTTAAATTCATTTCTTATCAATTTCGACATGAGCCTCAATACGATATTATTTATTTCATTGTGTTTCTAGGTCAACATTTGATTTCTGCTATTTTCGAACGTGAATATAATGTCGACACGAAGTCCTGGTGGCTAGGAACCGAAGTATCTTACATAGAAGTGGATGCAAAGGTTGATCTCAAAGCCGATCAAATTGAGAGAGTGGAGAATATATGCAATGAGCTGATTGCCGCAGCTACACCAGTTTCTGTGCACATTTTGAATGATAAAAATGAAACCAATGTTCCACCCGAGGTACATTTCCATTTGGCAAACAGATGTTTCAAATTGTGAATTTTGAATTATTTGTTCGCCTACCTCTTAGATCACTCGTGCAACAAAAGGTCTGCCAAAGGATCACGTAGGAGATATTCGCGTAATTAACATCGCGGGTATCGACAGTAATATGTGCTGCGGAACACATGTTCGAAACTTGGCCCAATTGCAATGCATCAAATTGCTTAATGTCGAGAAGAATAAGAATCGACAATTTCTAAATTTTTTGGTTGGCAGTCGAGTATTGAAACGACTGCAAGAGTGTTTCGAGCGGGAATGTGAATTTACTACCATCCTCAAGTATGTTATAATCTACTCATATCTTCAATTCACAATTCCAAATTGAATTATATTAACTGTTGGTATGTTTGAATATTTCCTAAATTTCAGGGGCGGTGCTCAATGGCATATCGAACTATTGAAGAAGATTCAAACGAGTCAAAAGTTGAACCAAAAAACACTCGCCTCGTGTTTGAAAGAGCTCGCTATTCATGAGGCAGCAAAATTGAAATCAATCAACCCACAACCCAAATTTTATTCGTTGCATCGCAAAGACGGTGTCGACACAGATTTCAACAGTACGTTTTTGAAGCATGCACCGGAGATAAAGAACGACTCTGATGGTTTGTCACTACTGTTCCTGACATCGGCCGATGAAAGTGGTGAAAAGGGCAATATGATTTTGCTTGGCGACGAAAATGTTGTTGCCGATTTGGGTGGTAAAATCTGTGATTTGCTGGAAGGCAAAGGCAGAGGAAAAGGTCAACGGTTCCAAGCAAAAGTGAACAACCTTAAAAAAATTTCGGCGTGTGAGAAATTAATCAGTGAATATTTTAATAGCGAATAGTTATGTAATTTTTACTTACAATATCTGCATCATGAAGATAGATACTCACAACCAAAGTTTTCAATAAAATCTAAAGTAAATGAAATGCCACTATTTGTTTTGATTTACGGCTCGCCATTGTTCTTGCAGCGTCAGAGTAAAAACTGAAACAGGGCCCGATACATAATTTTGTAATCTGCAATTATACATTATGCAGCGATAGTAACATTCAATGGAATAATAGAGAATAACACGCATGGCTCAACGAGAATGACAAATTGCTCAATGAAGCATTCATATTGTATTTGCTATCTGATTCATAATATGGACAAAAGAGACACATATTATGCTTATGTAAATCATGGAACGTGAATTTCATCAAGAGAAAAAAAAATACTTCCGGAAAAAATTCTTAATAGAAGCATGAAAAACCAATCGATTTCATCATAATTTTTAATACACGAGATCAAATAATCAATTTAAAGAACAAGCGCAACACACGCATGGTTCAATGCGTTTGAGTGATCTTATAATGTATGTAACACAACGCAACACAACACACAAAGTGTGACAAAATGAAATGGAGAAAGAAAAAAACAGCAGAGAATAACTGTAAATGTGTTTCTATTCAAGTATATCGTTTTCAGCCTCAGTGATGCTATGTGTTGTGGACGCAAACACGTTTTCGTAAAATAAACAAAAGAAAAGTGAAAAGATTTATCATATATTCCTCTTTATTGACATTTCGTTTCACGCAGAAAGATATGCTAGTGTACAAAAGTGTCGACGCGTTTAATTGGCAGTGGTGAATATAGCGGAGCTCAAAAACATTTGATCGTTATTCACGCTTACTATTCTACATAAGACATGTTTCCCTTTCCACATGATTGCCGAAGAAAGTGATATAAATAAAGTATTAAGTCGAGCCCGCGACACAGTTATTTGTCTCGAATCAGTCGAACAACATGGAAGCGTTGGCGCGTTTTCTCATCGTTGCAACGGTAATCGTTCAATTGACATCGATTTCTGCTGCCTCAGCTAAGCAACAGGATGAGGATGAGGATAAACCAAGAGCCGATAAGTTGACCATTAATATTGATTCAGTGTCGCAAAGGATACCGCCGCAAATAGCCTATTTCATTCCAAACGGAGTGTTCAATCGTACATTTAATTTCAATCAAAATCAACCCATGCCACAACCGCCGATCATCAATATGTGGCCACCGAATGATCCGCGAATGAATCAAACTTTCAACAATTTCAACCTAACAGACCTAATGATGTCTCAGCAACGCCCATACCGTTTCATAGCGGTGCCAAAAAACCAGATACGTAGCATTGTTCAAGATGATCCAGACATGGCTTTCCAGAATTTCAATTATCAAATTGATTTCGCCAAAATACCGGACAAACAACCGGATTTTACGCGCTTCGAAAGTCTCAACAGAGAACGTGAAAAACCAACGGTGAAAAGAGTAAAGCCGAAGAAATATATCAAACGACCGGTTTCTACTAATTACGCAAATACATCACCAAACATTCGAAGTAGAATAAAATACATTAAAATCGATCATGAAAATAAATTCGAAGTTAGTTCAAAAGATAAACATCATTCAGGTGACAGTGGTAGTGGTATTGGTAGTGGTAGTGGGACTTATAGTGATGAACTAGAAAATATCGATACATCGGATCAATCAAAAGTTTATAACAATAATGCCAAATTAAAGAAATCTCGTCGTAAAAAGCCAAAGCCAAAGCATTATTCGATGTTCAAACTTTCACATCCTACAACATCGAGTGTTGAAAATGAAAGCAGCAGCTACGACTTTGATAACGTTAATACTGATGATATTGACACATTTCATTCGGATCATTCAAACCATAAGAATTGTGATCACCAAAATTCAGATTTAACAGAACAGCAGCCTGAGAATGAAAGCGATGGAAATGAAAATGTGAATGGTAATTTCGGTGATTCAGAGAATAAAGTGATTATTAAGCATCCAAAAGGTTTTGCGATTTATCTTACAAAAGTAATCAAACATCCAAAACCATACCGAGCTCTTCGAATGGACAATAGTAGAGTTCTTAGCAATGGTTTTGTACCCACGCGCATCATGTCTTCTGTTAGAGGTGTGAAAAAAATCGTACATAAACCGCGAAAAATCCATAAACCAACAATGCGAGAGCGTTTGAGCGAATCGGGTGGTCATGTAGTCTATACGGAGGATGGATATGAGGATAAGGAATATGATCATGGTGCAGAAGATAAATCTCTTGAATATCTATCCCGATCACGTAGATCCACGAACTTTAAGAAACTCAAAGGGCAAGAATTAATTGATCATCTGGACAGTTTGATAAGAAATGTTTCAGATTACTTGAACAGCAGCGAAATCATACCTGAGACACACAAAAAATATCCACTGTACCATACCACAGACGACAATATCGATGATTCGGCAATAAAATATTCGGAATACGCTAAGCCAGTTGTCGATGAAGATTATTCTAGTGAACTGTACGAATCTAAAGCGGAAAATTGTGACGATATTGACGATCAAATCGATTTATCAAATGCCCATAATGATACGAGTGGCCCGAAGAAACGCCTCGGAAATTTAGGAAATAAGATCGATTGTTTGAAACGAAAGTTGTTTGGCAAACAACCTCTAGACAATCCCTTGTTCAAAGAAGAAAAAATATCGCAACCAAAACCGGACAATGTCTTCGCCAATATTATGCAGGAGGCCGATAGTATTCAAACAATTTCGGAAATTGTTCATAGCGATGTAATGGATAATATAAAGTTTAATGAAAATCAAAGAATATTTGCCGATTTTGGTGTTAGTGATAATTTTGCTCTCCCTTCTTATAACTCGAAACCAGTTACAGCCAAACCAGTGAACCAACTCAATACAAACGAAAAGTATTCCAATGACTACAAGCAGACGAACAATGTAAATGAAAAGCCATCGGTCACCCAGAGTCCGTATGTATTTTTCAATCCATTTAAAGACCCGGCACAGCTACCAATTTTAGATATTTCGAAATTCATACCGACGCCAAAATATTTGCCAACTGAAAGCGATGACATTCCATTACAAACAGACTTCGTACCAATCGTGTCACCGTACGGCCCCAACTATGATCAGCAGCGAACAGTTACATTGACAACGACAACCATGTCGGCAATATCAACGACAACTTTTGCGCCACCCACACAACCTCAGCAAAAATATGGTCCACCGATTCGTGGCGGCCAAAATCCACCATTGAGAAGAGTACCATATTATAATAACCAAAATACAAACACTCTTCGAACTCCAACGCAAAATATATTGCTATTTAAGCATCGACGACCGGTGGCTGTGGTGCGAATTGTTCCCAAAGGTTCCGTTGGACCAAGACCTTAATCGCTTTTGTCAATCTATTCGTAATATTTATTTGCAAAATTTGTATGTTTATTGTTTAGGCTAAGTTTCAGTTCAAATATACTAAGTATAATGTTGTTGTATACTCTTCTTCTTTTTATTAAATAAGATTTGGAATAAAAAATATGGAATCTTCGTTTCGTTCGAAAACACCAAAAAATTATAATTCAATACCAACACCATGTAAAGAAAAATATATGAAAATCTTCATGACTTTAGTCGAATTCAGCTTCCTTGAGAATCAAATCTGCTATGACTAACTTTTGGATATCGGTTGCACCGCCATAAATTTGAGTAATTCTCGAGTCACGGTAATATCGCTCGGCCTCGCCACTCACAAATCCTTTTGCACCTAAGATTTGAACACAATGGTGTGCATTGCTTGTCGCGCAAGTGCTAGCCGCCAATTTTGCCATCGAACCTTCCAAAATCAAAATTACATTCATTGTGAACAACTGTTAGTATACAAATTTTAAGGCGGTTGCATACTTATTTTTCTAAAATCTTGTTTGGCGTCTCGCATAGCTGCAGCTTTCCACACTGTAAAAATGTTGAAAAAAAAACGATTTCGATTCAAATGCAAAATTATAATACAGGAATAATAATAGATATTATTTATAATGATAATAAAAATACAGGTTTGTACTCACACAAAAGACGGGCCGATTCCAGCTCAGTTGCCATTTTTGCCAGTTTGCTCTACAAAACACACAATACGGATAAATTAAAGCCATTGCTAAAAATGTCTGGTTTGTGATTTGGTTTTCTGCAGATATCGTACTTTCACTAACTGTTTATCACAGAGTCTTTCACCGAAGACAGTTCGTTGACATGAATATTTCACAGCTAATTCAAATGCGGCTTGACCAATACCCAATGCTTGTGCGGCTACCCCAATTCGTCCCAATTGTAACTGACGCATCGCAATCTCAAATCCACTTCCGACCTCTCCAATGACACTTGTATGAGGTAGTTGTACATTGTTTAAAATGATGTCACATGTTGACGATGCACGAATGCCCAGTTTTTCTTCACGCCGTCCTAATTCAACGCCAGGTATATCCAGCGGCACTATGAAAGCTGTAATACCTTTGTGACCTTTGTCTTTATTTGTATGCGCAAAAAATACTCCGGCTTTGGCCTCAACTCCTGAAGTCACCCTGAAAGGCACAGGATTTATTGAAAAATTAAAATATCATAGGAGTGAATTTCATTAATCTACCATGCTTTACGTCCATTCAGAATGTAGTGACTTTCAGTTTTAGTTGCAGTCGTTGATAGGTTTGCTGCATCTGACCCAGCATCTATGAGATCCAATCAATTTGGGGGAAAACGATTACAAAAATTCAACGCTCAATCATTAATCAGATCTTTTGATTTCTACCGTGTTCGCTGAGAGCAAAGACTCCGATTTGTCCACTTGTAAACGGGACTAAAAACTCATTTAGTTGATCTGGCGTTCCGTATGTTTGTACTAAATCCGCATAAAGGCAATTGTGGATAGATACAATAATTCCCGTGCTTGCACAAACACGTGACAATTCCTCTATTGCTAGTGTGAATGTCAATAGATTATATCCTCTACCACCGTATTTTCCATCGATACAAGCGCCCATCAAACCCTCACGTCCGAGATGTTCAATTTGCTTCTGTGGAAATCTGCGGAGAACGCGGTAATAATTTCAACACTTTCATTTAGCTCGTGATTCTATTTACAATATTTACTTGGATAATTTATCATGTAGATCGGCAACCGGTCTCAATTCCTTTTCTGCAAATACTCTGCACGCATTCTGAACGGCTTTGCTTCTTTCACTCAGCTGCAGAAACGTAGAAAATCTTCGTTTGAAAATAAACATTGGCACAAATAAAAATCTGAATTTCTAAAACGATCACGAAAACATTTATTTCTTTTTCCATCAAGTTGCCGCTGTGGCTCGTAAATGTAGATTGTCATTGAATCAGCTGTTTGATAGAGTGTATTCAAATATGTTTATCAGTTATTATGTATTTCCATATATTGTCCTCTCTGTCAGTCAGTAAATTGTTTTGATATAATAAGCGCGGCCAACTTCACTACGTACTCCACTGAAATATGTCAAATGTGTTGTTGAAGTAAACAAAAGATGTACGGAAAGCTTGGGATATAACCTAAATTGTTTACAATTCTTGGTAAACAGTAGAATAACTTCGCAATTAGAACGTTTCTTAAACCATAGCAATAATGGATTTAAGCAATTTAACAAGTGTTCTATTCAATGATGAAGTTAATGATACACAGGTGCGCTATCACTTGGTCTATCCCAAACATTTTAATCTCATCAAAAAATCGAAAATTGCTTCACGATCAGGTAGTGGACAGAGTGTATCCAACAAGCGTAGACGACGCGGAAGACCGCGCAAAGAAGATGTGAAAAAATCTGAAGAAGACCGACGTGCTGCCGAAGAAAATGCCAATGATGAAAAACCGGACGAGAATGTTGTGGTTCAGTTCAAAAGCACCAGATATGGTCGAGTTTCAAGACCACCGAAACACATGAGTAATTCAACATTCGTTGACATCAAAGATACGAGAATAGCGTCCACAACAACAGATACTACTATTCCAATGGACACAATGGAAATACAAAACAGCGTCAACGTGGAACAGCAACCAGATGCTGGGGGAAAGACGACAAAAATCGTAGTCGAAGCGAAAAAAGTACGAAAAAATGTTGACCGTTTCACTTGCGCAGTTTGTAAAAAGGTAATGTGGAAAATAAAAAGGCGTTGAAAATTAGTACGAAAGGTGATTGATTCTAAATGCAATTAAATCTCTCTTGTCAGGTATACTTGGGGCGGAAGAAAATGCTAAAACACTACTTGGCATTCCCTGAACATAAAATCCCACCAATTCAGAACAACAAAACGCATACGAACGGCCACATAGTCAATAGCTTTTTATTCGATGAACTGATGAAGGCGGTGGGAAGTGCTTCACAAACCGAGCGAATTTCAATGTTTCTAGCGGAAATTTCGAATTTCGTCAGTAGAGTTCGTCTGTTCAAACCAAAAATCTTACATCCGGAACAAGCATCGACCGAGTATTATGTAGACAAAAATGTATCAAAAATTTTGGATTTGCCTGAAGGCCTCTTGCAGCTCAATGATAGGGCATTTGACGATAATCTTCAGCAAAATAACAACACATTTAGCACGTATATTGAGGAAACTAATGGGCCATCAGATCAAATTTCATCGCTCAGTAATTTGCAGCAACAGCTTGGATACAATTTAAATCTCTTTCCTCAAGTCAACTACGATCAAATCAGTGATAATGCTGTCGAGGCAGAAGTACTAGGAAAGTCAAACGAAGCCATCACTGATTTATCACACGAGACGCCTATTTTAGATATACCATTGGATCTCTTTTCGTTCAATAATCTTAAATAAAAATACCGACAACAATTAAATAGATGTGTTTATTTTTCGATACAAGAAAATATTTCAATTTCAATGTGCAATTTTTTCGTCTTCATCATCAATTTATTATTGGACCAAAGATGACTCTTAATTCTTAGTTTAACTTGATTAATTGTAACTGTTTCATCAATATAAAGCATGTCGGTGACATGAAGCATAATATTAAACTAAATCAAAAACGTTATTCAAATACTGTAAACTCCTGAATAATCGAGCCTAAAAGTGACATTTTCTTAATAAAAAAAACTTTCAATCGAATATGAAAAACGGAAAAAATAAATATTTGATCGGACTTTGCTTCAAGCTAAATTGAATTTGCACATACAATTTTCTCTTTCATTTCGTTCATTTTTGTTGCTTTATATATTTAATCAATTGAAATAGGTGGAAGCTCATGATAATATCTGTCGAATTGAATATATATTTATTCAAATCTTAATAATAATAAATTAATTAAAAGTTAGTGTCAAGAGCGAATTTTACCTTAAAACGGAGCTAGTGTGGGAATATCTACTCGATATTGAATTAAATTTCGGTTGCGAAGTCAGACCCTAAGCTCAAAATATGCGATACGACATTGTTGATCTGAAGCATTCCAATCAGTTTGGAGAAGAATAATTCTTCGATTAGATCTGCATCAAGAGAACGCAAAGAGTGAACTTTGAGAAGAAGCTTCAACAAACGGTTGAAGTCAAACTCCATCTGTTTATGGTGTAAATAGCCTTTGATAAACATGTCCTGTATGCGTTCAATTTTTGCGCGTTGGTTAGCGTCCATTTTTACGTTATCTAAGTGGGGATTAAATGCGATTTTCAACATCTTTTATTAAGAAATTTTATTCATAAAATATTCGAATCAATAAAAATACCTGTATTGAAAAGGATGATGAATCGAAGAAAAGCGAATTCAAAATCGTCAAGATTCATCTTGTTTAGCTCTTGAAAGAAATCGTTAATCTTCCAAATGTGTTCGGAGAGTCTTTTTAGTTTGTTCGGCTGCATTTTTTCTTGTGTTATTGCACTTTCAACTGTGTTCGACAACGAACTGATTACCGTGGGAAGTGATACTGAATGTGAAGACTGTGCGTAACCGATGAAAAATAGTTCGGTCCAGCAGTTTTGTAGAAGAAGTGCCTGCGTCTTTACACTTTAAGATTAGAAGAAATTTTGAACATTTTTTAAAAAACTGTATGTATTAAATCAAACGAACGAATGGACAAATGAACTTACCTCAGTAAATTGAATGCATGGAATTTCTTGAACCAGCATATGGAGAGTAGAAGAATTCGGCTTCCGGTTTCACAAACATAGTGCATATTCAAGTAGTTTGGCACAAATGCTGGTGCTTGCAAATTGAAAATTATGTCCCTTTCAGGAAGCATCGGACCATCGGAGAACGAGCTCATCTCATCTTCGAACTCGTCAATATCATCAGTTGATGAGATACACGAGTCTGGATCGTTTTTTATTGAATCATTGAATTCGTTATTGTTGTGCCCTTCGACTTGCAAGCTTGAGATAATTTCTTGGGCTTCTGCGATAATGTTTTTGTCAATGACATTTTGCAGCAAGACATTTTCATTTGGCAAATTGGGTTGAGCATTTGTGTTCATGTTGTCGAGAGAATTGTCATCCACTTCACTTGTACTGCCACCAGCATTCTCGGTCAATCCGGCCAATGCACCCAGACGTTCATGATATGAATTTGTGAAGACTGAAAATTTACAATCGCGATTAAGAACAGATGTCATTCTGAATTTGATTCCATCACCTACCTTGCTGTGCAACATTTGATGTGAAATTTGCAAATATGTGCGCGGGCAAAATACTGCTTAAGCTGTTGATGTTGTTTGCACCAAACGACTGTTTTCCAACGTTGGCACTGTTATTGTTAGTGTTTGTTGCGAACGTGTCGTT